GTACAGCTGCATATCCACCTACCGCGTGCGTAGCCACGCAGAGAAGGGACCTACTACCAGATGCGTAGCCATCTAGAGGAGTGAGCCAACCGACAAGTTTCTTATATTAATAGTGCTTTTAATAAGCATATAAAGCTTTAAATAGCCTTAGATTATTACAGTAGTTTTTATAAGCTATTATATAGCATTACTAATTATTAAGATTTAAGTTAAAGACTATAGTGTTAGAGCTAAGCTAGGTGCTGCCTGTATAAAACTTTGTAACTATAGGCCTTTATAGTATAGTGTTAATTTAAAGATTTTCTAGTAAGAGATTTAAGTTAATATACTTCTAGTTACTTTTTTTAGTAAGTTATATAAAAACATTAATAGCTAAAGTTATTTTAGAATGTGTTAATAAAGTAAAAAGTTACTTATATAAATTATGTAAGTCTTTTATTAATAAGTAGTCTTAGTTTAAAGTAAACTTTACTTAAAGTAAATAAAAAAGTTATTATTTAGTTAGTTAAGCTTAGCTAGTAAGTAATCTATAATTAGTATGTTTTAGAATAGATAGAAGGTTATTGTCTAGTTAATTAGACTTAGCTAGTAAGCAATCTATAATTAATATGTGTTAAGGTTTGCAGGGCCCCCTTAAGCTAGATGCAAAAGCTAAATGTGCAGTAGTGACTATAGTACTAGTCAGGAGCGCAACTCTAGGCTTATAACTCTTGCATAAGCTAAGAAGGGGTTATATAGTAAGCAAGGTAACAAGGTGTTAAGATCTAAATAAGGTGGACTATACAAGTGTATTGTAAAGTCTAAGAAGCTTAAGAGAGCTCTAGGCTGACTATATACTGTACAAGAAAGAAGCTAGTCCTAATGAGTGAATAGTGCAGTACATGGGTATGGTATCGCGTGAGACACGTGCGACACTTTGCACCATTAAAGGCAGCCTATCGCGACTAGGTTGAAAAACTTAACTAAAGAGGTATGGATTAGATTAGCAAAGAACACTTCACTTCTTTGTACAAACCTGCACAAGATAAGGCATTCACCAAGAGGAATATCTTAGCCAGATGGGCCGCAACTGGTTTGTTCCCATTAAACCTAGAAAGGGTGCTCCAAGGAATTCAGAAGCCCCTACCTAAGCTCACCGTTCTAGACGTCTCTTAAGGGCAGCTAGTATCTGCTTTGCAAGACGAAGTACTGCAGACTCTGCTAACTCTAGTAACGCCAGAGACAACAGAGGCTCTTGCATCCCTACAGATCTTGATAGAGAAAGACGCTCATACACTTGGTGAGACAAGCAAGCAGTGCCTCCAGAAACACGTACAGAAGATGGCGACCGCAGCTAAAATATCTTTTGCCGAACGTGCCCTCCTACAGAATCAGAACGGCTTCCTATTCTAGGTAAATAAGGCCAAAGCTCGTCGATCAACTAGATCAGTAGTCCTGGGGAAGGCGAAGGTGATGAGTTATTAGGATCTAGAGGAGGCGCGAGCAAAGCGCGAAGCGAAAGATCAAGCCACTGCAACTAAGGGGAAACGAGGTCGTAAGCAGAAGACTCCCGCGACAGAAGAGGCAGAGGCGGTCCATCAGTGCCGAAGAGCAATGCCGTGGCACCAAAAGAAACCGAGCCAGCGAACAATATGGAGGTGTCATGGAGGGCTCTGGTAGCGAAGATGTATTAGGAGCTAGAGCTACTTATAGACTTAATTTAAACCTGGCGTTGAGTCTGTTATCTTATTAGTTGATCGGTTGACACTACGGTGCTTGCTAATCCACAAACTTGTCAGCACAAGCTTGGCTTATCTGCTGACAGGTATAAATTACACAGGCTCCGTTCTGTACAGCTTATTTAGCGATCTCTGACTAACTCAATTCGGAAGTTGCTTCGTCCGGAAGTACCGACTGGGGTTGGCGATCTTGCACAAATCTGCGTGCATTAGTGGCCACGGAACTCCTGACGGCTTCCTGCTAGCGATAGGATCCTGACGCTTAGGCCCTGTCCCTTACATATTTCGTACAGATTAGAGCTTATGGCGAGTTGTTAACGAGGGTTTCTCGTTTATAGCATGAATAAAGGCTTTGCACGAGATGGGCAAGAGCGCTGTAAGGTGCACGTAATTTTTAGCTAAAAGCAGTTAAAAGTGTGTAGAATAGCTGGAGCACGCAACATAAGACTGCTAATACAGTATTAAGACGTTTGGACCGAGATCGAACTGCTTGAAGACAGGTACCTCGCTTATTTCTCGACAAACAGTGTTTTTCTACCTATAGTGGGGGACGTTAGTGTTCGGAGGGGTCTGTCTAATGTCCACTCAAGGAAGTCTTTCACAGGACAGGTGAATGTCATGGTGAGTACACCTAGCTAGTTGATTTGCCTATGCTTCATTGAGTTGTCTAAACTCAAGTGGCTCCGGTTCTGTGTTGGTGATCCTTCCGATTTCCATGCTTTGCTAAAAGGATACATCTGCCGGCGTCACGAAGAGAAAAGGGGGAAAGTGCCGTGAATGTCAGAGCGACATCCGTACCACATGAATTACATTTTGACAAGAGAGATAAAGAATCCTAAGATATCAGAGCCACTTGCGCAGCACTCTCTATGCCAGAATACTCTTTCTCCCATTAGACCTGAGTCGGGTGCGCCTGGATCGCATCTAGTGAAACCTCGTGGAAATCTGGGGTTTGATTCTGAATTCTACGAGAACATTTGAGAGAGCTGGATACGCATAAGGCATGTTAAAACTATGTTTTTATAATCAAAAGAGTATCTAAAACATCCGGTACCGTTGGATAAAACAATGATGAAGAATCGAGTAGTATAAAGATAGAACGAAGCTTGATTAAGAACTCGAGCCTGTATGTCGGTATAGCAAGGATCAATGCTAGAGTGGCTGCTGACTAACATGAAATCCATTACGATTACTCTAGAAAAGTCATCGTCCGGCCGGTTCGTTATCATGGCGCAATGCCGAAGTTTCTTGAGGATTCCAGCAACGCCGTGAGAGTATCGACACTGCGGGAAATCGTAGGGTGCAATGTGAATAATGGAGGTGGTTTTCATAAGTCGACTATATTCCATTAGGCTTCTTTCATCCACCACCGTCCACATCTCCTGTCACTTCTTGAATACCCTGAAGTATGACTCTTTGCCTGGAGCTGCTAGGTCATAGCCCTTCCAGAAGCTCGAGATTTCGAAATTCAGCTCGATGGCGCTCCCAACTCTTGAAAACGGTGCCTGGGAATATAACGGCGTCAAGATGACTGCCTGCCTCACCTCATCTAGCACTACCCTTCTAGAGCATGTTACCACCTAACGTGAGGCATAGCTATGGAGGGTCTACCTGTTACGCCTCTTGCTGGAACCAGGGAGGACATCCAGTTTCCCCAGCCATATTCTGCTTTAGGTGATAAGATGGAGCAGTCACGATCAGCAACAACAGTCATCACTTTTGGTATTATGAGAAGAATCGGGGCATCTCGATCTTAGAGGATAATACTCACCTGGGTAGCCTTTGCCCCTGATGACCTCGGGTCAAGAGCCGACCAACCACCTGACGCGAAAGCGCCTCACATCAGCCTCACGGGGCCGCCACCAGGAATCAATAATTAAGTTCGGCGACAACGAGGAGTTCGACCTAGTGTCCAGGCATCTGGGGTAGAAAAGTCGGTGACTGAGAGCGGTGGAAGAAACCAGAGAGTCTGACTGGGACTAAACGAGAGGCGTGGCTTGTTAGTTCGTGATTTGGGGTTCAGGGAGTGGCTCAGTCAAGGCTGTGCAAAACCTGTTTGCGGCAAAGTCCAAGGTGTCATCACGCGCGCGGGAACACAAGGACACGCGAGCTTTGTATAAGAGTTAATGGATTGTGTCACAAGATAAAGGTTTCTGCATCCAGCACATCGCTCAATTCATCGACTTGACTTCAAAGAAAGCCCGTTTGCAATTGTGACAAAGGCACGTTTTCAGCCTTCAGCCACAGGTCCCCCCGTATGATTACCCACCCAGTGCCCCACTACTTAAAGTCACAACCCACTGACATCTGGCTTCAGCCTTCAACAACTTCTACCTGCACTTCTCCACTGCACGAATCGCTCAGCAACGAGCTCAACAATTGACCAGTCACCTCACACGAACAAGCACAATGACGTCTGAAACCACTACCAATGCGCCAGCGCAAAATGTTTCCAACATTGATTGCGACGTCGTCGATACCGATAATCAGCTTCCCCCACTTCCCAACCCTCTCCCAAAGGAGCATCCACAGTTCCTACATTGTATGCCTCCCAATGAGCCGACATACCGCGATTTCTCCTTGTTCCTCGCCGGCAGTATCGAGATGGGCAACGCAATAAGATGGCAACAACACATGGCCAATATCCTCCGAGACCTGCCTATCACTATTACAAACCCGCGACGCGGCCACTGGGATAAAAACGCGAGGCCCCTTCCGACCGACAAGACGTTCAGGGCACAAGTGGAGTGGGAGTTAAATGCGATGACCAAGGCTACGGTCATATGCTTCTTCTTTGACAAGAATACCAAGAGCCCAGTCACATTGCTAGAGCTGGGGCTGTGGGCGAGCAGCGGAAAGATCGTTGTCTGTTGTCCGGATGGCTTCTGGAAAGGCGGGAATGTGGATATTGTTTGCGAACGATATAAGGTGCCTTGTGTAAAGACTTTTGAGGCCCTAGTCCCGGAGGTTAAGAAGATGTTGAAGGTAAAGGGTATGGACATTTGAGTCCATTCATGTCAAAGATTTGGTGGTGTTCTAAGCATTTCAGGGGGTTTTCTCACGGCATTCCTCTGCCTACAATCTCCCTTTTTCTGCATTCCTGTATTCCTACATCCCATTGTTTCTACAACTACCGGTTTCTGTATTCACCTGTATTTGTGTTCATCTGGATGCATTTGTTTTGCTCCTGCGATTTGTGTAACTGGGTATATATGACTGCATCAGCGAGGCGTCGAGGGAGTTTATAGATGCGACCTGATATGGTCTGTAACGACGACGGGCTGCTTTATTCATGGCTGTAGCAACTTATGAGTTCCCCTTTATTAAAATACCGTTACACCACACATTCTTAATCTCCACGTCGTTATTTTGCTGGAAGTGGCAGCGGGAAGTGGCGGCCTTTTTGCTCCGCCAAGATTTAGCCACAAGACAAGGGCGTCTACTCAATTTTCCGGATGGCCCAAGAAGCGCTATAATGCACCACAGGGTGAAGCCTCGTTAACAGATTTTCAGGTGCATCCTTTGCCAACTCCTCCGCATTATTGACTACCATGCAATGCTAAAACAAACTCTGCAGAGACAAATATGACTTCACGTGGATACCAACTATTTCCAACTCCCCAAGTAACCTCAAAACGACATCCTCGTTTAAAGTTCTCGCGAGCCAATCGCCTACTTTCGAGCATCGCCTTTTTAATGGATGACCAGAACCTCATGCTGAACGCAGTCATCTCGATAAATCCGATATGAAGAGAAGCAAGGCTAATTTCTGCTTCTTGTCACCTAGTTGGAACACGGCAAAGTGTTTCAAAACACAAATTTGTATCCACTTTAACGCTATCTCTTATTCTAGCGAAAGGTGTGACAGATAGACTCTAACGAACTTACTTTCTACGTTATGTGGTAACATATTGTAGTCCTGCAAGCACCACCCCACATCTATATTCTGCTTTGACCTCTATCATCTTAGAGTTCCTTCCCGTCTAGTGCTTCCACCTATTCATTTAGCCGCCTTGTAGCAAACTAGCGGTGGACGGCAGCAAGCGCCCGATCCTCTAGTTGAATATAGTGTTTAGACTGCAACCTTCCTATCGGCCTCCATTCTCTACCGTCCGCTTTTCCGCTAAAATATCGGATTCTTCATCATCATTGGCCACGTCTCAAGTTCTGTTCGCTGAGATTAGTCTCCGTGGGTTCACGCGTACTGTCTCCAAGCAGACCGTCTCGAATGAGGACATCCACGTATCCCAAATCACGACATATGTCGTCCTGGTAGAGTTAATCTCGCAAAATTCGTTCGCGCCACCCCTGGTGTAGATGTTCCCGATATATCTATCGACGCTACCCGCGTCACCTTTGAAGAACCGTGTAATGGCATGATGGATTGTAGACTGTATCCTTTGTCCGCCGGCGACACCCCATTTGAGGAAGTAAATGAGCCAGTCCTCGAGATGGCCCGTAAGTCGCACCTATAAGGCAACTCGTCCCATTTAACCACCGATCAACTAGCCATCCCAGAACTTCCGCGTCTCCGCTTTAGCCCTGATAACATTTGCTTGGATATCGTCATGGAAGTCAAGACTTATGACCACGAAGAGGACGTCACATTACCATTCTATCTCTATATCGTTGCCACTTTATCTGTTACTCTTGCACCAATATCGAGGGGATCGACATGCGACTCGAGTGGCGATAATTCCTACATGAACTCTTCCCTTGCTTCCTAAGTTTTTGGAGTGGTTTCCCTTGAGGGAGGTCTCTAGGATATGGACGCTGACGAGGGTATGGTTGAGGACAAGGGACAGATAGGGTTCGGCGTTGCAGATGGTGACAGACTGTAGAATAGCGAGAGCGACAGTGAGTCTTCTTCATCGCTGTCATACACAGAAGAGGAGAAAACGAATAGGATGTAGGTGCCATAGGGCTCCATCACCTAAGTATTGAGATGAGGCCCACGGGATAGGGCTTCATATGTAGCTTTAGTTGTAGGATAATGATTTCAAGTCCACTTCTGTAGATAGAGGTACTATTATTGTATCTTGCTAAATTAGCGTGGACATCTCCATTCCAACCCCCAGGAGCTTCGCAAGCAAGATTTAAGCCCGGTAAAACAATATACATTCAGGGTTCCAATCAGCCATGTCCCCTAGATTATCCTCCACTCAAGAAGAAATATTAGTAGTCGAGAAACAGTGTCGGGCCAGATAACGGAGCGTCAAGTTCAATGGACGGTGGCGGGGGCGGAGGAGGGATTGGGGTAGTTTTTACTAAAGGCGAAAAGACTGTAGTTATGTAGGTGCCGAATTTAAGAAAGGTCTTTCCACTAGAGGTGAATTAGTCTCGCAAAGGCAGACAGGGCGTTGACGATAGCAATTAAGTCACCTTGGTAAGAGCTGAACTAGGGGAAATTAAGTGATATTGTAAGGCCTAAGAAGAGGGGGGTTCCCCAGGTGACTATATAGTGTACTCAATAAGTGCTCGTCCTAGTGAGCGGCTAGTAGAGAGAAGGGATAGGCATTACGTTCGATACTTAGCGCCCAGAGAGAATTTTAGGCAGAGGGAAGATGTTTTGCTTTTATATTTAAATTTACATTTTGAAATAAATGGACCACATTAAACTAAGAATTTATACCCAGTTCTACTATCCTCTCTCTAACATCTTAATGTCTTATGTAAGCCCCAAGGCTCTCTGATGGGCTGAATCATCCATGGGCTTAGCGTCTCACAACACTATTTATATTATATAGCACCTCGGTCCCTCGGTCCACAATACATCACTTCTCTCATAACTCATGCCCTCTGCAAAGCTCCAGCCTTCCTCTAAAATCCAACATCCATAACATCTACAGCACTTCCTGTTCTGTAATACTACTTAGACCTTCACTATAGTCCTTCTAAAAGGGCAGAAGAGTACTCTTAACCTTGATTAAGCCAAACTAGGAGTCAATCCAATCTTTGTACTAGTTCTGATTCAAGTGTCCTAATTCACAGCATTAATGGCAACATCCATAGCTTTTGCATAAATCACAACCCCATGTACGCCAACGCACACCTCCCCGCTTAGTCATCAACTCAAACTTCTCGTACTGCGGTTATATAGGCTAAATGGATGCTTTTTCAACTTAAGTCAGAAGCCATATATCTCGGTGTACCATCCTTTGATGTAAACATTCCAATTCGCACAGTTCAAACGAAATCCAATTCTAGCGCGTAAACCGCAACTACAGCGAAATCAATACACTCTCCTCCGCTCCGTAAGGAATTCAGGCTTCTTGCGCTAGAGTTACGAACAGAGCTACGTTGAAAGAAGACTTACTAGGCACGAATTAAAGCACATCCTAATTCTTGTACTAGCCTACACTCAAGCATCCTAATTTACTAAACACAATACCCAATTCCGGTGCGCGAAATGCAACTACGACTACAATGATATACTATCTGCTTATTAAACCTCCTACACCTTTCCTGCCACAGTCACAGAACAGGTCTAAGCCAAAAGGAGGCTTGGAGTTACACAACAAATGTCAGCGGAAATCGAGGCTTGTTGGAGCATTGTGAAAAGAAGAAGGGTTGCTCTCACTACTCTACAAAGCTACTCGCATCTTTTTCGCCATGGATACAGAGCAGGCGTCAGCAGAAAGGAGCCTTCCCAGAGCCTTGCGAGAAGGCAGGGGGTTACTCTATCGGTTATCAAAGCAGATATGCTAAATTTCCTATATAAGATGAAGTGGAGCATCTATAGAATGCAAATGGTATTGTATCTAACGTTTCTATTCCCTTGAATTTCTCCCCGAACCTGACAAGAGGTTTGACGGACGAAATCCATTCTACTCATGTTACCGCTCAAGTCTCTGTGCCCTCTACACCTCCGTTTCAATTCCCCCTCCGCTACTGTCGCCATGCTTAAACAGCCCCTCCACCTTGCCCTCTCCCCTCTTAGCAAGATGTTTCATCCAAGCCAAAGTCCTTGGTCCTTTCCACTGCATCATCCCCCTATTCCTCCTATGCAGCTGTTTCGCATGCTGCTTGTATTCTCGGAGTTGATCTACTGTTCCTCTCTTTCCATTCTCATCGAGGCTGCTCCCGCTCTTGGTTGCAAGAAAATCTGGTAGGAACGTTGAATCTGAGTCCGAAGACGATGACGAATCTCCTTCACCGTTCGTACCGTCATCCCAGTCCATTTCGTCATTGTCGTGACACGCATCCAAGACTTCCATAATGTCGGCAATATGGCGATCTTTCTTTGCGAGGGCCTCATGGTAGCCTGACAACCCCGACCAGAATGTAAGGTTTAATTCAATCTCACCAACCTTATCTCCACATTCCGAGAGAACATTGTTTTCCGCCCTACTTAAATCCCCATTCCATATAGGCAGACGAACAGTCTGCTCTTCGTTATCCGGGATATCTTTCAGCCACAGGATGCAAAAAGCTGGTGTACGGTCTGAGAGTGTAGAGTCTTTCCTGAATTCGACGACGAGGGGAGATGCATGGCGTTTACGGACTGCAATACGCAAAACGTGGTCTTTTTTCGTCTTCCATACAACGCGTCCATCCTGCTGACTCTTTTCGCTGTCTTCAGTTCCGGTGTGCAATTTGCCGCGTCCAAGTGAGGTTCGGATCTTCATCCGCATAGATCGGAGATCTGTGGGGACATCAATGGCTTTCACAACTGGCTTAATATCAAGAGTACCGTATTCCCAACCAAGCATTTTATGCGGCGTTTGCAATTGTACCGACCTAAAAACCAGTGAAACGCGAGCACGACCGTATCCGACTCCTCCAGAAATTGGGAAGCTGGCATCGATTTGGCTGCGCTCGTGAAGAAGTTTCGACAGCGGCAGATAGACGATACCTAAGAGAGGGTCATCTTCGTGGACTCGAGCATCGCGGACAGAGATATGGATCTCGGTGTTACGGAAATCGGCAATGAAGCGCTCACAGCCGGCGTTGAAGAATGGTTTGGCATTCTTCGGCTTCGTCCTCGTCTTGAAGACTTTCTGGTGATTGAGAATGATGGTACAATAGGCGGATGGAAGATCATCGCCCTCTTCTTCCTCATCGCTAGCACCTTCGTTCTTCGATGCCTTGTTTTTGTTGATTGCTTCGAGCTCGAGGCCAGTAATTTGATGGATTTGGACGCTGAGAATGCCAGACGGGTACTTTTGAGGAGGTGGGGAGGCAATAATGAGTTCGTCCTGGCGGGCCTGTGGGGTGTAATTAGTGGTTTGATCAAACCGAGAGTGGGGGGTGCTAAAACATACCTTAAAGTCCTGCGCCTTCTGCTGCTCAATCTCTTCGCTCTCATCCTTGCTTGCTTCTCGCAACTTCTTCTCACTCTGCTCATACACCTTCTGCCTCAGCTGATCAATATTTTTCACATCGGGGTCTTCATCCTGTGCCGTAAGCTGTTCATCTGTAATCCTCGTCTTCGAGAAGTACCCAACGCTCCATTGAAGCTTGCCAGGCATGCCCTCGCCAGCCTTGAGAGACTTGAAGCCATCCTCCCGGTCTGATATCTTGCCATTCGTTTCCTTGTCTCTCATGATACCTTTGACATCCAATTCGATACGACCAAGGTCATCATCGGCTGTTGTGCGATCCGAATCCCACAATTGAACCCTGAGCCGCTCATCTACATTCAGCTCGTCGGGCGTAACCAGGATGTAACAGGTTTCCTCCCAAACAGGCTCCATATTGTTCTGTAACACGCGTGTAGACCAGAGAGGCTTACCAAACTTAGCCCAGCCAACACTCACGTATGGGTCCGCAGAGCCTTTCTTGACTGGGCCGAAGCCAGCATCACCTTCTTTGAAGTTAAATGCGCGCTTGATTGTAACAACCAAGACCCCGCGGGCACTAGTATCCTTCTTAAAGTCGTCACCGACAAGCATATCTTTGAGGTCAAGAGTGAGCGACTTCGGCGTAACGTATTCTGCCATGGCGGCATCGACCGAGGACTGCACGAAGCGGGAGATGAGAGGTAGATCCATAAGGTTAGGACCTTTCTTGAGAAGGGGGATGCATGAAAGATCGACTCTAGGCTGACCAAGGAAGGTGAGGGTACATAGGGAAAAAAAAGGCGGATCGGGGGTGAGCTGCAGACGAAGTCGCATGGTCCCAACGATACCATGAAGCTCGACCCAAACAGCTGTAGGTTGTTAACACATGTAGGATAGCACAGCGTGGTGGGTGGGCTTACGTAGTTTGACGTTTGCAGGCATATAGAATGCAAGATAAAGATGAGCATTCTTCGCCCGCTCCTTCATTCCTCGTCTTCCAGTGGAGGGCCGATACGCGAAAGCAATCTCAACATTGACAAAATCGCCTTCTTCCGCTTCCATGCCTTCGGCAACATTGTCCGCGTTCTCTTCAGTGCCACTGGCATCTCTGTCGTCATCTTTCGAGTCACTCTGGACCTCACCCTCGCCTGGGATTTTCCGGTCATTATTTTCCTGGTTGGAGGACTTAAGTTTGCCATCCTCGGATACAGATTTCGCAGCAGCGCCAGTAGGGAGCCAACGAACCCCGAGAATGCGGAGGGCCTCGCTCCCTTGACCAATATCTTCGACACTGATCATTCGGACCATTTTGGGCAAGCTAGCTTGCATGACATCCTATTCTAGTCAGTAGCACTCATGCTACAAAGTGGTGTACAGAGCCTACCTCGAGAGTATCAGACACGCTCGTGAACAAATCTGGATTTATCAACGGCCAAATGGATGCAAGCAGCGAATTGAGCCACTGCGCACTCTCGGCGGTCTGGCTCTTTGCCAGCTTCTTTCCCTGCTGCCACTCTGCGTGCCAAACCTCCGTTTCCCATACACCCCTGATCTTGTTCTCTGTCCATTGCCTCATCCCAAGTATGATAGCGGCAGAGACGCCGAGACTGACTCCGATTTCGAGAAGAGTAAAGAATGCCCTCGACCACCCAGTGGAAGTTCGAGTGATCTGGAATATTGCAACCACGACTGTCAAACTGGCACTCACGATGCCCAATCCCGCAGTCAGGGCCTTCCGGTATACACCAGTGATCTGCTCCCTCGTAATAGCAAAATCAGGGGGGGGAAAGAGGGTCTCCATGATGGTGTGTGCATCCTGGGCATCTTGGCCCTCTGCACTAAGTTGCTCCTCACTTTTCCTCATAGCAGTGCCACCAGTCGCAGACCTGAGTTCTGATCCTGCAGGCGGCCCGTTCTTGGGCGTCATCTTAAGATCCTTGCCTGTGAAATCGTGGATGGTGACAGGCAGATGGGTAACCGGATCAGTGACCTCGCGCTCTGTGCCGTCGGCGGAAAACTTCTTCATTGCCTTGCGGGCCTTCTTAGGATCCATCTCGTGCAGTATTCCCTCTGTCGTATCCTCTGCAGTATTTCCATCACACCCACTTTCCTTACCGTCACCTTCCTGGTGGTCCTTGCCAGTCCGACCGGCATGGTCGTCGGCGACATGCTCATCCTGTCCGAAATTCTTATTCTCCGCTTTGTATGGCTGTGTATTATCAGCGGGAGCTGCAGCCTCCTTCCCGTATCGGAGTGTGTTGTATGCATCCCCGAGGCGGTCTAGCTTGCTGTGATCGTCTTCTAGCTCGTCCGGCGCTCTGTAGTCTTCTTCGCGCTGCTGTTTCTCCTCACGGTATTTTTGGACGGTAGGAATCGGATGGTGCGATGTGTAGGGGGCTTTATTCTTCCTTTGCGAGTTCTCCACATCGTCAACACCAGACATATTGAAGAGTCCGGCTCGGAGGTTGTTTCGTCGAAGTCGAGGTCAATGGTTCCAAGGTTGTCCGCAAGGGAGCTACAAGAATTCGAAGGTTCTAAATTCTCCGCAACTAGTCAAGCGGTGCGCTCAATGCGTCATAAAACTCGGCATAAATTCAAACGAAGGGAAGGAGCAAAGTAATTGCTGTCAAAGTGGCGGTGGAAGAAAGGAAAGAGACCCAGCAAAATACTTGTGCACATTTCAATTGACGTATTTGCAGGCTTGTTGACAGGTTTTGCCATCTTACACACAGCCCCGGATGCGGTACCAAGACAACGCATGCTCCAGAGGGATGATCATCATGATACAGTTTCACCAACTGGACCTGTCTGAGAATGACGTCGAGCAGCCTGTTTTCGCGTGACGTGTGATGCTAGCAACGGGCCAATGGCGTCTCGTGCGGGCCATCTGATTCCCGAAAACCACTGACCACCATCTCCATAGTACGACCTTCCCAAGAACGCCAACTTCGCGAATTGAATATTATTCTTGCTCTTTCATTGTAGGAGAACCAACCTAGGAGAAAGAAATACTAAGAAGGACGAACCCTTTAGTCGCTGTTCCTCCCGCTGAAAAGACTACCCTTCTACCTCCCCATGCCAAGAATCATTGGAGTAACCTCCCGCCATCAATCTCAGCCAAAGTCCCTGTAGCATAATCTGCCCTAACAATATAGATATACGCCTCCGCAACGTGCTCCGGAACCGCCAGAAACTCAACTGGCAAACTCTCCCTGGACTTTAACAAATTGTCTTTCTTCTACTCCAACATTTCCTTCGTCTTCTCCTCCCGAAGCTTATCCCATGAGTCTGTCTTCACAGCCCCAGATACAGCCGTATTAACTCTGACCCTTTTCTCTGCCAGCTCCGTCGCAAGTCCTTTGGTCAAGCTCAACTCGCCTCCATTCGGCGCCCCTCCAACTAAAGCTCTGTTTTCTAGTTTGATGCCAGCCGTGCCCGATGTGAATGGAGTGATCCTCCGCGGCAGAAAATATCGTGCTCCAACCCAGCTCGACCTGTTCTATCCCATTCAACTCGGTGTCATTCTGCAACACTACATGGCCTAGCGTAGCATTTTTCATATTAGGTTGTAGATGCAACACTATAATCTTGAGAATCCTTCATGCTATTCTGGAAGGATCGCAGAGAAGTCTAGGTGAATCTCATAGTCAAACTTGTAAAGTCAAACTATATTTTAGACATGACCGCTACCTTACTGGGCGTTCCGCTCATCCTTCGCCGCCTTCAGTGCCAGATCCACCATCTCCTTCTTCTTGGTAACGAACACGCTATGGCAGGTGTCATAGTCCTCCTTCTTGATCACAACGCCGTCCTTTTCGGCGCGCTCAATCATGATATCCTGATACGGACGCGGCACTGAGCCGTCCTTAGAGGTGTGGACGTACGTGACGGGCAACTTTTTCCAGCAGTCGCCCTCAGAAAGAGCGCTGAAGGCTGAGAGCGGGGAGCGGACGAGGTGAGGTAGTGCGGCCTCGATGTCTGCGGGCTCGGCGTCGCCTAAGAACAGCGCAGCCGGGTTGACGGGAAAGCTGGAGCCGTCGTCGAAGTTGTTAACGAACTGGGGCCAAAGGTGAAAGAGGCCGGAGGCTTTGGAGATATCAATGATGCTAGTCCCTGGCTGAAGGATGTATGCGCATTGGTAGAGCAGGTGGATGACCCCGCCAGGCTGACCTATCGCTGCACGAGTGCTGCGAAGCAGGTTATCCGTCACGGCATCCGTCCCAACCATGCCGCCGTACGAGTGCATCACCATCAAGACACACTCGCCAGCCGTGACGCGCTCCTGAACGACGGCGCGCACAGCGACCACATCCTCTGAGAAGGACGCGGGAGGCGGTGAGGTATTGTTGCAGCTGGGCAGGTGTGGGCAATAAACGGAAAAGCCGGCCGCCGTGAGGGAGTCACTAAAATTTTGGTAGTTCGCTGGGGTGTGCCAGGCGCCGTGGATAAGGATGATCGTGGGGAGTGCGTCAGACATGGTTGTGGTGAGGTAAATAGGATAGCTAGCCCGTCTGCTCTGGTCGTCCGTTAATATGGAAGACCAAGCTGTGCCGCACTCGAAGCCGAGCAACTACGCATATTAAATATCATGGTGCGTGGAATTAACAAGGCTCAGGTGTTGTGCTGTGCCATAGCGGCGTAGACGTCGTACATGGTTTATAGTGTCTAAGACATGCAGGAATCTAATAACGTACACCACAGGCGAGTTACTCACACACCTAAGTTGCTTACTTTTACTAAGACTACACTAAACTACTCTTTCTACCCTAATGCATTTCTAACAACACTACTTAGATGTGTTAAAGAAATGTTAGATATAGCTTATACTTTAGGCTTTTAAATAAGACATAACATATACTATAGGTAAGTTACTTACACATCTAAGTTACTTACTTTTACTAACACTACACTAAACTACTTTTTTTTACACTAATACATTTTTAATAACACTATTTAAATATGTTAAAAAAATATTAAATATAGTATATACTTTAAGCTTATAACGTACCTAACAAGTTAGCCGGCTACACAGATTAGCTAGCTACTTTTGCTAAGCCTCTACTAAACTCTACCTATCTACATAATACTTTAACAATAACACTAGATTAAATCTTCTAAAGAATGTTAGATATAGCTTACTCTTTAGGCTTTTAAATAAGACTTAAAACTCTTTTTATAACACACTATAGCTATCTATAATGTCTCTTATATAACACTAAGTAATTAACGCGCTAGACAGCCTTTATAAGCAAAATGCTAGCCTAAATTAAGAAATTTAACTAAGCTTAAAAAAAAAGTAGTTATTAAGTATATACTTAAGCTTATAACATATAAATTTCCTTTTAAGCTTATAGCTATAGCTAATATAGCTAATTCCTTACCTATAAAGTGTAATCTAGGCTAGGTTAGCTTAAACTAGACTAGTATATAAGTTAAGCACTACTTTAAGTTTATAATAAAGTTTAATTATAAGTATAATTATAAAAAAGTATTTTATAAAAATCTAAAAGTTATCTAGGGCTAGTTTTACCTAGTAGCTAATATAAAAGCTAAGTATAGTATCTAGAATAAAAATAAGTATAACTTTAATAAGTTAAGCTTTATAATAAGCTAGATATTAACTAAAGTAGTTATTATAGCTTTAAAAAAATAAAAATAGCTAAAAGTAATATAGTAAAGTAATAAAAAGTAAATAATAGTTATCTAAGGCATTAATATAATAAAGTAGGCTATAAAATTATAAAGCTTTAAGTAGTAAATAAAGCTGCTACATAACATAGATTACATAAAAAAAAGTAGATTTAAATAAAAAAAACTTTAATAGTTAAGAATAAAGCTTATCTAACTACTCTAAAAGAGTTTAAAGCGCGTAGTAATAAGAAAAAGCTAAAGACATAAGTGCGCACTAAAAAAAGTAAGCTAAGTTAAAAGTAATGTAAGTAGTGTAATTAAACTAGGCATAACTTATGTATATGTAAGTAAGTAGTAAAAGTAGACTCTAAATAATATCTTATATTATATTACTTTATATAGGGCTAAAGTAGGCTGTTTTGCAAGAGAATAGGGTAGTTTTAGTAGAGGCTTAGCAAAAGTGGCTGGCTAACCTGTGTGGCCGGCCAACCTGTTAGGTACGTTAAATAAAATATAATACTTTTTAAGTAATATACTATAGCTATATATAAAGTCTTCTAAAAAATAATAAATAGTTAACTAACATATTAAATAATTCTTATAAGCTAATTTTATAGCTAACTTATAAAAGCTAAAGAATAATAAAATGTAAGTAATTATTAAGTATATACTTAAGCTAAATAGGTAAGAATTTTCTTTTTAAGCTTATGCTGTAATGCTGCTAGGGTTTAAAGGATTCCCAGCAGCCTGAATCATATTGAATAAAATAACAGGCGGGTAAAATTGTGGGCTAAGGCTGTTCGAGAAAGAGAATAGGTAGATAGACATGGTAGATCAACGTGAAAGCGTTAAATAGGAATAGATGGAGTATGCAGTTCACCCCCACACCCAAAATTCAAATCGCTGTTTATGGTAGCTTGCAACCAACAACCCGCAAGAAGCTCACGTCAAACTCACAGCAAGCTCACCCAACCCCGTCTTTGAAGGCTCTAATCCGAGCCTTTTGATCTTACAAATCACGCTCACACCGCACCACCTCACGCATTATTCATTCCCCTAGGCCCCGAGTTCTCTAGTACCATGATGGGTGACACCCTCCACCACCTCGTAACGTACGGCATTCGGAATAACCCTAAATCACTTATTCCGAACCCCATCCCAACGTCCGCGCTCACAAATAGTTCGGCATAACGTCTACGCAAGCATCTACATTCCTGCATCTTCTACACAGCAGTAACACCGAAAGCCGAGACACGACTCCAGCGGCCGCCTCATCCCGAAGTAGAATCACTGGTGTAGCACTAGGTGCTCTGGGCGGTACGCCCCTTGTCGTACACGCCTTACAAATCATTGTCGTATTTCGCATACTCGAACATTTCCACGCTTGCACGTGCGAAGTAGTCGCGCTAACGAGCATGTTTCTCACACCGATTGGAATGCTGCCTAATTCGTCATCAGATTCGGACGTTTGGGTTAGCCCCGTTGGACCAAGTAAGGAAAGATATCCGAGCGAAACGGAAATGATCCAGTGAACGACTTTGGGGGCTAGTTAGGGCTATGCTTGGGGGGTTGGTTGAGGAGTCATTGGCGACAGATGAGTCCAATCATTCCGGATGATGGAATGGATGAAATGTCGTCCGGTGAACGGTGAGAAATGGGGAATAGTGCGATGAGGTAGGTATTGGATCTTGGAGGTATATAAGAGGGGAAGGAGGGCTGAGGCGTTCATCATTTAAGACATTATTCCAGACTATCAGGTTCAAGCCCATCGATTCAGATATCCTCATCTGTATATTTTCGCTCGTCCATCTTGATATCCCATTTCTTACCATCCGTCTAAAATCTATTCACCCTCCCCAACCAAATACCATCCATCCTACCAGACCCAAGATGGCTTCTACTTCAAACAGCTCCACCACGAACAGCTCCTCCTTGCCCTCGTCTACTTCTACACCTCGTCCCTCAACTACCGAGACACTACCAGCATACACGTCCACACAAAACTTCTACGGCGCATTCAACAACTCCAATAAATCCCTCGTTCAAGTCTTTACTCGAAGGAATTGTGACCTGTCCCCCTATCCTAACACATATTTTCTCTACTAACAATCCCTCAGCTTCAGAGAGCTCGTCAAGCGAGAAGACGGCAGCGAAGAAGGCTGCTGTGGCCGCATCAAATGCGGGGAAGGAACCGTATTATAGCGCGGCCGCGTACTATTTATCGATGAGGTAACTTTAGCGAGGGTGTTCAGGAGTCCGAGAGATGGATATGCGGGATACTAGCGAGAGAAATAAAGTGAGCCACCGCGACCGCGATACTTGGTGATGATGGGTGATAGTGTAGACTGGTTGGGGATTATACCCAGATTGTATGGAAACCTGCAGGCGGCTTCACAGATTGGCTGGTTCGTACAACCACACTGGTCTCCCTCGGCCGTGGAAGGATTGATTGAGGAGGAGGGATGCTTTTGGTATTATCATATCCGAAGTTCATTAGGAGTGCTATACGACAAGGCGATAACAATCGCCTCTATTCTGTCTGCTGAGAAAATGTTTCGATAACTCTATTACGTCGTAGTCCACGCTCAGTCTCGTGATGTAGTGAGACTAGAAAAGATACTGCCCCCATGTTAGTGACCGACAAATGAGACTACTAAACGCTCTGATTTTTGTAGAAACTAAGAAACACACCGTATTATTCCAGTTTGCATTATCCAGCCAATTCAAAAAGTCCTCGCTCTCGGTCGGAATTGGCTCAATTCCATCAATCATCGGCATATCGAAGAAGCCGCCTCCAACTGTGCCCAACGCAGTCCCATCTCCATTTCCTTGGCTCTCATTATTCGTAGGAGGTTGATAATTTAGGACTTCATCCAAGACCATAGCGTGCATTTTATTGAGTTCGGAACACAGTTTGTGGTTACCGTCACCTGGTAAAATGACCCATTCCAGGCATGATATCAACACCGAGAGGTTCCTTATTAAGTCTGCGCGGCTGATACAGCTTGGAAGGGGCACATTCTCCAACGTGCATCTTCGTAATTCGAGGGCCAATACTCCAGCGCTTGGTAGGCAATACATGAGGATGATTGAGGGGAAATGCCGCCTAGTGTGATATGACTGATTCCGTTGCTTATTGAAGACCAACACTGTAGACAGTAGTTTCATGGAGATCTCAAGTAGTGCTGGGATAGCCATTTCGGTTTGTCGACGGAGAATCCGCTGCATTTGAAAGTCGGTGTGGAGGTGATCGAGATACACGGATATCATACGTAGTGCCTTTTCTGAACTAAGAGTCGACCAGACAACATCTTCACCGTAGAGGTCATACCGAAGTTGGGCGGGAACGACCTCCCAAGCTTGACGGCATTCGGTTGATATCGATCTGTGAAGGAGTGTGAGCATAATTTTATGTCTTTTTGAAACGATCTAAGAGACTTACTGTAGCTTTTGTGCCACATCGCCGTCTGTCCTCCCGGAAAGTGAAAGCTCTAGCACCCGCTCTCTGAACATAGATAGTTGAAAGCGCAAACGTATCCACGATGAAGCCCATATCTTGCCTTCAGTGTTCCATCCATCGCTATCTAAGCGGGAGAGAGCGTTGTTGAGTAATTCAGTATCATCAGTAGCAATGATGTCGTCATCGAGATCAAGGGGCAGTTTCCGATCGCTGTAACGCCATGCCATCATGGGCGGACGTCCGAAAAACGTTGCCAACGTCTTGTCACTCTTATAAGTTGCGGCGTACATTCTTCTCCGAGACTCACGGAGGAAGAACGGGATCTCATAGTTTTCTTCACAGTGGATACCTTGAGCATAGAGGCTCGATACACAATCTGCTATCCGGCGCCAAACCCCGTGATCTGCCAATGTCAGTATATTTTTACTAAAGCTTGAAGGTAAAACTAACAGTTATCACCATAGAAATTGCTTGTCACAAGCATGTTCTGATACATTAGCCAAACCATGATGTCATTTACAGCCCCATGTACTTGGCAAAGATTTATACAATCGTTGCTTGCCTGGATCATGTCCTCTATAAATTCGTCTTTGTTGATCTTTCTCCCGCTCTCTAGGGTGAAGACTGGATGGTCGGGTGATGTAAACTGTGCATTTGATCCAGCTACTATAAATATTAAGCCCAACGTCTCCCACCGGAGGTTTTGGCCTGTGTACAGAGTATGGAATTCTGAAGGGGACATTGAGGCCGGTACTTTAAATGGGCGAGCAGTGTTCCTTGTGATCTCGGCATATGCGGCAAACGAATCATTTCTAGTTACGGACAACTGCTCGAGATCTTTTCGAAGCTGTGGAAGAGCTGACACGATGAGGGGACCGACAAGAGCGGGCCCATTATTAATGAAGTACATCCTGATAGACCTCTCGAACAGGGAGAAAGGAGAGAGTTTTGGTATGATCGATTGGGCTACTCCCATCTGGCAGTAGCGGCTTCCAGGTATCCCATTGGTCAACGCAGAGGGCGTGGCGCTTAACCTTTCAGACGGCTGTTCATGTACAGACTCTGGAATAGGATGCTCCTCGGCGAATACCGAGGCATAGCTCGTGGATCCTAAATAGAAACTCCTGGTGGACTCCGGAGGATTAGGTATCGTTCTAGTCACAGATTCAGAAGGGGTCGGCCACATGCTTGCGGGATGTGAGGACGCAGCTGTGCTAACCTCATCCATCTGAAGGGTCGTCGTTGGGCTCCTGTGTAGGGGCGTCAATACCCCGTGATCACGCGTTTCAAGCGTTTCGGAGCACTTTGGTTTCACTGTGCGGCGACGTGGTGTGCCAGGAGGTTTAGTCATTGGGGCGGGATGGTAGAAACACTATTGACAGGAACATTAACACGACACGTGATGCCGTGATTCAGGTTGGCTTTGCTAACTCGGTCTGCTATGCCTCGAGCCTGGCATTTCTGGCATGTCGGTGTCGTGTGATCACACCGAATCTTGGATATCCTGCACGGTTCGCAAGATCTAGATGCTCGTCAGTATTGACTCCTTCACGATTCGGATTTCCACAAACCTGGGCTTCCCGTTTCGGCGGAGCATCTTGTGCACGCATCAGCGGCGACTGGTGGTGTTAGAGCAATGAAACAGCCGGTAATGCAGAAATGAGATGCTTGATATGACCGGAGTATGAGTGGACTGTAGTCATCCATAATTGCGTTAGTGACTCCGAGAGCGGAGGATGAGAGAGGTATCTTGAACTCCGCAGAGCGATCAACAACATGGTGCTAGCGTGGAAGGTGCGATCCCGAGCCGTGATTCGCCCATAACGACCGTTCCTTCCTAAAGTCGCTAAGACCCGGAGTTTTCGGAGTTCAAGCGTCCCCTTTGGGGTTAGTCTGAAGACATCTTCCTTCCATCGTTCTCCAGCGCTGTCGCGCTCGAGTCTCGAAAGCCTTTTGGTCCCCAGACTGCCTTAGATTTCGAAGCATGATACTCACGATTTTGTTAATGGGTCGCCTTGAAAGCAAAGGCGAGGCGTAGGCATGGCGCCCAGCGAGGCAGAATCTGCAGTTGCGGTCAGAAAACACAGCTTCCTGGAAGCTTGCAACAGCCATCCTCAGCAACGCCGTATTCCTTACAACCCCAGCACACCAAACAAGCAGCTTCGGAAACAATCTGATACTCAGCGTCACCGCCACGAATTATGGCTGAAACCGGTATTTCGACGCTCGCCCGGCTCCCACGAGGCCCAAATCGAGCCCAGCTCTTGCTTTCGAGGTGTGTGCTGGCATCTCACCGATCTACTGTATCCTATCTGTCCTGCGTCCCTCTGTATGCGCGCTGCCGGGTGCTTCTCATCTTGGAGGAGAAACCTTTTTCATCGGCGCCTTCCGATCAAACGATTGGCTTGAGCGCCCTTGATGTATGACATCTCTTAAGGGTCGCAGCAATGCGTTGTACATGCCTTTCTAAACCGGTCAATGCAGCAGAGCCGCAGCAGATGACAATTCCCGCAAGTCCATCATCTCTTCTGCAGTCGTGCGTCGTGTGATTCGTTTTTGGGATTAGCGAGTGTGGCGGAGTGCATTCCTCAACATCGCGCCTGAGGCATCAAGTATCTTCTGAACATTAATCGGAAGACCTCACTTCGCGAGGAAAGACACGAGACGAAAAGGATATCACGGCAAGCTGCTCTTCTCACTCTGCGACGGGGCTCCCGCTCTTAAAAGTCTGGCGACTGCGGCGAACAAGCGCGCTGTGTTTGCTGCAACCCCAATGCTGTGCTGAGGTCTGCTGCAAGCTGCCCAATAGTTGCATTTCTGGGGTCGTCCTTCACCGGTTCTCGCGGGGTCGGACAGTGAATTGCGCGCGCAACAGCTGTGGAACGAGCAGTATCTGCGCCGGCTTGAGCCCACACTCTCAGCCGCTTTGCTGTGTCGTGTTCTTCTTCTCGCCCTCCCTCAACTTGAGTTGTTCGTCCTTCAACTCTCTGGCCGGACCAGCTGTCGCAGTTGTTGCCCAGCTATCGCGCGCTCCTTTGTGGCTCTTCCTGGACTAACACGGTCTCTCCTTTGCCCTTGTCCTCAGGCCACCAAATCCTAGACCGAGCGCTGGCGTTTCCCTATCGTAAGGCATCTCGCAACGCAATTGATGCGCAGCCTTTGAGATTCTTTTGATCTCACAGGCCGCCCTTTCACCCCGATCTCCCACATCATGACCACCTACTGCTACTACCCGTACCAGGAGCAGCCTCAGGTAGTATGGCAACCGAATACGTTTGGGTATCTTCATTATGACCGCCAACGGTCGAAAACGCCTACATCCTTGATCAACCATACTGGCCTTTCGCCAGGCCCCCTCAGCACGCCGCCTCAGAGTCGCAACCCCTCACAACCTCCAGAACAAGCACCGGATCAGATGATTTGGGATGATGCCAGCGGCAGCCCCTCGAACTCTCCGACGTCTGTTAACACTCCTGACCTCGACTCTTTTGAAGTCGAAATGCTGGATGCCACGGATTCGATGCGCAATCTCTGTCATGCCTCAAACGAGATGGGGACGACTCAGGTGTCACCAGTTGGAGTGGAGGCTCCGGATATGATGTTCTTAAGTGATCAAGGTTAGATCTATCCAGCGTCCCTCCGTTAATTGCTAACATGTCCCAGCATTGCAAGACGCTTACAATGCCACAATTGTGGCAATACAGCAGCAGCAGCAGCAGCAGTTCACTCTGCAATTTAATACACAAAACCGACCTTCACAAGAGGTTCCATTAGCGCCTCCATCCCCATTCAACCATCTCTACAGTCAAGGATATACGAATCAACCACCACGACAGGATCCATGGACCAGTCAAAGGCCATCTCAGAATTCGAATGTTCCTCAATCTGATGCTGTCGTCTTCGACCTTGAGACAGATCCGGTCGACTATGGTGCCTTTATTAACCCAGATGTCGGCCAATGGACCATGAATGTTCCTGACTATCTCATCTCGCCGACGGAGTCTGCGGTGCCTCCTCTTGATGGCCCAAATCGCTTCCAAGGTCAAAGCCAAATCCAAAGCCCAGTGGAAATGAGTGTCTCGACATCATCATCAGGTGCAGATTCTCAAAGTTTTATCAATTACAATTCGTCTTCTCCTCTCTTCACCGAGAGTTACATCACAGAGCCGCCTCATTTCCCTCTATCCCCAGGAAATTCCACAATTACACAACCTCCACGCTCTCCATGTCAAGCACCCGTCAGCCCATTCCTCTCTATGCCAAGTCCCGGTGGTTCAGAAGGCATGTTTTCTTCACAATATTCAGATCCTAGAATAATGCTCGACCCCTACCCCGTTGAGCAGTTCGATGCTAAACCAGCACCTCCTCCATCACCTGTCCAAACAGATCCCTCTCCCATAAGGACAATTCCAGAGATAACCTATGACTCCCCTGACACAGAGACTCCTCTGCCGCAACCAGCGGGCAAGGGTCAGGCAGGTCGGCCAGGTGGAAGAGCGCTCGGAACGCACTTGGAGCCAAAGGTTGCGAAAGCAGCCCATGACATGCGAAAAATCGTTGCCTGCTGGCACTGCGTATTACAACGAGATAAAGTAAGATTCTGGATAATACTCTACCTTTGAATATTTGGATTAACAATTGCCAGTGCGGCCCCGGTGACACTTGTGAACGATGCCTCAAGCGCTCTCAGCGACCTAATTCCGATTGCGGGCTAGGCTGTTCTCGAGTCAAACTCGTGGAGTTGGTGCAATGTTTCCTCCCCTCTCTTTACACACAGATGCATGAAGACGCCCAACTCACGCACTTCGTCTCCCAGCATATTCGCCAGTGGGGAAATGCGGAGATCACGATTTACATGACGTGTGGCCAAAACGCAATGCCAAGAATACCAGTGAAGGTGTATGAGTTTTTACCCAAGACACAAGAGTTACTTCGCCAGTTCCAGTACTTTACTGACCCGGTCACGCATAAGATGGTTAGGGTGGAGAAATCCAGCCCCGCTGTTGGTATGGTTCACATCAATCACAACGAGGAGAAGAAATATGACAAGTATATTAACGACATTATTGACCACCATCTCGGTGCTTTCGGTGAGCTGTGCTGGATGGAAGACGACAACGACTTCCAGCATAAACTTTTCATGCTCATGATGAAAGTCAAGCCGAGGAGTGACGAAGAAGTAAGTCATCAAGATGCTCCTATTCCCTTCCTCTTTCTTCTTGAACACCTCTCACATAATTCCCTAGGTTAAGCTCCTCCGCGAAGTCTTCCGCCTTATAATTGCAACTTTCATAATGTCGCACACTCTCTCTATCGCCGAAGAAACCAAACACGCATCCCTCTCCAAACTGCATTCCTACCCTGGCCCCTCTGCCTACGTCGAAAACTTCACTTCCCCACGCATGACCAACCGCCAACTCAAGTACTTCTTCGCACGTCTCCAAAAACACATCCTAACAACCGTCCTCAACAAACTCCAACAAATGTTCAAATCCTCACGAGGTTGTGATAAATGGATGGCCGCGTTCATCGCCGTGATCGGGATGTGCATGGCGCACGAGGACCAACAGAAAACGCTTCACTTGGTCATGGAGACTAAGAGCGCAAGCGAGGGCGCTAATTGGATGGATTCTCAAGCGAGGGCGGATTTTGCATGTCGGGAGATTGATGCCAGGATGGGTTTCATCGCGCAGATATTCCGGTGGAAGTTTAACCGAAAGTGCAATCCGCTCCGCAATGCTGAGCATGATTGGGATCGTGAGGTGGGATTTGGAGATGCTAATTCAGTTGAGTTTGTAAGGGGCGTTGCGCAATTGGTAAAAGAAAACAGTACGTCTCCATTTCCGTTCTCGAAACCCTCCTTCACCTTTGATTGACTATTCGAGAATGTACTGCTAAGTATTTGAACTAGTTGATTTTCTGCAGATGCGCCAGGCTGTCAGTATATCGCATTCCAACCAGACAAAGTACACGTCGCGGTTGGTAGCGCAGTTCTTGCTTTCTTTCTGGCTTCCTTCATGACATGGACCTTCCCATTAGCCCCGCTCCGCCCGACCTCGCTCACATCGCTATTATTTCGTTTCATTATAATGCTATCCTTGAGGCCATCCCTTACGCAAATAGGTGGGCTCGGACTACGCACACTTGGTTTCCTTCACTTTCCTTTCCTATTTGTTTGCCCTCTCCTACTTCAGAGATATATATCTATTTATATATACTCTCGACCTACGATGGTGCAGTTATACGTACGATACATGTATGGACAGGACAGAACAAGAGGAGGAAATATAGGCGTTGGGTAATTGTTGAAGGTTGATATCTCTAGGCATGTATTGGATTCACAAGTTGGATCGCGCGTACGTTGGAAGTAAAATCTCACGTCGACACGACACGACATGAGCTTATGAATCAAGATGGCACTCCCTTTCCCTTGGGTCCTCAAAAGAATGCAAGTATGCAGGCAGCATGTTAGGCGGTTTCTTGAATATAGCTATATTCCCTTTCCGCTTTCCTCTTCCCTTTAATCAACGCTATACTTCGCACAATGAGCATCCTTATACACTCCCTCTTTTCCTCTAGCCTTCTCCACGATTGCGTTGAGTTAATGGTAAAAAGATACTATCATATCTTCTTTATCTTCTTTCTAGAGCTGGCTAGATAGCATACTATAATAAAAATCCCGATTTCGATGCAAGCCTCACACCATTACCATTATAAACCAACCGATCACTGAGTTACTTCCTATCGAATTCGCGTTATTCGTCATTCTTAAATCCCAAAGAATTCTCATCTAGTCTGAGTTAGTGATGAACGTGCTTGACTTTCGTTGGGTTGTGGGGGAGGCGGGCGGAATTTGAGGCGAAGATACACGACTCTTAGTATGGGAGGGAGGGGACGGAGCGGAACCCGGCGAGTTTTATGGAGTGTACATATTCGGCCAAGGGAAATGGACAGATTTACAGATGGTAGTATAGAATAATTTGCAGAATGCACCTGAAATAGGATGTGAGAGCGAATACCTAGGTATTTGTCCAAAGTGCCCCTGTCTTTAACTCCAAGTCAAGAAATGCATGACAGACATGTTGCTACATCAGCCACGTCGGCAAACAGACCTATTTTGTGTCTATAGTACTACTACACTCCATTCTTCAAAACACTTCCTCTTTAGATTTTCAGAGTCTATATACCTATCAGATATGACTTTTCCCACATGCGACGAGCCGAGGATGCTTGTTGCATCGTATTGGGTCGTATCCCAAAGCACCCGATCTCTTTGGCCTTGTCACGGATGAGAGAAGTGAGAGGTATTACACGTGGCGATGCTGACTTGGCCTGGGGTGTCGTCTGAAGCACCTGTGGGTATATTCGCGTCCATCTGCATGGTTGCTATTATAGACCGCTCAGACCCGACTTCCTCTCCATGGCTCTATACTAGAAGACCCATCGTGCCTCGACCTAGTGCGTATATCCTTGCCCATCCCATTCCCCCCAATCCGATCTAATTTCAAGTATTTGAACCTATATCCGAAGGCACTATCTCAACCCCGCTCCTCCTCCGCCTCTTCCACAACATCAAACCCCACCCGCACCCAAAGACTACATCCCTCACAACCGACGAGGATCTCCTTCTCGCCTTGCGATAGTGCATCTTCGAGCTCGATCTCTGAAAAGCGAAATCCGGGCTCTGCACCACAGCGGCAAGAGCGCGTATACTGTGTAGTTGCAAGGGTTTCGGTTTCAGAAGTATTCGACGGGTTTAGGGCTGAGATTCCAGATTCGGATGTAGATGGAGTGGAGGTCTGCGTAGACGTTGATGTTGAAGCCACAGCATCCCCCTCCCCAGCCTCAAAATCCGCCAAATCTAAAACCTCCAATCCCAACACAAAATCCTCCCTCGTCTCACACCCACCTGCCATTCCCGCAATCACGCCCACACTCGTTCGCCCAAACACCTCCTCCAACCCCTTCTCCCCATCCCCATACCTCCTCACACCATCTTCATACCTCTCCGCTAACCACTTATCATACCTCTCTTTCTCTCGCCCATCTCCTAGAACAGCATACGCTTCTTTCACATCATCGACCGTGCATATATCTACTTCTCTACCTCCCCTGTCTCCATTCTGGCGCTGCCGCTGTTGTTTCTTCAAGCGACTATTGTCTGGATGTGCGAGGAAAAGCGCGCGTTTATACGCGACGCGGATTTGGACGGATGACGGGGTGGTGGTAGAGGAGCGCCACGTTGGCGACGGGAGGGAGAGGACATGATAGTAGTTTTTTGTGTAGGTGATGGCGGTGGAGGCCGACATGTTGATGCCAAGCTAAGCGGGATAGATTGTAGAGGCGTATTTGTGGGGAGGGGTGCATGAGAGGTGGACTGTGTGGAAGCGAAGCTCCAGATTATATCGATCTCGGGCTTTGAAGAATAATGCAGGCTTAGCCGTCTTCAATATCAACTCCTTCTCCCTCACTCCTAACCCCAAGAATTCACCTCGGTGTACTCCGATATTGCAGAGGGCCGCTGTTCTCCACGCTCACTCAAGCTCCCAAGCTCGTCTTTCACGTCAATGCATGTGTCTGAAAGGTAGAATAACGGAATGCATCATACTGAACAAGCTATCAACGGCTCACCAAATGCAAAAAATGCTACCTCACACAGCTCGAACCTGAATGTGTGTGGTCAAAGCGTGGGGTCGGCTGGTTGGTCAGATTTCGCTTCTGTGGCAGGCGGGGCATTTCCACTCGTGGAAGACCCGGCCATGACCACGACATGTGAAATTGTCTCACCCTAAAAGAGACTACAGCAGTATAGGTAATGTTAGTTTATCAAACCAAGCACCTCACACATTAAATATCACGCACACTTCTCACACAAATCCCTGAAATGGAAAAAGGTTTCTCAAGCCTATTCTAAGTATTCGTTGCAGAGACACATCCCTTTTCTCGCACTGCAGGCATCTCCTAGCCTGGAGCATCAATAACCGGCCGCTCCATATGGCAAAGATAGCCCGCAACCAATGCCCTGCTTGCTCCAAAACAAAGAATATAGCCATGAAGAAAAACCCACACATCCATCATTCCATGTCCGCCAGAAAAGGGGGGTTGTTGTGATTCGTTGATATGGTAAGAAAAGGAAAACATTTGGAAAATCGGGATGGGGGGATCGCATTGGGATAGAGGAGGAAACAGCCACATAAACGCCCAACACTCTTACACAAGACAGCCCGTACTCGGTCCTGAGAGAGAGATGGCGGACGTGCCAGTGATATCGAGCGGAACACACGTCTACAACGGGGTAGGTGCTGGGGGGAGATGTGGAGGTGATGAGGGGAATTGGAAAATCAAACATCAGTCGTGGGAATAGACCGAACCGCTCGCTGCAAACTACCAATTTTCGAAAGAGACACACAACTCCATGGGACGTTTACTGCCAGGACAGCCTCCCGGCTTCTATTCGTGAATAGATGTCGATGGCTGTGACCGAAACACATGGTCGAGAGACGAGAGATATGTCTAGGCAGCAGCGGGAGCCGGCGGTTGCTCCTCGGTTGGCTCGGCGGGCTTCTCTTCTACCGGCTTCTGTTCCTCCTTGGGGGCAGCGGCCTCGGGCGCAGGCTCGGCCTCAGCACCATCCGATGACGTCCAGAGGGTCAGGTTGTCGCGGAGCAACTGCATGATGAGGGTGCTGTCCCGGTACGACTCCTCGGACAGAGAGTCAAGCTCGGCGATGGCGTCGTCAAACGCCTGCTTGGCGAGGTGGCACGCACGATCGGGCGAGTTGAGGATCTCGTAGTAGAAGACGGAGAAGTTCAGCGCAAGACCAAGGCGGATCGGGTGGGTGGGAGTGAGCTCGGTCTGAGCGACATCGGTGGCAGTCTGGCAGGCGAGTTAGTTGATATTGCTTGTGGAGGGAGGACGCTGTAAGCGATTGCGTCATACCTTGTACGCCTCATGTGCGGCAGTCGCAGCAATCTTGCGCTTCTCGCCAGACGCGAACTCGGCGAGATAGCGGTGGTAGTCGCCCTTCCTGTGGTGCGCACTCAGGTTAGCTCCTCGCTGGGCCGACCGCGCAAGGCTGAGACGCCGGGGCACACATACATCTTGTGGTAGAAGACCTTGGACTCGCCCGATTCGGCCTTAGGGATGAGCGACTCATCGAGGACGTTGAGCACGTCCTGGCAGACCTTCTCGAGTTCTGTCTCGATCTTCTGGCGGTATTCGCGGATGGTGCCCACGTGCTTCTCAGAGCCCTTGGACTCCTCCTTCTGCTCGATCGACGAGATGATACGCCATGAAGCGCGTCGCGTGCCTACGACGTTCTTGTAGGCGACCGACAGAAGATTGCGCTCGTCGACAGTCAATTCACCACCAATCTGTGCACTTGTTATTCTGGGATGCCCCACCAGGGCCTAGTCCGCACCGCCGCCGGTTGGCGTGACCAGACGGATTGGGGTATGACGAACCTTGGCAACTTCCTGGACGATTGTGAGCTCATAAGCCGGAAATTACTGCGCACGGCGGGGGTTAGACTAACCTTCATGTACGTAACCATCTCTGCGAGGACACTCAGTTAGCATGCGCGCGGCAGGCAGGTGGGACGGACCGCGGGCACTCACCATCGTAACGCTCAGCCTGTTCGCAAAGCCGGGCCAGGAAAGTCTTGCTGTGAGAGTGTCAATGGAGCTACCGTCTTGCAGAGCAGCCCGGGGAAGCCGTACCTCTCGCGCTAGAAGTCGCAGTGTAGTTAGCCATCTGTTAACGTTTATCGGGCCACAGTGCAGCGCCAGAGGGGCATTCCGCCGGCCAGCAGAGGGCGGGGATGCGGCGCGGATAAAGAGAGACGTACCTCGTTCGCCATGCTGACTGAGTGGGTGGGTGATTGTGATTGTTTGGAGTCTGTAGTGGAGTGCGTGGGGAAGAGAGGCTGGTGGATTGTGGGTGTTGTGGTGTTGAGGTGGGAGAGTCGGCGGTGGAAGATGCAGTGTTTTGGGTGCCTGCGCTTTTTGACGAGCGAGCCTTTCACCTGCGCAGAGGGACCCGCGATTGATCCGCCCCGACGCCAGCACACCACACCACAGCTTCACTGTGACTCTCCTACGCCGCTGCAGCTGTCTTCGCAGCCGCTACACCAGGCAGGGCAGCCAATTTTCATTCACTTTCACGCACAGCAGCGCCCTGCGAGGCTGGGCTTGGCAATAGAGGGGACCACTGGCTGAATAAAGCCCTGCACGTGAGCAGAGGTCCTCTCTTTCGCAACAGGTTCGTCTCTCGTGCAGCTCGCTCAGTTCTTTGCTTCATTCGCTGTCTTCTTTTCCTGCTCCGTCACCTTCCATAGCAGTCTGTCACACCAGTCACGCCCCCCCAGAGCGAGGCCGCCAGCAAAAGATGGCTGCTGAACCATGTCGACAATGGGGCCATGATGGCCAATCAGGACACGCTGGAAAGAGCTAGAAAACCTGGAACATGTCCACCAGATTTCGCCCTCTTCATGCTCTTGATTCGTGCCACTTCCGCAAGAACAAGTCCTTTGTTTAATCGTGTTTCAGGCCGGTAGCAAGCCCCAAACATCACGAGCCATTGTCTCAGACCATCCTGCTGCAGAACTCTGTTCTCATGCTGCCAGCTGCAGTCCGCTAAGCAATGCTGACGGCGATTGCATCATTGGAGCGCCGTATCCCTCAATATCAAAGTGCCTGTGCTATTTGCCTAAGTGTTAAGGCTGCTGACGTATCGGCTAGTAGCCCACTATTCTTCGATACTTAACCACGGGCGCAATGTGCATGCTGTCAAATCTGGCTTATCGTGCACGCGACGCACTGCATGATAGACTTCTGCGTTAGACGGCTGTTGAGCTTCCACTTCATGGCTGTGCGGATGCTGTGGCACCGGCACATTATGCGCGGCGCGGATGGAGCAGGGATGCAGTCATAGGTCTCTCCATCGGTGGTATCCTACATTTGGAGCGATCCAGTTTTGCCCGTCTACGTGGCCCAGATGTATGTCCATCAAAGTCTATACCATGTGTTCTAGAAAAGATTGGTAGCGCGATATGCTTCACATCAGCAAACGCCAAACACCCAACATAAGAGCCGCAGTTCCCGTGCAAACGCCCCTGGAAAGAATTTAGCAACGCCTGTTTGCAGCAACACAAGCCGTCGGAGGTGGGGGCGTACATCAGCCACTGGAGTGTTGAGAACTTGACTGCCTCAAGCCTCTCCCGCAGTTGCGCCGTCTCCTGCTCGATGCGTGTCTCTGTCTCCTTGATCTTCAGCTCCTGCACATTGGCCTCCTCTCGTATGCGACCCTTCTCAAGATTGAGGTCCAATCGAACCGACGCCTGTGTCCGCTGTATCTCGTCCCGTAGCCGCGAGTTCAACTTGGCCAGCTCGTTTGTCAATCGCTCATGGGATGCACGGGTAAGGGAGGACTCCGTCGAGTCCGCAGTCATGAGTTCGGAGCGCAACTTCGCAAAGTCGACTTTCTGGGTGTATGCCGCCTTTTCCTGGTCTTCACGGAGAACCATGGTTCGGGTAAGGTTCTGTATGCTGGATGCTGGTCAGGCGGGAAGGACGGTGGATCCGAGGGACAAGCAACAAACCTCTCCTCAATTACGTCGCTGAGAACTCTCATCACAGCCTCCCCTTGTTCTTCTGTAAATCCCTCATCTTTCAATCGCTGCACACACTTGAGCGTATCGAAATGGTGGTCTCGCGCCGGAGCAGCGGTAGCAGTGAAGCTCCGTCGAAATTCGAAAACCGGCAGGCCTAGCGAAGATAGAATTTGCAATCGTGGACACCTATGCAATATAATAAACGGAACGGTTTTCGTGGTAAAGGTAGATTGCGCGCGCGTGAATTGTTGAGTTGCCGGAGGCGGGGCTCGACGCCGATTAGCCTCCAAGAGGCTTCTAACACCGGTTGGGTGGAGGACCCGCCGACTCCAGGTGAGTCTTGGAAGAAGGAATCGTGGAATCGCAGGAGTCTGCATTGCAGGAGTCGCCATTGTGCCGTGGTAGAGGCCGAGTTCGCTCGTTGAGCGCGGGACGGAATAAAGATATCCTTGTTATGTAAGCTTGACCCAGGTTGGAAAAGGCACCCAACGCGACTTCGTGGCTCCAAGTCGGATCGATCCAGAAGAAGCTGATATCCCAAGCTATATATACCCATTCTCAGAATACAGATGGCCTAAAACTAGAGCTCGTTCTATTGTTATATCTGATTGCGTAGCTTGGAGGCACAGAGATTTAGCGAGGATTTTCTGGAAATTGCCAAGACTACAGCAGCCTCGCATTGAGCTCGGACCAGTGTTACATAAGTGTGGCGGTGCCACGTGGCTGTACCGCTACCACAAGGTCAGATAGTGGTGGAATTAAAACAGGAAGTCTTCTCGAACTTAGTGGAGCTTCTATCTAATCTTTCAGCTTGGAAAAGCAGAATTGAAATGCTGCCAGGCGGTGCCTGATGCGGGGCTTCGAAGGCGGCAAACCTTTACTTCAACATCAAACAGGCGCATCTAAACATGCGCAAATGCCCGCAAGCTAAAGATCGAAGAATTCATGGATAGTTTCATAGTTGGCTACTCATCATATCTATCATCTTGCTCCAAGAAGCCGCAAAACTGCAGGAAACGCGCCAAGCCACCAAAAGAGGTCACACAATTGCCAAACCAAACCATTGTCTCTGCTTGCTATGCATGCTCGCCTCAAAAAATCACATCAGAAGGGGCAAGAGGGAATATGACAAGAATAAGTAGAGCACATGGCATGTTTACCGGCCGTACTCCAAGCTCGGCACTATGACGGGTCCGTACTTCATTGGCGCGCTGTACGGTCCTTCATTCTGCACCATGAAATCCATCGCAAGACTCAGTTTACCGCTACCGTGGCCTGGCACTGCTTGTCCGAACGTGCCATTGACAATCTCGGGGTCGTAGATGACGCATGCAACGTAGTTGCGCCGCCCCATGAGCCGCTTATACTCGCGAGCTGTGCCATTGACGTCTTGCGTGAAAATCTCCATCATGTCTTCCTTGGTGTCGGACGGGGTGTGCGTGCTGCGGTGGCCGTTAGCAGGCACGTAGAGTGCGCGATTGTTGTGTAGCAGACGGAGCACGTAGTTGCTCGGGGGTGCGTTGACCACAGACGAAGAGATGATTTGGTACATCGTCTTATGATCTTGTGGTTTCGACGGATCATGGACAAGGCCAGCACCACAGCAGTCGACACCACCGGAGAAGAAAGTCATGCGCAATGACTTGTTGTGTGCAATACCTTGAAGAGTGCGGATAAGATATGTGCGCTCGAGGTCCTATCGCTATATGAGCAAGTAAATGAGTCAGGGGTTGTACATTGTAGCATACCTTCGAATCGTGTGTCCACTGGTCCCTGAGCTCGTCGAGCATATCTATCTCTCCAAACGGGCTCAGAACACTACTCATGAGTCCGGATTTGCCAATGGCTTTCTTAACCGAGTTGAAGCCGTCGCCAACCATACTCTTGGCCCCGACGACACCAGCAACTGAACTCGTCACCTTCCCAACCACGTTAAAGGTGCCTGTGAGCGCCTTTTTGCTCGTTGCCATTGTATTAGCTAGGTGCTCAATTGACTCCAGCCGGGGATAAATGACAGGCACAGGAACCATCCAGATGCAATGTTGCACGCTCGGAGGGAGCGTAGCAACCTTCGGGAAGATACCTTGGTATGTTGGACCTGCCATAACTTGGTGAGGATTCCGCTCGGAGCGGCAATCCGGCCCGACTACCACGACGCAAGGGCCAAGGTACTTGATAAAATGCCAGCCGGTTCCTGTGATGGTGAAGAGATCGACATCATTGCTGACATTACGAAGAATTTCCAATGTCGTGTGGTGCTGAAACAAGAGGAACATCTCGATTCCTATCCTCCCAATGTTCTTAAACATGTTAGAGAACTGCATGTACTCCGGATATGAGCCAAAGCCATCGAAACTATCACAAAATCAGCTGGAATGCACACAAGAGGGTAATGAAAGGGACACACATGTCATGGTCATCTAGTGCCAAGATATGTGGAATCTGCGCAAAGGCTTCCCTCAGATGAGGCTGATCAAAATGGCTCGTGTAATAATGGAAGTATGCGTGGCATACTTCCTCTTCGTGCTTAGCAGTCCAAGGCGCATTTTTCCGATTCTCCTTGCCGCTAGTCGCTGTCCACTGCTTGAGGAGAGGGATTTCTTTCCACAATCGATCCGCATAGATTTGTCCGCCCAAACCGAGCTGTACGTGGAAACCGCCACACTCAGCATTCTTCTGAAGGATGTCCTTCCACATAAAACCAATACCGCCAAGCTTTGCCCTCTCGTTGGCGTTGACGTTTAGAGCGAAGTCATTGCCTGAATGCGCAATAAAGCGCCAGCTTGGCTCATGGCGTCCGGCGACTAAGAATTCGAAACGTGTACATCCCAAATGCGAGGTAATGGCATAGGTCCATTTCGCAGCATGATCTTCCTCCATCTTTAGCTCAACATCGTACCTGTAGAAGATCCATGTCTGGTGGCTGTAGATTGGATTTGCTTTGAGCTGCCTCGGGTTTGGAGATAGGTCAACACTCTGGTGGATGTGGATGGTTGGAGGATGCGGAGTGTTCGTAATGAGAAGAATAGACCCAAGCCACAAACCTCGCTCGATGTCCATGTTTGTGTACCTCAGATACGGACCGAAGTATACGCTGTTTGTCGGAGCAATTTTATACATATCTACCCCTGCTGCTGGAGGTGGTCCTGTGAAGCCAGCTGCAGTTGGCGTCGCGAGTGGTGCCATGCCCATCATATCCCCCGGATATGCCGCAGTTTGCGCTGGAAATCCTGGCGAAGCAAGAGGAGTCTTCCCAAAACCTGGAGAACTCAGTGGATTAGCAAATGAATTTGTAGGGGACATTGGCTCATTCAGATTCAAGGGAGTGGGGCCCTTCGGAAATTCCCATTGCGTAGATTGTGTTGGGAGGTGGATATAGTAGTATTGACCTGAATTTGGATCAAGATGCGCGATCCATCCCTCGGGTAGCGGTGGAGGAGATGCAGGCCCTGGTCCAGGGCCCGGTGCTGGGCTTGGCGTGGTTGCATGTTGCGCTTGTGGGACTTGATTTGCCTGCGGAGTTGGTGCAACAACTCCTGCTTGTGGTGATGGGGCTGTTTGATGCTGGCGCGGATCGTTGGCGAATGCAGGATGTGCCTGCATGTTAGGATCGCTCATCACGCTAGCCTGGGGTGCTGGTGAAGATATGCTCTGATTCCGCTTCTCGTTCGGGTAGCCTTGCGCAGTTGTTGCTCCTGCGCCAACTGCCGGGTGGGAGATGCTCGAGTATGCTGGTGGTGGTTCCTCATTTACATTCATACGGCTCATATCCTGGGTAAGAGGGTGTTCTGGGGCCGCGTTGGCGTTGGTAGCGGGTGGAGGTGCGGCAGTGGATGCCGATGCTTGCGGTGGACTGTTCTGAACCTGATTCATGCCTTGATATACTGTGGGGGGACCATGCGGCTGACTTCCAGGTTGCTCGGTTGGAGTCCAAGGCCTCCTCGGCGGTTGCTGCTGAGGTGGCGGTGAGGAAACACTCGGTTTAGGCTGGCTGTTTGCATACACTTGGCTCCTCTGCGCGGCAGCTGCGTTCTGAGCGGTCTGTGCCTGCAAATTCGTGAGGGTCGATGCGCCGGCGATTCCTGCCGCGGCAAAGCGAGCCTCAATGCCGCCACTGGGAGGGGGGATGATTGGTGTCTCCGGGGGAGGGGGGGATCCTCTCTGGGCTCGTGTGGTTGACGTCGAAGCTGTCGAGCTCAGTCGGTTCACGCCTCGAGGATTGGGGATCATCAGTGCGGGATCGGTGGCTTTTGGCGTGGGAGGAGGCCAGTACTGCTGGTGGTACTCGGGAAACGGGTTTCCGTCGGTGCTGCCCTCTCGTTTCGGGGCCCTCTGAAATAGTCCCTCCTTATCTGGCGTCTCTGGTCCTGGGGATTCTGGGAGAGGCTTGGGCGCAGTACCTCGACGCTCAGCTAGCTTGGATGGCTGTACTGAGCCGTCTGCAGCTCTGCCAGGACCGTATCCATAGCCCGAAACTGTTGGTCTGTTCGGATCGTTTGCCTCGAAGTGGGCGCGGGTGGAACTTGGAGAAGGCGCCGCGGCGCTCGACCTCCTCCTCCTTCCTTCTCCTTCTGGCGGGGTCGCATTCTTCCCAGCCCGTTCCCTCTCACTCAGGGGGGTATATCGCGCCTGGCCCGGCGGAGCCTGCTTCGATGGTCGGTCGTCTGGGTAGGGTAAAGGGGCAGTCGGGGGTGCTGTGGGCGGCGCAGGAAATGTTGGCATAGGTGGAGGGCGCGAGAAGGCTGCGGGTGGCTCTTTAGAGCTACCCGCAGAGTCGGTCCTCGGTGGAGGGCTCTTGCCTTCATGCTTCTGGATCCGCAGAGGCCCGACGGTGGGAGTGTCTGGTGCAGTCTCGGAAGGCCGCAGGAAGAGCTCCTCCTCTGGCCGTCCTTGACGACGACCGTCCATGGCCGTAGTCGCTTATGTAGGCAGTGGTTGTGAGATGTTGGATCTTCCGCGCGATGACAAGCGTCGACTTATTTTGGGAAACGGGTGCAGGTGAAGGTGCAAGCAGCGGGAGCGACGTCGGTAAAATGGTGGGCTGCTCGCGGGGTAGGTCGATATGACGCGGCTGACAGCAGGAGTAGGTGACAGCTTTTAAGAACAGGCTGATGCAGGCTCTTGGGGGGGGTACTTCGCGGAGACTCGCCCGCAGCTTAAGGAAATTGGAAGTGAGGTTGCGCGAGGGCTTCTGCTCCAGATCTCGGCCTCCACCGAGGCGAAGCTTGCTTACTTACGTAGTCCTTATGCCCATCTCGCTCCTGCCAGACGTCCAGTATTGGGCTGCGGGTCTGCAGTGAGAGACCACCCTTGTCCTCGACGCGCCCGAGTCTATGCCGTCGTCTGATTGGCTCGTGGCGCCCAGATACGCGCGCTCCTGGCCCAATTCATGGCCTCCATCACACTTGGCGGCGCCCGGCGGCATCCTTCAGGAAAGCCAGAGCTTGACTGGAAGGTTCCTGAGTATGTTCATCGAAAGACTCCAGCAGAAGCGCTCAGGCCAGTCCCCGGTTGGTTGCAGCGATTTATCTCATCCAAATCGTCGGTGCAAGGGCGTCCCGGCACGGACAATCAGTTGCCCCTGTCGGTGGTCCAAACGTCTGTCTTGCTTCGAAATGTCTAGCACTCTTTTCTCCTCGCTACACTTGTTACTACACAAATTTTGAGCAAATTCTCCTTGAAAGATGCGTCAGGGTGCATCATTCCCCCCAACCCTGTGTCGGGGCTTCCCCGCTGTAGGGTGGGCGCCTCTTCCGCTCGTTCCCCCTCCCTCCGTATTGGAGCAAAGAACATGCGCAGGGCTGAAGAGCTTGGAGGGTCGTGTTCCAGGCATGCACACTACGAGCTTCAGTCTCGTTTTAGCAGCGCTGTTCGCTTCGTCGTTCCACAGGGGGTAAAGCATGAAGCCACGGGTGCGGCTGAGCGACAGCCTCGGGGAGAGTCCCAGACTGTCAACCTTCTTTCAACCCCTCCCCCGTTCCACCGTCAATCTGACTGCTCCTCTTCGCCAGTCACTCTCTTTCTTATAATACCATTTCTAATAACCCGTTCTGGATCAACTACTGACTGCTCGCGCGACGGCACTGTATCACCATAGAAGACGTACACCAGCCTGAACACGGAAATAGAAGTCTCAACCTTGAAACATGCCTATCCTCCAGCAACAAGCTCCATCAGTGAGCTCATTCGAACCGAGTTCGCCTGCTCCTCCACCATATACAGCGACGGCCCAACCCCAACAGCTTCCAACCCCCACCCCCCCGCCAAACCTCTCTCAAAATACTTTCCAACAGGCTCCCCCACAGCAACAGAATGCACATCCTCAAATGCAACAATCAACCATGGGCCCTCCTCAGCAGCAATTCCCACCAGCCCAGCAACCTCAATATATCCAGTCAGCTCAGGGGCCTACAATGCAACAACCAATGCAAAATATGACCCCGCAGCAGCCCCAGTACCCTCCAAACATGACCCCACAGCAGCAACAGCAAATCCAGGGTATAGTCCAAAGCTTGCCTCCTGAGAAACTCCAGATGTATCAGCAACAAGCACAGCAGATGATGGCCCCGCAACAATTCCAGCAGCCACAACAGCAACAGATGATGCCGCAACAGCCAATGATGCCGCAACCGATCATGCCGCAACAACAACAACCTCAGAAGCCGCATTACACAACCACTGCTCCGACTGGATTGTTTGGAGCCCCCAAGCATCAAACGGGAGGTGCTGGAGCTGTCGGTGGGCCGCAGGACGAGAAGAAAACGGGAGGTGTGCAGCGATTCTTTGGTGACACGCTGTTTGGCCGGATTGGGAGAGCTGGAGTTGCAACTGTAACTACGACATTGAAGATGCCAGCAAGTTTATCACCGTGGGGAGATAACAATCCTGTCACGCTGCCCAATGTCCGATATAGGGACGCTGTTCTCTTCACCACATTCGCATTTGTAGGAGCGCCATTAGTGGAAGGCCTCGATGGTGTTGTCACGGACGCTTTTGGAGCAGACAGCTTCATCTCGGAAATTGTGTCCTCCGGAGCTGGGGCCATTGTTGGCAGCACCGTGCTCAAGTATGGTGTCTTCCAAATTGTCGAGCAGGCGATCGACAAAGGCATTATTGAGCACATGCTTCCTGAAGAAGAAAAGATGCTTCAAACTACAAATGTCAAGAGCCTGCAAGTTGGTATCAAGCACAAACTCATGGGCGTAGATGCAGACTTACGATTCGAGGGAATCTATCCAACCAGGGCCTCGCAAGACTGCGAGAAGGGTTGGTTTTGTCCATATCTGTTTGCTAGTGCAAGAACGCCTTCAGTTCCTCGAGCCAACGACTTCTCCATTTGCCAGTTCTTCGGTCCCTTCCTCGCTGGTAAGTATCATCCCTCTACTGGCCAAGTTTTGATTCAAAGTTGAGTAACCCACAATATCTACAGGGGATTACGCTCTAGCCCACAAGCTCCTCTCCGAAAGCGTCCACAACCTCGCCCTGTGTGACGCCAACCCACAAACTGATATCGGCACCAACCGCATGGTGATCCTCTTTACCGGCATCTCCCCCTTCCGTGCAAACATGTGGTCGACCTCTCGCCGCCCCGGGTGCGGCACCATCATCTTCCACCTCCTCGACGGCTGTCCCGCGCTCATAATTCCTGTGACCAATAAAGCCCCCATTTGCGCCTGGTCCCCGTGGACTCTCTCCCAAATGCGCGCTTCACAGTACGCCATGAATCCGCAAGGTCCCGGGACTGGCGGGTACAGTGCTGAGTGGCACCATGAGCAGATTTGCGAGTGGTTAGATACGATTATTAGTGTCCCGCATATCAATCCAGCGATTCGGGAGAAGTATGTAGATGTTCTTGGGAGAAGCGTGTCTTTGGTGATTAATGGCGCATTGGCGCTTGAGAAGTGTAAGCCGTTGTTGGGGAAACTGGATGCGGAGCGCGCCGGTATTGTTATGTTTAGGTATTGATGGTTATGTAGATGGACAGTGGGCATTTGAGAGGCCCTAAGAAGAGAGTAATAGGGGTTTGGTCGTGGTTTTAGAGCTTGTGTACATGATACCCACGAGAATAGCTGTGCCGAGGGTGGCGTTGTTTCGGTTCATGTCCTTTTCTTCTCTTGCTTGTAATGGCAAATAGAGACTCAGTCTAATGTCTCTGGATGGCTTCAATACGGTAATTTAGTGTTGCGCTTCACATTCACGTCCATGTAATGCAGGCCGCGATTTCGAGCGCAAGACGATTCTCTGCCCTTAGTCTTCCTGGAGATGGGGCTCTATGGATATTACCATCTCTTCTCTCGCTATCAGGTTTCTCTAATAGAAGATCAAGCTGGCCAAAGCCATGATGTGGAGGTGGAGTGCCAGGGTTCTGGCGGTTGTTTTGTTTTGCAGGAGGCTGCTCTGCTTGTGAGATAGCTGTACTTGATGCTTTCCAGGTGTCCCTTTTGTTTCCACATTAGCTATGACCCTCCTGATTGTGAACCAAGGATTTTCGGGGTACAGTGTCAGGTTGGAAGGGTAGGTTCGTGGCTCTGTCTACGGCAGGGGACTCTGTTGACAAGATGAACGTATGCACAGTCCTTCAGGTGGTGGATCTGTTCCTTAACTGCTATGTCTTGCTTGGTAGAGGGCCTGCGAGGCTCGAGCAGTGGCTTCGGGTTAAGCAGGACCTGTCTAGCTCTTGCTTGCTAGGAAGAGGCTCCTCCTGATAGAAGAGCGCATGTCATATTTCAGATGCTAGACATGTTCCTTAACTATTATGTCTTACTTGATAGAGAGTCTACGAGGCTCAAGCCGTAGCTTCAGAGTAATAGCAGTAGATTTCTACCTCCAGCTGCAAAAAACTGCTTCTAAAAATTGTAGCATTTGGAAAACCCACGAGTCCTTTAAGCCCCCTCTCACCACTTCCTCTGACAGAGCACAGAGTCCTTCCACTTGAGCTTAGCAAACTAGCAAGCTCCTGTGTGGCAGCATCCTATTCATATGCCACAGCACATCCTCGACTAGATGTTTATCCTCTCCCGCTGTGCAGCCTCACTCACGCCTATGAATGTTTCCATCCCCATTTTCCATGCGAAGAGATATTATGATAGTATTCTAAAATAAAATTGCTCAAGTAGGTAGCATTATTCCTGCATTTAGACATCTTTAGGGCTGTCTTACAAGTGTATAAATGTATGGTGTTTAAATATACGAAGACAGCATCTTGCATTTGCCTTCTACCTCTACGAGGTCAGAAGCCAAGCTAGATAGATAGCATTCGAAGTGTTAAGAAGTCCTTAGCATTCATGAAGATACTTTAGAGATGTAGTAGTCAGAATGTCCCCTTGTCTACTCTCCATTTAGTATGGCTGAGGGCTCGACCAAATGCGGTCAATGTTTAGCTTAATAAGGACCTCTGCTTGCTAGTTAATTCTAAGACAGGATCCCGTATCCTTCTTTTACAATCCACTACGCTGAACAGTGAATGCAGAAGAAAGGCTATGGGCTCCAAGAAGCCAAGAGAAGTCGTGGTGGTGTTATGGAGCTGAGATAATGGGAAATCCCTCCTCGTCACTTACATACAAGACATTTGAGCTGTTTAGAGGTGTAATAGAGTGCAACAGGAACTGTTTTTATGCATCTTCAGGTCTTAATAGTGCTTGACATTCTTCAACCCTAGCTATTAGGGTGTGAAGATTAACTAACAGGAGGGCATATTGAAGCTTCAAGTAGTCCGGAGTCCCTTGGGGGAAGTACTAGGATAGAAACAGTTGAATCGACTACATTCATCTCTGCTATAATAAACGCTGAGGGTATTCGATGCTGTACAGGAAGAAGCAGAGCTGTTGTGTGCCCATTCACGCTTGCCGAACCCTCGGGGAGACAGGATAGCCGTTGTCTGGCTCTCGGGGAAGTCAGAAGGTCCACTGCTATCGTAGCGGCTATTACAAATGATAACAGAGTAAATTGGAGGAGCGGAATCCCATGAAAAGGATGAAGCTGCTCAAAGGGGCCGCAATTCAGTTAGGACGTCGCCCGAAGCTTGACTTTGGTTAAGCTCGGACCAAGTGCTCTCTCCCGCCCTGAGATCCGTCACTAACATCAGTCCACCTCTCAGCTGCCAGCTACGAAGACAATGAACGAATCATCACGGAAAGTCACTTGACAGCGCTAGTATTATCTCTCAACCATGTGCAGAAAAACATCTCTTCCCAATAAGCCGGAGCCTTGTTACTTAGCCTAGATGCGAGTCTCCGCGCTTTTGCAATTGCAGGATATCGACATCCGACCACCCTCGAATCCGCTAATCGACAGACTAACTCCGCAGCTATGCTTCGCTTGCTCGCCTGGAACAGACAACCTGGTGAAAATCTGGGGAAAGCTGGAAAATGGATATCCAAGTCGCTCGTTCTTTAAGATGCTTGACCGCTCCCCGGACTGGCCTTTCCTTTCCATCCCCACGCCCGAGAGCCTTGGATTACGGCCATGACAATTGACATATCTATAATTCATAACCAGGAACCCAAACATGGCCCAACTGCTACGTAAACGACTCGCCCGAATATCCGGTATCCTAACGGCCACCATTGGAACAGCCTTTCTCGCAAGAATCGCCTACCAGAAATCCAAGCACCGATTAACCCTCCCATCTGAATACCCCTCGCTTTCCATATCAGCAGATGGCGTCGTCAAAACCGACGTCCTGATTGTCGGCTCTGGAGGTTCAGCCCTGACAGCAGCCCTACGCGTCAGGTCCGCCGGCCTGTCCGCCCTCGTCGTCGAAAAGAGCGCAAAAGTCGGTGGAACGACAACCTATTCTGGGGGAGGCCATTGGATCCCAAACACGCACCTCCATGAAGGCGCCAACGACAGCCCCGAGGAAGCTCTGGAGTACATGGAAGCCATTATTGGAGACGCGGGTCCTGCATCATCTCGAGAGCGGAAACTCGCATTCCTTCAAAATGGGCCGAAAATGGTCAAGTTCTTAGAGGATGAGGGATTTCGATGGCGAAAAACGGTCGGGTATCCAGATTACTTCCCTGAACAGCGCGGTGGGAAGATTGGAGGGAGGGGTGTCGAGCCGGCAATGTTCGACCTCAATGTTCTGGGTCCTTGGAAGGATAGGTTGAATTTTAACCCCACGAGGCCCCCATTCCCGGTGTATACGTATGAATTGTCCAAATTAGTACGTGCGAAGAGTTCTTGGGATGGAATGTTCATGGCCATTAGGGTGTTCGGACTGCGGCAATATCCACAGATACTGCTCGGGAACTCTCCTTGTACTTTGGGGGTATCCATGGTCGGGCAGCTGTTGTACTTAAATATCGAAAAGGGCGTCTCTATTTGGACCGAATCTCCGATGACCGATCTTGTCGTTAAAGACGGGCAGGTGACCGGCGCAATCGTTGAAAAAGTCGGTAAAAAAATCACAATTGAGGCTTCACGAGGCGTCATCCTCGCAGCAGGCGGCTTTGCAAAGAACACTGAGATGCGCAAGAAATACCAGGCATCGCCCATCACGTCAGACTGGACCTCCGTCATCCCAACCGACCAAGGCGATGCCATTTCGGCGGCCCTCAAAATTGGCGCAGCAACTGCGCTCATGGATGCTGCGTGGTGGGGCGCTGCAATGGTGGATCCAAAGTCTGGACAAGCGTTCTGGTGCCTATACGACCGTGTGTTACCGCATTCGATTATCGTGGATCAGACGGCTGAGCGCTTTACCAACGAGTCGCAGAATTACAATTCCATTGGGCATGCGCTATGGAAACGAAATGAAGTCAGCCCTGCGATTCCGTCTTTTCTCATCTTGGACTCGAATCATAGAGATAGATATGTGCTTGCTGGACGCCTCATGCCTGGGCATACCCCCCAGGAGGTCCTTGATTCAGGGTTCGTCACCAAGGCGGAAACTATACAAGAATTAGCCGAGAAGTTGGATCTAAGTGCCTCAGTTTTGGGCGAAACTGTGAAACGCTTCAACGGGTTCGTTTCATCGGGTGTAGACAAGGATTTCCACCGCGGCGAAAGCGCGTATGACTCCTTCATGGGAGATCCTTCATATTCCCCAAACCGAAATTTAGGAGCTATCGAGAGAGGACCTTTCTATGCGGTGAAATTATGGCCTGGTGATTTGGGCACGAAAGGTGGTATCCTGACGGACGAATACGCACGCGCACTGAAGGAGGATTCTGACGGTGGACGACAGGTCATCCAAGGACTGTATGCGGTGGGAAACTCGTCGGCAAGCGTGATGGGAAGAACATATGCTGGGCCAGGAGCGACACTGGGGCCGGCCTTGACGTTTGCGTATATAGCTGCGAACCATATTATCAAACATGATGACTGAGGCGCCGGCTAGAGGCTTACAATGTAAAGCGTATCCTTCTTGATCTTTTTAACCCTTTGGCTCCTCCCCTAGCCCCCCGATGCTGACAAGAAATGTTGACATGTCAAATCCATTCTGATCATGTATCCTGATACTTTCCAAGGACTTGTAGATAGCGAGGACTTTGGCAATTATGGAGAGATTTCGACAAAGTTGCGTGCGGTGTTTGGGAGAACGTTGAGGTCGTCGCATGTCCTTGTGCTGCCGAAGATACCTTTCTGAAGTTGGAGCTTGTCGAGTTTGTCGACATTCTCTTTCTCAACAAAGTTCTCACCAACCACCGCGATCTTCCTCCGCTTGGCCTTCAGGACGCTCGTCGAGGTATCAACAATTTATCCTAGTTCACAAGTGTATTTATAACATGTAGGCTTTGGTGGTGCAACGGAAGTGTGTTGTTGTTTGTTGTATATATGATGGAGCCTCTAGGGCACCCATGGTACATAGAGAGGTACAGGCACTAGTAGATAGTGGCTTGGCCTGGTTACATGCCATTTGGTATTTTAAGCGCAAACTCCAAGTTTCCTTCAGAATCTTAGAATGGGGAAAGCCATGCCAAGAGCTTAGTCATTATTATTCGAGATTCCTTGAATGTGTAATATGCCATGCTTCCGGAGACACACCTCTAATATATCGAAAGCAGACTCATAAATTAAATTACCATCTATCTGTCAAAACTTTTGCACTAATGCAGATTGAGAACTCGGCTCTATCTATCTCAACGCTAGCCACCCATCTCCATCATGAACGCACCATCCACACATGAGAAGATAACCACCTCTACTTCTATCCGTCTACAGATTGCTGGAGAGAGAGAGAGAGACGCAACACTTGGGTTAAAAGTGCATCTTCACTAGACTAGAGTCCTAAAAGCGCGCTGGCTCCAGGCTCGCTGCAGACGTACAGGACGTCATGACTATTGGTAAAGCCGTTGAAGCGGGTAGCGGAGCATTTGGTGTACGCTGAAACAATTGTTAGCTTTCGTACTATGTGGCGTTGGGGAGTTTGTAACATACCACCCATATCCTCGAAATATAGCCAATCACCCACGTCAACAACCTCAGAGAAGGCACAGGAGGAAGAGATGACATCAATACCATCGCAGGTTGGACCCCAGATGGAATACTCTGTCATAGACGGAGTGTCGTACCCAGAGCGTCTAACATCGTACGAAAATCTAGCGCCGGCCTTCAGGATGCGTGGAATGGGGTTCTGGTGATCGAAAATGATGCTAGAGAAGTTTCCATAGACTCCGTCGTTTAGATAAAGCATGTAGGAAGTTGTGCCCAGAGTAGCATCAGCTACAGTACGACGAGCGATAACATGGCATGCAATGGTGAATGCGGTAGAGACGTAATATCGGCCAGGCTCACCAATGACGCGGACGTGGGGTGGGAAGTATAGATCAAGCGCGCTAGAGAGAACGGCAGCCATGGCCTCGAATGTTTCGCCACAGAATCCACCACCAACGTCCAAGGTATGCATGTTAAAACCAAGAGCAGCGGCTTGGTCGAAGACGAAACGGGCATCTTGAACGGCCTTGAGGAACGCCTTAGGATCAGAAGCACCAGAACCCACGTGGAAAGCGACGCCGACGACATTGAGTTCTAATTTCTTGGCAAGTTCCAAAAGCTCCACGGTAGACTCCAGGGCAGCACCGAATTTCTGACTGAGACGGCATAGACTCGCAGAGTCATCGGTCAGGATCCGCAAGTACAGCTCAGCATCCGGAAAGAGCTGCTTCGTCTTGTACAGCTCGTCGGCATTATCGAACGTCATCTGCTTGACGCCATTCTGCGCTGCATAACGAACATATGACTTGGTCTTGCACGGCTGAGCGTAGATGATACGGGAGGGATCCACGCCCATCTTCAGGACCTGCTCGATCTCGGCTTTGGAAGCGCAGTCAAATCCGGTCCCGAGCTCGGACAGAAGACGAAGGACCTGAGGGTCGGGGTTGCATTTGACCGCTGTCACATGTCAATGACTCTCCATGTCCCAATTGCTTGCACGAGTGCACTCACCATAATGCGGCGTGACACGCATCAAATGCTTCTTCCAGCGGAGATGCTGGCGGTAGACCTCGCCCAGATCGACTACGAAGAAGGCATCTTCATCGCCAACCCCGCATGTGTCTTGGTCAATGGCATCAACACGGCTCTTCAGAGCCTCCCCAATCAATTGTTTTGCGTTTTTAACGCCATGATCGACGATGTATCCGAGTGTACTATCGGCAGACTTTAAAGCCTCGTATGACAAGTGGTATTCCTCGGTAATGAGAAAGTCAGATCGTGCCATTCCCTGGTTGATAGTGCCCAGGTTGGATGGATGTATGGATCGTAGGTCTTCACCAGTCGACGAAGGTGCTAGGGAGGCCTGAAGAGCTCGTATCCGAGACTTAGGTGCAGGCGAGGTCTCCTCGACTCTTCCTCGGGGAGAGGAAGAACCACAGAGAACGTCCTATGCGGCAGCTGGGGGGGTGTAGTGTCGAGCGGTTGGTTTGGGTTAGGGGCAAACGGCGCACGGTCGAGACGAATCGAAGACGACTTCAGCACAAGGAGGGGGGAGGTTGTTGAGGATGTGTGGGCAGGGCCGAACAGAAACAACTTGGAGGTCGAAGAGAATCAAGGCCAAGGCCGTGCTGTTGGGAGGTGCCTTTGCAACGACCAAAGGCTGCCGTGAAAGGGAATTGAGGGGCGAGAAGGGGCAACCGCAGACACCTTATGTAGAGGGTGATGGTAGCAGCAGAGAGGAGGGTTGTGGTGTTGACGGAGGTGAGGGAGCGGATCTTAATTTTCGCTCAGATGTGTGGTGCAAAATCGCCGCTTCTTGAAATGGCGCATGGATGCACGTATTAAGTAATAAAAGAGCCTGCTATAGCCGCTAGCGCCACCAGCCCCTGGCCTTTTGACGCTCGAACAGGCCCTGACATCACCGCCAGCCACCACATGGCTTCCCGTACAGCAAGCCATCTCTTAAGCCGCTCATCCATCAGCCTCAGCCCAAACAGTGCTCACCACTCAGCTCTGCCGACAGCCTCAGTGCTGAAGATGACCTCGCAGCATTCGGACATATTAGTCCCCCGACGCACCCCACGCAACGCCAGGAACGCGAACTATATATTGTTCGAGAAAGTGCAGGCATAGCAACTGCAGCTTCGCCTAAAATTATCTCAAATCACCGAGATAGAGGGACGCAAGAAGCCAGGCTGTGCCACAGCTGCTGCAGTGTTCACTAGTCACTCGTGCATCCCGTGTGGCAAGTGTACGTGTATCATGTTGCAGTCGTTGCTGTATTCGTATGCCGAGCTATCATCGCCGTCGTGTCCTGCGTGAATCAAAATGGGAAGTCGTGATAGAATGCCAGATTCCCCATCCCATGTAAGCGTGGACCAATGCCGATGACCAATGATGTGAAAGAGAGAATGCTATATTCCATGCAAAGATGCCCCACTAAATGAAAGAAAATCGCGTCATGCAGTGTAGTGTGCAGATGGGACTACCTAATCGGCACCTCCAACTTAAACCCTCTGCAAGAAAACAGGAACGTCTGACAAATCCACGCCAAACTGATTACTGAAGTGCATGCTCTTTCTGCTTGCGGCACTATGGAGCTGTCTTGTCCCTGCACTGCCACCGATGCCGAATCCACGCTCGTATCCATACTCGAGGCCGCCGCGATATCGATCGTAAACAGCATCTTCAGGGGGTTGGCTCGAAGCCCTTTGATCCTGTGTCGGAGGCATAGGCTGAGAGGTTGGCACATGCTGGCGCACCCCTTCCCCGATGGAATTTCGGCGCTGACTCCAGAAGCGCGTGTGGGGCTCCCAGTCCGGCTTCCCGCTTGTGTGGGAGGGATGGTGTATGTTGCCGTACTGGTCGAACCTATCAACCAACTGAGACACGATGGGCCCTCGCCCTGTAGAGCGAGCACGAATGCTAGGACCCGATCTCGTATCAGCCATGGTTAGACCTTGATCTATTTCCACTGATGGATTAGAAATGTGCTCGGCTTCAGTCACTCCAAAAGAGGGCACTGGTGGGATATCCGAATAGACACTATGCGGGCGTCGACGAGAGGCGGTAGCTTCCCCTGCTTCCAGGTTTAAATCGTGATAACTCTTCGGCCGCTGTAGCATCTCAGCTCGTAACAGAGCACGATCCTTGCTTCGGATGCGAGCTACTTCGGTAGCTGTTCTGGCATCCATGCTTGCCATTGACTTCGCTCGTGGCAGTGTATTTCCCAGTTGATGTGGATGAGTTGGGGAGGCCATAATCTTTTGGGGGATATTACCCATCGCAGCGTCGTAAGGTGACCGACCAAGTGTGCTTGCAACTGTGCCAAGATCAACAACGCTTAGTGCAGTATTATCAATATCTTGCGCTGACTCTGGTGTCTTCTCTGCCCCAGACTTATGCCGGAAGAACGAGAAACTCCGCCTAATCCCATGCGGAGGAGGGGTCGGTGAGCGTTCAGTCTGGGATCGGGTATGACGCCTGGAACGAGATACTGGAGACGCTGAGGGAGATGGGAACTCAATTTTGATTGGCAGGGAAGAGTCAACGGGAGACTCGCAAGACTGTATGTGCTCTATGGACACGTATGTTTGCGTCAAATACTCCATGCCTGGGGATTCAGAGAGTCTGCGTGTAAATTTGGCTTTGACATCAACGGGAATATTGGGAATAGAGCCTTCCGTGACCTGCTGACACGACTGGACGACTGGCAGGTTCTGAGACGATGGCCGTCGTTTCTGCAACCTCCTTTGCGCTGACATTCCGCTATCCGTCGTGAACTGCGACGCAATTGATGTTACCGTCACGGGTGAGATAGGGGGTGGCGAATGGGTGTGAACCATTGAGGTTCGGGAGAAACGCAGGTGAGAGGGTCTACCCACTACATTTTCGTCGGTTGGAATTGGTGGCAGTGGTTTCTTTGAAATGGGAAGCGCCAACATTTGCTCGAATGTGTAGAGGCTGACCGAGTCGTCGCTATCGGAACCATGCCCACTTTTCTGAAAGTCAGCTACCACCGAACCCTGCTTGGAAGTTTTAGGAACGGTACCCTCTTGCATAGCTTTAGCTGCACGTTGCACCACTCGAAAGCTTCCTCCGGATGAATAGCCGGAATCGGCCTTCTGGGGAGTAGGCCGCCCGTTCTTCTGGTGGGAGACTGCAGCGGTGTGCGAGGATTCTAGTGTAGACTTAGATTCCTGAGATGCCTGGGGGTGGTTGCTGAAGATGCTCCCATCAAGAATGCGGAGAGCATCTTCCCGAAATGATATAGCATCATCGTCCAAGAAACCTTCATCTTGATGTTCCGAAGAGAAACGCTTCCGGTTTACAAATGGACTGTCGGGAAGTTCAGCCATGTAATCCTGGGCAAGCGTGTCGGCACTTTTGTTGATGACTTGGAGGCGTAGTTTCGTAGGCTCCACTTCAGTGATACCATAAAAATAAGGGCTCTCGGTTTCCAACTTCAAAGGGCTATCGCATCTCCATGTAGACTTGGTCTTGAATGAGCGGTCTTTCGTGAATAATTCACGGTGTAAAGGAGGCGTGACAGGGAGGGCCGAGGATTTGCTTCTGGTATGCGTTCGATTACGTGGAGCCACCCGCTTGACCGGGCTGGAGGAACCCTCAGAAGCCGTGAAGTAATCCTCCTCCAGAGAACCTACTAGGTCGCCTTTCTCGCGTGGGAGCTTCCTTGCGCTTGGGGCCGGGGAAGGAACGCCGTTGGTTACAACGAGGGAACCGAGTTGGAGGGCTCCAAGGTGGGAGTATTCCATTTCCCCAGGAGTCTTTGCTCGAGGTGTCGGCGATTCCCGTCCATCTTCAGCCAGATCTAATGCGGCAAGTCGAGTTAGAGGCGATGTGCCCATCAATCCAAGATGCCATTTCTGTGTTTGGCGCTCGACTTGAGGGGTCTGCCATGAATTCCAAGGTTTGCGTGTCCCATCAGTAGGTGAGCCTCGAGTTGCAAGTCCTGGGGTCGCTGTCAACGAGCGGCGCCTGGTCAGGGATGATGATGACCGTTTAATGGCTGAGGCCCTTCGGTCTAAGCTCTGACGGGGAGCGGGAGATGGCGACGGTGCAGAAGGCTGTAGAGCTTGGTGGAGAGCTGCCAGATCGTCGGGGGTCGCGTTCTTCCGGACTTCCTGCAAAATCTTGATCGCCGTTTCGAGATCCACACTTTGCGTGTTCGACACTAAAGATAACATCGAGTCGGGTAAGCTCCCAAGCTTCGTGTCCGATGCACGCCCACTCTTGATTTGCGAAGCTCTCGAGTTGGACCTGGAAAGGTTCGACAATCGCGCTTGTAAACGTGTAGCCAGTTCACCAATCCCAACATCCGCGTCTGAAGCGAAGCTAGAGCTAAACTCTGTCTCAATTGGGGAGCACAATTGTGACTTGAGCGCTTGCCTCTCCCTTGCACTCAAGTCTGCATATTTCGAGGACACCGATACTGGGGAATCGATCTTAGGGGTTCCAAAAGGCGAATTCGTGTTTGTCTTCGGTTTCGAGAGCCTGTTGTGGTGGTGGCTGGCACTCTGGGTATTTCCCATGGCGTCGGCGGTTGCGGGGCAGGATCCAAGAACGGCTGGGGACTAGGTGTTGGTCAAAGAAAAGACATCTGTGGCAAAGACTAGGCCAAAGGACATTTAGTTAGAGAGGGCACGAGAAGGGGAGATATATAATGGACTCACTGTATACGGTTCTTGAGGAAGGTGTCCCAAATGATGGGGGCTGGAAGCTCAAGGCTAGAGGCAGCTTGTTGATGAAGCTACAAGGCACGAACACATGGCTAGATGTAAAGAAAAGAAAAGACAAGTAGTCTCTTCTTCTTTGCGGCACTTTAGTAGTAAAATGGTGTGGGAAAGGCCGGTTGCAGTAGCAGACGTATGATTACGACTCCGCAGCTGGAAAGGTGGAGAGGAGACCGCAAGTGCATCCAGGTAAACAACAAAACTTGGAAGAGACTCGACAAGTGAAACCCCAGCCATGCACGGCCGAACCGCATCGAGGATTGCGACAATCCTGCCAATCAGCGGTCAATCTTGGAGGAGATCCAAGGCCAATCAAGCTGGCGCCACTGCGGGCATTCGTGGCCCGGGCCTGATCCATGGGAGGATCCGGCCGAATCGAGCAGGGCGATGGTTGATCTAAGGCATGCAACGCAGCGTCTTCTGCCGCAACCCAGTTTCGCGCGCTGTGGGCCTCATCGCGCAGCATATCATCCATCCGCTGCCAACACGAATCCCAGTTTCCGCACTATCTCTCACTACCATCCGATTCTGCCCACGTCCATTATCATACCGTCTGTTCTTGAAATCCTCATCTATCCCACGGTCAGGTGTCGTCACCGTGGGAGTTGGATGACCTGCCGTCATCGCCCGCATGAACGAACTCTCCCGAACTTCGCCATCTCTAACGCTTACTGATAAAGCGTACTCCGTATCTATTCGCAGCGACATTGTGCCATACATGACCTCCGGCTTCAATTTCCGTAGGTAAATTGTCGCAGGATGAAATTGCCCGATGCACGTCCCATTCATTTGCATGTCTTCTCCAACATGCAGCGGTAATTATCCCATCGCACACTTCTCCATCCTAAGAACATGTACATCTTGTACCACCTGCTTCGAGCAATATGTCGACCAGGAGTACCTCTGTACCTCGAACCCCTGTCGTTGTATGGAGTTGCCTGAGACATGTCTCCTTCCGAAACCACATCATGCACGCAATGGCCAACGTACCCAGGAGCCCTTCACATGAGCAGAACTCTAAGCATATTCTCATTAACTCCTCAAGCAAATCAAGAACAGGTGTACAAAGCCCAGCCCATACCTGAGAAAAAGGCTTCAATGGGCCTATTCATTGACCGCAAGCGAAATTGGTTGCCAAGTTTGGATGTCTCCTTGCCACCTTTGCTAGCCAGATGACTTTTTATTGCCGACGGCATCATTTCGAAATTCCATGTTTTGAGATCAAGAGAAAAAAGGGCCGGAAAGACCAGCTAGAGCCGTGGACGCTATGATCAATGCCAACCCGTCTGCTTACTCACCGGGTCACCCAGCCAAGACCTCCAAGCCATCAAACGCCACCCGCAATTCTCTCCGCTGACACAAATCACTCGAGAAACATCAGATCTCCTGCATTCTCTTTCGGCTTCGGCAGCTCACACCATCCGTTTTGAAGACTTTCTCGCCCATGGCGAACTTGGAACCAGTAGTGGCGTGCCTGAGCAGCTGTGCCTCGGCGCCACCCTGTTCAGGCTTCGTCCCGCCTTCGTGCCGCTTCGGAAGTGCGCGGACCACACGTCAACCTTGGCATAATGTGACATCATAGCATCAATAAAGTCCAGGAGGGTTTTAACAGACTGATTCCATCATTCATCTATCCTGGTCCCGTATTGCCGACCTTTTTGTGCGCTTCATCTGGCTAGCACCTCCGAGTTACATCCTGCTTTATTACACAAACTCACACGCTTGCTCTTGCCTTTCTGCATCCTTTACGTTCCAAGGTTCCAAAGCAAACAGTCCGGTAGATATCCACACCACCGTCATTGCCCAGAGTTTCTACTTCACTCTCTACATACGGCATATTCACGGCTACGACATTCGCCAATGTGGGGAATCTCGTATTGGATCGTACCCATTTTCTCCGCCTCAGTATGGCTTGCAATGATGATAGCCATGCTGGTGACATGGTCCGTGGAAGGCTCACCACACTATGCCTCTATGGATCCAAAACAATCAATTGCCTACATATCTGGTAAGCGCCTCTTCGTGTATTCTGCATTGGGCAAATAGAAATTAACAAATTCTTTAAGATATCGGCGCACAGGGTCTCAAACCCCTCTTCATTGCCATGTCCGCCATTACCGTCGTTTCCTTCGACCTTGCTTTCATCCTCGAAAGGTGGCTCCGACACACTGGACGCCTTACGCATAACACCTCAAACTTCCAGAAAATCTTATCCATTCTCAGCCTCATTGCTGCGGTTGCAGGCGCTGCAGGCTTAGTCCTCCTTTCAATCTTCGACACGTTACGGCATCCTCATCTACACAACGGTTTCCTAGTCCTCTTCATCGGAGGCTATATAATCAGCGCCATCTTCATCTGCTGGGAATACCAACGTCTCGGAATCCATTTCCGCCAACACTCTGTTCTACGATACTCTTTCTGGATCAAGCTCGTCTTCATCCTCATCGAAGTTGCACTGGCTATTGCATTCGGCGTCTGCCAACACCAAAGAAGATACAACGCCGCCGCTGTGCTAGAATGGGTTATCGCTTTCTTTTACTTCTTTTATGTCCTCAGCTTCTTCATTGATTTCATGCCTGCGGTTAGGACGAAGCATCACCAGTCTCACGAGACAGAGATGGATATGGCGATGGAGGGGGGCGGAGGCGGTGCTGTGGAGGGCGGGAGATATTATGGCAGGGGTGCGCCAGCAACGAATGGATACACAAACGGCAATAGCATGCATCCCGGGCATCCAAATGTGGCTACAAACGGTTATGCTAATGGAAGTTTATCCAACGGGAATTATAAGCCTCCCACTCCCCCATTTCTTTCATCGCGGAAATTCTAAGTCCTTGGCGAAGGAGCATAGTTAGGCTTATTGTAGGTATTTCCTTTGTGCGGTGAGGTGAGCGCATGCAAATAGTGTGGATCATGTAAATTGGCGTTTCTGGAGCATGGTTATTTGGACAAATTAGCGGCATTGCTAGTACTAGGGAGGCGTCAGTTTCAGTAATGACCCATTTGGCTTGTACGAATAGATGGGATTTAGATGTAATGCATTAGACTGCGTATAGTAGGTGAGAGCCTGCACTCGATTATTTAGTATGGGTTATGTTTACCCTGTAGTTGTTATTGTATTTTGTACCCCACCATTGAAGCACGCACCCCTCGACACAAATATCTAGAACGCGCCTGGTTCATGGCAGCACAACGGCATGGGGAATGATACAAAAGACGTACCTCTAGCGCTAGGATATAGCCAGTGGTGTGGTAGATAGTTTTGAGTTTCTAAATCCCTGTAGTTTCGAAGGTTGACGCTGTTTACCTAGCAGCCACCCTAGCATTGACACTGACCCTTCTTCCAGCAATTTCGCACCATCTGCACACCTCAATCAAACACCTACCAAATATAACGTTACTAAATACCTAAGAACCTAGCCTGTACTTCCTAAAGTCCTACTAATAATTAAATCTCCTCCATACCAGCCCATAACTGCGCCTTATCACCCTTCCTCCACACCGCCAAAACACTCCACTAAAAAAGCATATAACTAGATAAAGAGCCACTCCAGCAGAGCTCAACCCAAACACCAGGCCAAAACAATAGTTTCTTCTCTCCGATTAAGCCTTTCCTCCCTAGTGCAAGACCAGCTAATATTCTCTATACTATTGCTAAGTGACAAAGTGCGCAAAAGCAAAAAAGAACTGATATCGTAGTATATACAAAGGCAAGTTTTTTAGTGTCGGTAGCATCGACGTATGAAGAAGCTCGGGTATGTCGAGGATTCTAATCTGGTGTGGGAAAGTATTTCAGCGCACTTATTCCAGCTCTCTAACTGCTCTCACATATTGCACTAACGCTAGGAACTTGGCAGGGGGGCTAAGTTCTAGGGCTGTTGAAGACTTGCTCTTTCTTCATCTTATAATCACAATTTGTGTCGCCTCTAGTATGGTATCGTATGACGGGAAGGCGATTAGAGTAGGCTTTGCTGTAAGAAACTCCTTGCTGGAATTAGGTAGAAGATTAGGAAGATGGAAATATTTGTTCATAATTACTCCCTGTTATGTTCCATGTTAGATGACAAGATGTGGGAAAGCTAGGCACCCATTGACTAGAAACTAAATAAGCTAAGGGGGTTGGATGCTTGCCCAACTAGCTGTAAGAAGCCCATCACTATTGCTCTGAGCTTCAAGCAACGGAAAGGTTAATGCCTGGACGGCTGGGAGATTGACTAAAACTTTCCATATTTGGGTATCCGGATAGTCATAAGGACCTCAAGTTGTCTATTCACATGTTATATGCCGAACCCTTTGGGGTATCAAAGAAAGGTAGGAATCTATCAGTCATCTCTTCTCCTCCGACTGGAAGATGCACGGTCCTCGTCGTCATTATCACGTCTCTTCCTCTTCCTTGTATCATCGCTGGATCTGCTCCTCTCCCTATGTCGCCTCGGACTCTCTCGGTAACGATCCTTATCCCTGATTCTTTCCCGCTCGCGATCACTGTCTCGATACCGGTGCTGTTCTTTGGTCCTCTCTCGGTCACTGTCCCGGTACCTATCTCGATCCTTGCGGTCTCTGTCTCTGTCGCTGTCACGGTTACGGTATCTGTCCTTCTCTTTCCTATCCCGATCTCGATCTTTCTCGTGGTCACGGTCACGGTCACGGTCACGATCACGTTCTTTCTGCTTTCTCCTCTCGCGCCCCCGGTCATACTCCTCATCCCCGGACGTCCGTTTCCTCCTCTTCTCAGGCTTCTCTTCATCCGCCAATAGCTTCTGCTGGTCCAACTTTGCCTTCAGCTCCTCCTCCGTAACAATCTCACCTGTACGCTTATTCTTCAACGCCACAGGATTATACGCCTGATCGACTATCCTCTGGCCCTTTGACCCCTTTCCCCAAGCTCCAAGCTCAATACCAGCAGCAGCCTCGGGTTTCGCACCCACCCCAAGCAATGCGGCCCGGCGTTTAATTTCCACAGGTTTTTTTGTCGCCGGTTTTCTATTTGGACCTAGCTCTTCGCCGTCTTTCCAGCCGAAGCCGCGGAGGATGGCGGCGCCGAAACCGTCGATGGGCGTGGCGAGGTAAGCGTCTAAGGAGGGCGCGTCAGGAGCATGTTGGTAGTCCTGCTCGAACGCTTCTTCTTCAGTTGGAGCGGCGATGATTGTTTTCTCCTCTGGTGTTTTGCCATTCAAGAGCGCTTCCATAGCATCTCTATCCAACCGCTCCTCTTCCGTCAGACCGTCCGGCTCCTCGGGCTTGTTTTCCAGCTCCGGCGCCAGATCCTCTGGTGTAACACTCCGCTCCTTCTCCTTTTTCTTAACAACCGTCAATCCATACGCAATATTCGACTCCTTATACATTTCCGTATTATCTTCAACCACCTTCCTCGCCTCCTGTTTCCGTCTTGCTTCCTCCCGCCAATTCCGATTCGCAAGCGGATTGATGACGCGCGGTCCATCTTCTTTCTGCTTCCCGTTCACGTCAACAGCGCCACCAGTTGCAGCATCCCAGCCCGAAATTTCTACAGCCGCGCCGTTAGTATCCTCGGGTTCGTCCTCTTCTAGAACGGCGCGTGGGCGTTTTGTGAGGTTCGTAGTGGGTGCCTTGAGTGATTTGCTGTTTTTGCTGGAGAGGGAGAGTTTGAAGCCGCCGATTTTGGGGGTAGCCATGGTGGCGGAGATGGCGCGACGTAATCGGGCGACGTATCTTCGACTTGGTCGTACGCGACGCAGGCGGCCGAGAGCGCAGGTGACTGGAGATTTCGGGGTTGAGGTGTGAAGGAACCGTCGGGGGAAACCCCGTCTGCAAAATCACTCCGACGAGAGATTCGTTTCCGTCATTGATTTGTTCGCAGGTAATATATCTTCAAGAAGAAGGCAATGGGGAGAATTATGGTGGAGTGTGTCGTAGGTAGAAAGGTTAAGGTTCAATGGAATCGCAGTTGAGCCCGCAGAAAGTTCGGGTTTGCGCCACACTGCAGAGGCAGCAATGATCACATGATCAGCCTCATTTACGTCATGTAGTCCTCCGCACCCTCATCATTGCATGGAAATGATGTTGAACAAACACTCAATGAATTCATAGTAAGAGCCTCAAGGAGAGAAGCACCGTTTCCGTAGATAATTCCAGAGCCCCTTCACTTCCCGGTACTGTGCAATTCACACTCATAAGGCCCTCGATGTCATTTCATAACCCTCGTATCTCATTGCCTATTCATCGCCGCATAATTATTCTACATGAAGCTCTCAGAAAGAAGAAAGGAAGATGCGTCACAGCATCGCATTTTTTTTTTTTGAGTCCCATGAATGCCACCATGCAGGTGCCACCGAGCTGCCAGCCGAGCCATTTCCCTCAGCCTAACCAGCTGGAGCCGTTCCAAAAGTTACACCCATGAAAAGACTCCGAAACACCAAGCCCACAGCATCTATGCGGATCGATTGATAGATCATAATATACAGAATCTACAGAGGATAGCGAATTACGCTAGGCTATGTTGCCTGCGAGTCCCAAGAAGAGAGCCTGAGCGGCAAGTTGGAGGGTCCAAATGCCGACCTTCTTGATGCGGCGTTTGCGTGCGGTGTTGTCGTCGAGGACGTCGCGGGCGAATGCGTCGTACATCTATATTCCGAGTCAGCATTAGCGAAGACACTTCAATGTGACGTGTGGTGTGCAAGAAGGATTAAATATACCTCGCGAGACAGGTCATCCATCAATCCGCTGTCATAGACAGTCCAGCTTCCATCAAACTCTCCAACCCGCTTGACGACTCTACAATTGACTGGAATGAACGTCTTCTTCGCATTTATGTATGCGACAATCGGCCGAACCAGCGCGTTGTTTACGTATGAGATATCCTTGGTGAAGATGGGCACCGCTGCTCTCACATCATTCAGATGTACACGGACGTCCATGATGAGGAATCTTTTATCCTCATCCATTTCCTCCTCCTTTGCTTCATCTTGTTCTGCTTCTTCCACGGTAGGTGCTCGATCAGAGAAATGCTTACGACCGTTCGAGACTACTTTTGCCTCCATCCTGTCATAGAAGTCAGACATGACTTTGGCGATGCTGCCGTCATTTTCGTCAGGTATCATGATGTCCGCCACGATGTCAACATTTCCCTCGTATATCCAGGAGAATGGGCCTTCGTAGCCCCGATTCAGATGGTCGATGTTTAGGCCATCGATCCTAATACGGCTGTGTTTCTTCCACGTGCTGCCGTCTTCACCATCGCGTCCGTCGATCAGCTGAGCTCCCGTATAGTTGTGGGTCTGCCGGGGGTGAATTGTGAAGAGGGAGTCGTCAAAGGAACCGGACATGATGTTAGCCGACAAGAAGTCGTAGAAGAGCCACTGCTTCCGTAGCTGTGGGAGGTCACAGGAGAAAATGCTGACCGAAAAGGGTCGGAAGTTGTCAGGTTGGTAAATTGTAACCAGCAGATCCTCCATCTTGAAAGAGTCCAGCTCAAAGTCACCTGGTTGGTGTTCATGCTTATATGTGCGGGGATCGACGTACTCCTCCAGGGCATGGACAGAAGTCCTGTCCACAACGCCGCGGATCCCTTTTATTTCGACATCTTTAAGCAAGCCGTTTCCATTGAACCATTTCGAAAAGGAGAGCGTTACATTGACCGTGTCAATTGATATATCGAATTGCGTGTAATTTGTATCCTCTTCCTCAACCACGCCTTCAGCAATATCCTTCTCTTTTTGAGCAATGGCCGCTGCCGCTGCCGCCGCCGATATCTGTGAGCCTTTGCTCACCTGCGCTCGCCCTTGACCGGGCCGTCTTGAAACGAACACTTTTCTGAACGAAATAACTCCGTCTTTCCATTTTGGCACGACAGCGGATTCGAAAACGACTTTGATGCCAGACGACTTTGTAAGGTAGTTGCCAATCCAAGACGCAAGTGTCTCCTGCGCAAAGACGGTATTTATGAGAAAGATAGTCAGCGAGAAGAACGTCGTTGTGCCGACAATAATCCAAAGAATATGGGCAGCCAGTATCCAGGAGAACAACGCATATATTTCATCGGCGTTGAACGGCCGAGTACTCCTGATTGTAAGCCACTTGAAATGGACCTTCAGACGGGACCAGAAGCCCGAAGCAGCAGCAAGAAGCTCCGCTTTGGTGGGCCGTTTCAAGTGTGGTAGGGACTGCGGGATGCGCTCTAAAAGGGGTTTTCCGGCGACAGGGGGGTTAAGTTGCGACGGATCAGATTTGGGAGGTGATTTAAGGGATTTGGGAGATTTTGCGAAGGGTTGAGAGGATAGTTCGGGTTGAGGTGTGGAGGGGGGTTTGTTCTTGGGAGAAGAGCCATTGGTGACGGAGCTCTTGTTGCGTATGTTCCTGGCTATTCTCTTCTTCTTCCCCTTCGACGCGCCACTATGAGCCTGCCTCACCCAAGCCGCAGCTGCCGCCGTAGTCACGCTCTCATGAACATGGGCAGAAGGAGAGAATTTGGGTCGAGAGGAAAAGAGGGAGAAGCTCCAGGCGGGGGAGGGTCGCAAAGAAGAAGGTACAAAATTCGGGGAGGGAAAGAGCGTGCGCGGGACTAGGCCAATATGCCTATAGGGTACTGTAATTCGTAATAAAGGTGGTGATCGAAGCTCGCTCTGTCCCAGTCGACGGTCGAGGAAGGAGCGTCGCAGGAAAGCGCCAGCCGTGGTGCCTACATTACGACTCATTATAGTCGCAGCGTCCACATGGCGTCCGTCTGCATCGAACACGGGCAGCAGACGAGCTTTGCAGGGAGTGATAGTCGAGGTGGAGAGGGATACAGGTAGCACGTCGGTTACCAGAATGACGTGAATGCAAAAAGAGCCGAGCGCAACTCGCCAAGAATCCCTCGCAAAAATTATTCGAGCCTTTATCGATAACTGGCCGTGGGATTTACACGACACACCGCCCTGCATAGCCAGCCCTCTTCTGCAGTTCTAAGAAAGGAGCAGGGAGAAGGGAGAAGGGAGAGATCCACATTGCAAAATGCCAGCTCCAACCGCGCCCCTGCGCAGCCCAGAAGCCCTGGCTGAAGACCAAACCATGGCCGAGGCCACCCCTCTCCCCGCAGACGAAGACACAGAGCTGCTCGACATGAATGCTCTCCCGGACGCCATACCCGCTGCTCCCTCGGGCTCCACGTCTTCCAGGAAGCGAGGGAAGGCACTTGGAAAAGGAAAGGGAAAAGGAAAAGGAAAAGCTCGTGACACTCAGCCCGAAGACGTAGTCATGACCGACGAGGGCGGCCGTCCACGCTTCGCCCCCGCCAAAGCCATTCCCCTCGCCTTCCGCCGCGAGCAGAGAAAGGTGCCCATCCCTCCCCACCGCATTACGCCGCTCAAGAACTCTTGGCCGAAAATCTATCCGCCGTTGGTCGAGCATCTCAAGCTGCAGTGTCGGATGAACCAGAAGACCAAATCTGTGGAATTGAGGAGTAGTTCCCATACCACCGATACTGGGGCATTGCAGAAGGGCGAAGATTTCGTCAAGGCATTTACTCTCGGCTTCGACGTAGACGACGCGATTGCGTTGCTCAGGCTGGACGACCTGTACATTGAGACTTTCGAGATCAAGGATGTGAAGACGCTGAGTGGTGAGCATCTGTCAAGAGCGATTGGACGAATTGCGGGCAAGGATGGAAAGACCAAGTTTGCCATTGAGAACTCCTCGCGAACTCGGTATGTCTGCCATGCTGGACCCTCCCCTTAGCCATACTTACTGTTGAAACAGAGTCGTCCTCGCCGACCAAAAAATTCACATCCTTGGCGGCTTCAAGAACATCCACATCGCCCGCGAAGCCATTGTATCCCTCATTCTCGGTGCACCGCCGGGCAAAGTCTACGGGAACCTCAGGACTGTAGCTTCCCGCATGAAGGAGCGATTTTGAGACGTCGAGGTCTTGATTGCATATTCAACCACCATTTCCAGGCGTATTGGAGCAGGCAGGCAGGCGGGCAGAAAAATTACCACGACAAGGTTACCGTCACCATTTTGTAGCACTCGAAGTTGGATTTTGGCTTCATCGTTTCTAGCCCGTTCGTCCTATATGCAAATGCGCTGAGCCTTCTCACTTCAAACCCCTCTCCAGCCTCCAACAATCCCTCAACCACGCCTTCTAAGTGTCCAAGTGCCTCCCCAGCACACCCGCCCGTCCCACAAGCACTCCCTCAATATCCTTCCCCTCCTTCCCCCAAACCTTCTGGCAAGGCACCCACTGCAGCCCCTCATCCACGATACCGCAATTATCATTTCCCCGCATCCTCCTTCCCAACTCGGGACCTGCGAAAAGCGTGCAATGATCCCAACCCAAATTTTCGTCCCCCAATGCTCCCATCACAACCCTCCACAAGTCAATCCAAGCCATGCTGAGATCGTCGATCTCGACGCAATAGAATTTCGCAATCGTGCAGTACGCTGACGTAGAATCGGAAGTTGAGGTTGGAGTCCGGACATCAATCACGTAGCCTGGTAGCTCGGTAGACTGGGTGTGGGTCTTGATATGGCAGGTGGACGGAATCGATAGTCCAACGCTCCACCACTCGATATCGACATCCCGTGGCAGTTCTTCGACTTGCACGACGAAGACTGGTGGCAGCAACACTGCCTTTCCCTTCACAACTTCCCGGTCAGGAATGCGAGAGCGAAGTGTCGTATCGCTCAAATTCTGCTTGATCATCCCCGTTCGATTCTTTGCGTCCCAGGGATCGATCGCCTCGTCCGCACCCTCACCATCTCCTTCCTCTTCTTCATTTTGCTGCAGAGTCTGTTCATGAATCCCCCTCCACACCATCTGCGCAACCCGCACTCTCTCCCTCGCTTCCGCAGCAGAACAACCAGAAATATACGCCACACCCACCGTCCACCATCTTACATTCACCGCCCGTCCAACGCGCCAGAGATGCTGCAAGGCCAGTACAGCCTGTTCCTTGAACCCGCTATCCAGGGCCTCCATACTAGCCGGGATAAGTGGTATTTGTCCTGCTACATACACGACCTCGCATTTCGCGTCTGTCTCACTGGGGATTTCTTCATCAGTATCTTGATCCTCGGACACGTGGGTTGCGGGAGGGTTTAGGGGAATCGATATAGCTTGGCTGTATGGTCCGATATTCGCGGGAGCCCAGTAAGAGCGGCCTTGCACGTGTAGGCCTTTCCGAGGAGATGTTTTGGAGATGATGGCGGAGAGCATGACGGCCACGCCCGAAGGCATGGTGGGGCCGCAGGCGACTGTTACGCGTGAGGGGGGGTTGGGATTCGGGAACAGGGTGCTGTAGATGGGGTTCAGGAGAGGGAAGAGGGATATTGATCTGAGAAGGAGGGTTGTGTGGACGATGGAGGAGGAGGCGAGGTTGTGCGATGCTAGATGCGAGCGGAGTGTGGCGATGATGGATTCTATTTGGGCGATTGGGTCGAGGGGTTTGGATGGATCAGAGGGGCTGGTGAGGTTTGAAAAGAGAAGGGTTGAAGACATGGAGGAGTTTTGGTTCGTTGGGAGGGTGAAGGTCGTGTATGTCGTAGGTGGATTTGATTGCACTGGCGTTGTCCCTGGCATCCCCACATATTGCTTATCATCAATTCCATCAAGCACTCTCTTGAACTCCACATCCCACATATCCGGGATCCTTAAAGCCTTCAGCCCTGTACCCACTTCCTCCTCCTTCCTTACCACTCTTGCTTTACCTGCCTTCCATATCGCCTCCCCACCATCACCTCCCACCACACCATCCCCTTCAACCTCAATCCTCCCCTTCCACAACAGTCTCGGCCCATCAATCGCCAGCGTTTCGAACTCCCCACCCTCACCCAACACCGCCCCATCACCATTCTCACCAAACCTCCCCACAGCCTTACTCAGTCTAGCAACCGTCTTCTCATCCGCAACATTTTCCCACAAAAACGACTGATCCAGACCTCCGGATGCTACTTTAATGATTCGGGCATCCTGTCCTACAGTCGCCATATCATGCAGCAGCGCGGACTGCGAATACGGTGGAAGAAAAGGATATTGCCAAAGATAACTCAGCGGCACGAGACCCAGCCGCAGCGCCACAGATTCGATCCGCGTTCGTTGGTAAGTGCTGAGGATAGCTCCCGTCGACACGGCATTTGCGTCCGGACGAGTAGCGAGGACTTTCTTAAGTAAGGGGATGAGTGATTCTGTCTCATCATCTCCTTCCTCGACAGAGGGACTAGGGATGGAGTAGTCGCGCTCCGTGTTCACAGCGGAGCCGGAAATTTCTTGACGATAGAGAGGAATGTCGAGTGCGGTCTCGTATAATGGGATGATGCTGTGGCCGACAGTCTGGTACATGTAGCTGTTGAGGTCGTCGTCTGTTGACGAAGAGTCTGTGAGATGAGTAGGTGGATGGAGGTTCGCGAGTGCCACGACTTCATGGCCGTTTGCGAGGCAGTGGAGGATTGAGAAGAGGGAGTCTTTGCCGCCTGAGATAAGCGCGATGACCTTCAAGGACGGCATTGTGGGAAAAGGATGTCGGAAGGGGTGCAAAGTTAGGGAAGGCTACATCGGCGTTAGTATTATAGTCGTCATTGACGAAACACAGAGGAATTGAAGCATGATGTGCTACAAAGAAGTAGGAAATGACGAGATCGTTGGCAGCCACCACCATGTCAGAGGCATCGCGCTTGAAAAGGTGGTGCTCGGGAAATAATTTGCTATAGTCTTCACATCAGACCTCCTACATTCGCCTCCTTCGACGGCAAGATCAAGAAGCGAGGGGGAATGGGAATAAAAAGCCATAAGTGTAGGCATCTTGCACTACCTATTGTCGCGAAACGAGGCTGCAGAAATGCATCGAAGGCACAACGAAGACTCAAGGAGACCAACAAACTCACGTGTTGAGAGCAACCAAGGCATTGTCATTTAGGCATCACACTAAGATCCATACCCGTCGGCTCTAGAATGGGATGGGATGTCGCTTCTTGGTACAGTTGAAGGCCGAGGTGAAGTTGGCGAGACTGGCGAAACCTTCACCTTTTGCGAATTCCACAAAGCACCAGCACACTACCAACCGAACTTTCAAACTAGCAACGAGACACTATACCACGAGTGCATCATCAATTCATGCATAAAGAATCTAAGCAACAGCAACTTTTACATAAAGGCTTTTGTTTTGAAGTTTTAAATAAGGTTATTTGTCGATCAGCTGTGCCAGCACTCTAACCTAAGCTCAAAAGGAGAAGAGCAACAGCAACGAAAGCGCTATCGAATAATTGTGAGTTGGGGGATAAATTACAGAATGTCGCATCGAATCGAAGAAAAATTCGCAGAATTCCAGGATGTTGACCGAACCCTTTCAGGCCGGTCCATTACAACGAGCGTAAGAACTCAAAGTAGGATGACTCCACGGCTAGACAAGGCCGGTAAGGATGACCATGTCGTCGTGAATAACTGTGGATTGCCCTCCCCTCCCGAAAAACAAGATTCTCCTCGATAACACCAATTGTTCTACCGCTAATAGCCAATGGGAAGAACCACTCCCCGAGCCTATCCAGAAACCTGAAAAGCCACGCTGCCATGCAAAACGCAAATCAAAGAGAGGGAGAATAAAAGAAGTGCCGGTCTTGCAAAGTATGTAACCAAATTGGGTAAACGAGATACAAAGAAAAGGATTAGGTTGGAGTGTTGGGGAAGCGAAGGACTTTTGGTAGATGATTGTATGAGGACTCCACGCTGATGAATTTCCCGACCAGCCGCCAGCCAATTTAAAACCTGATGCCCGGTCTACATGTGCCGCCCTGGCGTAACGGCATTAAGTAGACGAAGAACCGCCTGACATTAGGGTACTCCTGCTACGGAGTGGAGAGGTCATATCGTGTCGTTAAGGATGAGGGAGAATGACGGTCGCAACCGCTTTCGAATGGTGGATGATTGAGAGCAAGTATGATTCCGAGGAACCTTCACTCATCCCGCTTCCTTTTCCGCATCTTCTTCTCGAGACCCAATGGACTGGGCTCGAGATCGGAGAAAGAGTCGGAGCTAGAGCTGGAAATAGCAGCGGCGGCGTTGTAAAGGACCTGGCCGAGTAGCGCTGGGTCCTGATTGTCGTACATATCATCGCGAGGTCGCTGCATCTCCGAACCATCCAAGACGCCCATCACGACAGCGCCAGTGCCATGGGTACGTTGGTGCTGGGACAGGTTGTCGCTGCGCGAGAACTTCTTGCCGCAATCCTGGCACTCGAAAGGCTTCTCATGTGTATGAAGAGACCTGTAATGTCGCTTTAGGTGCTCTTGACGGCGGAAGCGTCGGGAGCAGAGGTTGCAGACAAACGTCTTGGAAGGATCCTCAGTAAGCGACTGCTTACGGCCGCGGCGGCTGGTGGGTGCAACGGGAGTTGATACATTCTCATCGTCGGAGCTGGATGCGATTGCATTGTCCGGGGTGCCATTATGACCAGAGGCTTGCTGACTCGAGGCACCAGATTGCGTCTGGCTGTCATTGCCCTGATCATGGCCTTGATAATTGGACTCGGCATCTGTGACCTCAGACCTAGCCCTCTTGGCCGACTTCTTCTTCTGAGCCTTGGTGGCGGACATGTCGGAGAAATCTGTGTCGCACGGCGTCAGGAGACCAGCTGCGGGTTCGTCCTCGAAGTCTGTGAAGCTGTCGTCGCTGACGATGTCGTCTTCAGGGGTGAAAGAAATGAGATCAGTCCGCTGTCGCTTACAGCCCAGGAACAGCGCGTTATCGGTCGCTGAAAATTGAACAAAGCCAGCAAAGTCGTCTTCAGAATCAAGTTCGAACAGGGGCTCGAAAGTAGGGAGACCAGTGAAGTCAATGTGATTGTGCTGGGTGGACTCAGCCTTGGCGTCGAATGCTTCACCCTTAAGAACAACCTTGTCCTCCTCGTCACTGGGGCAAGGTGTGGTCAGACAGGCGAGTTCAGTGGTGGCAGTCGATGCAACAGTCAGATTACGCGGATCGCAGAAATTATTCTCGGTCTCAGCGTAAGATGTGCGCGGAAGTGGTGAGGGTGAAGGAGATAGCGAGGGGCAGGAGGTCGCGGACAGGAGGTATGACCCCTGGCTAGTCGAGGGCGGCTGGATGAACACTACTCTCGAGTCAATCACCTCAACACCAGCAACGCAACAATATTAACTTGCACTTTCACCGTCGCCTCACCACGAGGTCTACGTACGGGATTTTGCGTGGGAATAAAAATCTAGGGTCACTCACCTGGAGTCATCGGCGGAGAGGCCGATCGCCAGTCTGCACCAGCTGCAAGAATCTCAGAGAAGACCTCCTCTTCACAACCCTGCTTGACACCTTCGATGCCTTCACTGAAGAATGCACTGTTGATGGGTGTTGGAAGGACATCACAAGTTGACGGTGGGCTGCTGATGTTGCTTCCGGACGAGGAGAGCGGCGGAGTGGCAGGCGCAAAGCGCGTATCCGAAAAGTCAGTGTCGATAGGATGAAGGTATGGTGAGTCTTGCTGTTGGATAAGGATCGTGGGCCTCTGGTAGATCGGTTGCGGTGAAGCAACGGGCGTCAACATGGCGTGGTTCGGGAACTGGGGATACGATCCCTGTGAGTTAGACGAAGAAGGCCTCTTGAAGAACATATTCGATGGGCAAAAGGCTTCCGGAGTCTGCGGTTGGAACGTTGGGGTAAGCTGGCCGTGAGGATGCGGTGTGAAGTGGCCGTGTTGACGGTGGTTCTCCGGGCTTGGATCCGGGTTGTAGTAAAAGAAGGGTGACTGGCCCATCGTTTGAGAAGGGTGCATCGTATATGAGCCTTCCATTGCGTGTGTTTGTGTTCTTATCGACCGAGTAAATGTTAGAACTCACATACCGGTCGGTGTTGATCGGGCCCTACTCACCACTGGTATTCTACAAGCCTATTGGTATGGTACACTTGTTGTACGTCTACGTCTCGATTGTCTTTCGATGTCGAGGTGAGGTGATTGGAATGGTATTAATCTTACAGTCGGTATAATAGACCGGAACGTTGTGTGAAGGGTATGATACTAGAGGAAATGGTTTGGCTGAAGAGAGCGACTGGACAACAGTTCGTGATAACGAAACTGTCTACTAATAGATATTGTACTGGGTCGAGGAAGATGTCATAGGGTCGTGGGTGGAGGGAAATATCCAAAGGAAGGGCCGGCAACGATTCACAGCTGTCGTTATGAAGGACAGCGCAAATGTATACCAAAAGGGAAGACCAAGAACGGGCGTGGAGTGGGAAGTGAAAGACAAGTGACGAGGTTGATAAACCTTCAAAGCAAGGAAATGGAACGAGTGAAGGGACGCGCCGTGGATAAGTAGGTCAGATCAGCGAGAGTCGAGACAGCGATTAGGTCTGAAGAAGAAAAGATGACCAGGCACAAGAGGACGGGCGCACGGAATTGGTTAACTACCCTGTGTGGGAGGGGATTCGGGAAGTGTGCGAAGGCGCAGCAACGGACTGCACAAAGGCCAACCAGAGCAGACGACATGCATGCTGCAGCACCTAGCATCAATCCCCTGCGCGGACTCATGCACTGATTATTCTGCGACTTCGAGATGACTCGTGGGATTGCCGGCTGAGCTTAGGGCAGCAAGACGCGCGGCATTATTTTATGCTGCAGGATGCACTAATATTGGCCGCCAACTGCCTAGCCCGCCCTGGCCTGCACTGGCCTGCACTGGCCTGCACTGGCACAACGAGGTGGAGGGTCGCGAAATGAAGACCGGCACACCAGCGTCACAAGAGGCGTGCATCGCCGGCATAACTTGCATAGCGCGCGCACAGCGATGTCAGAGACTGGCTGGTGCTGCTGCTGCTCGCCCTCCTCCTCCAGCCCAAGCCTGCGCCGCGAGAACTGAGTGCTGCGGATTGCGACGAGCGCCTCTCCGTCGACGCCGATAGGATGCAGAATGGCCAACCATCAGACCCGCTGAGCGAGTGTGATGCCTGAAGTGTGCGAGCGTACGGATGTGAAAGGTGAGAGGGTGGTGGTGTTTCGTTCGACGAGGGCAGGAGCAGATGGGCGGCCAGACATGTTTCTCAACTCACCAATTCAGCCTGTGTCGCGCCAGGGACACTTCAGCCTATCCGCCCAATCGATAATGATATCTTGCCGTTGGACAGCACCCTGTTCCTAGCCTTGGCTGCGGGCCACGGCGCTGAGACCTGCTGCTGACCTCCATGTGGAATGTTTGAAACTTTTTTTCTGGCCACACAACGGGCGTGGATGGCCACTGAAGGTTGAAGAATGTCGACGCCACGGCGGCGACAGCGTCCAGTTCCACGAGAGACGCAAAAGCACCGAATCGCCAACGCAGGACACCAGTGCCACAAGCACAGAGGAAACGCTGGAGAGGACAACCGGACCTGAACGACCGCACAACTTTGCTGCTTGCTCGAGACTACGCTGCGCTCTTGGTGCTGGACGCGCCGTTATTCGCTAACACTTCAACCAGGCACCACGAAGAAGTTCCTGGCGTCGACTCGAGTATTGGCCGGACTAAAATAATAGATAAAATATTGGTGTGGATGACTGCGTCTAGTCCAGAATCCGCTTCTCATCCTTCCTTTCCGCGGACTGCTGCAGTTGGTGAGACTCAAAAGTGCGTTTCTTCTGCTCCCGCCTGCAGAAACAGACCACTGCTATCAGTCGCGCGACGCGTGCGGGAGTTAGAAAAAGCGCTGCTGAGGAGAGAACTGAGCCTGAGAGTCGTGAGGTGCATGTCGCTGCTGCAGGAACACATCCATGAAGACAAACGAGTGCCTGCCGTTGGGCCTGATTTGTCCGGCCAGCAGGAGACGCATCCGCTGCTGTCGCCTCAGTGGCCTTTTCAGACTTCTTCAGGCCCATCGTGTGGGGAACATGTCACGATTGACGGCTCTGCTCCCATGGTGCGACGAGGTTCGCGAACTGACCTGCAATTCGTCTCGTCGCCGTCGTTCGTGGAGGGTGACAGCGGCCCACGGTTGGCTACTGCTCTCGCCCTTGAAGCCAGCGTTTCAACCTTCTCAAATTCTTCTCAAACACTTTGCTTTGTTGACGACAGATAGGACGCGTGCAGATGAGGTGCAGGTTGCAAGGCAGTCTTTTTTTTTTTTTGCTGGCGTCTAGTGAACTGGTGGTGTGCCTCTCTATCGATAGACTCTGCAGTCAGCACGGTTCATTTCAACGTTTCCATCTTGATCCCATTCGGACCCAAGAATAATTGTGCACCCCAGACGTGGTTCGTATATCTCTTGTCAGCCTTCAATAACTTTTATCCCGTGATGCTCATGCAACAAGGCCCCTGTCCACTCTCGACTGAGCTGCTATTTTGGGCTCACTCGGCAAAATTATGCTGAGTTGCACGCCACTTCGCACTGCACATCGGGCGTCGGCGAAGCCGCTTCGGGCAAGGCGTCTCGCTGCTTTACCTTTCGAAATGAGTTATGCATGCCAGTACTGGACTGTTCGCCTCCAGCGAGAAACGGCGCTGGCGGGCTCGAGCGTGTCCAATGACCGCTACCAGGCATCCACTCAACCCCCACAGTGACGGTGCAGCACATTTTCAGTACAAAAAAAGGTCGCCTAATGCAGGAACACCGCAGGTACACAAATCAGAAACGCCCTCAACGACATCACGTCTTATCTCGAGAGCAAAAAATAAGAACAGGAATTCTATTTTTCAGCAAATACTCCTCGCTGCGTGGTATGGGCCTTCTAGAATATTCAGTATCAGCCGATTGAGTCCCTCCCCACCCACAGACTCACGCGCCATGGACGCCAGACCCTTGCCCGCGACTCAGAGGGATCCTGGCCCGGAATCCTGAACCTTTCCGCCTCCAAACTGTGTCTCCGCGCGGCGTCACCTTGCCAGAGAGCCGGTGCCGGGGAAGCAGGTGTGGCTTCCATAGCTTCCATTTCGTCAGAATGTTACTCCACCAGATCGACCTTATCATTTGACGAGAAGTGTCTTGATCTTCCACCGCTCCAGAAATTTGTCGAGAGTCGTTCCACGTCGGCGGGGCGTGGCTTTTGTCCCGCGTCTTCAAACTTCAGAAGCTACCGAAAACCTTGACTCGGAAGGCAAGCCGCCTGCAGACAGACATGAGAGTCAATTCTTCGACAATTCATGCGTGTCTCGCGTCCACCCAAGATAGAGGAAGTCTCAGCTTCTCAATTCGACATTCGGCTCCGCGCGGGACTCGTACCGAGACCCTAGCCTCGGCACGTGCACATCGTGAACTTTGATTGAAGGTGTTCGCGGCGGTCCACATCGAAAGACTCTCTACAGACCCACCTTCACGAGATATCTGGTCGACTTCCTGAGCAACAAGTGACCAGCATGTCTGACAGCAACGAAATTTTTGTCCAGCGGAGACTCCATGTCGACTGTAATTTAACAACTTTTGAGAGACAATGTCAAAGTGGTCGCCCAAGCTAAAGAGGAAAGGGCAAGGAAGCTCTTTCGCCACTTCAGGCAGCTGGGACTTTTGGTTCGTCTTGTTGGTTCCATTTGCTGGGGAGTTCTGGAACGGTTACTAGAAAATCCCGGCACCTTTTCGTTCAAACGAAATTCGATTCATGCTCCGTGGCGCTACTTGGGTGAACTTTCCCCCGGGACCCTAAGCACTAGCACCCGTGTGTCTGGTCCCTGGCTTCGTGATTCTCAATTGAGCAATTCCACGCTGTGACCTTCCCCACAGTTAAGGTGCTGCTTGGTGGCCATCGCGGGTGAGCTCAATGCGTCGGAATTGTTGAGCAAGGTCTTTCCCTCCATCACGTCCGTTTAACATCCTCGCCCAACGTCGTCATCGTCGCCAATCAGACATCTGTGGAATATGTGTCTCGCTGACCTCTGAGACGGTAAGTGGACCTCGGCGGGACCCGTTCTGGAGCCGTTAGTGGCAAAGTTAAAAAATTGCTCCAGACGCTCTCCTCAGCTGTCTTGGATTTGCGGCGTCATTCGGTTGAGACATTGAAGTTTGGAGGCACCGCCACATCAACTGACTAAATCGTCCCTTTCACTCCAAGACAGGGTCTCGACGAACGTACCGGTGCTCTGGTCTAGAGACGTTATGTACTCACGAAACATTGATCTTCTAGTAACATCAAGGAGCCCAACGCTCGGGCATATTGCTTGAACTCCTGCTCTCGAAATAACCCTCCCTCACGGTATGCTCACTGTCGGCCCGACCAACGAGATACGTGCATGAATATTTGAGGATGGTCGTGATTGAAACGTAGTGATTATGGGATTCGAGGATTATAGTTGTATCTTTTGTGTTTGCAGTTGTCCGAGGCCGTCTTTAGCCGGGTCGGCGAGACATGATGTTTATGACGCCAAATGGTGTTTCTGTCTATCAGTTTGTAGATCTTGCAACCATGAGTGTTAAGCTGATCATCGTAAAGGATAGATACACATCGACATCGTTGTCGGTTCGTCTCTGCAATTTGTAGCAACGCGTATTTGGACCCTTGCCAAATGAACGTGGGGTTCTGCTTAGGGTTTCCATTCACAAACAACTCCCATCGGTTCGACTGATATCCACCGAGATTACATGAAGGGGATGAAGCCCAAGAAATGACATCGAACGATGACGAGGCAGCTCGAAACCATCAATCGTCGAGCGCTGGAAACCTGTCTCGAGTCTTAACAATTGAGGTGTCTCGCAGCACTTGGCACCTGGGGGGCGAGTAGATTGAAAAGCGACAAATACCTCCATGAGATGATGCTCATACGAGACACGAAATCAATCTTGGCAAATCAACGATGAACGTTAAAGGAGACCCTACCTATCCACATAGGACGTTCGGTGGGTCTGTCAAGGGACTTCAGCGACGTCCCTTAGATGTCCCGTTCGCCACAGGTCCATGAAGAACCTCATCGCCCACACCGACAAACTTAACCGATGTATCAACCACAACAGAAACCCCATAAAATGTTCACAAGAGCGCGAAGCGAGAGAGAAAAATCACCAAGAATAGAAACCGCAACGGCTGTCAACCAGGATACTGAAACGAAGCTGAAACGGAAGATCGCAGGAGTGGAAGAATGGGAGAAGGTTCGACGTTCGCAAAGGACGCGTGGAGCACACGCGACTCTGCTGACTGGCCTCAGAAAGAATGTGAGTTGAGATCAGTCTTAGCATTGCCAAGTCATTCTCTTCCTATCATGTACAAAGTGTCTCATCGTGGGCCATGAAAGAAAGAGAGAAAGAAGAGCGGAAGCTTTTCTTGCCCAGAAGTTCGCAACTCGGTTAGCTTCCCTATTCCCGCCTAGCGGTTTTACGCAGATTTTCTGCGCAGGCGCGGTTACTAAGCACCTGGCCCGTGCGCAAAATTTTCACTTGAAAAACTTCGCGATCCTGGACTTTGACGAACTTCGTGCGGCGGTGGTCAACATATCCCGTGTTGCTTGTATGTGCTTTATCTATGCCTTCAACAAGTGTCGTTGACCCCCCAGAGCGAACATATTGCATCATCGATTGTATACACTTTGCGGGGACGTCTCATTTTCGTGGCGTTTCCGCTGGAACAAGGTCGAACATATTCTTGCGTGCCTAGATGAATGTACCAAGACATGAAGAAGGGAGCATGTCAGCAGAGGTTTATCGCGAGAGAAAAGGGATCTTCAAGAAGAATAAATTGGTCAATATTGTCGTGAAGAATCATTTGGGTGAGGTTGTTTCGGGGTCTATCCTGATGTTTCTGCTCCATCTACTCTCGCTGTCGTGAAGAGCAGAGGCCTATCAACCCAAGGGGTAGTCCAACCATAATCCATGTATATTGTCATGAGTCGTCTCCAATCTTCTCCAGCTTGCCGATCTCTCTCTTCTCCCCCGAGTCTCCGATGATCTTGATTCTATCAATGCGAGTCTTCTCTCCCTCCCCATCGCCATCGACCACGAACAAGACTAATGAGGTGACGTTCTGAAATTTGACGAAGCGGAGCTCTAGCTTGGCTGTCCCTGTGCTCTCATCCCAATCCGAGTGCTTCAGCTCGATCGTCTGAGTCGCGGGGATATCTTCTGCCTCCTCGAACCCAAGGTTGTGTTGGCGGTTCGTATACAGATGAATGGTCTTTGGGCGCATCGGAGCGTCTTCGTCGTCCTCAAGCTTCGGCGGACAGGACGTGATTTGGATTGTATGTATCTTGAGGGAAGACGTGAAGGGCATGTACAGCATGAGCTGTTCATCCACATCACTCTCAACCCAGTCTTTTTTCAATTCTGAACCAGCAGCCGCACCCTTCCCCTTCCCCATCGCAAGCGTTGTTGGCATGGTGGTCTCGAAGAGGGTCCGCACTCCCCCAAATTCGCTGTCCGAGTTCAGCAAGTCCAGACCGCGCACATCCACCTGATCAGTGACATCGTTGTAACCCCGAGGCAATCCCGCACCACGCCAGGGACCGCCCGCACTAGAGCTTGCCTTTCCAAAGCCGCCAGACAACGAGCCGTCTGATTCCGCCTCTACTGCCAGCTTTATGATTGCATTGGTGATCTGTTCTTGATTTGCACCACTAATCTTCTGCACATCCTGACCATTCTTGAAGATTATGACCGTAGGCAAACTACACCAAATATATGTTAGCTTCAAATCCTTAAAAGGAGCGTATTTCACAAGGCGGAACCGACTCAGTGATGCCGTAGCTCTGCGCAAGCTGTGACTGCTCCTGGATGTTGACTTTCGAAAAGGTAACCTTGTTTGGGCGGGACAGCCGGTTTGCGACTTGGTCGTAATGGGGGGCTATAGCTTTGCATGCGGCATCCGTGTCGTTATAGACTGTGTTGGACGAAGCGGGTCAGTAAGGACCGATCAGTATGTATCAACGAGAGGAATCTTACAATTAACCACCACAACGCGCGATGAGGACAACAAGGAGCTCAACTGGGCCGGCGACGATATCTGGACGGGACCCGCCATGGTGCTGGTGGTGAAGGAGGGGGAGCGTTCAAGCTTCAAGGAGTTCGCGTTGGTGGGGGTGGGGGCGCGTCAGCGAGGATCGCTGACTGACGTCCCTCGTCCCGCTGCCAGGCACCGACGAGGACACGCATCGAACAGAAGCTTCCAGAGCAACCTAGCATCCGCGGGAAAAGCACGAAGACGCTGATTACTAGCTGGAGGAGGCAAGTGTAGTTTTGTAGGTACATTGTGCCAAGAGAAAACTCTCTGCAGGGGTCACTAACCAGAGAATCCTCCTCAGTATATCGTATCGTTCTAACTATCTCTCCACACTACACTTCTCGGGCCGACAAGTACACAGTCGTTTGCAACAAGTGACTCTGGGGGCAGTTTGTCCCAAGCGCCAGGTCAGCTTCAGCTCCGCTCCAGACCGTCTACGGCCTTACAGTTCACCACAGCCTAACCCTCCAGGTAATGGCAGATCAGAGCAACATATACATTAGTAGTTCCGAAGCCAAGATCCTTCATATTATCAACCTCATCCTAGTCCTCGAGCGCTGCGACTCCACGCGAAGGAAACACAGTTGGGATTGTCTCTACTCCCACACCATCCTTGTCGCCCACGCCCCGGTCGCCATCCTCGCCTCGTACGGACTATACAGGCTCTTCCGTCCAGCATGAGTTCCCATGTTGTTGTTGTCAACGCGGCGGCGAAGACGGTCAAGATCCCGACTACGCCGGTCAAGTATCTCACTGAAGTACGGGATGAGGCTTGCAAGAAGTTCAATGTTGGCGCTGATCAGTTTACCTTGAAGTGAGTAAACTCTCCAACCAGGAGACATGTGGCGCCACATTACAAGATACGGCAGCTGTTTAGACAATATAATTCAACCCTTGAGGACTGTCGCTACCAATTTTCAGTGGTGTAGATTGCACTATGCCACTTCTCTCATTCTTAGCTACTCTGACATGTGCAGGAACAATACTGACAATTCCCAGATACAACAATAAACCCATCTCCCTCTCCCAACAAATTCGGCTTGCCAACCTCCCCCAGGGCGCTCGTCTGGAACTCGTTCAGTCCTCACGCTCTCCCTCCGTAATATCAGTAGCCTTGCAACTCCCAGCAACAGAAAAGAATGTCCGCTTGACACAGAAATTCGCCAGTAATACCTCATTATGGGAAATGCTACGACACTTCGAGAGCGGTGAAGGTACTAACCACAACTTCACGCAGCGCGGCGTTCCTGAGATGGACCCGAACGGAAAATCTGGCTCTGGTAGATTGAATTATGAGATGCCTGTGATTACGGTTATGCCGGGTCATCGCGAGCAGTCGAGCTTTGTAGGATTGCAACAGACGTTGAGCCAACTAGGATTCGATAGCGGATCTGCGCTCTTGCGACTTAATTTCAAGAACAGCGGCACCCCACTCGAAGAGGCTATGGCGGAGATATCACAGTACTTTAAGAGCGCGGATTCTGCCCCAAGCAGTGCCCACGCGGAGAGCTCGGCGCAAGCTACTTCATTACCGGGTCCGAGTACTGCTGCACCTGAACCCTCAGAGACAGTTGCTGGAGTACCTGCCAAGAGCAAACAGCCTGACCTAGAACCCATGGAAGTCGACTCAACGCCCGCCCCAGAGCCATCTCAAGATCCCCTCTCCCCCCCACCCGGCGCGGCGGAAAACATACCCCCATCATTACCTAGTCCTCCCGCTGCCTCCTCATCCCACGCTGTGCACCCAACTCTAAACCGCAACATCCAAATCTTCTCCGCCCCCACCTCCTCCACTCCCCAAGCCGCCCGTCGCGGATTCAACGAAAGCGACTACGAGCCCACCATTGAGCACGCAAAGGCGCACCAAGCAGCACTCCAAGCCCGAACCCGCAACCAGCGCCTCCTCTCCGATAAAGAGCTCGAAGAACAAGAAGCCTTACGCCTCGAAAAAGTCAACGCCGTCGCTCAAAAAGGAGGTTCCTTACGCATCCGCCTGCCAGATCAAACCATGATCCAAATGGATATCAGCAAGCAAGACACAGCGGAAATGCTCTACAGCTTCGTCTCCAGCTTCCTCGCTTACAAAGACCCGTTTCAGTTGAAATATGTGGGACCCAAGGGTGGCCAGGTTGGAATAGACTGCGACCATAAGCGGCTGATCCAAGACCTGCGGTTTTCGGGAAGGGAGGTATTAACGTTTGTTTGGGATGAGAGGGCTAGTAATGAGGCAAGGTTGTCGCGGAAGACATTGAGCGAAGAGTGGCAGGATAAGGCGAAGGTTCTAAAGGTCGAGGAACTGGTTGTAGAGAGCAGGTCTGAGCCGGTGAGCCAGAGCAAGACCGAGGGGAAGAAGAGGCTTGGTGGCGGAGGAGGTGGTGCGGATAAGGAGAGTAAGTTGAAGAGCCTGCTCAATAAGGGGCTTTTCAAACGATAGATTAGATAGATGGGCCATGGGCCATGGAGAGAGCAGCGGTCATGAATGCCTTGGCATGGTTCGCAAACCGCATAATGGGTTCATGAGACATGTGGTAACACAGCGAGCACGGGTAGGTCTTCGAAGGCTATGGCACACAGTCGTAGCTAGGCATAATGTCTGGATTTGGAATTCTCCCTTGGCATGTTTCTAGGACGAGGCTTGCATCGTAGTTCCAATGCACCATTTACTGGGGATTAGCTTTACTTATCCATGATCTATTCCATGCAACCTCTCGAGAATACCTCCATATCAAAGCTGAGTCCAAGTGTCAACTTGTGAGGTACCATGTCTTGTTACAGAATCAATGTCTCGCGCTGATTTGTAATTCAGGTTCAACTGTGACGGTGTGGCAGTCAAGTCCATGAACATAACGGAACAATGCATTCGACATCTATCCGAGTTTCCTAACTGATGGAATCACATCACATACATACGCGCATCACAGGAATCTCGCTGGCGTGAACCGACTTCATTCACATTTTCATGACCGTAAATGACATTGTGCATGGTATCCGTCCCCCATCCCTCATCCTCAGAAGACCCAACCATTTGCATGCCTGCACTTCAGAAACATGCCATTTGTTTTTGTGAATGTGATACTCTATCAATTGCCGTCGTAGACAGAGACCAAACACCCAGACCAGAGAGAGAAGAGGAAAACGACCCCCAGCGCCCGGTTGTTGTGGTTGATTTAGTGACCGGCTCGCCTTGACTCAGCAATGATCTTGGTCATCTCGTCAACCTTCCTCTTCGCACGACCGAAGGTACCGAGCTGTGGGATGTCAGTGGATGTTGTAGTACAGGTGATGCAATAGGGATGTGGATATAGGTAAAGAAGATTCAACATACTCGCTTCTTTGCAAGACGACGGGCACGCTTATCCTTGGAGTTTCGAAGCAATTCAATGACACGCTTTTCGTATGGTGCAAGTCTAGTAACAGCCTAATGTTAGCAAACTACTCAATCTCGCAAGCACCATTGGAATATCCAGCAGTGCAGCTTCTAGCAACGGATGTATGATATCCGCACGTTAGAAACCTGCATCTGCATGGAATCCAACCTGTAAGTGGCTAACGCACCCAGCAACCTCGCGAGTGATCTCCCTCACGAACGCCGTGCGCTTTGACAAGAAACCTTTCCTCCGCGAGATCTTGGGAGCCGGTTGCCTCGGGGTGACCTCTGTTCATCCACTGCAATTAGCGATCCATCACTGCAATATTCGTGCCGCGTTGGAGGGGTGGGAGGGAACGTGAACGTACTGTGGCCGGCATTGAGGCCAAGGGCGAGGCCTGCGGTCATGTCAGTATATATCGCATGCATATTTCGAGATAGAGAGAGTATTTACCAGAGCGCTGCTTCACTTCCTTAGGCATGGTGGCGGTCGTGTTTGTCGTTGAAGTAAAGAAGCTAGAGATTTCGATAATTTGGGCTCGGCGGCTCGCCTGCCAGTGTGGGCGCGCCAAGACCCGCTAGCCGAGATTGGGGTACATCACGTGACAGAGACACCCACTTGCAGGTATGCATGTACGGCTTATGTCGAGTACATGCTACATTTAAGGCCTTGCCATGTAGTCGTATAGCGAGTTGATGAATCATAAGAGTCTGAAGATCCCTCAATTCCAGGTTAACTTGTTAGCAACACGAACTATGGAACCATTCCAGGGATGCCGAATGCCATGTTTGCGACCCACATTTCGAGGTCTCTAATGAATTCATAGAATGTCTATATCAGGCTTCCTCTACTCAGCCATATTCATTGCCTGATCCATCATAAAGCCGACATGGTGGTTAAGACACTAGATCGCCCTCATCACCATAAACGTGAATTTCCAAATACATTCTCCAGTTCTTGACCTTCATGGAAAGGCTATAGCTTAGTATCCGGCTTCCTCCGCTCGGCTAAATTCCTTGCTGCATCCACTACAAAGCCGACATGGTGGCTGAGACACACCAGATCGCCCTCAGCATCATGAATATGAACTTCCAAATCCATCCTCCCGTTCTTGATCTTCTTCAGCTGCACTCGTAAAGCTAGCCACTTGACCCCTTCTGGAGGCAGAACTTTCTTGATGTCCAGGTTTAGTAGTAACGTTGGGTACCAGAAAGGTCCCTGGCTTTGGTCTCTGTACGACTCGATAATCTGTGGAAACATATCGGCAACAAACCCGAGACTGGTATTTGTGAAGTTAGACCCGTCTGTGAAACACAGCCATTCGTCTGCCAGACTCTTCATAGCTTGTCCTTTCCGCGGAAAATGCCACTGCACTCTTGCCGAAGCTTTCCTGAACTTTGGAAACGGAATTTCTTGTCTACTCCAATTCTCATCCTTGTCCTCTTGCAGCTTTTCCAGGTCTACTGGAGGAGGTGGTGGTCGTAGTGAATACCCTGTATCGAATGTGAGGCCTTCCTCGGTATCCATGTTTGAGTTGGTTACATAGGCGATGACCTCCTCCCTCCCTTCCTGGGACATGCGCACATGTACAATGGATGTTTGCCTTCCAAGCTTGACCTCATCGATTTTGAATATTGCTAGCCCGATTTGAGTTCTCCGCAGGAATTCGACGTGGAGAGCGATCGTATGCGGTTGGTTCTGCTTTGCTAGTGCAGTGCTGAAATGCGTAAACACAACCTGCAGTATGCATCCCGTTACATAGCCGCCGTTCGGAACTGTACAATATTAGCTTAGCCTTCTCCATTTATAAGACACGTAATTGCTTACCAGTTCCGATGGTCCAGTCGTCCAATAAATTGCAGGAGTATGTTTTGGAGTCCACTTTCTCGACAGTGGTAGCTTTCTCCCAGAAAGACATGATAGCTTCTATCAATCCCGCAAGATCGGTAGGTTCTGCATGTATTGACAAGCTACATAGTAAGTAGTTGCAATCGAGAATCAGATTGGCGGAAGTTGACCTCGGAAGGCGGTCGGCTTTGATATTAACACTAGTTCTAAAACAGCAAGTGCCTCGGTCAACACCCTGGCCCGCATCATCACTCCGCATCCATCCTTTTGTTCCCTAGGCAAGCCGCTAGGAGAACTCCACACGGCTTGCGATGACTGCAATATGGCTTTCATATTCTTTCCTTCTTCTTTCCTTCTTCTCCTTTCATAGTATAGATAGAATCGTATTGTCTCGCATCCCTTTCTCTCCCTCCTTCATTCAAGATGCCATCTGAATCCCAGTATCCACCGATTGACATTCCCAACACAGACGTATGGGGTTTCTTATTTGAGAGGAAAGATAGGCCATACCCAGATGACAAAGGTCAGTAAGATTCGAAATCCACCTGTTGCCTGTCCAGACAGAATGCTTTGGTAACATTTAAAACAGTGATCTACCAGGATCCTTACACAAATCGCTCATACACATATGCTCAAGTCAAGAACAGCGCGGCCGACTTCGGCAAGGGACTGAAGGCTCTGTGGGACTGGCAAAAAGGCGATGTGCTCGCACTGTATACCCCGAACTGCATTGACACGCCTGCGATCACGTGGGGATGCCACTGGGCCGGAGGTATTTTGAGTCCAGCGAATCCAGGTTATACTGTCGATGAATTAGCTTTCCAGCTCAAAGACTCTGGCGCAAAAGCCATAGTGACACAATTACCATTTATAAAGACAGCAAGAGAGGCAGCGACCAAATCGGGCATCCCAGATAACCGGATTATTATCATTGGAGACCAACGCGATCCGAATGGAAGAGTAAAGCACTTTACGAGCATTCGGAATATTTCAGGTACCGCAAGATATCGAAGGACAAAAGCTAAGCCGGAAGATGACCTGGCTTTCTTGGTGTACTCATCTGGGACCACGGGACATCCGAAGGGAGTTATGCTGACGCATCGAAATATTGTTTCCAATGTTTTGATGCTTCGGGCAGGAGAGGCGGGACATCTTGGTTGGAGCAACGGCCCAAATGGAGAAGGGGATAAGCTGCTAGCCTTTCTTCCATTCTTTCACATCTACGGTAGGTGTTTTAATCTACTCCCAATTTCTAATTCACAGTTCCCCCATATTACCCTACCCCAGACATTCTTCCCCCCTGCTTTCAAACTCGAATTAAAACCAACTAACAAGAGCTAGGCCTCACTTGTCTCATCCACCAAAGTCTCTACTCGGGCCTCCAACTCGTTGTAATGCCCAAATTCGACCTCGAAGACTTCTGTCGCTTCATCCAAGATTACAAAATCACCTTCTCGTACGTCGTCCCTCCTGTCGTACTCATGCTATCAAAACACCCCGTTGTCTCCAAATACGACCTCAGTTCCATCCGAATGATGAACAGCGGCGCCGCCCCTTTGACACGAGAACTCGTCATATCACTTCACAACCGCCTCAAGATCCCAATAAAACAAGGCTACGGGCTCTCGGAAACAAGCCCTACGACGCATACCCAGCCATGGGAGGACTGGAATAAGACAATAGGGGCTGTGGGAACATTGCTGCCAAATCAAACCGCGAAGTATATGAGTCCGGATGGGAAGGAAGTGCCAGTCGGCGAGACAGGCGAACTATGGATCAAGGGTCCCAACGTCTTCAAGGGATATTTGAACAACCCTGAGATGACGGCACAAGCGCTTACGGAGGATGGGTATTTCAAGACGGGGGATGTTGGGTATCAGGACAAAGATGGCCACTTTTACATCACGGATCGGGTCAAGGAACTCATCAAGTACAAAGGTTTCCAGGTTCCACCTGCGGAGCTCGAAGGGATTCTTGTCGCTCACCCAAGCGTGAACGATGTCGCTGTTATTGGTATCTACAACGAAGAGCAAGCTACCGAAGTTCCGCGCGCATATGTTGTTCCGGCGGGAGGGTTAGGCAAAGGAAACAAGGAGGCAGATGAGATTGTGGAATGGTTGAATAGTAGGGTGGCAAGTCATAAAAAGTTGAGAGGGGGGGTGAGGTTTGTGGAGGCGATTCCAAAGAGCGTGAGCGGTAAGATTTTAAGGAGGTTATTAAAGGTCAAAGCGGCGGAGGAGGATAAGGCGAAGAAAGCGAAATTGTAGACTACTTAGTATCGAAACTCTCCTGAAGCTAACGAGATTTTAATTGATCCCATAGATTATATACTCCAGCAAGATTAAATTAAAATTTTGATGGAAGCTCCAGACCTGGAGACTGTAGCAATTCGATTAAAGCTATAATTCAGGCGCAATGGAACTAGGCATGTTCTTGTAACAATATTTATGAAGCAATTTTTTTTAGCGCACAGTTAATGCATGTACCATTAAGCAAGCGAATGTGCCGCCCTTCGGGTGGTTTTTTATTTTTTATTTTAGGTTTCTGAACACCGCTTACTAGCTTCACGGAAGGGGTGATTGAAGCATTTTTGCGTTGATAGTACCTCATACATGTACATGATTTCTTTTAGAATACTAAGAAGTGTGGGGGATACTTACTAATTTCACAAAAGGCGGTCTTTGGATCTTGGGAGATGCCAGTGTACACAAGTATTCCTAGAAGAGTTGAGGGAGAATTATGCTGATTGCGCATCGAGGAAGAACATGATCCCCTTTTAGAATCTGGAGCAAAATGTAATATCTTTGCTGGCTTCGTAGGCTGAGTCCTTTGGATTCTAAGATATTTTTCTGCTCACAAGGAGGTTTATAGGTGCTAAAAGAGGATACGTAAGGGATCAATGCGTTGATGGTGCCTCGAGAATTATAAATGCTCTTTATAAAACCTAAACAGGTCATGAGAGGTTTACTAATTTTCACCCCAAGGCCTTAATCATCCAATGAATGCCATTGTATCCAAGCAATTCATGGGAACTGAACACTCGTTCACTCGCGAGCATTGCATCTATGATCCCCTTATACTTTATGTGCTACCACATTTGAGCTACTGGGAGTGGGAGCCACTTGTAAGGTTCGTAGATGAGGTCTGTGACATCCCAAGTCCGATTGTGTTGCAATATCAGATTTGAAGGATCTAGAAGTGGATGCTTGAGGGGCTGTTGGGCTGCAAACACCTCGGCAATCTGAAGGCTAACTTCTCGGAATGTGTTTGAGGGCGCTGGCTCCTTGCCAAGTCCAGAAGCTGAAGGTTTGGTATCCTGTTTGCTCTGACAGTTTGCGGGCTGGTTTCCAGGAGACAGACATAAAGGTACGTCAGGTATTGTTAGGTAAACCTCACGTTATATAAGGAGTTACGTGCCTAGCAAATAACCTAGCAACGAGCTGAGACATTAACTGCTGTTCTAGGGCTGCAACAAGAGAACCCTTGGGCCATTTGCAGGCTAAGTACCCGTATTGAATACTCTCTGTACAGGTATTGTAGGATGAGAATTAATCTTTATATTGGCTACTATTCCGTGTGCCTTCAGCCCATTTTGGAAAGATATCGAATCGGCAAAATTATAGAAACACCCAAGATACTACTCTCTATTCTGAACACGTCGCAAGAAGGCTTGAAGCGCACTTGCAGGAGAGATATTCGCACTAGTTTCATAATTGGTAGATACGTTAGAGACTTAGTGTATAGTTGTTCCTGCTAACTCCTAGCTATTCGAGAATATAGAGGAAAAAGCTAAAGACTTGGGAGAGAAGCCAGAAACATATCGGCGCGGTAGCTCTAGTTCTGTGGTCCTTCTAAGAGAGCTAATAGTATACTATTATTTGTCAAGACACTTACTAACCCCTTACAGGACGTTTTTCAGTAGCGTATTATATACATACTAACTTCAAACCCTAGCTCAACCACTGCATGAATTAAGAAAGCAAAGATTCTAGGAGAAAGCTAGCAAGATGCCGAAACTGTGTTTCTGGTTCCATAAACCTACCAAGAGAGCTGATGGTACACTATGCTCAGTTAAGATACTTACAGATTCCTTTGCTAGAGATTCCTAAGGAGCTTATGGTAGAGTTGGGACCTCTAGTTTACAGCCGAATCAGGACATGGATCAAGAAGGCAAATATTCGGAGCAAGACGCCGGCGGGACGCCACGGCTGTATTCATTATTCGGAAAGTCTATCTAAACCTCCTACGATGAGCTCTTCCCCCATCCTCTCTCTCTTAACATTCCCTCTCCAACTCCTGCAATACTGGCTAGAAGACGTCGTCTACGACTACATATGTGGCGCGCACTGTGATGACGTTGGTAGGGGTCAGGCTGGCTAGGTACAGCGAAAGAGCTCCAACCGAATCGAAACCCCGCCGACCTGACCCCACCAAGCGGAGTGCAGCTGGCCGAATCCTGGATTCTCCATTGGGACGGTGGGAGCCAGGCACAGCGTTACCCACTGGATCGGGGGGGGGATCTAGGGCCTTTAGTGAAGAATGTGATGTTGGCATCGCGAAAGGTCGCTATGGCCAAGAGGTTGGCGACTGGGAGCAATCTTGGCCTCTCCATGAGGACCGCACCTGGCGGTGCTCTATCTTGCGGTCGGGTACCACCGTCTTGGACAATGCTGCCCCCATCTACACCTGCGAAGCTCCCGGTGCGGAAGTGTTTGTTCACCATCTGGGCTAGCTCGAACTGGATCTTAGTGATCATCATCGGTGGAAAGCCGTTAAATATAGCATTAATTTCAACTCCAAGTAGGCCAGGAGCGAGTGGAAGGACCCTGAACGGCGGATTTGGGCCACTCTCTGTATTGTACTGGTTCGCCGCGTTGATCGTCGCCCAGCCCAGAAACAGGAAGGGATTTAGGAACTCAGGCGGCGGGAAGGGAGATTTGGAAGGTCCCATCTTGATGTGCCGGGAGGACATTATAGCTATGAGGTATTAGACTGGCTCTGGCGATAACCATAAATCGGATTGGACTTCCTCAAAGCTCACAGATAAGTTGAAGGAGGCCAGCAGCAAGAAGTCAGGTAACTCCGTCGGTGTCAAGACAGTGATGTGGACAAAGAAAAGAGTTAGACGACAGCGCCAACGCCGAGCTCAAGTGGTTTGGGCAATACAAGTTGTCAGAATGCGAAGAAACAAGGCAAAGACCGCACTGTAGCCGAGAGTGAAAAAGGTACGGTAATGAACAAGGCGACGGCCTCAATATCGAAAGAATTGTGAAGTGAGACGGAAGCAGCAAGGCGGAATCGGGGAACTGTGAGAGGCGAAGAAACAAGTCAAATGGCCGCACCGTTGTTAAATAAGTTAGGTATAAAGGGGACCCGTGACAATGTTGGTAGGGAGACAGCTGTAAGGTGAGGTCGAAGCGGAAAGGTGGCACTGGCAGGCTGTGAGACGATGAAGAAATACGCCAGATGACCGCCTTTCCGTCAAGGAATTGAGATAGGCAAGGAAAAGAGGCAGATGACTGCGTTAATTCGAGCAGCGCTTTGGAGCGAGGCTGAGGAGACAAGGTAGGAGCGGTCAGATGTGAGTTGGTGAAGAAAATAAGTCAGATGACCACACCTACGCCGAGAGGGTGAGGTATGAAAGGAAACACTTGACGCAACGGAGATTTTGTTTATTCAAAAGGGTAGGCGGAGGGAATTTCTCGATGGATCCCTTCACCAACTGCCACCACAGGCAACGAGCGCCCCGCTATTGTGGCAGGCTACCACTCCCTCAGGAACTGTTCGAAAAGCTGCGCAAGTATGTCCTATACAAGGAGTTCAATCTCAATTCTTTCTGCCTTCGGGTGTCTTGTCACCGAGCAACGATACAGAGAAGATTGACATGACCGCTGCACTAAGGATGACACGCTGAACTGAAGAGAAGCAACTATATGTTGCACTTTTTGGACCAGGGCTCAATTCATAGTGGCAGAAGATAGTAGAGGCTTTAGGCATTCCTTTTTGCCCCAAGGACTTAATTGCCAATCTACAAGGAGGCAACTTCCCCCAGTAGGAAGGGCTTGTGACCAAGGGATAACTTGATACAAAGATATATAATTAAACCTAGGATATTCAAGGACATTTTAGAGCTTCCCATGCTCTGAATCTATGTGGAAAGGGAAAGGAAGAGCATTTGAGGCACTCGAAATAGAAAAGCTAATTCAGGAGCACTGCGTGCAAACTCGTACCGAACTTTAGCAATTGATGACCCTGATAATTAGAGAGAGCCCTAATAACGTAGAGAAAGTGACGAGAACAAATGTGCACACATACACCACAACTATCACGCTCCTCTTACAGTACATCTGGGATGCCGCCATCTCGAAGCCACCTTTCCCTACTCCGCACGACGGAGCTCGATCTCGGTGTCCTCCCAGTGCTTGACCCTTCGACGACTTCTGCTTCAGCCCGTACACCTGCATTTACATCTGGAGTGGACGAGATAAATACTACTGGATCCGTTCCAAGGTGAACGAAGACTTCGCCGCAATCTCCCTCAAGAACGCCAAGGCTGACATAAGACAATACATCGCCGTCCTCTTCCTTTGCAATTTCTTTAAAGATTGTGTTGACGCCGCGTTCAGTATCTAAGGGAAAAAGAATATCAAAACATCTACGGGAGGGACTTTTGCTAAGTTGGCATATGAGGGCCTTGCATGATATAGTCCAGGAGCAATTTGTTCAAGGGTGGGAGGTGCGATCAACGGGACAAGGTGGGGAAGACGAATTCAAAGAGGATTATATTCCGGTACCTGTTCCAGTCGGCCGCAAAGGCTTGGGGGCAGGTCCGGTTTGATAAAGACAATTTCTAGGCAATTAGCCGGAAGAACACAGACGCGAGTGGAGACATGGGAAGGTGGAGCTAGAGGAGGGAAGGCGGAGGAACCGCGGGAGATGGATCCTCGCTATTGGTGGCGGTAGATTTTGGTATGCCTTTGGGGAGTTGTAAGAAACTGGCAAGGGGGTTAGCAGTGGGGCCTAAAGACTAATTGGAGTGGAGGATGACAATGGCAGAGTTTACGGGTTGACAGATAGAGATAGAGATGACCTTTGCGCGGAGATGAGCATGATTGTAACAGTATTTAGTATCCAGCAACGAGTGATCCGCGCCTTTAATTGCTATATGGATTGTCAATTATGTACCTACCTTATAGCCTGTGATAGGTTTGAAAAGGAGGGCACCTCCTATAGTCTATTGACCGTACATTGGGAGCATTGGGGGAACAGGATATAGCGGAACCTCTACTTGCTAGATCTACACGAAGGAAATCGAGACACTGTTTCAAGCCTTAAGTTACTCTCTCCAAGCTGTTCTATGCTTTTGGAATGGTGATCTCACTGTTGGACATGTTTGACACAAGCAAGCAGAAAGGAGGACTGAGTGTTGTAGATAGGGGCTCATCTACTTATTGGGCTGTTTAGAAGTTAGGATTTGGGGTGGAACTTGGGCACAGGAACGAATGATGGCGAAGTTGAAGAGTTGAAGTGCGGGCAGAAGTAACCCCTGGTTCGAAAAACATTGTGTGACATTGTCTCGGCGTCTGAAACAGGCTTAGTGATGACGTCGGGCTGCACAGTTGTGCCGGGGTCTCACAGAAACAGCAAATGCTCAATCGTGTTTTCAAGACGGCAATTGAGATGGAGAACAGCCAGGAAAATTCAATGGCCGAATGGCCTGACAGACACAGCAACGGAGGCCATTGTCCACCCTTAGTTCGCCAACGACGAGTCCTCTGGCGTTCTTGACTTCATTGCTTGTTTTCACACTGTCCCAATGGACTGGAGGCTTAGCAAAGCTTAGCATTTATTAGCTTGGGACCCTTGGAGATCTTCGGTTCAGCTGCCTTGATTCTCGCCCGCCTTATCCCCAGCCTCCCAACTGTCGCTGTGCCTTTCGTATGTCGCGGCCTGTCGGCAACGCTCTAGCACTGGTTGGATGTAGCCGAACCATTGTTCAGCCATTTTGCGTTGCGCGTTTTCATTTCCGGCTCTCGCCTTTTAAGTGCAGCTTGCACCACCGCGATCAGCCCAAGCTTCAACTCATTCCCCTGGACTCAACATCTTCCAATAATGTCTGAGGAGAAAGAGCACCAAGAAGCTCCGGCTATCAATGGCAACACACCTTATGTCGCGACCAAGACGGAGGGCAGCAGCGATCAGGCTCAACCTTCAGAGAAGCCACAAAAGCAACGAATGGAATCGGGGAAACAAAAGGGCCCAGCTGGCGGATTCGACAGCACCCCCATACCCCGAGCGCCGCCTGGCTACACAGTCAAGATCACCTTCCATCGCGCGACGAACCTCCCAGTCGCAGACATTAATACGATCTCCTCCGATCCCTACATCCTCGCGCAGGTAGATACGGGTCTCGTGATGCGACATAAGGAAGACCCCCCGCTGGTATTGCGAACAAAGACAATTCGCCAGAACACAAATCCAGAATGGGAGACAGAGTGGGTATTGGCTAATATCCCATCCTCGGGGTTCAAAATGAAGTGCCGCATCTACGACGAAGACCCTGCCGATCACGATGACCGTCTTGGCAATGTTCACGTCGATGTCGGCCCGATAAATGAGAATTGGCCTGGGATAAAAGATCAAGAGTACCCGGTGAAGAAGCGGATGGGAAGCAAGCGTGCATATTTGCTGCGCAGTTTGGCTGTCTGCTTTGGAAAGGTCGAGCACATGAACGGCCATCTGTGGGTTAGTGTTGAGGTGCTCGGGAAGACCCAGGACGAGAATGGTGGGCGTGCATACACAATTGGTCCTCAATACTGGATACGACATTACTCGCCGCTGCTGGGACGGATCTTGGGACAAAAGACGCCCGGCGAGAACGAGAGTTCGGGGACTGGCAAACCCGGGGCTTCGAAATACAAGTATGTTCTCACTAGCAGCTTACTCGCAGACCCTAACAACATGTAGTTTCCAAGCGAACCAAATGCAGCTCCGCGGGCCGGTTCCCGATGCCATGTACCACCGCTATGTTGAATTCAAGCCTTTCGTAAAGGCAATGTTTACATCTAAGGGCGTCAGGGGCTACATTCTATCGAAAGCGCTACACCACCAGCATGCGCGCGTTTACAACTTCGATTCCAATACTGAATACGAGGTGTTCCAGGAGCCGTGCAGAGAGTTCACACAGAAGTTCCTCGATCTAGTGCATCATGATCAAGGTGGGCGCATATTTACTTACGTCCTAACCCTCGACTCCCTCTTTCGCTTTACGGAAACCGGTAAAGAATTCGGTATCGACATGTTGTCGAAACACACCATGCATAGCGACGTATCCACGTACATAGCGTTTTCTGGTGAATTCTTCATCCGGCGTCTTAAACATAAATATCGCGAGCCACCCGAGGAGGGCGGTCACAACAAAGCGCATCCTCCAGACGAGATCTCTGACGGTCCTCCAAACGACGAGCCGAAGAAAGACCCAGGGTACTATGAGCTAGTGATCGACAATGACTCCGGCACGTACAGGCCGAACGCCAAGCTTCTCCCGGAGCTAAAAACCTTCTTTGAACATAACTTCCCGGGTCTCCATGTCATCACTCTAGATTGCCAAGCGGATGAGGAGAAAATGGGCGAGATGAAGGAGCAGCAGCGCGAGCGGAAGAAGAAGGAGGGTGATCATATTGTCTACACACAGATATCCCGCACGAGCTCAATGAGTAGTAGTGACGTTGAGGAGTTAGACCGTATGGAGCAGGCTGGTCAGATGTCGGAGCGACACCTCAGACACACAATAAAGAGAGAGGCAGGTGCGAAGATAGATGCAGCAAAGTTCCATTTGAAAGATTATAAACCCAGTAAAAATCGCGAGGGATGGAGAGGTTCAAAACACCAGCCTGGGCAGGATGATGAGGCTGTTAAGACGGCGAGGGAAAACCATGAACAAGCGGGAGAGGCTTCAACTTCTAAAGAGAAGAAGGAGGATTCAAGGTAGTATATCTAGAGAGGTTCTTTTTCTCTTCAATGTCTAGTTTTCATTTAGTGCGTTTATTTTGCGGGCTTTCTTGGAAGATTTGTTTGGGCGAGCATTGTGTAGCAGATGAACAAGTTTGGCTTGACTTGGACTTTCTTTGGACATTTCCTTCTCTGCGATACCCGCGATTTCATTGGCAATGCGCATCACTTGCATCTTTCCTCCGGCTACCTACAAGCCCAGTCTTAATGCGTAGCTTCGCTTCACAGCGTCTCTTTAATCCCATCACACTGTATCAAATAAATACAAATAAACCCAATCCCCTCACTCCCACAAGCGAGCAACTAGCGCTTCAATACTCACTCATAATTTTCTCATCACCGATCCGTCCTGAGAATAACACCGTCCTCCTCTTGATGCGCCAAATCCCGCTGGCGCCTTGCACACCCTCGTAGTCGCCGTCTTTCGCATCGAAACAAACAAGCTCGTCGACATAGCGGCCGTATGCGGAGAGCACTTTGCCTTGATGGGGCCCCTGACCTAGATGATTGCCGATGAAGTAGGTGACTGCGTTTGCCGTCTTGCCGTCTTGGCCGAATATAATTGTTTGGGTAGTTAGGTCGTGATGTGTGCGAATTGGGCCTAGCCTATATATATCCATTATTAGGGGATGCTGGTGAACGTCTAACTAACGTGATGTGCGTGTGACTTTGTTTCAATTGGAAGCCGCCAGGGGCAGGGTAGGGACAGATAGGGCCAGGTTGAGGTTTACCTTTTTATAATAGCATCTCTAACAGTATCCACGCCCTTCATGTCAGTGTTGAAGGGATAGTTTGCGACAACGCCGGGCACAAAGACTTTGTCGAGCAGGTCGAAGATCTTGGTGTCCAGCGCTTCGCAGTAGCGCGAGAGGACGTTGCGGATTGCGAGGTGGTCGTGCATGTTGACTGCCATTTTAAAGGTGGAATGGACTACACGCAGGGAAGAGGGAGAGGGTGCCTTGAAGGAATTCGGCCTTGGAAGATCAGATGGGTTTCTGAGTAGTGAGTAGTATAGAGTAATAGAGCGTGATGCAAGGTGCGGAGTTGATCGGAACCCCATGACCGACGTGTGACGGAATTGGACGCGGATACGATGACCTCTCCACAGGAGGTTTCCCTCCATATGCCACAGCACGATTTACTTTCAGGGTTGGCTTCCACATCCTAGATTGTAAGAGGTTTTAATGTCGACCGTGTGGGAGTGTCTAATCCGCGCCGCGTGGGCTAACTGCTTTCGAAGTGGCTTGGAAGCCTAAGGAGAATTCGGTATGAACACTCGTTTGACTTTATCCTCAATTCAAAGGCTTGCACTTGTTTCTGTGGGCAACTTCTACTATTAGCGATGGAAAATACGACCTTCCGAAAACGGCAGGCTTCTGGAAATGGGCCTTGTCTGCGAGCGCGTGGAAACCCCGAATTGAAGCGTGCCTGTCGTTATTCATCAGACCTCATCTCCTTACCAAGTCACCATTCAATAGCTCCTCCGTACAGCATCGCGGTTTAACATAGCCATCTTTGTATCCCCGCTGCGCATAATGCGTGTACTTTTCCTTTCTCGACTCCCTTCTCTAGAGGTACCACGCTTTCATCAATCTCAACAGTATTCAGTACCACATCGCAATGCCCTTTTCAGAGAAGTAAGAACCCCATGAACAAATATCCCTTTACAATGGCCCAAGCTATCCATGAATGGAGCCAAGTGCAACCTTCCGTCAACCAGGTATCCGGAAAGGAGCAAATGAGCAAGCTCTCAGGAGGCCTTGGTGCGACACAAGGACATCTCTGTGGCCCATGGCAACGCAAGGTACGCCCATGTCAGATGTATCAGCATTCTTCGATTGAGGCACGTTGGAAGCAGCCCATTGGTTTGGGACCTAATGTCGGTAGAGACTCGGGCGGCTGCGAGGTGCTTGCTTTGTCGGCTGTGGAAGTCATGCATGCAGGTGCTGCTGAAAACTGCTCGCCAGGAGTCGGAACAGAATGAGGTCATGCAGCATTGATGGTACCTGGAAAACATTCAACTGTCAGACCGCGAGAAGGATAGAAATATGATTGCCAGCTTGATCAGATCGGAGAATTGCGCAAACATGCAAGACGGGAGGCACTCAAGGAAATCCTTTAATCACGTGGTGCGCTAGCACTAGTGATGATTTTCTAAAGAGGTCTCAGCAAGCAAGCTTCAAGTATCTCGGAGTATATGGGTGAAAGGTAGCTATGTGCCATCCTCGTTTCCATGTATACCATTGCTAATTGAGCTAGGCAGAAGCATTTTGTTATTGCTCATAGACTCGGACTTTGGAGAACCTTGAGCCGAGTCTTGTACAGACAAAATTTGAGTGGCACGGTGACAAAGTACAACACCCGTTCTTGTACGCCCTTTTCATCCCTTGAGCCGTTCCCTACATCAGCATCTGCCCGCCCCGTTGGCAGCGCGGGAGACTGCATAGTTGCGGACTTGAGCCTCAGACCACGCAAAATTTCATCAAAAATGGAGAGAACACTCAATACAGTCCTTCTGTAACGACGCCTAAACAATCCCATGGCTAGCAGCCCAGTGACATATCTTCACCGTCCAATTACAGACCCTGCTCATTAAGGGCCTACCGACTCATCGCTCGGCGTGTCCAGAACCCCAAATCGATTCTCGGGACTAAGGTGATCACTTTTTTCCTGCCAAGCTTCTGCTGGTGTATAAATCACCCGTGAGCGAGCTCACCGACATATCAATACCACACTCTCCTTACTACATTACTCGACACTCACACAACACCTCAACATAACGCTTCAAAATCCCGTACCAACCTAACATGGAGCTTCCGCAAAAACCACTTCCGTTCCTACCAGAGGAGGGCAATATCAGTCCTTCGGACCACCCGAAGGTAGCTGAGACCAGCTTCGACGGGATGTGTTCTGTAGATCCAATCGCTCTTGGGTTTAATCAAAAAACTACACGTCGGCTCCGCCGAAAGATTGACTATTGCCTGATTCCGTTCCTGGCCCTCCTATATCTGTAAGTCATTCCTCACGATGCTTTTTATGTTACGCTGGCTGAAATTCCCCTAGGCTGAGTTTCCTTGATCGCTCTAACATTGGTAATGCCCGCTTGGCTGGTCTTGAAAAGGACCTCAAGATGGAGGGTCTCCAATACAATGTGAGAGAAAACATTCGCCTTCTTCGGAATGCTCCAGCTGCTAACCACGAAATAGAATGCTCTGGCCATATTCTTCCCGTTCTACGTTCTCGCAGAAATTCCATCTAACTTGATGATGAAACGTCTCCGACCGAGCATTTGGATTCCGACCATTATGGTAGCCTGGGGAACCATGTGCTGCCTTATGGGCGTGGTCAGGAGTTACCGTGGACTGCTAGCTATTCGTGCCGCTCTCGGTGTCGCTGAGGGTGGACTATTCCCAGGCATCACCTTCTAGTAAGTTTACACAAACCAAAATCCGGGTTTCAATCTAGGAAATAAGATATTAACATTACACACACAGTATCACCATGTGGTACCAGCGCCACGAATGTGGTCTCCGTATGGCCATCTTCTTCTCTGCTGCCACTGCTGCAGGCGCCTTCGGAGGGTTGCTCGCCCGTGCTATTGTCGAACTGAATGGCCACCATGATCTTAGTGGTTGGTCTTGGATCTTCATCATCGAAGGAGCTATTACTGTGCTAATTGGTGTGTCTTACTGTCCTCGACCCCTCGTGGCTTTTCTGTGTAGCGTGTTCTTTCAATAAATGCGTTGCACAATCAACGGCGCACCTCGAGCTAACACATGTGATTTCAGCAATCGTCGCATACTTTGTCATGCACGACTACCCTGATACGGCTAAGTTTCTCACTCCAGTTGAGCGTCACGAAGTGAAGCGCCGTTTGGAAGTCGATAATCGATACCTCGATGACAAGTACCAGTTTAAGTACTTCACTGACGCCGTATGCGACTGGAAAATATGGGTCCACATGTTCATCACCATCGGAATATTCTCCCCGCTCTACTCATTCTCACTGTTCATGCCAACCATCATCAAAGGTCTTGGTTACAAAGACAACGCTGCGCAGCTGATGACCGTACCTCCATATGTTGTGGCCTGCTTATTCTGCATCGCTGGAGGTTGGGCTGCGGATAAGCATTGTCAGAGGGGTATCTACATGATCGGATTCAACCTATTGGCGCAAGTCCGACCTTTCCTTTCTCAACTATTTTAGCCTTGTGCCTCCTTCAACGCTCACCGCTTCTCCTGACATCACCTGCCCAATATACAGATCACTAATCCCTACACCACAGCATCATTGGTTTCATCCTTCAAATCGCCTCGTCATCGCACAATGTCAAATACCTCGGTACTTTCTTCGCCGCCGCCGGCATTTACCCCAACGTTCCACAATGCGTTGCTTGGAATGGTAATAATATCGGCGGATCTACCAAACGCGCTGTCGGCATCGCTATGCAAGTTGGCTTTGGCAACCTTGGTGGCGTGCTCTCTGGATTTACATACACTGTCTATGATGCTCCAAAATATGAACGTGGACACGGCACAGTCATCGGTCTCCTCGCTATGTCCACAATTCTGTCAGTTTTCATGAGACATTGGCTCCGCCGCGAGAATCGAAAACGCGATCATGAGGATGCCAGGGTCAACCATGGAAGTTGCTGGCCAGTGGCGGACATGTTTGCGCAGCGTGAATTAGGGGATTCTGCTGGCTTTTTCCGGTATACTATCTAGTTGCGTTATAGAGTCTTCTCGGGTCTTTTTTCCTGCTCTCCTGGCAGCCCTGATCCTTTCCCTCCTAAACGAGATTCCGGCTGAAGGATTGCTAGGGGAGCCACTATTAATAGAGACTAGGCAATTCTTATAGAATAGGGTATAGCAATGCAAAGCGCAGATGTGCTGCTTGCTTCGCTTTGCTGTATGGACGAGGCTATTTAGTCAAATAACTTATCAAGCGTCTTTAGATACAGGTTCAGTTATAGTAGATCTGGCTTAGGGTCTTGTTGTATCCTTCCTGACTTGAAGACGGCCCTATTGATTATTGTTGTTTGATTTTATAACAGATTTAAGCGTTACATGGTAGGTTTACCATCATGCAGCTGGTGTCTAGAGCCTTACCCGCCTCAATTGTTGAGAGCTAGGATGCTTCCGCATGCCTAATTCCATAATTATGGGCTTACTAGCATCTGTATTGCATTCTATCCATTCTATACACCTCCTGGACATGGTTGAAGCGTGTAGCGGTAAACGAAGTTTGTGCCCTTGTATGTGGAAAGTGCTTTCGTTCGGGACTTAGGAGACCTGCGGAACACTGGGCAATGCGAGCGTGATTCGAAATCACAAGACGTTGAGTATGTTGGATATGGGATGCGAGAACGATATGAGAGCACTAGACTAAGGCGCATGAGTTAGGATCACTATTTAGACCTACGCTATTGGGAAACCCTGAAGTTATAACATGTTAATGGCTCACTTGGGATAGCTTTGGTTCAGCCGGCTCGTCCTTGGAATCCTGGCAGGCTTTGTTGGGTGAAATTGATATGCCTTCGCTTGTTTAATATCAGAGTTTGCTGACTCGATATCGTGTCTTCGTCTGCTAAAAGTGGATCGCATGAGGTTGTTTGGAAATGGAAACAGAATGCATTAAGAGCACGCGTAGAATATTTCTGATGTGCTGGATTGTATGGGCTGATGCGTGTATTTCGAATATCGGCTGTCCTCCTTCGCGCGCGGCGACCTGAGGAGAGCACGACTTTACTTCTGCGAGCAACCGATAGCCACACTGTGTAGAACTTGACTTGGAGTGAAGAGATACTGTATAATCATGCTATGGTAGGGAGATGAGTGGAATAAGCCTCAAGCATTATGCAAGCAGGAGGAAGAGACGGAAAGAACCGACTACCTCGCACCAAGGAACATCCCTTGCGGCCCATTTGGGGCAAGACACAAAGGCCTCATACCCTCTCCATTCGTCTTCCTCCTCTCGGGCGGCTCGGCACGTATGTAGACTTCTCCGATTGCATCATGTTCTTCTCTATGAACCCGCCATTTTCCCATGCCAAGTTCATTTGGTGCCTTCCTTACCCCTCTCCCTCCCCCTCCAACAATCAAGTTCCCTGGTCTATAACCCGAATCTGCTTCCATTCTTCTAATGACGCTAGAATGGATTACTGCGCTTTCGGGAATGTCGCGAACTTCACCTTTAGGTAATGGCCAGGTTATGCTTTTCCAAGACCCGTCTTCTTGCAAGTCCATACGTCGGAAGGGAAGGTATTCCATAATGTTCCAGGAAATGACCGAAAGCTTGGAGGCACCGTTGTGAAATTGGAGCACATCGTGGATTTTACCGCAGGTAGCAGCATCGCGCAGAATCCTGTGGAAATTGGTGTTGTGCCAGCGATGATGATGCGTAGCTAAGGTACTCTCTTCTTCACTGACCCTGATGGTGGGCTCGCCTAGTCGATAGCCGAGCGTGGACACTTCACGTTCGGGGCTGGGAGAGGCCGGATCAATTTCGATTGTCGGCACCGGATAAAGAGTTGCACGTTGTGGCTCGGGTTCTTGAGTGGGTTCCTCATGGCTGCAATTAAGTATGCGGAGTTTGACGTTGTCGAAGGAGAGACCTGCACGTTGAGCCTCACGAACCATCCAGACAAGAGGAACATGGCTTAGGGCGGAGTCTTCTCCCGGGCCAAGAGGCCAACCACCTCCAATATCCTATCATTATTAGTGGGGTCTTGGAGGAGCAGTGGACAAATGGCGCTTACAGCGTGACACCCCGCAAACCACACTTCTTGAATGTCTTGTTCATCTTCCCCGTCTGAGTCTGAGTCATCGTGGCGTTGGATTGCTGTCAATGAGATATTGGAGATTGAAGACGCGGCGGATACCGGATGGGACACATCGGAAAGAGAAATCCCAGGACTTAAGTTTCGAATTCCTGCCGTTTCTGAGTGATCACGATACCGCTCAGGGACTACCAGCGTATCCCGCCTGCCTGACGGGTACCACTGGCCCACGTCAGACGGCTTACGTCCTCTAGTTTGCTCTTCATGCTCAGCATCATGAGTTCCCCCTGAACTCAGATAACAGTGATGTTTACAGCGACGCTTGTACTTGTGTGATTTGTTTGGTTTCATCTCCGAGATTAAGTCTTGTCGAAATTTCGCTCGGCGCTCATCAATTGCGACAGCATGGCGAATGACCTTGGCAGAGCTTCGAGCTGTGTATGGAAACTTGCTTCTCTGCATCCATGCATTCTCGAACTTCGGCACGCTGTTTACTGTGTCGAAAAGACCAAGGAAGCGTATGCGACGGACAGGCCGGCTGAAGGTTTCCCTGAATGCGCACATAAAGTCTAGGAGGTACTTCTTCTGTGCTTTTTCTTCGGCGCTGCGTTCTTGGCGGCATTGCCATTTCTGGAATGTCTTCCAAGCAAAACTGCACATCTCCTCATTTCCAGCCTGCTTTGGTTAGTCGTGGGCCGTAACGAAGTAGATCTACTTACTGATAGAAGGCCAACATGATCCAACATCTCAGCGAGGAACCGAGCAGTGTATGCACCACGGGAGAACCCGAAGAGATATATGTCATCCCCAGGTAAATAGTATCGCATTAAGAACTACCGAGCGTCTTATTAGCGCAGCCGTTGGGGCTGAGAAGCATTATACTCGCCTTATACCCTCCCATCACATGTGCGTCGAATGAAGTACCTAGTTTACTAGCGATTAATGTGATGCCAGATCAAGGATGAAGTGTCCAACATACCTACCGCGCTGTCTTTAGCCTTCTGGTACCAGGATTTCAGCCTGTCAAAGCGACTGGTATGCGACAATGATTTGGTAATAACATATGTTCCAATTCCTGGCTGATAATAGTGGAATTGGTCATTATCGTTGCGATCCAACATACGGTAAATCTTGAGAATGTTTGAATCTGCATCAGTACCGGAGAATTTATTTCCAGTTCCGTCAAAGCAGAGGATGAACTTCTTCCTTCTTTGGTGTCGCTGCACAGTAATGACGGACTCCATCTCTTCCTGCTGGATTTGTTGATGCTCTTCAAATGAAGTGCTAGAAAGATCGAGGTTTTGAGGAGCCATCTTAAGGGGTCGAAGGTAGACTCCCCGGTAAGAGACAAGAATGTATGGGGAACAAGCTTGCCGCAACGGCGATGTCAAGAAGCGAATGTGAAGGTCTAGGGGAGGTGCGCGGGGACTTAGCGGCTGGAGAAGTATTCTCCTAACAGACAAGGAATGACAAGCACGCAGATCCCTTACAAATGCCGATTGCTACCGGAAGCTTGTAAGTGATCAGCAACTACCAGGTTAGCGAAAATCATGGAGCAATATGGATCGAGCATCTCTGTTCAACCCGCAATTTTCCAAATAAGGAAATTGACCTCAACTCCCATCCAACCCACCATGGCCATTCTTCTCTGCTTATTATTGAGCTCCCAGCTGACAGAAAGCCAAGCAACTGTTATCTAGTGGCGCTCCATTGAGGGCTTGGGCAGGTGCATTCCCCGCCTTTTGCGCAACGTTGGAGTGGGACTTGTGAGTGAGTGTTATTATTGAGAGTTTGATGATCGGCCTGGCTCTGTTAATTGCTTGATGTCAGAGGTTGCAGTATGCAAGAGGTGTGAGTAGGTTCGGCTAGGATGATTGAGTACTGCAAAGGTGGGACGGGAACGGTTCCCAGACGGTGGAACAATGCGTGACTCGGGTAGTGGGCGCAACAATAACGCGAGCTGTGCATCAATTGGCGATGCAATGCGTTAGTGACATCGTTCGAAAGAGATGAGAGGTGGGCATTTGGCTGTCTGTGAAGTGTGAGGTTGAGAAAAGCATACATCATCCCTGAACAAAACCCTGGTAAGAGTCATTGTCGGTGCCTCGGTCCGTTCCTATCCTTCGCTTCCTTCGACTAACGTCAATAACAGCCCGTTCTTGTACCCTTTGTCGATTCTCATCTTCGTCCTCTCTACGCTCGATTTGTCTCTGTCGAAGGTGCTGCGTCCCTGCTACAGCGAAGTGATGGCACCAGATCTGCAACAACCTCCCAAGTACTCTCGTTTTCCACCAAATCGCTGGTTTCTCATCCGATCCAATCGCTGCAGCCCGAGTGGAGACCCCGGGTTCAGAGTGACCATCTGCTGCATCTCGCATGCACATTTTATTGTACTGGCAGAACAAGCAGCATGTGTTGGCTATTGGCGTATTTGAACAAGCCACGCCTACGCATTGACCCCTCGATGTGCGTTTCCTGATTGCCGACTGCAGTAATCCTTCGCTTTCATCCAACAATGCTTCATCGGACGCGATGATCCGCTTTACTTTTCCTAGTTCCCGTAGCTATGCCCTTCTCATCACACTCCATCTATTTTTTGGGGGTTAAGTCTTAGCTTCAGGGAGCAGGGCTTCCTGACGATATGCAGGACTGACGGACCTCAGTGTGTTTGCCATTCCTTGCCCTGTCTTGAATATAGGCTTCATTATGCCAGTATTCCTGGTTCGAGCCCTTCACAATAATTTACCATATCAACGATGGACGAATGGCAGAGATTGCACGACTTGTGCTTTCGGATAGGTAGCTGGCCGGGGCATTCCCATGGGTAAGGAAGCTGATATGCACCTTTAAAACTGGTTTCACAAACTGTGGATCGAAGGCCGTATTGGGTTGCAACATCTATTGTGTTCGTGCTATGCTCAGCCAGCCACTTCCATCATGATTATCATCAGTTGCATCATGCAATATCATGTCTTCAAATTCCAGTTGCATTGTCTCAGATTGCCGAAACGAAGCTGCCTCGGACCGGGGGGATTCAATAGAATGAGGGTTCAGTATTTACTGCTGGGTCGGGAAACTCCTAAGGGTAAGAGTGGCGCTGATCCTGGAGGTACCGACCGATGATGTGGACCATGGGGCGTATTAACAGTCTCATTTCTTCTGGCACGCCCTCTTTATCCCCCGCTGCACGCTTCAATAATCTTCTCCCCACTTTTCATTTCTATTACTTTCTCGTCAAATACAAGAAACGCAATGCTTCGCAGATTGTCTAAAACGTTTCGGAAAGACCGTAAGAAAGAGAAAGGAGAAGTAAATGGATTTGCTGAGGAAAATGATAATGTCAAGGAGTCTGAGCCAGAGCACGTGGATCACTCCTCCGAACGGGAGGGTGTGAGCTCAACGTTTGCACAGTTCGCCCAGATCATCCACGCATCTCACAGACCTCTCCCAACACAGACCGGAGATGGCTCCTATCTCAATAAAGAAGAACCCAGCGGGCTTTTAGCAGATATCAAGAAGATGGGGTTCAAGGATGTCGCGGCTTTGAAGGAGGTCATTGCGAGCAAGGCCAAAGGGGAGCTCGTGGATGACAAGACTTATATCATGGAGCGTGTGATTCAGGTATCATCCCCGATACATAATTTTATCATTACTAAGTACCATATCTAGCTTGTGAGCGGCCTTCCTCCGCTATCGAAGAACCGTGTCGAATTGGTCAGTCACGAGTCTTATTAAACGACTTACTCCCTCTGATTAACCTTAGACCAATGCGTTCGTTAATGAGCTATGGAACTCTCTCCAACACCCACCTCTATCGTAAGTACTAAACTTTTTTCTCCAATGCGCACAAATCTAATGTGAGAGCAAGGTACCTTGGGGAAAAATTTACGTACCGTCAAGCGGATGGGTCTTACAACGTAGGTAACTCAAGCCTGGCCTCCAGTTCCGGAGCTAACTTCCATAGAATATCATGTTTCCTCATCTCGGTGCCGGTGGGTTGCTCCATCGACATGTCCTTTTGATTGTTCTTGCAGCCCAACTAACACTCTTCCAGCAAACACTCCTTATGCTCGCAGTGTCCAGCCCAAGACGATTCAGCCAGGAGCCCTTCCAGATCCCGGGCTTGTATTTGACAGCATCTTTGCACGGAACACGTTTACAAAGCACCCAAACAACGTCTCAAGCATCCTTTTCTACTGGGCGTCTTTGATTATACACGATCTTTTCCAGACCGACCACAAGGATATCACCAACTCTCAGACTTCCTCATACCTAGACCTTTCTCCGCTCTACGGAGACAATCAGGAGGACCAGAACAATATCAGGACGTTCAAGGACGGCAAATTGAAAGCTGACTGTTTCTCTGAGCAGCGCATGCTAGGGTTCCCTCCTGGATGTGGCGTCTTGCTGATTATGTTCAATCGTTTCCATAATTATGTGGTAGAGCAACTTGCCATGATCAACGAGAATGGTCGTTTCACTAAGCCTAGTGACAACCTGAGTAGAGAAGCGACTGAGAAGGCTTGGGTGAAGTACGATAACGATCTCTTCCAGACTGGACGACTCATCACGTGCGGGTTGTACATGAGTAAGCGTTAACCGTAAACCCCTTACTCACCTGCCTTAACACTGACGCATCAATCGAGATATTACACTGCTTGACTATCTCCGAACAATCGTCAACTTGAATCGAAGCAACACCACTTGGACTCTCGATCCCCGAGTGGATATGGAAAAGCTCTTTGGTAAAGACGGCACTCCTAGGGGAGTCGGTAACCAAGTCTCTGCCGAATTCAACTTGGTATATCGCTGGCACTCGGCCACTAGTCTTCGAGATGAAGAGTGGACGGAGGCCATGTACAGAGACATGTTCGGCAAGCCTGCGTCCGAGGTCTCAATGCACGAGCTCATGATGGGCCTTGGCAAATGGGTTGCTGAACTGGATGCTGATCCTCAGAAGCGCCCATTCGCTGGACTTCAACGTGGATATGAAGGGAAGTATAGCGATGACGACCTCGTCACAATTCTTGTGGATAGTATCGAGGACTGTGCTGGTAAGTTGCATCTCGCAGTGTTGGATTCTGAAGCCGCTTATCATTAGACAGGTTCTTTCGGGGCCAACAACGTGCCCAAGGCCCTGCGCGCAGTAGAAATCATGGGGATGATGCAAGCTCGAAAATGGGGGCTCGCGACTCTCAACGAGTTCAGGAAGTTCTTCGGGCTTAAGCCTCACGACACGTTCGAGAGCATCAACTCCGACCCTGAGGTCGCGCGTCAGCTTAAGCACCTTTATGAACATCCAGACTTTGTGGAAATGTAAGTATTTCTTCCATCGACAAGGCTTCGATAGCTAATGGTATTTTGTAGGTATCCTGGCCTTGTTGCCGAAGAAGCCAAAGTACCTATGGTGCCTGGCGTTGGTATTGCTCCGACTTTCACTATTTCTCGAGCCATTCTGTCGGACGCCGTCGTCTTGGTTCGAGGCGATCGATTCTACACGATCGACTACCACGCAAAGAACCTTACAAAGTGAGTTTAAAACCATATATTGAGCAATGCCAGCTAACATTCTGCAGTTGGGGTTACAGTGAAGCTCAATACGACCTCAGCATCGAGCAAGGTTGTGTTTTCGTGAGTTTATCGCAATTCTGCTGCTTTTTTTATCCATTTTAATGAACATCAGTACAAGCTTTTCCTGCGCGCTTTCCCTCAACACTTCAAGCCCAACTCGATCTACGCTCATTTCCCAATGACAATTCCATCCGAGAATAGGAAGATCATGAAGAGCCTTGGACGTGAGAGCCATTACTCTTATGATCGTCCTGCATTCATTGAGCCGCGAGTTAACCTCATCAGCTACCTTGGTGCAAAAACTGTGCTCGATCAACAGGACCTTTTCAAGGTTACTTGGGGAGCCACCACCGAAGAGCTCTTTGGCAAGGGCGGCGCGCTCTTCATGCTGTAATTAAACCCCTATTGTAACCATATATGGCAACAGGGCTAATTGTGATCTAGGTCTGGAGATACGCCTCTCCACACAAAGCAGCGCCAAATAATGGCGAAATCTCTGTACCGGGACAACTGGCAAAATGCCGTCAAGGACTTCTATGAATACATCACGATCCGTCTTCTCCACGAGAAGTCCTTCAAGATTGCAGGTACCAATCACGTCGACATCACTCGAGAGTACGACATCTTCGCCCACTCCCCTCTTTCTACAACATCCTACTAATGCAACCCCTCAGCGTCGGCAACCTCGCTCACGTCCACTTCGCATCCAACATTTTCTCGCTGCCCCTAAAAACCGCTGAATGGCCTCACGGTATCTTCTCCGAACACGAGATGTACATGGCCATCGCTGTAATCTTTATCTGCATATTCTTTGACTTCGACGTTGTAAAGTCCTTTCCCTTGCACATAGCCGCTCGCGCGGTTTCCAAGTCCCTCGGGAAACTAGTTGAAGCGAATGTCAAAACTGTCAAGGCGAGTGGGTTCTTAGCGAGTATCTGGGATGAGACGATGGATAGTATTAAGGGAGGTCAGAGGATGTATTTGAAAGACTATGGAGTGCATATGATTATGCGGTTGTTGGAGAGCGGGTTGAGTGTGGAGGAAGTGGCTTGGAGTCAGATGTTGCCGGTTGCGTGTGCTATGGTGCCGAATCAGGCGCAGGTTGTAAGTCTGCCTTTCCCATCACCGATTTCTTACTCTCTCCCCCATTCCCAGTGTCAATCCACCGGTGTCTGTATAATCACCTAATACCCACAGTTCACGCAAGCTCTTGACTTCTACCTCTTCCCCGAAAACGCCCAACACCTCTCTGAGCTGCACCGCCTCTCACACCTCAACACACCTGAAGCTGACAACCTAATCCAACACTATCTAATGGAAGGCATTCGTCTCGCCGGCACCTTCGGCTCATACCGCGAATATGCACCTTCCAACCCATCGGCCGCATCCAATATAGCCATCAACGACGGCCCCAACCGCACCATTCCCATAAAACCCGGCTCCAAAATCTTCTGCTCCTTCGTCGGCGCTAATAGAGACCCCTCGCTCTTTCCCTCCCCAGACACCGTCATCCTCGACCGCCCCCTCGAATCATATATCCACTACGGCATCGGTCCGCACGCCTGTCTCGGAGAAGACGCATCCCGGATCGCTCTTACAACCATGCTCAAAACGGTTTGCAAGCTTAAAAATCTACGGCGCGCGCCGGGTGAGAAGGGGGTCTTGAAGAAAGTCCCAAGGCCAGGCGGGTTTTATGTGTATATGCGCGAGGATCACGGGAGTTATTTTCCGTTTCCGTTGACGTGGCAGGTTTGTTGGGATGGGGACTTGCCGGCGGTGCCGAGGGTGCCAGCAGGGGAGAAGGGGAAGGAGAGGAAGGAGAGGAAGGCCGGGAATGGGGTGAGTAATGGGGTCGGGGATGGAAGGGGTAAGTAGTGAAGTACCACTAGTGCAAGAAGAGGAGGAGGTCGGTGGGTGGGACATGAAATTTGAAATACCAAATTGCCACAGAAAGGTAGTAGGAGGGAATGCTAGGGCAGTGAAGGGAGGTTAGTACTGACGGTCATGAAAGTCACGTCACGTCTCCACGGTCGCTTTATAGTAGGCACAGCGTAGTATTTTCATCCTATAAGTTTAGGCTAGTAAATCCATATCCAACACTGTGCTGCACTTTTATTAGTTACACTAGGACATGCCTGGCCATAGTTTAGGACAGGAGCCTTAACTCTGTTCACGTTCCCCCTAGTTACAGCTGGAGGTTTAGCAGATAAACTCTATACCAGTCACGTCCTACTTATGTAATAACATGATGTACAGTTAGAAGCTTTAACATCTACGATGACACGAAACCCGCAATGCCATTTATAGGTATAGGGGTGTAAGTTACAATACGACTAAAAAACACTATAAAAAAAACTATAGTTCAAAGAAACCAAGAGATAATTTGTTTCTGGTAAGCTCGGTAGATTTTAAGTAAGGTACAATGGTAATGAAATACGGCAGAAAGATCTCTCTGCTTCATTGCACCTGGTATAAACTGTCATGTGTCTCGTCTCCATGCTGATGCTCGCTCATAATACATGTTAGAATCCATCATAATCGGTGTAAAAACACCCACAATCAGGCAAGGCAGCCCCCTAGCTCGATTTGACGAGCTCTAGAAAACCTGTAGAAACTCCATCCCCTATCTTTGTGATGGTACTTGAACACCCCCTACGCTAACTGTACGCCAGCCATACGAACATAGGAACATAGACAGCCGAAGCTATAAGCGCTAGTGGGAACTCCCCTTCCTTCACTACTAATTGATACTCCGAGTTCCGTTGCGCCAAGATTTGTATAATTGGGTTGATGGCTGTCCGTCTACCATCTCCGTCGCCATCGTTATGATGCTAGTGCACGACACTGCAAGCTAGGAGGAATTACTACTGACTCTTTAGGCTCTCGTTCTCTTCGCCAATACGCGGCGGGCTCCTTGACTTGGGTCCATCTTTCCGGCAGGGAGACACACTGCGCCTAAATTCGGGTCAGCCACATAGTCAACTCAACTACTCGAAACCGAAGATATGCGGCATCAGCAGAAAGCTGGGAGCGTAAAGGAAAAGAAAGTGAGGAGACTCACGACCTCCGCCTCTCGCCTTCCTTCCTTTGAGAATCGATGATCCTGACCATAGTCTTCCGTCCCGCCTGCGCATTGACGTTCTGCCCAGACATACTCATGCTGATCTTCTTACTTGCATCCGCGCGCAAGAGTCGCTTCAGTAGCAGATGCTTCATCAGTAAGCACACGAATACCCCACAATCGCTCCCGTTCTCCTGTTGCGGCGAATCGCTCATGTGGATGAAACCCAGCTTCTTGCCAAGCAGCACTTCTAGTTTTGCAGATGTGTTCCGAGCTTCCATGTCGTTGCACGGTGCCAGTGAATCGTAGTGGAAACTGACGCCATCAATGATGGAGACGAGAAGGAGAGACCAGTGCGAACCGCCTTCTGCGAGGTTGACATCGCGGTTGTCGTTGATGGGGAGGAAGATGTGGGTGGTTTTGGAGAAGTTGGGGAGCACCTCCTTGAGGGTGAGTGGGTCCGGGGTGTTCATGAGCATGAATGACATTGAGGGACGGAGGAGCACGATTTGCGCGGCTGGGACGCGAGATAGCTCTTCGCGCTCAAGGTACCTGGGCCATAGCCTAGGTCAGCCATAGGGAGGGGCAGGGAGGAAAGACATACTCTTCCCAGAAGGCAATCGCATTGTCCGTCAACCAGTCGTGCTTGATGCTGTCCACGTCTAGCTTTGTCACTAGCAATAATCTAGTCAGTAACTGCATCAAAACAAATAATTCCAAATGCGAGGTTGTCCTGCGCAAGCGCAAGACCAGAATCCATACACGCACCGCGTACATCATGATCTGTTGGTTCAGGATTAGTCTCCGCACTTAACAAAGAAGAGATACTCACAGCTTAGATACGCATCATCAGGACTCAAGTTATCCCCAAAGTGGCGGCGCACCCTATCGATGGTGTTGGACACTGACGGCATGACTCCAGTTCCGGTGCTTCCTCTCCGTTTCGCCGACAGATCTGGCAGGACAGTATCTGGGATGAAGAAAGAAAGGAAACCCGAGCAGCAGATGGAAGTTGCGCGGAGAGGACAAGGCGTCCGAAGACCGCGGCGAGTTTGGTTGTGCTGCAAGTTAGGAGTTGTCTGTCTGCCTAGTCGCGGGCTTTGGTTGGGCTGGGTAGGCGTGGCGTCGAGTCTTCGCGGGGCGGAAACGCAGGGGATAGATTGACGTAGGCGGCACTGATTGGGACCGCCCGAGGAAACACCGCCTAAAACAGCGTCCAGTTAACATTTGTCATTGGTCAATGGCAATCAAATGGGTTAAATGGGGTTTCAGGACAGGCCAGATACCGAGGTTTACGATATAAACAGACACTGGCTTAAGTGACGGCAGCTTTCATTCGTCTAAGAAATAGCCTCCTTGGTTGAGAAAGTTTCCCACGCAAACAGGGAGAAGAGATTGGATATCGAACCCTGCACAAAACCCCAATTGAAAACCTCTACCCAAACAAGCCGTGATCGTACACAAAACTCGTCATTCATCACTCTTTCTTTTCCCCCCTTGCTCTGAGATGCCTGTAACTCAAAACCAGGACCTGCATCCCCTCATCCAAATCCAGTAAAAGCCGACTGCGTAAACTGATCCCCAACCAGTTGCGTCGGCAGCGCTGTCTGATTATCATTCAAAAACCAACTCCAATCCTGATCGATATCCATAGGCATATTCTGCCACGAGAAGTTGTTCGTTGGAAGTGGGAAGTTGTTCATGCTATCGTCGTTGATCTGTGTGCCTAGGGAACTGCCATTCGCACTGTCGGCAGTATTGTTAGTACCCAGGTTATAAAAGCCATCGTACGAAACAAAGGGGTCAGTATTCAAGTTGAATGCGTCCTGTGAGGTTGATGTAGTGGTTGTAGCTGTCAGATTTGCCCCAAACAGATCTGATCCCGTATTCTCCGACGACGGTGTAAACTGTGATGGCGAAGTCGTCGAGGGGTTAGGATTGATGGTCCCAACCTTCTTGTACTTCGGCCCGGGTATCGCTGGCTTTCCACCTCGCCGAATCGAAATAGTGCCAAAATACGGAATCACAAAATCCGTAAAATCGTCGCAACCCCCTTCTGCACGTCCCCAGTCCGCTTTGAATTTGCGGAGCATCTTCTCCAGTACTTCTGCACTTTGAAGAGCCACTTTCCCTCCCTTTTCGGATGATGCACGTCGAAAGATGTCGATGCTTATCTCGATTAGCCGGACATCTGTCTCTTGGTCCTTGGGTGATACCCCGCCCATTACAACACCGAAGTTGAAAAGCCCAAGCATGATAAGTACAGCCGAGGTGAAGCCGATGAAGTCGACGGCTTTGCATTCGTATAGGGGTTGAACTTCGCCCGTTCGGAGGCATTGGTATAGTCGCAGGACTTCCCGTGATCCATTAAGACAGGCAGTGCGACTATATGCGAAGCGTGAGTTCGACTGCGACTTTAGCATGAATGGGAGATGGAGGTAGACGCGGATCTGGTGGTAGACCATCTGTGCCATCAAGCGTTCGCGAAGGTCGGCCGCGTTGCCCTCAATGTCCGCCATTAGGCTAGAAAATTCGATCCAATTAGGATCCAGCTTCTTCCACAGATCTTCCAGCTCTTGGTCCAACTGAAGCGCCCAGGCGAAGGACTGCTCCGCAACGCCTTGATTCCTATCGATGACCTTACCGGCTAGTATCGACACTTTGTTCATAAAGATCAGTGGTGCCATAAACTCTCCGCCCATTTCTGGTAACGTCAAATCGCAGTGCGTGTCGCTGATGCCGTAAGGAAGCCCAAGGAGTAACGACAAGAACCGATCGCCATGATACAAGGACCACCATATACTCTCATGTGCAGCTGATGTTGTTCGTTTCCGATGAAGACCCTTATTGATATTAGCACCTAGCGCAAACCCAAGGCATGGGTAGTACGTACCATGAGCTGTGTATACATAAGACCCTTGCGGTACGCAAGCCACGCCCTCCGCGGCTGACCGACATCCGCATACCATTTCGCCTTCAAAATCAAGCACTCCATACCTTCAAGGGTGGCAGCGTACTCGTCATCCGCGAGCATATATTGATCAACAGCTTCGATGTATCGACCAACGTCATTTTCGTCTGAGCAAATACCGACGCTCAGCACAACAGTGGCGATGGCGCCAATGTTCCCTTCGGCCAAAGCTTTGGCAGCGAACTGGGGTAGTGTGTGCTCTCCTGACGTTCCACTGCATTTACGTCTCCATGTCTCCCACCATTCGCTATTAGTGTTCAATATCCTGGTGAGTTGGTCATATGGGGGTAGGACTGCAAGAAGACCTTTCTTGGCGCGCTCCCGCTTAGCTTGGAAGGCGGCCGAGTTGTTTTCGTCCATGTCATCTGTGTTTTTGCAAGTAACTGTGTAGCGTTCGGTAGCCGCAAGGCTCGGCGACGGAGCCGAGTCTTTTCGCTGCGGTTCCATTCGCTCCTTGATCCGCACTTCGGCATCGTTGAGCTGCATGAGTTAGTACGAGAACCCACATTGAAAGGGGCTCTACGCACAGCATCCTCAAGGACAGAGAGAATAGGGACATGGTGTCCACGCTCAGACGGGGCATGTTGCAGACCTTGAAGCACCGACGACGATGTCTCAGAAGAAAGAGGCGTGGGTGGGAAGGTATCACGAGGAATTACATTCGGGGTCTTCGACGAGCTTGTCTGAGTCTCGGTGGCACTTCTCTCGGTCTTATCCTCGAGAAGGGAATCGACGAGAGCTTCTAAGCGTGATACTCGTTCGCGAAGATTCTTCCTGTGGTCGACAATGACGTCCGGGTTGGCATTCTCTTGATCAATGCATCGTGACCCACGGGCAAAGCATTCAGAGCAGACATTAGGATTGTCGGGAGGGAAGATGCAACGAATCTTCCGACGTCGGCCTAGTCTCAAATCAGAAACGGTCCGAGCAGTGTAAAAACACGTGCGTCATTGAAAGGGAATTGGAATGGTGGAAATGAGAACAGAATTCAACGTCCTAAGGAAAGGGAATACTGATGCAAGGGAGACGAGGCTGAATACAGAGTAAAGGAAAGTAATAAAGGGTAATTCAAACCCACTTACATTCAAAGCAACTATGCGTCCCTTTCCGCATTTTCTTTCGAATGGACAAATCCGTGACCTCCTTTGGCATGTTCGCGCGTTTTTCGTTCGTTCGTCCGACAATCGAACCGTGATGATGATGGTATAATATGCTCGCACTCGAGCACTCCTCGCCTTCGTCGGTTAGTGGGTCGAGGAGGGAGGAGATCAGAATTCAAAATATAATCAACAGCACCCTTCTTCTCACAGAATCATACCACAATCAAAAAAAGGAAAAGACGACGTAATCCCTATTCACGAAAAATGGCAGCCTGAACACGGAGGTAAGTCAAGGTGAATGGAGGGTGCTTCGTCGGACGAAAGACGGCCCAACGGCGTCTTTAATGCTGAAGCTCTCACTCTCGTAAGCAGGCCTTGCTGACAGATAAAACTCGTGCGCGAGCACATTCCATAGAAGACAGATAAACTCTACTCGCAACCATGTACTTGGCGTGACCAACAACCCCTTGAGTTCATCTACGAACTGGGGAAGGATGGATGCAGCCAGCATGCATTGCGCGTGCGTCCATTTGAGAAAGAGTTGCGAACACACCCCTGGGGGGTACAGAACAGGTTTAGCGGTACAGTCAACTCTCGATGGCGCGATGCGCGATTAAACGATATTTCGATATAGCGATACATTTCTCAAACCTGAATTAATTTCCCACCAAAATATTCCATTTCGCGATACCTACTATATCGCAAGCTTTTAGCTAGATTATTGTTATATCAAGAGATAAAATGCCACGTGTGGCAATTACTAACAAGCAGCGACAGGCTCTGCGTCAATGGTATCAACGTTAGGGTCCTGGCCGGAGGCAGCTTGATGCGATCAAGTGGTTTAAGCAAGAGTACAACCATCGCATCCGTTAGTTAACAGTATCAGAGTCCCTCTCAGAGCGATATAGCTACCTTGACAGTAGCTCTGCCACCACCTGCACACGTCAACAATAGGCACAGTGGCCTATCCTTGAAGCTGTCCTCTTTGACTGGCAGCAGCACCTCGAGAGCTCCGGCAGCGACGTCCCTGGCGATATCCTTATCAAGAAAGCAAAGGCTATCTGGCCGCAGATACCTAATTACGCTGACCTCCCTGTACCAGAGTTTAGCTCAGGCTGGCTCACTAACTTCAAGCGACGGCATAATATCAAGCTTTATTAACACTAGGGCGAGGCTGCGTCAGTGCCAGCTAGGGCTAAAGAGGAGATGAGGGCTATTAGAACGCTGTGTGGAGAATACGCAGAGCAGGATATATTTAATATGGACAAGACAGGCCTATATTAGCAGCAGGCGCTGTTGTTAGGGCTTTCTACTAGAGCTCAACCTAGCAGGAAGAAGGATAAGAACTAAATATTAATTGTATGCTGCTGCAACTTTACTAGCAGCAAGCACTTTACTCTCTAGGCTATCAGGAAGGCAGCTAGACCACATGCTCTGCGATCTGTCAACCTTGAGGCTCTTAGCATCTAATAGTCGTTAAATCCTAAGGCGTAGATGACGCATACTATTATGATGGATTAGCTACAGGCCTTCTATTGGTGGATAGGAGAGACTAGGTCTATCCTGCTGCTGATGGACAACCACAGCGCTTATATCCTCAGCGTTGATCTTAAACCACCTCCACCAAATATCTGCATTTAATAGCTGCCTACTAACTTAACTAGCGTCTACTAGCCACTTGATTAGGGCGTGATTAGTTAGTTTAAGCGCTCATACAAGAAGCAATAGATACGCTATATGGTCGCTAGCTACAAGCGCGGCGCAGATCTAGCAACTTAAGTCAACCTCTACTATGCCTTACGCTGGGCCTCTCAAGCCTAGTATAACAACCTTTGGAGCGATACAATCTATTGCTGCTTCTGCTAAGCTAGGATCCAGCCTTTACAAGAACTAATCTACCTGCCTAATCTAGAGGAGCAGTCTTAGCAGGAGCTAGAGGAGCTCTACCAGCAGGTGCAGCACGCAGGCAGGATTTAGGACGCTATGAGCCTTGAAAACTTCCTGAATCCTATTAATAAGGATCACAAGCCTACTTAATCTGACTTTGATGTAGCAAACGCAATTGCAACATATAGCCAGCAGCTAGTTGAAGACGAATTAGACGACGAAGGGCCTCCTATACAAATACCTACCCCTGCGCAGGCAGAGCAGGCTCTTAAATTACTACTCTTATATCAAGAGCATACAGATTCAACAACTCCCCAGCAGATCAGAGCGCTCTAGCAGCTATATACTGAAGCAAAGGCTTAAAAGTCTAAGCAGTTTGTCTAGGGCACTCTAGATAGTTGGATTACGTAACCCTCTTGCTGCAACGATATTGCGATATAACGATATAATCCTTGTTCCAGAATTGTATCGCGCCATCGAGAGTTGACTGTATAGTGATGTTAACAAGGGATCTGCTTTTCGGAGCGCACCGAGCCCCGACTCCGACTCTCCGGTGATTCTTTGATGTTTATCGATAATTACCGGTGCCGTGTGAATGGAGCTGTTGGTGAGTCCAGCTGAGTGATGACGCCCGTCCCGCGCGTTCCGAACTTCTACGCTTCTCCAAATGTGGACTCCACGTTCATCTTCGATCCACTCGTTCCACCCATGACTAACATCTTCGATTCTTCTTGTGCATATACAAATCTCTACCAATTACATCACTTCCCTTCGTCTCAGAACTTTCTTTGATAGCATGGAGACGAAGAGCGAGCACGAGCACACGCATCTCCCACCTAGTCCACCCCCATCACCACCAAGACGGCGCCACAAGAAGAAAGCATCCGACCCATTCTTCTCGCTGAACAGCAACATATCACTAACCTCTCCGTCGCCGCCGAGCTCACCAAAAGGCGAGCCGCAAGAGGAACAAGAGTCTCTTGTCACACGGGTACGTGTCAAGATTCACCATCATAAATCCCTCCTCAGCCTTCCCGTGCTCTCAATTCCAACTCTCTAGGCTTCTACCACCTAATATATTCTCAGATAGTCATCTCACCCATACTATTTACATCCTTCCTCCTCTCCCTGTTCCTGATAAATCGGCGGGATCGCGTCCGTCGCACGACCTCTTACCCCAAACCCTCCAAATCATCCACTTTGAGCCTCCCCACCTACCTCTCTCACTTCTCCCCTAGCGCCTGGATAGACCCCGAGCCGTATCAAGACCTCTCATCCTCCGCCTGGGACGCCCGAGACTCCACACACATCGAACCGCACAGTGTACTCACGAACGCCTCCCCCTCCATACAATTGCAGACAACAAATAAGCGCCGTTCATGGCATCTAAACAAAAAGATCCGGAAAGTAGCGAAACTCGAGATTAGTGATGCGTTTGAGCTACGGGGTCGGGTTATTCTGATTCTGGTGTCTGCGATCGTGTTGGTGGCCGTGGGGTTGTTGTTGGGGCTAAGATGGATGGTTGTGAGGGTGGTGTGGGGCTCGGTATAAGAAGAGGGATGGGCATGGATGAGGATGCAGTGTATGCTTAGGGGGAGAAGAGGGTGGGTGTTACAGTGACCTGATGCATACTGTCCATGCAAGGCAATGTAAAGCCGGACAAGGCCTGTGAGAACACAGATGAGGTTATAGTTGTTAGGATACAGAAAGGATTGGGATGCTAGGATGATTATGAATTATAATGACAATTGGGATATACACAGGGGATAAGGTTTACAAAAGGGATGGTTGATATTCATGATGGGAATGGGATATGCACAAAGGCGCAGGCGTCCAGGTCCTTTGCAGTCATCAGGAATTAGGTTCACGTCCGACAAGGCGTTAACGATATGACTCTAGATATCAATCCGTCGATTCAGCAATCTGTCAAACTCAACTCATACGGCGAGCTACGTTACCAAGTCCTCACAGCATGTCTACAAATTCAAGCAATCAAGCCCCACCAAGTCTATCAAAAGCACACAGCATGGAACAAGCAACAAAGAGGAAATAGCAATGATTGTATAGACATATTCATATAATCAAAAATATACAAAAGGAAAAGGTAAAAATCACAAGCAAAGAAAATGTCGAGGGACAGAACGGGATCCAGCCCAGGAGTATTAATGTAGTCTCCAATCCGAGGAACGAAGAGAACGCTGAAGGAAAGAAAATGCAAAGAAAATGCAGTCTGGAATCGACACTCGCTAGCAATAGAATTGTAACAAAGGAGATACCTGCAGTAGGTAGTCATGTCGCCGTAGGAAAGATGCCCGAAGTGGATGGAGATGATGATGCTAGGGAAGAGATACGGGAAGAAGAGTAAAAGACGCTCCAAAGAAGAGGTATGACAATGTTCAACTCAACACCAATCCACCCGAAGGAAATTGACCAAAATGTGTCGGGTATCAATCCAATAAGCAACACCACCACGGAGGACAAACACCAGCCAGCCAACCACCAGATGCTCCTATGATGCTCCCCCTGCTCCGAAATGCTCCACAACCTTAATTGGAGTATTCAATGGATGGTGAAAATTCTAGTCCGCAAGACTCCATCCTGATAAGTATGTCCAGATCTAGTCATGCCTCAGGGGGGGCGATGAATAGGACAATCTCTCCTCGATCGTTCCTCTTCAAACGAAGGCTTTTCCAAAGTTCTTTCTCGTCATCGGCCTTTCCAGTCCCGCGGTCCCACCGATCGTATCGCTCACGATGATAGCGTTTGAGGGCCTTATTAACGCTCATACCACGCTCAGATTCAGGTCCCTTGTTGATGAATGACAAGAACAACTCAGCCCGTGCTTCGACACCAGTCTTGACAGGGGCAAGGTCCCCATTAGGACGAATGATCAGCGCCCCATTCCCGTTGGTCTCTGGTGCTGGGGACTGAGAATCAGGTCGATGATACTCAATAGCCTTAATGATCTTCCGCCCAGGCGGTGGTGAAGGAGACGAAGAGTAGTGTCGGCGACGGCGGCGATCCGCTTCACGGTTTCTTCGACTAGCTCGAGCCGATTCATCTCGTTTCTTCGTCTTGTTCTTCCCAGCCGCGTCCTTTGCCGTGCCATTCTTAATCTTAAGAGGTATTCTCTCACGCTCCCGCCCTCGTTCCTTCTCCCTCTTTTCCTCCTCCTTGATGCGCTCCCTCTCTTCCTTAATCTCAAGTTTGCGTTGCGCCTCTTGTCGAACCTCAAACTCTCTCTGTGCCCGCATGAAGGCTTTCGAGGTCCCTTGCTTAGCTCGCTTCATTGGACTAAGTGGTGAGTTCTCGACATAATCTCCTGAATAGTCAGGGCTTGGAGGGAACTCTGGACGTGCTAAAAGTCGGCCAAGCCCACCAGTCAAGCCCGAGTGAAGGACAGGTGGAGCGTCGGCCATTACAAGGTCCCTCTCCTGTTGGACTCTAATGAGAGACATGTCGAGTTCTGCAGGGGACTGGCGCTTGCGCTTCCTATCAGCCTTCTTGGAAGTTGTGTCTGAGAGATCCTTGTCACGAGACTTAGTCCGGGAGTGCTTAGACTTAGGGGCTGGGGTGGTGTATGCAGGGTCGTCATATGCTGGCGCTGCCTCACGAACATTATAGTGAGAGTTGAGATGTTCGCTGGTAGGGCGAATGGGTTCAGTACCATAAGTGAAGCCGTTTTCGACGTAGTGGTAATCATCCTCATCATTCGGCTCCTGGAAGTTCAAGACATCTGTGGCCGTGACTCTTGGAGGCTCATCTTCCTCATATGCAGGTGGCTGGCTGTCTTCGATCATGCGCGACTCATGCATGGGAGGAGGAGAAAGGTCTACTCTGGATCCATTGAGGGTTTCCGAAGTCTCCAGGAAGTCGAACACATTTACGTCTTCAATCGCAGCTTGCTCTTGATATCCTAAGGAATAGGGTGCTGGTGGAGGGCTTGGGGCACGAGGCGGGGCATCAACAATGGCGACAGCGCCGGATTCTACGTCGATTGCATCCTCAACATATGCGTTACGCGGGACAAGCGCCTGCGACGTATTCTGCTGTACACTGTCTTTCTTCTGGTGCTGTGGTTTCGGCTTCTTCTCTTTGTAGAGCTTGCCCTGGTACTTCTGATCTTCGGAGATGCAGGACTAGGACGGACCATTGGTTAGCCTCCAGGAAGCGGGACGAATAGCAGCTTTATCCGCGACGCAGGACAAGATTGGACAGTAAGATCGCAAGAACCACACGCTGGTGTTCATCTTGCGAAACATTCGACAGAAATATGGCTCTAGTGAATTGGGGGGGCGCATACCGTATGAGCTTTGTAGCTGGTGCCGCCAAAGGTGGTCTGGCAGTCTAAGCAGGTGAAGATGGCCCCGTGACATTGGTTGCGATGGCCATCGAGCTTCTTCTTCGTGAGGACATCTCCACAGTTCTAATAGCGGCAGTTCAGCAGCAGTTCAGGAGCAGTTCGCGCACGCTGCCATGACCTGACAGCTCCAGGGGCAGAGGGGTCCAATTGGGGCCCCGCCGAGCTGAAGCGCGGGCGGGTGAGGGCCGGGCATAAACATACCTCGCAGGAGAACGAGACCATGATGGTCTTTAGGGCGATGGGAGTAGGATATGCAGGACGGGCGGTGTACAGCTGGCAGGACGTCTATGGGAGATGAAGAAGAGTCGGTGAGGTTCAGACGCAGAACAGGAACAGCGCCCCGGTATCGATATGGCTGCGGCGGGGGACGTCAGGTTTCAAGATGTGTTGGAGCGCTCATCAAACACGGCCACAATATTTTCCCACGCGCTAGTGACCGCGCCATTCGCTGTGCCGGCGTCGGACCCCTGACGGCTGGCACGTCGCGTCATGCAAGATCTTGCGGATGTCTGGCGGGTATGCACCAAAAATAATCACGCGACGAACCAACAACACCTCGAGGCTTACTTTGGGGTGTCCAGCCCTTGCACGCAGACAAGCCACACGACAGCGCGATAAGAACTGCGCCGGCTGGACATGTTGGACCTGGAGGAGCTTCACTCACGCTCACATATTCTCTGAGATGTCAGTTATTTCCCTGGATGCGCGTGTTTGGTATGCCACTTCCATCTGGGCAGAATTGCGCAACGTCGCAGGTAAACAACCACCTATTCGTAACATATACAACTATAGACAGTCTTCCTAGTAGTGTTGTCCACGGGGGGGCTCCCCCATGTCTCGCTCTCCTGGAAGACGCACTTGGCGGGCTGACCACATGCTCTTCTATTTGCCAACTCGAGTCCGGCACTTGAACCGACCCCTGGCGTATCCCACACCCACAATGACCTCGTCGAAGACATCTCTTGTGAAACCTGCTGACTGAGTGACCTATTGCAAGACCGGAAGTCATCGGGACAAGGCAGCGCGCCCATTATCTAGAATCATCCACCCCTTTGCCAACTATCGTGAGTGTGCTTCGACGTCAGCGGGAACTGATCGTCATTGAGCATGAGCTGATGGTGGTGCGCTGACCCCCTCCCCCCGAGCTCCAAGGGTCTTTTCCCCACAGAGCGACTCGCCAACTTATCTGGCGCCTCCCAATATCTCTTCAGAAAGCGCCTCTTCCCAAGGCCCCTACGAGGGCTTCTCACTCTTACCCTGACCCTTGTCCTTCGTCTTTGCATCTTTTTCGTCTCCGCATCCACAGTCATACGCGTCGCCGATTTTCTCACAATCAAATTCCGGCTTGTGTAGCCTCTTGTTGACGATGTTATGTACATAGCAGCCCCAGGTGGCTGCTGCGGACCGCGACGAGACTTGCGGGGGATATTTTGCTAGCACTTTTCCAAAATGTTCGGCGCACTCTCCGCTGCAAACATAGTTAGTATGCGACGTATGACTTCAGCTGCAGTTGCTTCAGTGGCGTATGGCGTACCAAGGATAGAGACGCTGGAACAGGTGCACAAATGACCGCAATGCTTCCTTTTCGTCATCGCTGGGCTTTTCGGGAAACCGCGCGAATGTCGTATGCAGCACTTTCCATGCGGCGCGACCGAGTTCGGCCCTGTGAGAATCGAGCACGGTTAGCTAAACATAGTGGATTGATTGTCACGATCACGCGGCGGGGCGAGAGGCGTTGTTTGCTTGCTGCTTGCTTGCTCTCGGAGGACACGGAGGAACCTACTTCGCAGTCGCGTTGCCCAACTTGGGCGCAATTGCAGGGCCTGTCAGCAAAGCCCCATTGCCTTTTACTTGCTCTTGATGTTTCCCAGGCACAATTGGTGCAGGTTGCCTCCCATCCAGCGGCTCGCGGTAGGATCCGATAAGCAGGACCGACACGAAGGCGACGATCAGGACGACCAGGAGAAGGAGTCGGCGGCTGGCACCAGAGATCATTTCAAAGCAGTGTATAACCTTGATTGGGCCAGTAAAGAAAGGGTATCAAGCAGATGTACAAATAATGAGGTGGGGTTGAGAAAGCGGATGTTTCGTGAAGATGCTACGATTGATTATCATCACCGGACGCCGAGGCTCCTTCCTTCATCGTCATCACCTCACCTCGCGTAAAACTTCCCCTCGGCCGGGGTGATCTTAGGTTCCTGCAGAATGCACAATTCTCTTGCATATGGTAGTTCAAGGCTTTGAAAGAGCCGCAATGTGCAGTCTGTCCCACTGTCGTCAGCAGCGTGAACATTTTTGATATATTCCATCGGATGATGACGGATAGTGACGGATAGTCTCTCTCACCGATATCGCTGCAGCTGAGAGCGAATCCTCGGTCACCAGCGTATTAAAACTCCATAAGCTCAATTCTTTGACACCACAAGCTTCATATTCACACATTGTACTGTGCAGAACTTTGGAAGGACAATAGTGACGATGACTTCCTATCCTCCGCCGCCGGTCAACACCATTGGTATGTCAATTGCAGTTCAAGTGCGGATGGCCTGCACGTCATGAAGGCTCGCAACTGACTCTGTTTGGCAGATTGGAGCAATATTGGTTTTAAGATCCGCGAAGGTCAGCGTTTGGTTTCGACATTTCATTTAACCTTCGGCTTCTAGCAACTCGCATTCTTTTCTTTTAGTACTCTTTAGGTGTTTGCAGGTTCCCCGTCCTTTAAAGAGCTAGTAAAGTATATTCACCGGAGAATCTGCAAGAACTTGGGATATACGAACAACAAAGGGGTGGGGCGACGAGTCAATGACGACACAATAATAAACCGCGTCAATCGACTGCTCTGCTCTATAGCTGACCCTCTCAGTCGCCGGCCACGTCGAATCCCACTATTCCCTCAAAACCCGCCAATGGACACCCCCCACCTTCATCGAAGACCCATTCCTTCGCATCCACGGCATGGCCCCAGGTCTCAACTACGGCCAACAATGCTACGAAGGCATGAAAGCCTTCCGGTCCCCCACTAACACGATCTCCATTTTCCGCCCGACCCAAAATGCCGCCCGCATGCAGCACTCCGCATCCTTCATCTCCATCCCACCCGTGCCTACCGACCACTTCCTCGCCTGTTGTAAATTAGCAGTTGGTATGAACGCTGCATACGTCCCACCGCATGATACTGGCGCTGCAATGTACGTGCGTCCGTTACTCTTTGGGAGTTCTGCACAGTTGGGCTTGAATCCGCCTGAGGAGTACACGTTCTGCGTATTTGTGGTTCCCACGGGTGTGTATCACGGCACCCACCCGGTCGACGCATTAATCCTAGAGCATTTCGACCGTGCAGCGCCCGAGGGTACCGGGTCAGCGAAGGTTGGTGGGAATTATGCACCTGTGTTACGGTGGAGTGAGAAAGCGCATCACGACGGGTATGGAATTACGTTGCATCTGGATAGTAAGACGAGGACCGTGATAGATGAGTTTTCGACGTCGGCATTTATTGGGGTGAAGAAGGAAGAGGGGGGAAAGGTGAGGTTAGTTACGAGTAGTAGTAAGAACGTTATTAAGAGTGTTACGGGCGATAGTATTCTTAAGATTGCGGAGAGTTTTGGGTGGGAGACTGAGTCGAGAGAGGTATGTCTTTCTTATTTTCTCATACCTTCCCAACCCTCAATCTCAAACCCGTTTGTCCCGTCCAAACGCCCCAACTAATCCCCTCCCAGATCCCCTACACCGAACTTACCACCTTCGACGAAGTTCTCGCGGCGGGTACCGCAGCCGCCCTAGTCCCCATCAAATCCATAACGCTCGAGTCCGCAAACGAGAAATTCGTTTACCGCGACGGATCCGATGAACCCGGGCCCTGCTGCGTCAAGCTTTTGCAAACACTAAAGGGAATCCAGTTGGGAAAGATTGAGGACCAGTTTGGATGGCTAGAGGATGTGGAAAAGCCTGAGCAGTGGGGAAATGGGAAGGCGAATGGAGAGAAGATGGATAATAACGTTGATGCTCTGCCGTGAGGTGGGGAAATGGGTTTGGGATGTTGGGAGGTGATAGGAGCAGTAGGGGAAAGTCGGGGAAGGGGAATGGTGTCGGAAAGAAGATCGAAAGTTTACCATTGATCTTTATGGCGTCGGGTAGAAAAGGGGATTTTGCAGAAGTAGTCTGGATTGAGGCATGTGTCTCGCCACTTCACTCAAATTTTTTTTTGGGCAGAAAAAGGTTCTTGTTTCCATGAATTAAGGAACAAAGGTGAAGAAATCATTCAGTTTTTCATTCACTTCTATAACACTAGCCCTTCATCCCCTGGGAACGCCAAGGTGCACTCTCATCCAATTAGCTATCGGGATAACGACCCAGTCTAGAGAGTCCAAATAACAACTCGCCCATCTACCCCACTCGTACTAATCTTCCTCACGGTCCCAGCGCCCGCCTCAAAGACCCGAATCGTGCTAATCGTATTCTGATGCACCGTCTTCAACTTAGTATCGTCCGTAACCTTGCCTTTCAGATCCATCTGCTTGAACATATTCAACGCAGACTCTTCCCGATGATCCTGAACACCCGGCCGACCTTTGGATTCTAGAGATCCAGCGAGCTGCCAGCTCTGTTCCGAGCCCTGGAGACGGTATGCTTCACAGTCGAAGCCTGCAGCGATGATCTCGCTCTCGCTACTCCAGACTAAGCTCTTGAACGGGAGGAGCTGGGTGCTGATGCTGATTACGGCACGTGGAGGTTGTTCGGGAGCGCTGGGATACACAACTGTGAGACTGCTGTCGTGGGCTGCGAAAGCGAGGGCGTTGCCACTGGGGGAGAAGGCGACGCTGTGGACCCAGCCTGCGGTGTTGTTCAGAAACTCGCCACATACGGTGTTGAAGGGGAGACGCTCGCCCCACGCTGAGGGTTCAGGACGGGAGTCGACGCCCTTGACGAAGCTGGAGAATACACGGGCATGACCGTCGGTCGATCCAGCGGCGAGAAGGACGGAGTTAGGGTGCCAGGCGACAGTAGTGATTGTACTACGAATTGGCTTCTTCAAGTGCTTGGAGACCCACCAGTTGTCTTCCTCCTCGAAGTAGCAGACAGGGATGAGGCGGGCGCCAGATCCAACGGCGAACTTGGTCTCGGAGGGAGCCCAGCGAACACAAGTAGCGGCGCGATTGATGCGGAGGAGGACGAGTGTTGGCTTCCATCCTTGGGGGGAAGGCTCCCAGACGTAGGCATTGCGGTCTGCCGAGGTATTAGCTGCCTGATAGTTCACAAGAAACCAGAGAGGCCAAGATGCTGACCCTGTGAACAAGTAACAATCTTGCCAGTATTTGGCGCAATATCCACTCCGGTAACTGTTTTATCATGGCCTGTCAACTCATCCTTCAACTGGAACTTCCCGCCCGCTCTCTGATATAAGTCGACATTGTTCTCGCGGGCTACGGCGAGCGTCTGGCGGTCGGCAGAGAAGGAGTGGTCTGCAATCGGGTGGTGAAAGAGGTGGTGAACTTCTGGAGGACCCATGGTAGGAATTACTGCGCAATAGGAGGAGCTCTCTACTATTGCGATTTGCGGACTATTCAGAGGACGGAGGAGTGAAGATGAAGACGGAGGTCTGGAGGCGGCGGAGGGGTAGTGAATCGGACCCACCTGGGGCACTTTGACTGGCCTGTGCGTTCGACTTCATGCTTCAGTCCTCGACCGAACTACAACACCACAGCCGTCACTCCGGATAGAAAGAATAACAGCGGGGCCCCTAAGTCGACTCCTCCGTAGCCCCTGTTTCATTCCATACGCCCAGTGGTAGAAACCTCTGTGAAGTGTCAATTCACCGCCCGCAAACTCGAAATCTTGGCACTGGTCCCGTGCTTCAACTTTTGAAGCTCACCAGCCTCCAACCTCACCTTCTATGACCATTTAGCAACCTCCACAACACTCACTATGGCGTCTGCGGTGAGAGGCCCTCCCGGCGGAGCATGGAAGACGTATCCACCGAACCGAACGTAAGTACACCCCTCCTTCCCTCCCTGTCTCTCAGTCCCTCTGCGGTCTAACTAACCGCACGAATGCAGTCTCTATTGCAGCAAGCTCCCGAGCACCAAGTTCCTCAAGGGTGACATCAAACGTAGCCTCTACATGCTGTTCGCCACCTACGGCGTCGTCTTGGACATTATCCTAATCAAAGTGGGGAAGATGCGCGGCCAGGCGCATGTCGTGTTCCGAGATATCGAGTCGAGCACGCAGGCGATGCGTGCGCTGCAGGGGTTTAATTTCTATGGGACGGAGATTGTGAGTTCTCCCCCGTACCTTTTTCCATATTTTGGCTTGGTCTCCCTGACTTTTATCGAGCGGATTGCCTTCGCAAAGGGAAAATCGGACGTCATCGCTAAAATGGACGGAACCTTCAAGCTCCCCGCCAAAGAGCCCGAAGTCGAGACGACCGATCTCCAAAAAGCTGTCTTCGGAGGCGGCGCAGTGCCCGCCAAAGCGGTTCCGGCACAAGGTCCAGAGGATAGCACCAAGGGTATAAAACGCGGCAGGGAGGACGAAGAGGAGAGTGACGACGAGGGTGAAGCTATGGACGTGTCTGACTCTGACTAAATTAAAAAATTAAAAGGCTGGGAAGTTCCATGGGCCGGAGATGTGAATAGGGTTCAATGGGGTAAAGCAGAGTTGTCCATTCCAAAATCGCCCCAATGGTCGGGTATGTGTTTGGATGTGAGCCTGCGATAGAATTCGGAGCATACGTGGAAGGTATAGCCACAAAACAACCTAGAAATTAAACAACGTAACTGACTCCCAATACCAAGGGACTGAATACATGATTCTGCGATAAAACTCAAAGCATACATCAAAGGTATAGTTACAAAACAGCTTGGAAATTAAACCATGTAACTAATCTTTCACTCCAAAGGACTAAGCGCCTGATCACAGCTCATGAACGCCATCAACCCCGTTCCCATTCGCACCATTAGCCCCTTTCACACCATCCACTCCGTTCGCCCCATTGACCCCTTTCCCACCCATCACAGCAGCACCCGGCTGCCTCTCCACCGGCGTCGGCCTCAACCCACTCTCCCAAATCTCATCTGCAATTCCTATCCCCAACGGCACCCCACCCACCGGCCACAACCCCTCAACCCCCTCTTTCGTTCCCTTCGTCTCATACCTTATATCCTCAATATTCTGATACACCGTTGCCCCGTTCGCATCCACAGCATACACATCCGCTGTATCCGTCGGAATCAAAATATCCCTTGCTGCCGCGGCATCGAAACGCCAATGTACACCTAAATAAATCCGCGAAATCGCGTTCTCAAAGATGGCTTCCCAAAGACTCGTAAAATGCCGCTGGATCCGTGTGCGTACGAGGCCAGGTTGCTCGGTAATCGGGGTCGTGGGATCGTAAGTTTTGTCCAAGTCTCGCGAGACGCCGTTCAGTTCCTCAGACACGAAGTCGAAGGAGAGTGAGTCGGGACCGTTGTTCGCCCAGCTCCCGACACGCCCGTTGTAGTACCTCCTTACCATCTGGAACCCAGCGCCAGCGAAGGATGCGTGGCCGCTGGGGTACGCTGGGAAGGGCGGTTTGAAGGGGATGTTATTAGTATTCGTACTCGGGGCGCCAAGGGAGAGCCAAAAGGGATCACCATGGTCGTCGCGGCCGTCATCACGAACTCCCGAAAGAGGACGCCAGAACTCATAATCCCATTTTTCCTTCCACGCGAAGATTCCTGCATCTGCCATAGCCGTGTTGAAAAGTGCAAAGAGTCGCGCGAAATCCGCGTTGTTGACTTCTGAGCTGATGTCGGGGTCTTGCTTATATTTCACGGCGATGACGCGGACGATCTGGTTGTAGAGGCGGACGGGCGTGCCAATGAGATTGGAGCCGTCGTAAGCCCAGAAATGGCCCTTGGCAGTTTGGGATGGGCTTCTCTTGGTGGAGTTGAGCGCCGGGGAGCCGCCCATGCGGATGATGTCTCTGACAGCGTCGTCGTACTCAGCAAGGTCTTGACTTGCCGTGCGGAGCGCAGGCGGGTCGGCATTGTAATGCTCGGATTGCGTGGCAAGCCGCTTGGCTGTCTTGCCGTAGTACGGGGCGTGGTAGATTCGTATGGCTCTCTTGGGACCATTCGGGTCATTCGGGTCCGCGGGAATGATTCGGACGGGATGAGTTGGCTCGTCGTTGAATTTGTAGCGTCCGACTGTTGGATGGTAGTCGTGTTGCGCGGCACCATCGGGGTGGAAGAGGAGAGAGTAGAAAACGTTGGCGACTTCAACACCAAATTGGTAGCTGCGGGACGTTATGTCAAGCCCCGTGAACCCAGTTATGAAGTTGTTCAAGAGCTTCCTCAACTGAGCTGTAGAATTGTACGAAATCCTGTCATCCACCTGTGTGTAGAGTTTCTGAAGCATGGTAATGGCAGCACCTGCAACGGCTTGACGAGCATCATTGGCACCGATTAGATCTGGAAGACGGTACAGGGGATCTGTGGCTCCAGGAGCGAGGAATGTCGTGAAACTCTCTGCAGGGTGAATTGCAAAATAAGCATCATGGACAGCCAAGTGTAGCATTCCCAGTGCCCGAGAGGAAATGACTGGGCCTGATTGTGGGCCATCAACTGAATGAGTGAGTCGGTTGAGGTCAAGCCCAGCTTCGTTCCAGTAGAGAATGTAGTTATTTCCGAACTCTGCAGGTTCGTCAACTGGGGGGAGAGGAATGGGAGCCATAATGAAAATGATTCAATGATCTTCCAACGAGATGATGTTGCTTTTCTTGATGGCAGCTAACTCGGGACTCCAACACCCCTTATATACCCCCTCTCAAGCATTACATCTTCACATCGGTTATCCTCATGATACGGCATGATGACCACCAACACCGAAGAAACCCGTACGAGTTCTAGCAGGCAGCTACTGCCCACACACCATTTCCCACAAACAGCTCTTGGCTCAGCCATGCGAATGATGACCCAATGCTGCCTTCGAAAACCCAGGCGAAAGGCAGAAAGGTAAGAGAACCGAGTTGGAGCTCAGCAGAGCTTGAATCCAGATCGTCAATAGGATTCTTGGCAGCTCCATCCAGCCGGCCTCGTGCCTGACAGATGCAACGTTTTCCCGCAATTGGCTTACGTGATTTGGTTCATTTTGCGATATCTTCGTCCTGGCACCGAGTTCTACATGTAGGGCAGAGATCACAAGCTGCATGGGATCTGGTACTGCGCCTCTGCCAATGTTACACAAGCTTACCGACCGCACATACCCGAGGGTTCATTAGAGCAAATTTATCGTAATTTCTGACGGGCTGAAAATATTGATTCAGCCATTGACTTTGCCTAAATTTAAACATGCGCAAAAGGGTTTGTTCGGTCGGATAGAGTCGGGAAGACCGAAGTTGTTAAACGTTGGGCATTTATTAGAAGCCGGGCTAGAGGATAGCAACGGAGAGAAGAGTGTGGAGATGAAAATATTAGGGCATATGAAACACTACTACTAGTAGTTTGACAAGGCTTATAGGTACCGGGGGTGGAGAAGAAGACAAAAGACTAAAAGAGAAAGTAGAATGAAAGTGTTCCTCAAGAGTCAGATCATGGCTGTGCTAAGGTTAGGTATTGCCTATGCCATAACCAGCATTTGACCCATTCTCATATGCTCCTCCCTAGCTACCCTGTCGTGCCTTTCTTGGCGAGTGGGTCGGATAAGGGACACTGCTGTCACTATAGGAACCTGGATTCCCCGTGTCATGATTCCCGGGGTTTGTGGGCTGCTGCAGATGGGATCGCATCTGATGTTGCCCTCTCATACCTAGTTGCGCCACAATTGACACCGGTGGTCCCACTGCCAGCCTTACCATGACTATTCTTGCGGAGGTCGGGAGCAACAATGTCTGCGCAATAACAATGGTAGTAATAGAAGAATTTGATGGTCGTAAAGAGGAAAAGAATCCAATCGGCAGAATTAGTACGTTCTTCCTACTAGCGCCTCTTCAAATATTATCAGGGTCTGGGCTACATCAAGCGAGATTTGAAACCTCGCCTAGTTCAGATCGAATTCGATGTGAGCTGGAGTCGCGTTTGAGCTTGGAAGACTGGTGTAGCCACTGCATGGCTCTCCGCTGTCGCGTTGTAGGTGTAATCTTTCATGAGCTGGAAGGAAGCCAATTTTGGAAAAGCAGCGAACTGGAAAAGCGTTGTGAGGCCGTTGAAAGCCAGATAAATACGGGGGTTGTAGACCTTGCATTTTATAAAATGAACTGGAGTATTGATGATCAGAATAGGAATAAAATTGAGACAGGCTGTGACCATAATAGTGATCAAAGCTGGCCGAATCTGCGTCCATGTCAGCAAAGACCTCCATCGTGATTTCAATCATCGCATTGGGCCACCACTGGTGACGGACATGTCACATTCCGTTAGGGTAATAACGGGGGCTGTGAAGAAGAACTACAGAATTAAAAAGATGAGGATCCATCGTGGAATGTAATCGCACTGCCTTCAAGCAAATACACTCTGGTAGTCTCAGGTGATTCTGGACCAAACCTGGGGTGTCAGTGATTGTTGAAAATAAGTAACAGTGCTCGAGAGACAGAACTAGCATAAATATTTGCATTCGAGTCAAAGAAAGGTGTCCAAAGTTATCTCTGCCGGACGCTCTCAGCTGTCATGAGACGGGCAGCAATACTTCTGTCCACTTCAAAAGCCAAACAAATAAAAGGATATAGGATATGCCATTTGGCTCATTGATGAGACTTAATAGAATCCGGCCTTTGGATGGACGGAGAGATACTTCAAAGGAATCACTACTAAGACGTTTGTATAGAGTGGACGAATTGTATGTCGTTATGTTGATCATCTCTGCTTGGGGTTAGGAACGGCCGGACAAGCTTTTCCCATCCATTCAGGCGAATACACCCTTCATCTCGTAGAACAGTGGAATATATTCGTGGTTGGTGAAAGCCAAAAGTTGGAAAGATGTTTCGGTTCAGCGTGCCAAGCCGGAACGGGAAAAGCGATAACCCACTTCAATGTAAACAATCAACAGCAACAAGTATCCCCATTCATTCCATACAGTCATTGCCCAGTCTGTGGATGCTCGCCGCTACTACGTTTCCAAACGTATAAGCTAATCGAGGTAACCGAATGCCTTAATAGTTGTATTATCTCTAATTTAGTCATGGATCCTTTTACCCAGTCTTGACCGCTTTGCAATTCAATCAGGCAATCAGAATTACATTAGCCACGACCCAAAGATTTACCTGAATCCACGGGCGGATACGTGTTCTCGAAGTTTGCCACGGGTGTAGAGCAGCACACCTGCGACACTCCAAACAAACTCCAACCCTCTATCCGCCGCTATTATGGTTGCGGAGTTTGGAAGAACTTGGGGCTCGATAATCTCCATCTCATACATACGCTCTCTCGCTCGTTAATGTACCTGAAATACGTCCATCTCTTCGCCGCCATGCTTTCCTCACCTAATCACCCATAAGTATTTCTATCACCCCAACACATCGCTCCATGCTCCGAACACAGACAGCAACGAACATATTTAAATGAAAAATACAAGATTACATATTCCGCCCTTCTCGGCAAGTGAAAGAGGCAAGGTACAACCCCACAACATATGGTGTGCTCAGGATAAATCATGGTCTTCTGTCTGCCTTAACCCTACACACCGCTAATTATATATGCCCTGAATATCGGGCTACCATGTAGCGGAGGAGGTTCTATCCAGCTAGCCACGAGGGCTCCGCCGTATCCGTCTACACCTATATGAGTCCTTTTTCCCATCCCATACCTCCCGTCTTCAGTGGGTGGAACGGCAACAGCAACCGTCTATTTACTCATGTCGAGGCCTGTATATTTCCTTTTAAATAACACCTGCATTATATTTCCTTTCTCTTTCAGAACCTGCATTGAATTTACTATCTCTATCACTAGCGATATGGATACCACCATTCTCTCCTGTTCGCGCACGAAGCCTGCTAAACAATTCCGCATCCTCGGCCTCCCTCTCGAACTATTCTACTCAATCGTCAAATACATTGCATTAGAGCCCCCTCCCTCTCCTGCCTCTCCATCACCTCAAAATCCTTCAACATCCTCACCGAGCCGCTCCTATACGGTAAATACACCCCCCGCCAACACTTGGACATGACCTACTTCCTAGTCGCATTGTATGAGCACCCAAATCTCGACCTTAATCTAGACAACGCCGCGAACTGTGGCCTCTATCGCTATTTTAACGACGTTGTCAGTGGGGTGGAGTATACTACGTCTAAAGAGTTGGTTTTGCATGCAGAATACTTTCAGGGGACCTGGTTTGGTGAGAAAGATGGAGTTGCTTTGGAGGGGCATTTCAGATGGCTGACAGGGCTCTGGACGGGCTTGGTGCCTAATGCTGAACAGGTTGAGATGCCAAGGATGTGGCTGGATACTGGATTTAGGGCTGAAGATGTCTTTCCTGGTGCTGAGGTTGTTGCTGTTGAGTAGTAAGTTGCTGCTTGCTAGTTTCATATGAGTGGGCGTTTGAGATGACGGTTTCGGTAGTGTTTAAGGATGGACAGTGACTTGGTTGGCTGGTGATGTGTCGCTGTCATTGAAATGGGCTATGGAGAGGGAAGTTGAGAGGGACATTAATCATTGCACCTGCTAGCAATAAATATATAATGGCATGACACTTAGATTTTATATTCCTAGTGCTCTTAAACATGGTTACTCTCTAAGAAAATTAATCATTAACTTTTAGGGGTAAAAAGGCCCTTACGCTCCCTTCATGCAACACTATAGGCGCATTATATACCCCTTGTTAGTTGTTCCTTCCCAACTCTTCCTTGTTGATATCTATTAAATTTCAGCTTACATCTAGCCCAGATCTCGCTAGTTCCAAACCTCTCTCATGCCAGAACACTCTTCTGTACGGCGACATTGTCAAAAATTCTTTTAAACGCTACAAGCCGCTGTACCGAAGTAGTGCAGGAGCTAACTGAGACTTGCTGCAATTGCATACGAAACAGTGGGATCAATAGATTTACGGGGATTTGGAGCTGCATATGGGTGCAGCTTGAACATAGCAGAGGAGGTCCAGGCATTCAATAGTACATTGATGTCCGTGATCTAGCTCATCGGTTCCCAAAATACCTTAAGTCATTGGCCTAGACTCCATGCACCACCATGCCCGCAGCTCCAACTTCATCTTCTCGGCAGGCTAGTTGACCTGCGTTCCATAACCCCTAATGGACTCCGCAAATGCCCAGCTCTGGTTCTCCAGCCTCTCATCCTCGGTCAACTCCACGCCTGCCTTCGTGATGATAGCAATCGAATACTTGTCCATACTCCTCGCATCCCTGTAGAACAGCACCTTCATACACTCCTTGACCAAACTGATAGCGTCATCCTTGCTCACATTCTGCACGGCCGCCTCATCTGGAATCGTCCTCCGCATAATTGGTTGCGCCAAATGCGCTCCAAAGCCCGTAGCTAGCGTCGGCGACGAGAATGTCGTGCCTAGCAGATCCGCGCTCGCGAGGAACGGCTTGGCATCTCCATCCAGCCCGGCGATGAGCAGGTGGTTCCACAGTGGATTGAAGTCGGATCGTCGCTTGTACATGACTTTAGAGAGGTAGGTGTGCAGGTTCTTGGCGTTGAGTGAGGATTCGGTGTTGGAATAGTTCTCGCGGATGTCAAGGGAGTTGAGGAGACGGTCCAGGTACTGCATGTCGGACACATCGCCGCCGAAGCCGACGACGACCTCGTCGTTGAATTTTCGGAGGCGCTTGACGTCGGTGAAGCGGGCGAGCGAGCCGTATGATGCTATTACCTGGTGTCAGCTGGCGTATTCCGGATAATAATGAGATATGTCTGGAGAGAGGTTCATACCTAAGTTGTCTGCTGCAATGACTACACCATCCTTGAACTTTGCTGCTACGACTGAGGTTCCGGTCACGATGGGACTTTGAGTATGCTGGTTGGGAGCTGCATTCTGGAAATGTGAGGGGTCGTAAGCACCGTAGACGTCGTCCCTTGGCTAGCTTTTTGTCAGTACTGATGCGTGTGAGAGGAAAGCGCAGCACATACACGGCCCCAGGCTTGAGGAAGGTGGTTCATGGTGGGCGAGGGTTCTTTATGATATTGCGGAGAAGTGGGGTCTCGGAACGGTATGGCACAATGAACAAGGGGAGTGGATGCGAATTAGAGTCGGAGGTTGAGGCTGCTGCGATGATGGACCAGGCAGCTTGGACGCGAAAGCTGCCACTAAATTGCCAAGGCGTGGCCCAAGCTCCCTTGAACTTCACCTTCGACCTACTATTGCTTTGCGACTAAAGCTACACCAAAAATTCAAAGACTTTCGTTTGCGAGTTCGAATAGAAGATGGTGCTCTGATTCGCGAGACCATCTCCCTGTCAGCATGTTGGGAATCAATTACCCAAGTAGTGACGAGGAGGATGTCGAGGTAAGAAAAGTTGTATTTAATTCACCAAAAGGCCGGATAGCTACTAAGTGTGCAATCTCCCAGGCGACCCCTAATATTCAGCCAAAGGCCGAGCAGTCAACCCAGGAAGATAGCTGTGCGTTATCAGCCCCTCGTATACCGAGCCTCTTTGGCTAACATACAGTCGCACCATCACAGGCGCAACACTCCAAACCCATCCAAGACCCTCAAGTCCTGCCCGCAGTGGTCCTGATCAAGGGCCTTCAGTTACTCCTGCGTCCAGAGATACTGATGCAGGAGGAACTGCTTCCACACCTCAATCACCATACTCATCATATCGATCGATCGTGCAGAACATCACGCTCCCTACCGTCCCCAATTTTGACATCCCTCCATCGCCTCCTGGCTCACCTCTCTTGGGGCCAACCAAGAAATTTGCGCTGTTTCTTGACATGAAGAGGAAAGGTCAGCATTTCAACAAACGAATGGCGGGGTCATCTGCCCTACAAAATCCGGCTCATTTCCAGAAGTTAATGGGATTCGCGGGATTGAAGGATGAAGATCAATATGCATCTACATTACCTGTAGGTGCCGCGGTCCCCACTGCTTTCCCAAAGTCAGCATATGTGGAGCAATTAGCGCAATCACAGAAGGAAATTACGAAAGCGAAGGAGAAGGACAAAGCTAGAGTGCAAAGAGAAGCTATCGACTTTGTTCCCTCAACCAACTCTAGCGAGAGCCGCAAACCCGCAATGTTACCAGGAAGAGGGTCATCTCAGAGCGCAACTGAAAGAGTCATGGCGAGTCTAGATAGAGAGAGGTCGAGCTCGGCTTCTTCACACGACCGAGATAAACGAAGAGAGCCTGATCGAAGAGGGGGGAGAGACGACCGTCCGTCAAAGGGTAGGCAGCGGAGCCGATCAAGGTCACCTAAGCGGAGGCGCTCGATGGAAAGGAACAGAGGGAGAGAGTCTCGGTGGGGTATATAGCTCTAGTGCGGATTTCTGCTTAATGGCTTCACGTGGCAACGGTTCGACTCGCTTTGGTAGTTGTCCTGGTTTATTCCACATATGTTAACATTCTATATGGCCTTAATCACGGTTACTATTTTTTTATGAACTACATAGAACATGCATAATTGACTATTATTGGAGCCAGGGAATCTATTTCCCATTTTCGTGCAGGATGAACAGCTGGATTATCTAATTCGCAGGGGCTGATATTCCGAGCTTGGGCCATCTCTTGGCATAGGCATCTCAAGCTCCGCGTCAACCTCTGAGTACTGCCACCAACAATAACCAACTTCACCTTACCAACCTCTCCAGGTCCCTTCTCTACCCAACTCCTTCTCACCCCATCCCACTGACCTCTTCCATCTCCCAACCTTTCTACGTTACCCACAATGGCCGCCGTCTTCTCCGGAGCGCCTCCACAAGGCGGTCCAGGCTATTCCTTCTCACAGACCCCTAAAGCAGCTCCATCTGGCGAACGACAACATGGCTTCTACCCGTAAGCCGCCTCTCACACCTTCTCTTACCCCCCATTAACTCCCCCTAGCTACACGGACAATGGCGGCTCCACGCTCGGCATCTCCGGGGCAACCTTCACTATCCTCGCAGGCGATACACGCTCCACATCCGGCTACAACATCAACACACGGTGCGCACCCAAACTCTTCAAAATCGGCGGCGAAGGCCCGGACAACAAAGGTGCGCGAATAGTCCTATCAGTTGTCGGCTTCGCCGCCGACGGTGAAGCGCTCAAAGAACGCCTCGACACCATCGTCAAAATGTACAAATACCAGCACGGAAAGCCCATGAGCGTGTCAGCCTGCGCACAGCGCCTGAGCCATATCCTGTACAACAAACGGTTCTTCCCATATTACGTGCACGCGATCTTGGGGGGCTTGGATGAAGACGGGAAGGGTGCGTTGTACTCGTACGATCCTGTGGGAAGCTATGAGCGGGAGCAGTGCAGAGCGGCGGGTGCGGCCGCGTCGCTGATCATGCCGTTCTTGGATAATCAGGTCAATTTCAAGAATCAGCATGTCCCAGGAAGTGGGACGGGACATGAGTTGCAGGCGAGGGTGGCGGTGCCGTTGCCGCAGCCGGCAGTGGAGGGTTTAGTGAGAGATGCTTTTACGAGTGCTGTGGAGAGGCATATTGAAGTTGGTGATGAGTTGCAGATGATGATTATTACGAGGGATGGCGTTGAAGAGACTTATACGCCGTTGAAGAAAGACTAGGGGTGATGGATGGTTGGACGGCAATGCGGCGAAAGGGGATGTAGTGAGGTGGAGGATCCGGTAAGTGATGAATATGTATAAATAGCATACCATGGTGCTGGACAGGAGTATGGCACAACCCCGTTTAAGGTTATACAACTTGAGCGGCTCTTCGGCCTGGAAAGGTAACTCTCGAGAAAATCTCAAGGGCCAAATGCCTATCCACTTTCGTAACAAATAACAATAACAAAACCACTCCATTGTGTTGGTATACATGAATTGCAGGCGAATAATTCACTGCTTGCTGCGATTTGGACATAAGGTGATGCTTTCTCCATCCACACCTCTGCGACCTGAACAATTAGAACCCAGCTGTTGGGAGTGTGACGTTGAATGTGCAGGCACCATTTAAAACAGGAGCCAGTGAGTATCGCAGACTCCAACAACCACACCAATATGTATCACACACTCTCTGTGTTCATAAGAATCATGTCTTGTTCTGGAAAACACCACATCCCGGTATCCGATTTTATCCGTCATACATCATCCGTAGCTGGAAACAATCCTGATGTGGAGGCTGCACCCTCGACAGCGGTAGGAATAGCAATGTATTGTAAACGGAGATATGGCAGAGAACCACTTTCGTTTGAAGGAGATTGGAAGATGAGGTGGCTGTTAGAGATTCGGAGAAGGCAGTGGGATGATGTACCACTCCTAGTAGCAACGGTCCCTCCCAATAGTCAATCGGGGTCAGTAGAAATACATCCCCGCCTACCTCAAATCCGTACAACTTTCCCCTTGTTCCAAGTTCGCACTTCACCCTCCCTGCGACCAGGAATAGCCTTAGGGTGCTCTTGGAAATGCTTCCGCTCTTTAGCAAGTCTCTGAGCCATCAGTTCAAAATCCTTCTTCATTCCCTGTTTCTTCTTTTCGACGCCTTCAAACAAGCCATCAAGCTCGCCACTGTGACGCTCAATAAGTGTTTTCAGCAAGTGCTCTCCGTCTCGGGCGTAGGTTTCCGCAATATCGTTCACTGCCGTTTCGTTATCCACAATGTGGCGCAGAACACGCCTTGAAATGCGAATCAGCTGTTCTCCGATTGCTCGTTGGTGGGGCTGCAGGCTCGCCTCCCACTCCATCTCTTCAGCCACTTCGGTCGGGATGGAAGACTCCGAGCCTTGCTCTATCTCGGCGGAGGTAGAGCTATGACTGCTAGGCGGATATTGTGAAGGTGGTGATGATCGGAACTGTACCGGCGACGCGTTGAGAATGGTAGGAGGTTCTTCCTCATAAGCAACAAGAGTGTCGTCGCCACCAATGTCCAAATAATCTTCTCTTGTTGGAAAGACATCCTGGGGTTGCATCTCCTCAATAACTTGTCGTGGTGCTTCCCGTTCGGAATCCTCGAGGTTTATATCAAGGTGCTCCGGCGCTGGTGGTCCCTTGTCCACTTTCGAGAAGGCACATTGGCGAGAGTGTCGATGTTTAGAAGTGCTATCAACTATGACTTGGCTACGTGCATTTCTTTTTTGTGTTGAGCCTTTTGGTTTCAAAGGTACTCGGAAGGAGCGGCTCTCATAGATAACTTCGGGTGCCACAGGGTCCTGAGCAATCGCTCGCTTCCTGAACTTCTGTGGCGATTCTTCTGGTAGCTCAGGCTCTTCAATAACAGTGGTCCCCTCCGTCAGACGCCGAGTAAAAGATGTGGTTCGGGGTTTCCACTTGGATCGCTGCTTGAAGGGATCGCTCTTTGCCGTCTCCCATTCCCCAATCTCTTTTTCCATTTCCACATGCTCTCGCTCCGCGTGACCAGATATAGCTCTAGAGTCTGAGTGTGGCGATGCAGGAACAGGCTTATTATTGCTGGATAGAATCTCTGAGCTTACTGAGCCACCCGAATACCTGCGTTGCGGATGTAGATGTGAGGGAGTTTTGGTCATTTCCGCCTCCTCCAAGGTCTCCATCTTGTGTGATGGTCCGTGCTGACCTCGTCGCACTACAGATGCGGCATCCTCACTTCCTCGAGGAGAAGAATCCAAGCTCTGCATTAGATTACCCAGTGACTGGTTGGCAGAAGGCAGGTTTGGCGCTTGGCGTCCACATTGGGTGTCAGGGCAAGGGCTGGTAGGGTCTTCCAAAAGTCGTGGTGGGGCGACAGTTACAAGTGGATTCTTGAAAGTTTTCTTCGTGACGTCTGGATTTTTAGGCTCCCTAGTATGGAATTCTTTCATCCGCTTTGCTTTCGGTGTTGATGGAGAGGAGTATTCGGCCGATTGCTTCGGTGAAGCCGTGGGTAATAACGCTTGTGATCTATTGATAGCATTAAGAGGCGAACGGCATAAAATGGGTACAGTTAGCGGTAGCTCATTCGAAGAGGCAGAGTCTTGGCTTGTTGTGGGCCGAGCGACTGGAATCTCTTGTATGCAGGCGCCTCCGAGATCAATGTCCTCCCCACCGCTGTCCGTCTCATCCAAACTCTCAGAACACGAATCGATCATGATGATCTCCGGCTGGTCTTGGGAAAATTGGCCATTCTTCTTTATAGCTTGCCCTTGGACACTTTGTGGCTCTTTCTTAGCTACCTTGGAGACTTGTATCTTCTGGATAGGCCGCATGCTAGAGTTCCCTTTCGTCTTCTTTGGCACGTCCTGTGTGGCTGGTTGCGATCTGGAAAGCATCTTGGCCACAATGGAATTCTCTCCCGGAGACACAAGAATATCTTCTACCTCAGAGGCTCTGGAAGCCTCTCCTCGTCCACTACTCTTCGGGGCTGAAGCCTTTCCTGTTTGGGTTTTGCTAGTGACCTTTTGTGTAGAGGATGTCATGGCTGCGGATCGAGATTTTGCCGGCTTAGCTTCAGTATAATCCGATTCAGAGCCACCATACCCAGAGCTTTCGGCTTCGTTATAGTCCACCGACTTCGCGGCCTCTCGCCTTGTGTGACGCTTTCCTCTTGGCTCCTCGTCAGGAGGGATGGTGAAGACGTCTTCGCTGGGACGCTTCCTCTTTCGAGAGCCACGTTCGCTCGTCGTCGCCTTTGATACCTTCGGCAACCTGGAAGGCTTCAATCCAGATTTGATCTCTTCTCGTTTTTCTTTGGGTTCGGTGATTTGAGGAGTTCTGCTAATATCCATGGCTTCACTAGAACGGTTCTGTATAACTTCTGTTAGTTGTGCTTTATGCGTGTTAAGAGGATCCTCGTCGTCTTCTGTGTCGTTGAATTGCTGCCTTTGGGTAGGTTTGGGCTTTGGCCTGATTAGTTTCGCTTTCCCAATAGATCCACAGGGCGGTCGAGACGCAGCTGTAGTGGGTTTGAACTTCGTTCTCGGCGATTCCTTGCCCGTTGCCAAAGATCGTTTTATCCTTGGAGGCTCGTCTGGGAACCCAAACTCGTCCATATCTTCTCGAACGCAAAGACTAGTTCCCTCAGTCTGATCGTGTGCGCGTGAGGGTTTCTTCTTGATTACCGGAAGTGCACCGGGAGCAGATTTTCGCTGGGCCTTCTTCAGTATTCCAGTGTTTTCAAGGACCTGAATTTGCGGTTCATTCACCGGATCATTTTTGGGCATGGAAGTCGATCTCTCCGCAGAGGAAACTACGTCATGGATGAGTTTGACCGGTCGTGGCCCTGAAGAGCTCGCGTCCCCATCCCCAGGTCGTTCTAGCTCCTGATCAGGCCCAGAATTGTTGGGATTTGTATTTGGGTTTACGAGTGCTATTTCTGGTGAGAGACCCCATGCGTTAGGGCTCCACTTAGGTTCTTCAATACCCCTAGTGGATCCAGTTTTGTTTGAGTCGCCATTTAGCAACGCCAGGCTCGGTTCAAAATTCGGTTGGGCAACCTCTTGAGTCCTGCGTCCTGTGGAAAAGCCTACATCTGTGACTTGGACACTGTATTTTGCACGTCTAGGTATGTGACTGCCATGGTCAGCCCGTTGTGTATTACTGTCCCCAGAAACGCTTGCATCTAGGATTTGGCTACTGGAAGATGCTTGGATTGTTGATAGACGATCAATCGCCTCTTTGATGCAACTTTCGCATTCCTTAGCATCAGCATAGCCCTGGAGTAAGATCGTGAGCTCGCTTCCATCGTGATGCTCAGCGTTCACGCGGTATGTCCATTGGCCATGTCTGAGGGTTAAGACAATATCCCAAGGCTCATGTTCCGTTGTCCTTGCTTGGGAATCATGTAGCGATGACTTCTGCAGGCGGATGTCATGTATATGCCGGAGCGGTACGTCGACGAAGCCAAGGTTTCGAGGGGAATAATCCGATGTAATGAGCGTAACAGATCGATATTGGATAACAGAAAGCATCACAGTAGCCGCTTGTTTAAAGCCATCAGAAGCGATAAGCGATACCGGATACAGCACAGCAGGATCAGTCTTGGACTTTGGGATAAGGTGTAGTTCACGCTCTAGAGTGTCAAGGTATTGTTGGAAGTCGGTAAGCCATGTTCCGCTCGAATCTGTCGGGAAATTGGGGGCGTTGTTTGGGATCTTTGGCGAGGGCCAGCAGTTGGCGAACTTGATACCATTTTGAAGAGCTTGTCGAATAGTGATACCAGCCACAATTTTGGTCTCTTCCAATTCAGTATCCTTGGCTATGATTGCTCCAAGCTGGTGAAGTCCCTGTGGACGAGTCTTGAGATGTTTGACAACTGGAGGAGTGTCAACCATATGCCGAAGAGTTATACCAATCCACCGCCGTTTGTAATAGGACGTAGAGTCATCGGCGAAGGCTCTTAGGTATTTCTCTGCGACGTGGGCGAGAGCTATGCCGGGAGGTGCTCCCTGAGGCCTGGAAATGAGGTCGTCGAGCTGCTGGGCGAACGCTGTCTCATCTGCAATGGCGAGGGCGCCGTCAAAGTCTTGCGCAGACATGGCTCAGCGATGTGGCAGAATCATTGAGAGGTACGCAGGGGAGCCTGCCGCGAGTGGGTGTAGAAGGGAGGGTTCAGAGGAGGAATATCGTACTGGACTTGGACTTGAAGTGACGCGAAGGGGAAAGTGTGGGTGTTAACTCGAGAGTTGCCCGACGGGCGGCGGCAAATAAAGAAGGCACGCGATGGTTGGCAGTGCGACTTCCCTTCCAGCCTTGGGAGGGTTCCGCCACTTCATGATCAGAGCCATGAAACACCACTTTCTACGCGTCGTTCGTTGTCTTCTTCGCCGAAGGCCGAAAATTAGGAAATATATTAACACTTGATCATCGCTCCTTAGCAAATTTGCCATTGCAATTATGCGTCTGCACGCGACATATCTCTTTGATGATGGTACGGCAATGGATATCTAGAAAATAAGAAAATGTAAAAGGCCCAAGGTTTTTACGCCAGACGTTGAGCCCAGGAGGTGTGTTCAAATTGATCCATATCATCGCCTATGAAACGTGCGCTCTTCACAATAATCGAGGGTACTCTCGTTACGTCGCTCTCCTCGCTCTGCACTTTTCTTGCTCCGACAGGATTTTGGGAGGAGGCGTCGAGTCGTTACTTTTAACATCTCCCAGGAGCGTATTAGGTTTTGAGTCCCTTCTGGCTACACTACAGGCCCCGGTGCAGTATAGTTCGTAATCTTGGACCAAAATTCCGGGATTAGAACACCTGGTGAAGTATACGCGCTCCCTCTAAGGGTTTTGATCAACCGCCTAGGACTTCCAAGGCTGATTCTTGTTACCCGGATTCGAACACACGAAACGTATAACTGAACATAATTGGCCTTACAAGCTACATGTGAAGCTAATCCTTCAGCGCGGAGGAGATATTTCCTGGAAGAGTGGATGCTGGAAGGGTGGAGCGGACGTTTGCATTCTGTATGTAGCCAACTTGAGCAAACCGTCGTTTGGAACCAACGCTAGTGTTGGAGGAAGTTACCAGTGAGTAGATCCTCGCCCATCCGCCGGAGCCGTCATAATTTGGCGCAACACCAAGTCCTTTAGACATAGAAACTTGTTGGGACCCTGGGTGTTCAAAGGTCTCTTCCACGCGGAAGCCGATCTCCTCGTCGGCTAGCACCGCGTATGTGATTGTAGCTCGACCGAACTGTCTGCCAGAGTTAGAGCGCATATCAGTAGAGTTGATGCTCTGTAGCGGGGATTGGAGTTGGTGAGACGGATATATTAGTAAGGTTCACCAATGATTTTACTATTTACGATCAAATCAATCATAGTTCTAGTGACTACGGGCCATTGACGCACCCGCTGCAATGAGAAAAGAGGTAGTAAATACGTTGTTCATGCTTTCGAGCGTTAAACTTCAACAGTTTCGATGTACTAGAGTGGGGGGAAGGTGAAACCCTAGCATTGTCCAAGTCTTCTCATTCTTCACATATTCTGCTGTGGTGCTCCTTACAATGGCTTTCGATGAAGGAAATCTGGGGCTTTCATATTGATCGGTAGTGTTCGTCGCGGTGTAGACTGATGATCCGTTCCTAGTTTAGTCTCTACATGTTCCTGATAGTGTTTACAGGAATTCTTCCAGGTGAGGGTGGGGCTTTCATACGAAAGGCTCTTAATCAAACTGCCAACTTTCCATGTTTATCGCCCAATAGTCTCAGTCATCCTTATACAAAGACAGGAAATTGCCGTTCTTCCCTAGTATGAGATAGTGGAACGCTCTAGGGGAGAGTTAGGTTCAAATTGATGCCGGCTTTACAAGGGGCGTAATTATATATGATTGCTTCTTTCCTCGGAAGGGAATGCTGAATACTCGACTGTGAGATGATGAAGGCAGTGTGTGGGAGTGAGGTTGAATGTTTAGCGCGACAGGTGCCCGAGTTTCGCGATCCTCAGCGGGCTGGCGCTATTCCGAATTCGTCCTTAGACCCATCTCAAAGATGTGTCTATCTCTTCAATCACCTTCCTATTTCCAGCTTCATATGTCGAATCCCAGCTGGGTCAAAAGAGTGAGAGGTTTGATGGTCAGAAACTTCTCATCCTCCATTGCACTGTCTGAGCCGACGCGCAACCAGCACGATTTAACTCCACCTCGGAGCTGACCTTCCGGTATCGCGCCTTACCAAATGCCTCCAAGGTGCAAAAAAGTCCAACAATAAGTCAGTGCAATTATCGCAAAATATCACGTGAATAAAGGTGAGCTTCGCAATCCTTGCGCGATTCGGGAATGGCTACAAAAACGCATGTTCGCTTCGCCCGCCGAGGAACAATCCTTCGGGCTGAAGCCACTTAATTATAGCCAGGATTCGAGTACGGCCGTAGTTCCCTAACGCCATGCCCGTGACACGAATAAGCCTTTCCTCAACTTCTTTTATTTTCTCTCATGTTCTCGTCTCTTTACAATTGCTAAGCTTGTAGTTATGGCTCAGGACGAAATCAAAAATACTGATGATGAAGTGCCGACTTCAAGTCCAACCGTTGTTCCAAACATCAGCCCAGCAAGGCTGCAGGTCATTATTGCAGGGTAATTGTGCTTCCTCATTCTCACCAAGTAACCCACCACTAACCTTCGCAGACTTTGGCTTTCTATATTCATGTCCGCAATAGACGGGACTATCATTACTACCGGCCTTGTCAAGATCTCCAGCGATTTTAACGCACTAGGTCAGGCGGCATGGCTCGTGACAACATATCTGCTGACTTATAACGGTAAAGCTCCAAGTCTATCCAAGAACTTAAGAACCTAACCAGATCTTAGCTTTTCTCATGATCGTAGCGAAACTTAGCGATGTTTGGGGCTTGAAAAGTATTCTTATATTTTGCAATGCCTTCTTTCTTATCTGGTCCATGGCATGCGGGGCATCCCAGAGTATGACTCAATTGTAAGTGCTTTACATAACTCTGGATATGTGATATCTATTAAAAGCCCTAGAATCGTATTTCGTGCCCTGCAAGGTATAGGAGGCTCTGGCCTTTATTCTCTAGTATTCGTAACATTGATGCAACTCATAACTCCGGACAAGCTTGGATTCTACTCCGGTATCATCAGCTCGGTCTTTGCCGTAGCAAATCTACTAGGGCCTATACTCGGGGGAGTAATAAGTGACCATACGACGTGGCGATGGATATTTTTCATCAAGTGAGCCTACTACGTGCGGTCCCTGGACTTCATCACACTAATCCGTTCTATAGCGGACCGATCGTGTCCACGGCCTTGGTTCTATTATTCTTTTCCATGCCTGGAAAAGCCGACGGGAAATCTAATATGGATCGCCTACGAAACTTTGACTTCATTGGGGGAACTCTGTCCGTCTGCTGGCCGATTCCTCTCCTCTTTGCCCTTCAAGAGGGTGGTGCCAACTATGCTTGGAGCAGCGGTGTCATAATCGGAACACTTGTTGCGGGTATTGTTGGGTTCTTCCTATTTGGATGCTTTGAGGCTTGGATCACGTTCAGGACGAAGAAGGAGGCTATTTTCCCCGTCAGGTTTTTGACCAACCCCGCCATGATACTCCTACTTCTGTAAGTTTTCAGTTGTCTCCTTTCATTTATGTGGCTAACGTCCGGGTTCCAGGAGTCAGGGTCTCCAAGGAATGCCCTTCTATGTTTCAGTCATCCAACTGCCCCAGCGCTTCCAGGCCGTGAACCACACCTCCGCCGAACGAGCCGGTATTCTTCTACTCCCCTTGACTCTCCTTACTCCAGTTGGCTCTATGATTGGTGGCATAGTCATGGGCAGGCGACTCCACGCAGAGTACATCCTTGTGATATCAGCCGCCGTAGTCAGCATCGGGATAGGCCTTCTTAGTAGCCTCCCCACCAGCATGGCATTCCCCATCGCCACATATGGATATGAGATCATCACGGGATTCGGATTGGGTTTAGGCAGCCCTCCGTATTACTACCTCCTTCCTATCACTGTGGCGGAGAAGGACATTTCCGTCGCTACAGGCGCGTTGAATATGATGCGTACGCTTGGAGGTTGCGTGGCAGTAGCAATATGCAGTGCACTCAACCACTCATCATTACGCCAACATCTACCCACCTTTCTTACACCAGAACAAGTCTCGGCTGTCGAGGCCTCGAATACTGCCATGCAGGCTTTACCTAGAGCACTCCAACTGAAGGTAGCACAGGTCTTCGGGGAAAGCTTCAATAGGCAGATGAAGGTGATGTTGGCCTTCACCTGTCTGAATGTCTTGGCCACGATAGCCTTGGTTATCGTTCGGAAGAGAAGAGGTATTCTAGGCGCCGTACCAGTTCGTCGAGAAGAAAACGAGTTCATGAAGAGGGAAAAGGCTAAGTCCATAGATGGAGAAAAACGAGCTGATTCAGAAAAAGCGAACAAAACCCAGAACGTTACTCTGTCGAAAGAGACCGCGGAAGAGAGTGCAAGGCAGGTTGACGAGATATCAATAGCACGTGATAGTGGAGAAGGCGAAGGCGCCGCGAAGGAATTTAAGGTATAACGAGAGTTTACATATACTCGCAACCTTTGTATTTGATGTAATCTATAATTCGCCACAATGGTGTGACATTCGGAAGTTGTTTACTTCCCTCTGGTTGGTCACGGAGTCTCTGACCGATTTGAAGGAGGGAGTTCCGCAGTGATCGATGGAAATTGGACAGATCTTCTAGAAGTTGCCTATCCCGGAAGTTTGAACTCGTGCATGATGACCGCTACAGTAAAGGCTAACTTTAAATTCGACGTCGACATCAAGGTAGAGAATAGGTGTTTGGTGATCAGGCGGTCCAACTGTTGTCGCTATTTGCGTTTTGAACTAAATTGCATGTGTTGGATCCATGCGTCGAAAGCGAAACCCGGATTCGAGTCTAGGATTTAAAATCCAGGATAAAATGGACACACCTCTCCAACTTCTCTAATATTAGAGTAATATAATTCTACTATGTGTATGAACTAGAGTTCTCAAAGGGAGCTTCTTAATAAGCTAGTAGTCGTTTAATTCGGCAGAGTACTGAGATAGTTACGGATACTGAAAGAGGTAACTTTACGTACTTAGAAATATCTCTAGAGGTTTCTTAGCCTACTATGTTGAAGCTTCACAACCTTCTCCATCTTTGGAGGACTTCAGCTATTTTTAGCTCCTTCTGAAGCAGTCTTTAAGCTCTATAACTCATGCATATAGCAATTTATTACCTCAAACAACTGGCTTGCAGTTGTAAAAGACACTAATGGGAGGGGGTTTACCCCTAGGCTTTAGGATGTACACTTATCCTTAATTATTTTGAAGTCTCTTATCTGACTTGTTAGCGGTGATGTTACTGTATTGCTTACTCAAAGAGCCCATGGGTAATAATTCTCTTCATAACAAACATAAAATTACTCTCGTCTCGGCCCTCTCATTATTCCAGCTAATTACCTCCTTTAATTGCAGCTAACCTAACGAACCTAACCCACCACTTGTCTTCCCTAAACTCAATCCGATAGCTAAATATAAGAACCGAGCGATTCTTACAAAGTATAGACGAAATTAGGCTTCCTATCTCCTAGCATCTCAATCTCCTGCGCATCCATGCCCTCAATCCAAGCATCCCTATCACCACGCGCCCTCTTCCTGTTTTCCCACGCCAACAAGAGCCTCGTCGTAATACTTCCACCAAGCAAGAATAATATCAAATAAGCCAACACAACGGAGTGCCCAGGCTTATATCTCGGTTTATCCCGACCTCGGAAGATATTGCTACTCACTACACCATTCAGATTCCCCCATCCAATGACGAATCCGAGTGTAACGCCGCGCTTGTAGACTCCTTCGACGTTGTTTGAAGCCCAGGAAATCGTGTTCGCGATGCAAGGATAGATTCCGAGTGCGCCGAGGAAAGTCCCTGCATATTGCACACCGGGTCTTCCAGAACCAAGCAACATCGAGAATCCAGCTATTCCTAAGAACGAGACTGCAATATTGCATAGCCCACGTTGCCTCGTCCGATCTGCTAACCATCCGATAAATACCGTCATAATTGCCGCTCCGGCATACGGAGGTACGCTGAGCAAATTTGCAGTTGTGCTCTTGTATCCCAGCTGATTGATGATGCTCGGTAGGAAGAGTGAGAAAGCGTATAGTGCACCGTCGCAGCCCATGTAGATAACGGCAAAACACCAGGTTTTCCAGTCACTCACTGAGTTCCAGAAGTAGGTCATTTTGAAGGATTCGTGCTCGGCAGAAGATTGCTGGTCTGCTTTTAGACGACGAATTACGCGGGCGCGGTCGTCGGGTGTCAGGAATTTGGCTTCGTCGGGGAAGTCATGGACCATCCAGTAGGAGGCGACCCCAACAAAGATTGTGGCGAGGCCTTCGAGGATCTGCGAGGCATGTTGTTAGAGACGTTTGGGTGTGGATAGAGTGAGGGCGGTTGAGAAAGCTTACAAAGATCCACGCCCATCCAGGCTTCCCTCCAATTCCATCCATCTGCGCAATTGCGGCAGCGAGGAGTCCACCAAAGGAGCCAGCAAGGGCAGCGGCAGAAAAGAAGATAGCTGCTCGGATACCGAATTCGGACCGTTTGTACCAGCAGGAGAGGTAATAGTTTACACCGGGAAAAAGCCCAGCTTCAGCAACACCAAGCCACCAGCGCTGCGAAAGGTCAGCCAAGCCGTTTTACAGTTTCACTTAGCTAGGTAGGGTCAATGTACTCACAGCAGCCATCAGCCCAGAGAAATTATGCACCAATCCCATGCAGGTCATACAGATACCCCACCACAGCATAATGATCGGGAGGAAGATACTCGGCCTCAACTTCTTAAGCAACACATTGGTGAGTGGCTCAAAGAGCGCGTAGGAAACGAAGAATATAGAGAGCGTGGCATTGTATTGACCATTGGTCATGTGCAAGTCCTCTTGCAGACCATCGATTTTGGCGTTGCCGATGTTGGTTCGGTCCAAGAAGGAGATGAGGTAGAGAAAGGAGAGCCATGGAATCAGTTTCATGTCAAGTTTCCAGAGCAGTTTCCGGTCCTTGGTAGGTTAGAATCCGAAGAACTGTTAAGACTGTATCTTGAGAATATTAGAAGCATAGGACTCACATGAGCAGCACGCTCTTCCTCACTCAACCCAGCATCAGGGTCCGGGATGCCATCAGTAGGAGGCGCATACTCCTGTCCCTCAACCTTTGCCTTCTCATCTTCAGACCGTCGATCCAAACTCGCACTGTCAGTGCCTCTCTCAAGCGCAGTACTCATCTTGGCGGCTCTTAGGTGCACCAGTATTCGAAGCGTTGATGTTGATCAGGATTTGGCGAATATTGGTCCCAGGACTGTGGAAATTATGCAGGAATGTGTGACGACTGGGCAAGCTTATGAAGCATCCTAACCTTCCGTCCCTCCAGAACAGTAGCTTTACCAGTAACGTTTCTTCCTCGGCCCACACCACCTGTCATCCTTAAACCCGCCCGTAGACCCATGCTCAGACTAAAGATCTATTGTCCCATCCTCCAAATACCTTCCCAAGCCCCTGCTCCTTCTTGTCTTTCACTGCGCCCATTCGGTCATATTTTTCCCGGGCCGTTGAGCTTATCAGCGATTCGGGTTGTTGTGATAGGCGAGCCATGTGCCGTTGACGTGCACCAAGAAACCAAGCGGGGAAGAAGCATGGCTTGGTGCGGAGAAACTGGGGCGTAGACCAACCAGAAGGGAGGAAAGGGACGCTAAGCATCGGCAGATGCAACAGGAAAATGCAAGAGGTGACCATGGCTTACGCCCATAACGCTTGACTTAACACCGACGGGTGAGGAGTTGCTGATGCGCGAAGCGGCTTGGTTCAAGGTCACACCAGATGATCTGATTTTAAGGCGCTCTGAGGAAATAACTTGTGCGGTCGAATGGGTGTTGTGAAGACTTTTCTCGAAACCTTGGCATAAACCTCGCTTCTGAAGCGCTCATCTTCTGGAAGGATTCCATCTGACAATGAGATACTGACCATGTGGCAGAAATAGCAAGGTATAAAATAAGGCAGAAAGGTGGATCTGCCACTGCCTAGGCCGAGTAACATCCCCCATCCAGATCAACCCTCTTGGTAATGTCCATTGTCAAACACCAATATTCAGTAATCCGAATACTTTTTTTGGTAACGGGTGCAAGAAATCAATACTAGGGTATCAACAGAAAGAGCCGTCTATTAAATATTTCCCACTGCATTCCTCTTTAATTCCTCCAGATTCTGACCTGCTTGTCTGCACCTCCGCTGCCCACTCTATCACCATCCGGACTCCAGTCTAAAGCAAACACCTGGTCTTTGTGACCCGGCAAGTCTTCCTTCAACTTTCCAGTCCTCATGTCCCACACTTTGAGCGTGGTGTCCTTGCTACAACTCGCCAGCAATCTACTGTCGGCCGAGAAGCTAGCCATGTAAACTGGCCCGACATGGGCCCTCAGAGTGAAGAGAAACTTTCCATCTCGAGCAGACCAGATCTTGACGTGGTTGTCCCACGCTGCGGATGCAAGTAGCGTGCCATCCGGGGAGAAGCAGACTTGGTTGATTTGTTTCTGGTGACCCGTCATTCGAGTCAGTGGTTTGGTGCTTGTGAGCGGCGTCCAAAGGAAGAGAGTGCAATCTTCGCTAGCAGTTGCTAAACGCTCAACAATCTCGCCTCCAGTGGTGGCTGATTTTTCGAAGCGTGATTTGGCTTTCGCGAACTTTTCTTCGGGGGTAGCAGGAACTTTTCGAGTATGATCATGGTAAGATGTTCGTACGACGAAGTCGGTAGAGAGCGCCAGATGGTTCACCCAGTGTGCATGGCCAGCAAGAGTATGCAGAAGAGTCCCAGTAGCGGCGTTCCAGACTTTGATCATCTTGTCGTGGGAAGAGGTGTATATCTAAGGCGTCGAGTTAGCAAGGCGATATGTCCTGAATCTTTAAAGCCCATACCCGTCCAGTTCCTCCCCATTTCACGCAAGTCACACTGCTCTTGTGACCGGTAAGTGCAAAATCTGTCTTCCCTCCAATTGCATCCCATATTCGAACCGTCCCATCTTTTGAAGACGATGCTACTCGCGGCCGATTTGGTTCCTGTAAGTGATATGGCTCCCAGGAAAGGGACGTAATGAAGTTGGTATGACCTGTCAGTGGTCCGCCGATCTGCTTCCCCGTACTTTGGTCCCATACCCGTACTTGGTTATCATAACCTCCCGAGGCTAGTATAGATCCATCTGGTGAATAGCTCACTGCTAACACCCACTTGGTATGCCCCTTCAAGGTGTGCACGGGAGTTCCAGTATCGCAATCCCATATCCTGACTGTCTTGTCTCCACTGCCACTTGCCATTCTGCTTGAATCCACTGGCGAAAATTGTATGGCTAATATGTTGTCGCCGTGCCCTGATACAGCCGCTGCGCATCTCGATACTGCCTTTACCCTAAACACGGCCTGCGGAGCATACTGCAGTATGATCTCGCTTTCCGCGGACACCTTCCCAGGCTTGACCAGGGCATGGTATAAGTCCTCGCTATCTCCCAAGGCTTCCACATCTCCATCGGGAAAGAAGCGATATGGTATCCTGTCCTCTCCTTGTTCTTTTAATTCATTCAGCAGGATTTCGAGGTTCTTGGTCGAGGCTTGCGAGAGGGGCACGGTGAGGACGGGGAGGCTGCCTGTTTCACCAGTGGCTTGGTCTATGAAGCGGACTCGGACGCTGCCATCTGGAATCGCCTGATCAACATCCTGCTGCTCTCGCGCAATCTCTGCCCGCTCGCGTTTCTGGCGTTTTGAGGGTGGTGGGTATTGGGTGGCCATCAATAAGGCAAGGTGTAACTGAGAGGGTGCGACAAAGTGGCAACTTCTTGGGGATCAGAAATATTCTGGCTGAGTCTACTCGCAAAAGGGCTTCCCCCCAATAAGTATTCACCTTGATGCTTATGAGTTGCTGAAAATTGTTATCGATAACGGAATTTCGGTTGGCCGCAGGGGCCACCTGGCGGCATTAGCTTTCGCTTCCGTTCGCTCTGCCACTCAAGTTACCATTCACTTACAGGACTCTTTGCTAATTCATCATACTTCATCCCTCCTGAAAGATGAAGAGCACATTCGACTGATTGAACATTGACTCAGCAGCCAACTAACCATCATGCCTCAACAGATTCGACCTTCCACCTCTTACAGCACCTCAGCGTCCACCTCCTATACGTCATACACCTATGGTGAGTATAACACGACGACAACCTCTCGTCCAAGGACAGGTGGTCTCAGAATTATTGGAAGGCCTGGGACCGATCGCCTCAGAACTGGTGCGTCGACTATCGCAAGGGTTGAAGCGCAGCAAGTCGTCTGTGCTGTTACCGAGTCACGGGGTATTTCTCCAACTGTTGGCCTGGCATTCGTCAACCTCGACACCGGAGAATCGGTGCTGTGCCAGATCTGCGACAGCCAAACCTATGTTCGAACTGTTCATAAGTTGCGAGTCTATGGCCCCTCCGAGATCCTCATTGTAGGGACAGCAGCGAGCCCGAAGTCAAAACTCTTTTCCATCATCGAAGAGAACATAGAAGCCATTGATAGCAAGCTCACCCTTCTCGATCGCCGTTACTGGGCAGAGTCAGTAGGTATCGAGTACATTCAGCAGCTGGCTTTCGCCGAAGATGTCGAAGCAATCAAAATATCAGTGTCTGGGAACTACTATGCAGTCTGCTGTATTGCAGCTGTAAGCAACTTGCTCCTTGAAAGACCGTCGAGTTGACATGTCATCAGGTCCTAAAGTATATCGAGCTCGGGCTGAGGAAGACATTTCCGTTTCACTCGCTTAGAATCAAATACGAACCCTCAGAAGGTTCCATGATGGTTGATGTATCGACGATCTATTCACTTGAACTTGTCCAAAATCTACAGAATCCAAAATCAAGGGACTGCCTATTTGGCCTTCTTAATGAAACATTGACGCCAATGGGGTCACGACTTCTGCGCAGCAACATTCTTCAGCCCCTGACTGATCCAGAGACTCTCAATACTCGATATGATGCCTTAGAAGAACTGACTACCAAGGAAGAGATGTTCTTCGCCACGCGTGCTGGTTCGTCCGGCTGCTCTCCTCGACCGAGCCCTTGACTGACTCGTTATAGCTTTAAAGAATTTCCTGGATGCTGACAAAATCCTCACAGCCGTAGGGAAGCTCTTGCCATACAGTCCCTAGTTACTAATCTTATTGCAGCTCATTGTCATTCCGACGAAGCCTACTATCCAAACAACTGAGCAGAGCATCAACCACGTCATCATGTTGAAGCAATTTGTCACTTCCGTGAACCCGATATACGAGGCACTCACAGGAGCGAGAAGTTCCATGCTTCATAACATCCGCGAGGTTTGCTCACATAACCTTGTACGCTATGAATGCTAATTATTCCCATAGCTCTGCGCGCCCGAGAACGTCATACCTGTTCAAGCTCGGATCGATGCAGTGATCAACGAGGATACGAGTTACGCGAAGCAACCACTCGAGTTGAGAAACCAACGAACCTACGCGGTTAGGTCTGGTGTTAATGGACTTCTCGATGTCGCACGCACGACTTATAAAGAAGCCATTGAAGATGCCTACCAACACTCGACGGAGCTAGGCTGTCTGTAATCCCTCCCACCTCCGCTAAGCGGCCACTAACCGGTCGTAACAGTAGAGTATGACCTCTCGCTTGATCTAAAGTACGACAGTGTTCGCCAATTCTTCATTCGAATCCCAGCATCGGAGCTTGAAGAGAGATCTCTTCCACCTATTTTCACTAACGTCTTTCGCAAGAAAAACATGATTGAGTGCCAGACCCTAGAATTAATGAAGCGGAACCAGAAGGTACAGTATGGATCCCCAGATTCTAATTTGCTAATTAACAGAGCTTCAGATCACAGTGTCTCATCAAGAAGTTGTATTAATGAGTCCGTTACCCACGATCACCGAGTCTGTCGTGAAGACTGACTTCATTAGGTGACGAAGCTGTTCAGTCCCTTATCGAGGAAGTGCGTAGCCAGATTTCGATCCTGTTCAAGATATGCGAAAGCATTGCAATGGTAGATATGGTACATCAGTTCTCCCGACTATAGTTCTGTAGTTAATAGTTTTCTCAGATTTCTTCTTTTGCCCAACTTGTCACTACCCAAGACTATAGTAAGAAAGTCTATATTTTTACTATTATCCTGACTAATCAGGCTGTAGCTCGACCTCACATCACGGATACTCTTGCTATCAAAGCAGGGCGGCACCCAATTCGTGAGAAGATCATGAAGAACAGGTTCGTGCCAAATGACGTCTATGCTACTCAACAAACACGATTCCAAATCGTCACTGGCTGCAACATGAGTGGTATAAGATATTAAATGTCCGGTGCATGGGTGAGACTAAGTGATACCAAAGGAAAGAGTACCTACATTCGCTCTATTGCGCTCATGGTCATCATGGCTCAGATTGGAAGCTTGTAAGTTGGGGCATTGCTCTCTCTCTCTCGCGACAGTATTACTGACTTACAATAGCGTGCCTGCTTCATATGCCTCCTTCCCCGTGTTTCATCAACTCTTTGCTAGACTAGGAATGGATGACAACATTGAGACCAACGTGTCTACCTTTGCTGCAGAAATGAGAGAAACCGCTTTCATCTTACATAACATCGATAGAAGAAGCATGTGAGTTTTCGCAAGGAAAATCGTTCCGTCTTGTATTGAGTACTCACAGAGCAATCATTGACGAATTGGGTCGAGGGACTAGCACTCGTGATGGCCTGACCATTGCACTCGCTATAGCCGAGGCTCTTGTCCAGAGTCGAGTAAGCAAGCCACAGTAACTAGGCGTTCTACAGCTAAATCTATACTAGGCGCTTGTCTGGTTTGCTACACATTTCCGAGACGTTGCAACGATCTTGGCGGAGCGAAATGGAGTGATCAGCCTGCACTTAGCGGTCGAGGCACGTAATTCGAAGACACTTAAAAGTCGCCGTTAATGCCTCTCTAGATGCGTGATGATGACAAAATGACTATGCTTTACAAGATTGCTGAAGGTGCCGTCAAAGAAAAGCACTATGGTCTCGCACTCGCTCGTGTCGTTCCACTCCCCCTAGGACTTGTCGAACACGCAACGTACGTCGCACAAAAGCTGGAGCATCATGTCCTCAAGAAGAAGAAAACATCGACCACTGTGATTCATGAACGGCGCCGCAAGCTCATTCTGAATCTGAAGGAGCACCTCGTCCAGGCACAGAGTGGTGTCATGGAAGGCGAGGTCTTAGCCGCATGGCTGAAGGAGCTACAGAAGGAGTTTATCCTCCGAATGGCAGCTATCGATACTGAGGCCGCTAAAGTGGAACAAGAGTCCGAAGAGGAGGGTGTGGAAATGAGACCCAGGACGGAGTTGGAGCACAGTGAGTGTGAGCATGAGGACGAGCGTCATGATACTCGCGCCAGCCAGCCTTCTATCCTTACGGTGACCTCTGGAAAGACTACTTCGACTGCGACATCGGATTCAATGGACTCTGACATTCGTGCCTTGTCCGAGAATGAGTTTTAGGAGGAGAGTGGTAGATGGTTTGTGGGATGTGTTCGGTTCGACTTCTCTTAAATGGCACTCTTTAGAAAGGCGAGCATTCTAAGAGGAATCTTCGTATCATTAAGCCTCCCATTCTATGGTACACCAACGAAAGAGCTTTTCATGTAGGTCTATGACCCCACAGTACTAATATCCCGGCGTTGAAATTTCTCTTAACGTGTTAATGAGGTGTATGATTAGCAATCGTAACTAGGCGCCACCATTATCGTTTCCTGATATTACATATGTGGATCATTTGACAAGGTCAAGATTCCGAAACTAACGCATAGCCCCTCATCCTGAGACTCCGAACTCGGCAAGCCGAACCTGAGCCGAGGAGAAACATCATTTACACGGATGATCGGGACGCTGGCTCACCAATGTTTCCGATGACTGTTTACTCAACTGGCATTTATATGGATTCCTGGTATCTGAACTCGCTTTTCTGCACCTTCAAGCCAGAAAGATTTAATAGGACGAACGCACAATATGGATGCGATTCAAAGAGTCAAGAGAGATTATCCATGGATTCAAACACCTTTGATTGTAGGCGCGCCGATGAGGCTTATTGCGCTTGCCGAATTGGCGGTTGAGATTTCGAGGGCGGGTATGTTTATATATCCTCTCTGCTTCCCTTCACGTTTGCGCATAATATTCTGGCCCTTCTGCATGCATGCTCTGTCGGCAAAAATGATTCGCTAGTATTTTATTTCTGCCACTGTTAGTGTTACTCCTTCTATCTATTGTCTCTGTACTCTTTTACTCTGCCCTGCCCTGCCCTGTCCTGCCCTGCTCTTTCTAATCCACTCTCCTTCCAATCACGAACTCAACATTGACGATCGATCAATCCAGGTGGTATTGGTTTCATAGGCGCCGGAACAGATATATCAACTCTATCGACCCACCTCCAACACGCTCAATCCCTTCTTTCCCCTCTTCCCCCATCCGCCATCCTCCCCATAGGCATCGGCGTCATCTCCTGGGCTGCCCCCCTCGCCCCTGTCCTGCCCCTTATCTCAACCTACAAACCCGCCGCAATATGGTTGTTCGCTCCAAAACAGACTTCGGACCTTATTCCCTGGGCAGTCGAGACGCGGAAAGTGAGTCCACAGACTAAGATCTGGGTGCAGGTGGGTAGTGTAGCTGAAGCGATTGAAACAGTGAGGTTGGTCGGGCCGGATGTGTTAGTTGTGCAGGGGGCAGATGCGGGGGGTCATGGGTTGGTGAAGGGGGCAGGAGTAGGGGTTTTGGTCCCAGAGGTGTGTGATGCTGTTACTGCGTTTGGTGAAACGGAGAGGGTTGGAGATGTGGTGGAAGGAGTGGTAGAGAAGCCGGTGGTTCTTGCAGCTGGAGGAATTGTCGAAGCTAGAGGCGCAGCTGCTGCACTGGCGCTCGGTGCTGCGGGTGTGGTCATGGGAACCAGGTTTCTAGCTTCCAAGGAAGCGGTGATTGCGAAGGGGTATCAGAACGAGGTTTTAAGGGCGAAAGATGGAGGTCAGACGACTGTTAGAACGAAGGTTTATGATACGCTGAGGGGGACGACTGGATGGGCAGATACGCACAATGCAAGGGGTATTGTTAACAAGAGTTTTAAGGATGCGGTGGCGGGTATGGGGGATGAGGAGAATAAGAGGTTGTACGAGGAGGAGACGACGAAAGGGGATGAAGGATGGGGAGTGGAAGGTAGGATGACAACGTATGCGGGTGCGGCGGTGGGGTTGGTGAGGGAGGTGAAGGGGGCTGGGGAGATTGTTAGGGAGGTGAGAGAAGAGGCCAAAGGGGTGCTTGAGGGATTGAGAGGGAGACTGTAAGAGGAGGAGTTGGGAGTTAGCGTTTGTAAGCCACTCTGGGTGGAGCTGTAGGATTGCTATTTGCTGTGTTGTTGAGGTTGGTATTTGATTTACGTGAGATGTTCTAAATGGATCGATTATGTTCTACTATTATGTCGAAGTCGATGAGTGCTCCCGTGCACATGCCCACGAATTGAGCCGTAAACACGCCATCCATCCCCAAACGGGATTGATTGAATGTCCTCTAAAGGGCTTTTGCCACTGTTCACCGAATGTCCTCGAGTGTGTAGAGCCATAGGGTAACGGGGATAGAGTTCCGCGGACCAAACAGCAGACGAGTATCGATGCCATCGGAGAGAAGACCTGGTATCATGAAACCTCGCCCATTCGGCCATCGCCATCATCCTTAACGCACAGCCCCCTCAACTCCTCAACCATTCTTCCGAGCATTCCGCTCATTCGCGCGCTGCTTCCTCTCATTTCTCCTAACCTTCTCCTTCCGCGCTCTCCGGCCCTCAGCCCTCTTGTCTCCGGCTTCCCCAGTCTCCCGCTCCTTGTTCTCGTCGACTTCAACAAGCCACTCACTGTCCCCATCCTTGTTTTTCCCCTTGTAGCCCCACTTCGGAACCCACTCCCCGCTCGCATCGTCGTAAACCATCTTGCCCTCGCGCTTCTTGTCCTTGATGCCCTTCTTCTTGGCAAAGAGCTCCCACTTGGTTGGCGGCTTCTCTGTGGGGATGGGTTTTTCGCGGGGAAGCGGGGTTGTTGGAGGGGGGAGAGAGAGGACGACGCCATCGGAGGTTGACTTAATGTCGCAGGTTGTAAGGAGCTGGTTGATGAGGCCCTGGGCAGCATCTCTAGCGGTGGCTGCAAGTATGCCTTCGTCTGCATCACGAGGGAGCGGGTTTGGATCTATGGCGAGGAGATTGCCCAGGTCGAAGGTGAATGGAGTGGGTTTATTCACCGTGACGGGTCTGAGGCGAGGGGTCAGCGGGAGGGAGATAGCGGGAGTGAGAGAACTGTGGAACGCACAGCCGGCTGGCGGTCGATTCTACCATCGAAACTGCTCCATTTGGCGTCGCCATGTCCATTGCGCCCGCATCGATGCTTTCGGCCAGTTTGCCTGCGGTGGGGGGTGAATCGACGGTGCGGATTGCGATACCACCGTCCTCGCCCATTTCAGCGTCGGCCATTGTCGATACAGGAATTCGAGTAAGGGGAATGTGTGGAGCTATGGCTGTGAAGAGGGCGTGTAATGTGGGTGACCATTTTTTGCCCAAAAATTTACTACGGAACGCCAAAAGCGCCAAACCCGCAACAAGGATCGCAGCCAGCCAAGCGGACCTCCGAATTTTTGTAAAGGAACCTGCATCCCATCCCATCCTTGCGTCCAGTCAATCATTGCGGGAGCCCTGGGCCCTTAATCGCTTTGATCGCCTTGATCGCCTTGCAAATATGCCACCCTCCCAGTGCTTTCCGGGCTTTGCCCTGCTGGCACTTGACAGGGCCGCCCACCACTCAATTGCATCGCGAAGCCTTCTCGCCTTGCCGCACACACCACGCTTCTCGACCTCAGCCCCGCGATACGGTCCTCCTCCAAGGAAGGGCATGGTTGCACCTCCCAAACGGGGGACGAAGACCTTGAACGTCAAGAAGGGGAAGTCGTCACCCAGTCGAGACACCACCAAGCGGCCCGCACCAGGAGACCGGAAAGCACTGCGGAAACGAATCGTGCTCAGCAACAATAATGCATTGGAAGTCCCCACATTGCAAGACCTGCACAAGGACACTGTGTTGAGCGGTGAGAATGAAGGCCTGGTGAAGGGACTGCCAGAGGATGTTGTAGATGCCCTGAGGGCTGTGGAAGCGTTCAAGCCGACACAGGGATGGAGGTTGTTCCGGAGACCAGCGATTCTGATGAGGAAGGAGACGACGCTGTTGGCTGCGCTGTTCCGGGAGGTTGAAGGCACCGCAAATGGACAGGCGAAGATGACGGTGCGGAAAGTCTTGATTGGAGAGAGGATGAGTGGGAAGAGTACCATGTTGCTTCAAGGCTTGACCATGGCTTTTATGAGGGATTGGGTGGTGGTCAATCTCCCAGATGGTGCGCATATTCCATCTGAATACTATTCTTTCCGTTTCACCCACTTCCTAACTTCCTAACTTCCTCCCAGCAAAGGACATTACAATCGCTCACACCGAATACGCACCCCTCCCCGGCTCCCAACCCACCCAATACACTCAGGACATCTACACGGCGAACCTCCTCTCCCAAATCGCCAAAGCGAATCAATCTATCCTAGGCAACTTACCTGTAACTACAAACCACAGTCTCCCAATCCCCCTTCCTTCCAAAAGCACCCTGAAACAACTCGCCGAACTCGCCATCACAAACCCCGAAGCCTCCTGGCCCATCTTCGTCGCCCTCTGGAAAGAACTCACCCAACCCGGCCGTCCGCCAATCATGCTCGCCATCGATAACCTCTCCCACATCATGCGAAACTCCGAATATCTCTCCGCAGACGTCAAACCCATCCACGCCCACGACCTCGCCCTAGTCCGGCACTTCGTTGACCGCCTCGCCGGCAAAACCCCGCTCCCCAACGGGGGCATGATCCTCGCCGCAACATCCGGCTCCAATGCACCAACATCCCCGGCCCTCGATTTTTCCATCCAGGTCGCGGAAGCGCGGCAATTGAATCCCGAGAGCATCCCGCAATGGAATCCGTATAAAAACGTTGATCAGCGTGTTATGGAGTGCCTAAAGGACGTCGGCGTGTTGAAGGTGGCGGGATTGACTAAGGCGGAGGCGAGATCGATTATGGAGTATTATGCTGCCAGTGGAATGTTGAGGGCGCAGGTAACGGAGCCGTTTGTAACTGAAAAGTGGAGTTTGGCGGGGATGGGGAACATTGGGGAGTTGGAGAGGGTGAGTGTTCGGTTGAGGGTATGAGGGTTGGTTGAGTGGTGGATTGTAGACGGGCGTAAACAAGAGGGCTAGGTGCAGAGTTGGTGTACTATAGGCGCCAGTGATCTAGCTAGCTTTCAGGAGCTAGGATCTCGGCTGTATGACTTTTAGTATGAGAAATGTATTATACACAACCAGGATCTCTTTTCAATCCCTCGCGCGCAACTAGTCTCTGCTTCCTTTCCCTAACACAGGATAGATAGGACACCTTCCGTACCGCTTGTTAGTACATCAATCCTACAGAATATGAACAAGATGGGGCCGGTCAGTCTGTGTAAGCCTCTCACGAAAATCGTAGAGAATGCTAATATGATGCTAATTTCCCTCTATCTCTCCAAAACCAATCAGGTACTCATCAATGTTTTGTTGCACATGAGCCACAACCAACATGCCGTATATAAACCCCTCAGCCCTCAGCTTGCTTCCACTCTTTACACTCACTCATCTTTATTTCTCAGTCTAGGATTCCAAAACCGTGAACCAAGGTCTCCATAAGTGATCTTCTTACTCGCTGAAAACATCTAGTTGAAAAACTATGGCTCGGGAGCCAGTTTAAAAACTACAAATCGACATTGACATGGCTGTGGTTAGGCCAAGAAAAAAATAGTCAGCAAATTTGGCACGATTAATGGCGGTGGTGGTAGTTGTGGTTTGACGTGGTTGTACGAGATTAATTAACATCTACATCTCTGGTGTGAAAAAGAGTATTAAAAGTAAGAAGCTGCGAAAGGGGAGTGCAATGTAGTGGGGTTGGAGAGTAGTGTCATCCAATGTAGCAAGTAGGGTTGTTGTTGTTGTTGTTGTTGTTGTTGATGATGATACCCTGATAGTGCTGGTGACTGTGAATATGAAAAGTCTTATTTCCTATTGCTGTTCGCAGAAAGAGGGCATAGCCATCTTCTGGAGGGATTCAGTGCAGCATTCCTACGATCAGTGCATCATCCATCATCCATGCTCTTAGAGTATAGTCGCGAGTATCTAACTATATGAATCCTAAGCTTCCACACGTCTCTTCCTTCCTTCACTCTTCAATCACCTTTCCACCCCTCAACAGCGCACTAAAGAGCCCATATTCGAGAAACATGACCTTCTCACAGGCTCTTTAGAAGAGGATGGGTCATAATTAGAAAGATTTCATCCCAACCAGGAGAATAATTCCAGATCAAGGGCGCAGCTGTGAGTGGGAGTGAAAACCACTCCTTTTAGAAGGAAAGAATCTAGCCAAGCATTTGTGCGTTTAGAAAAGATTTTGTGGCAGAAAAGCTAGCCATTCGACCTCAAGTCTAGCAAAAGATGACTGTACGAGTGAAGAGTGCGGAGAAAGGGCATGGCGAGTCATTATCACCACCATCATCACCACTCCCTCACCAGAACCTTCCTCACTGCACCTCTCCCTAGCCCCCCCGTTTCCCCCAGCCTACCCACTTATCATGACCCCCCACTCCCCCCCATTCAGCTCCGCCTCAGGACCTAAATTGAGGTAGCTCTGAAACACGCCGCGATCCAGGCATCATCCCTACCAACGCGGACGTTTCTGTTTCAGCAATCATCCCTCCCGACCCGCATTACCTTCTTCTAACCTTCCAATCTTCTCGACTATGCCTCGGCCCATAAATGCCTCAGTCAAGTTATTCGACGTCCATGCGTTTCAACGCCGCTGACGCGTAGCTGCTGATCGGTTATCACGAGAGAGGGAGGTGAAATTAAAACGAGGGGATCTGGGGTGGTAGGTGAATGGGTGAGGCTCTGGAAGTTGCAGGAAAATCCGGGGGTACAAGGTGGGAATGGAATGCTTGAAGTGGTGTGGCTTGTGAGGGAAGCTGGCTATGGTGGCTGAACAAAGTGATAGCAATGGAAAGGGACAAATCTTGGCTCATCAACCAAATGATATTTTCCGTTCTCCGTATACAGGCCCCCACCCCCAACCCAGTTGTATTTCCGCTACCCATCCAAACTCTATATCCATCACTCACAAAGTGCACAAAACCAACAACAGACATCCGCACGCTCGCTGTCCATGTCTGCCTTCCTATCCGCTGGTGTCCATAACTCGCTCAATGCACCCGAACCCATATATGCACCGTCAAAAGCAAAACCCCAGTCGAACCAGAAAAACGGAGCAGAAAGATATATTTACATTACTAAAAGCAATACACACAGTAAAAAAAATGGGGATATCAAGATAGTGTACTCTGATGATTTGAGGCTGAAAGTCGTTATGCTTGTTGTCAAGAGTCGCACGCTGGGAAGAGGGATGAGTCGTTTCGATCGAGAGGGCGACGAATACTGTGCATTCATTCGATGAAAGAACAGGTGCCTGAGACGTAGTGTGACGCCAAGATTCATTGGTCTTGGGTGCTTCACGCGGGCTAATGCGATGCGCTGGGTGAGGAATGGTCGATCAGTATTAGCACGCTCGGTGGTTTCTGAACGCCGAAATTATGGATCCTTGAGATTTCGAACTCGAGGATGTGGTATGTATATGTGTCGTGAAGCGGGTGTGGTGTTGCTGATATATGCGGTAGGAATAGTAGTAGCAGCCCAAAACTGCTGCAATGTATCGAGTCCGGGCTAGGTGCCTGTCTGAAGGTCAACAATTGGTCGAGCTTACTGAAAAGAGGCATACAGACCCGCAGATATGTTCTCATATTCTAGTTGTTGGGAATCTGGTGGTTGTGACCATCACCAGACCAGACTCCTCCACCCACAGCTCGAGACACCCCGACGCCCAAACCTACAGCAGCTCCCACCACCAACAGGGCAATTATAATCTTCACCCACAACCGCTGCTTGCTGTTCAGGTTCCGGAAGAGGTTGCAGCCTTTGGCTCGCTTCGTCTGTTTCTTCTTCTCCATCATAGCCTGCCGTGACGGCCACATTGTGCACTCTTTGACCCTGCCGTCGACCGAGACTTTGGGTTGTTGGGTTGTAGCCGCGGAAAGGGGCAAGCCAGCTTCGAGATCTCGCTCGTATACGCCGACGTCGAGGTGCGTCTTGCTCTCTTGGGGGTTTCCGTCCATTGAGCGTCGTGCCTCGGGGTGCTTGTAGAAAGCAGAGAAGGGGTTCGACGAGTCAATGCCAACGTCCTTTTCTGCAGCCGAGGCTGACGAAAGATTCGATTCGTTTGAGGGGGCAGAACGGAGCGGGGGTGCAGGCCCCGTAGCGTCGACGATGGTTGCACCGAAGGTGATGGGTTTCTCGTTATTTGCTGCCATTGCTGCCACTACTGGTGTGGTGTCCGGGGTTGGGGAGAGAAGAGGGTCGACACAGAAGATGTCCCCGTGGTGGCGAAGCGCAGGAATGGAGAGCTGCAATGAATTGGGCGTGCAGTGACTTTTACAAGTCAATTCCGATCACAGGGTGAATGGCATGAGTCTGGGCAGAGGATCGTGACGTTTCGGTGGTCCGTGGGTCTTGTTCAGCGAAATTGGCAGCTTCGACCGAAGGGATGGGTTGGTCGTAAGTGTATTTGCTTAGCGGTAGCTAGTCGGCCAGCGGCAGCTACGACTGCGCGTCGAGGGCAACGACGAAAAGGAAGCGTTGGAGGCTCAACGAATATGTTGTTCCAGTTCAACGAAGGCCAGGAGTGTGGGCAGAAGGGGGAGCAGCCATAATGAATGGATGCACAAACGCTCACGTTCTGGGCGTGGCTCCCGCTGGTCCATGTTCCCATGCTTCCATGCTCCCATGCTTCCATGCTCCCATGTTCACCGCCCAAAACGGCTAGCCTTCACAATCAACGAAGACTTCGCAGGTTTCATTGCGGGCCAGCCATATTGCCAGCCTTGCGCCATATGCCGGAGATCTGCTCGCCCTTCATCAACCCCCCTCGTCCTAACACTACCTGTCTGTCGCATTCACTTCTCGCCTTCGCATCGTCTTGTCGAAAGGCAACCTGCATTGCATCGAGGGGCTGGGTTCGACAAGTATGCACGCTCATGCAGCTCATCTGCAGGACGCACAAACTCCTCTCACGGTTCCTGCCATCAGTACAAAAGCAGTTAACAAGAGGCGGCATTCCAGATCGCTAGCATGCACAAGTCTCGCCACGGCCGAGCTTGGCAGATCACCAGAATGGCCTCACGCCTGATTGGGCTAGCCCTGCCCGTGTCCTGTGTCGTGGTGAAATTGGCATCTTTGCTTGATTCGTCACCAATATTGCCCACGCGGCACGCCAGAAAAGCACACGGTGCCAATACAATAAATCGAAAGACGCTGTGTCACTGCCTCCAGGTCTTGCGCGATTGCTGCGGTCCACGACGTGCATTTCATGAGCCGTGATCTAATCCAGACCCTGCTCTCCCTCGGAGATACCAAAACGAATCGCCCAAGAGTCCCACGAATTTTCCCCCCAAGCCTAGGCGAGAGGAGCGAATCAAAAGGAAGAACCTGACGTGTGCTCAAACGCCGCCAAAATGCCTTCCAATCTGTGCTCCAATTTCCGCACCCAACAGAATAGAGACTTGCCCATCGCTTTCCACAAATTACATATTGTGCCTTCATTTTCCGTATCCCTCAGCATTTACTTTTAGTTGAATTTAAGTTGAAAAGAAGTCTTCTCTCCGAATGCCACTGCGGTCGCACATACCCCTAAAAATGCCGCCCGCGTCGTAGAGATGCAATGGTGTGTCCAGCTCCGCGATGCTGCCGGCGTCCATGACGCAGATGCGGTCGTAGCCAATAATAGTCTTCAGCCGATGCGCAATGCAGAGGAGCGTTTTGCCCTTGAACCCGTCGACAATTGTCTTCTGGATCTTCTGGTCCGTCTCGAAGTCGACGGAGGAGGTCGCTTCGTCGCACACGATGATTTGCGACCCGCGGACTAGTGCACGCGCGAGAGCCATGAGTTGACGCTGGCCAAGCGAGAAGTTCAAGCCTTCTTCCTCAACGACTGAGTCGAGATGGATGCGACCCGACTTGTCGTCCATTGATGCATCGTTGGATACCAAGTCTGCTTGGCGGAGCGCCGACCATAGTTCTAAGTCCGTGTGCTCGTTGAAGGGATCCAAGTTCGATCGGATCGTCCCTTTAAAGAGCGTTGGGTCCTGCGGGATGATCGCGAGCTTGGAGCGGAGATCGTGGAGACCAACGGTGCTAATGTCGACACCATCGATGGTGATAGAGCCCCCAGACAACTCTACCAAACGGAAGAGAGTGCTCATGATACTGGACTTGCCAGCACCCGTCCGACCCACCACCCCTATGCGCTCCCCCGCTGCCACGTGCATGTTGAACCCTTTCAGAACCAATGGCAGACCATTTCTGTAGCGCATCTGTACGTTGTCGAAGGTGATCTCCCCATGCTCCGGCCAAGTCCGCCTGACGTCCCCAATATGGAGTGGTGCCTCTTCCTCGAGTTGCGTGCCATAGTGGTGAATACGCTCCGTCGCATTCATGTTGTTTTCGACCTCTGCGAGCTGCCGAACCGTGAATTGGATCATTTGTACGATAGTAAGTATGTACGAAAGTACCAAACCACCAATGCTAGGATTGACCGAGAATCGAGAAGTGACGACCAAAATGCCGGTCGTGAAAACAAGTAAAATGCCGATAACATCAAGCCGAACGCTAAGCCAACGCTGATTTGCAAATGTCAAATAATATGCACTGTTCATATCGTCGATTGCTTCTCGCACTGATCGAGAAAACTGGTCCTGCAATCCGTATGCTCGAATCGTCGAGGTACCCATGACTGCTTCGCTAAACCGAGCGAAAACGTTGCTTCGAAGGACAGATTCGTGCCGCTTAACCTCACGGGCAGAAGCTCTGTAGTACGCCGCGGAAAAGAAAAACACAATGAAGAGTGGTCCCAAGGCGATGGCGAAATAGTGGAAGTACACGATGATGAGGATGAAGACAGAGATGATCATGGCGAGGGTCATGAAGTACATACGGATGGCGTCCGTGAGTGTGTTGTCCATGACATCGATATCCTTGGAGAAGCGGTTGGTGATTCGCCCAAGAGGGGTGGTATCAAAGAAGGACATAGGGGCTCGAAGAACGCGGTGGATAGCACGATGAAGCATGACCTTCCCAGCTTCGGTTCCGAACACAGAGACCGCAATCGAGAAGGCGAACATGAGCAAGGCCTGGGAAGCGCCAAGGGCTGAATAAACACCGATCTGTCTCAGTCAGGAAAATGGGCTACGAAATGTCTAAGGAAAGTGAGACTTACATATGTGCCTTCAGAGAACCCGAACTTGTTCGAAGTCCACCATGAAAGCCACAAGCTGGTGACAATGTTCGCCCCCTGGGAAGCAATGAGAAGAATCAAGACAAGAGGCCCAACCCAGAGTCCTCCTCCCGCTCTGATATAGGCGATCCAAACACTCCAGGAAACGGACTTCACCGCGCGTTCTTCCTCTTGCATCAGCGCTGCCGCTTTCTTTCCTTTCCGTTTCTTCGCACCCTTGTTCTCGTCCTCAACTTCGTCCTCGATAACATGCTCCTCATCGTCCTTCTTCTCCTCCGTTGCAGTCGTGGCCATCAGTTTCTGGAAATCGTCGTTGGTGGACATGAGATTGTCAAAGGTATCAACAGCTTGAATGCGACCTTCCTCGACCCAGATGATCCTGTCACAGCGGTTGAGGACATGGAGTTGGTGAGTCGCTAGGATACGACACTTATCTTTGAGAAGTCCGCAAATGGCGTTGTCCATGATGTGACGACCAACGTGGGCATCGACAGCCGATAAAGGATCATCCATGAGCACTATGTCGGCATCGAAGTAGATCGCACGAGCAATGTTCAGTCGTTGCTTCTGGCCTCCTGAAACAGTAATACCTCGCTCGCCAATTTCTGTCTGATCGCCATTGGGCAGCATTTCCAAGTCCGGGCGAAGCGCACAGGCGTCGATGACTTTGTTGTACCAATCTCTTCTAAACTCTTTGCCGAAAATGATGTTCTGCTTGACGGTCGTATTTTGGATCCAGGCATACTGGGGGCAAAAGGCGCGGGACGCACCGATCATGATCTCACCATTCGTCTTTCGCATATCTCCAGCTAACGCGGCCAGCAATGAACTCTTTCCAGAACCAACAGTACCAATGACAGCAACAAGCTCTTTCCGTCCGATCGTGATATCTAAACTCTTCATTCTGAATGGAGGTTCATCTTCTTTAGGGGATTGCGCCGTACCAGGAGGGCTAGGGGTACTCGAATTATTCTCCGGCTCCACGCTAGATCTCTTATCCTTCTTCTTGGGCTTGTCCTTTCCGGGTTTTTTTACTGGAGACCCGCGAGGTGGCCCTTTTATGGGAAGATCGTCATTGTCTTGTGTTCGTGAACGCTCCCAAGTGAAGTCTGCATCTCTTAGCACCACAGCGTCCTTGGCTTCGTAGTTCCATTCGGTGTCTTCCTGAGCCTCTTCAGCTAGCAAGAACTCCTGGATTCGTTTCACTGATGCATTCGCATCAATGACTTGACCAATAACCAGAGGAAGAAAATTTAGAGGAAGTCGAAGAGAATTGAAAAGAGCGAGAGAGGAGAAGATGGGAGCCGGGTTAAGAGCGTGATTTGATAGCGAGTAAGTAATGAAGGACAACATTGATGCGAACACGGGCATGGACATGCCAATAGCTAGGATGCCGTTTCGAATTGCAAGGAGGATCTGAACACCGTGGATCTCTCTCTTTCGAATCAAATCGACGCGCTCGAGGAAGCTAGTCTCCCATCCAAAGTACTTGACGAAACGAACTGCTTGTAGAATCTCCTGGGTAAGGCTGACGCGCTGATCAGTGATCTTATTGATTCCCACTCTGCGACGGAATAAGGTTCGAACAGCGCGACCAAGGAGGGGCATCGTAATCATCAGAAGTCCCAAACCAGAGAGGGCACTGTAGGTTAGATTGACAAGCAGCAGCGCTATCGTCACCAGGATGGCAATTGGAGATGTCCAGATCATATGGAAAAAGCCGCTCGCTTGGTCAACACGATATGTATCGGTCGACATCAGGTTGATAATCCTGCCATTGCCCCACCCTTGACCATCTCCCATGACGCCGTCTCTACCCACGGGGACTTGCGCTTCCTTTTGCTTCTTTTTAAGCAGTTTCTTGTACCACTTCTTCTCCGCTTCGCTTCCCGGTTTGATCTCTGGTGGCGGAGCTTCGGTAATTGCCTGCCCACCTGCCTTAGCTCGACCTGAGAGTTTCATAGCCTTGTCGAAGATGACAGCTATCAGCACAGCTCTTGCCTGACCACCAACCATCATACCACGGTACATAAAGTGATTCGTTGCCATGCTCTGGGTGAATTGCATTGCTGTGATTCCTATGACTAGGCCAACCCCTTCTCCAATGTGCGGTGCAGGAAGGCCAGTTCGTTGGGCAATATAGGCTTTCAAGGCGAAGTTGATCAGATATCGGAGAACGAAAGGTGCCACGGACTGAACCACACTGGCTAAGAGCTGACACAGGCCACCAACGATAAATTCAAACTTGAAGGTGTCGAAGAGAGCGCCAAGTAGAGGTCGTTTGCCACCTTGCTCTTTCCGCCTCTTAAGAGATGTTTGAAGTCGTGCAACCAAGACATCCGCACTTCTATTCGGATTGACAGTCCATATGTCATTGTGTTCAAGAGGGCGTTGGTATCCAACCTGCAGAAGTCCCCACGTTAGCTGCAGAACAAGTTCTCCACTAAGATCTCACTTACAGTCATGAGAGGTGCCATCCATTGGAAGGTGAGTAAACTGAACCACCCCGCATTATACTCTCTGCAGACCTGCCTCGAATCGGGAATTGGGGGTTTTGCACCCCACTTGAGGGGATTCATTCTCTTGTACCATTTCTTCTTTGCGCTCCGTGAGCTCTTCGCAGAGGAGACATCGTCGCTGAAGTCAGTGACGCCACTGGTGCTGCTCTGGAGTCGGGAGAGGTTCCCTCGTGTACTGCGCTTCTCAATATTAGCCTTCAGCTCCTTCTCGGTGCCAACGGTCTCCAATGGCTCTGTCACAATTGGCCCATATTCTTTTTTGCTCTCCGCCACCACCTCAGTATCGTTCAAGCGCCAGTCCTTCTCCTTATCGTCAAGGGAAGAGCTAGACATTGTCTAAAACGAATGAACAATGCTGTGTGCTACCGATGCTTGTTGTAGGTCATGTTTGACTGCAGCAGGCAGAGACCGTACATATACCACTTACCTCGGGGCCAGGAATGGTGAGGTCAGGGAATGCACCGAAAGTCAAGCTAAGGTCGGTTGCCAGACGGAGATAAAATCAACCAGTCAGAGCACGCCCAATGCGGTGCACAATCTTGGGGTTGCTAAGCATCAAAGAATGTTTTACGCCATTTTCGGCGGTGATCGGGGGGTCTTTCGCTCCGATGTCCCGAGCACCAATTTTTCGAGCGAGCCAGACCGGGTTTGTGGCCTTCCGATGCACCAAACTTGCGGTCAAGTGAGTGCGGCGAGTGACTCTTACCAGGCTTGTGTAGATTGAGTTGCTGCCTGAGCCTTGGACGTGGGACGGTGATGTCTAGTTGACAGTTTGGAAGACACTTGTTCCGCGAGGCCATGCATCCGAGCTCCATGGATCACAAGAATTAGGGGCGGCTTGCATAGGTTTCCCCGATGTCCCTAGGGAGATCGTGCGGTTTAGTCCTCCTCGTCCGTCCGCTTAAGATCCTTTCAAACGCATGGAAACCCATAGAAGCCTAACACCTGCCGAGACTATTTCGTTTTCTCTTCCATACCATTGATGCGTACATGCTTGAGTTCAAGCTTGCAACTGCCGAATGCCGTGTTTGCCGATGGCTTGAGAAAAAGCATCTGCAGCCACCTCTTCTCCTGAAAAATGGCTTGAGAACCCGGCTCGGACACCTTAAGATCATTGATATCCCATCAAGTGCTTCGGAGTAAAGTACCGCGATGCTAGTCTCAGGATTCCCATTGACTGCAGTCCGAGTGTCATCACCGTGTTGCCGGTAATCGGAGTGTGTAACGGAGCCTCTGGATGCTCCGAAGGGCTAGAGCCTAGATTGGATGAAGTGTGGTTACACAAGTGTTAGCGATGAGCATGAGTAAGGAGATATGAAGATACGGCACTTAGAACTTAGAGACGAAGATGACGATGGTTTCGAGAGATGTAAGAGATGAGATGAAGGTTGTCAGTTCAGCCAGCGCCTGAGGATCTGTCTGACAAAAAAACCTGCTCAAAGTCACACAGAGCTCACAGTGCATTTTTAAATACTATCTCGAAGTCCGCCCATACGGATGTCTTGGATTTGGCCGCTTTATTCACCTCCTGGGATTGTTAATAGGCACCACATATGCCTGCCGTCAGCGCTAGACATAAATAACCATCGATTCTGGAAAATGATTTGCTGGATTTCTCAAGTCTAGGTACATCAAAACGACCTATCCAATGAATGCTCATCTCCTGAAACATGACTCTCCATTCTGGCCGCTGTTCAAAGTTACCCAAACGGGTACTCCACCCTTCGGCCATATCCATCTTCCAATATCCCGAAGTGTTACACAAGACAAGGTATACTATTGTGTGACCTTGCGTAGAAGGGTTGAGTTTATTTTTTGGTCTTGTCAGTGAGCCATATCATCTTCCGAAACTCCGAGCAATTTGCCATGCCGATGCATATAAGTCTTTCGCCAAGGAAAAATTGGGTACACGAATCCTAGTTGTCTACTCCAATGTGAACGTTCTTCTCTCCAGGGGGGAGTACCTCCTTCTCCCTCTTACCCTTTAGCTTCGGCAGTTCGTCCATGGCCTCCGCAATGATGTTAAGAGCAGTCTCGATTTCTTGCTCGGTGATAACGAGCGGTGGGGCTAGACGAATTATATTTTGGTGGGTTGGCTTGGCCTACCCATAGTATTAGCGTTCTTGGTAGTAGTTGCACTTGTGCTATATAAGGGTTCTTCTTACCAACAATCCCTTCTCCTTGAAGAGCATACACAAGTCCCAGGCACTATGACCATCCGTCTTGCTCTCATCGATAACAATAGCGTTTAGTAAACCCTTGCCACGAATTATCTTGATCATCGGGTTGCTGATCTTCTTTAATCCATCGCGGAACATTTGACCTAGCTTCTCAGCACGCTCAACCATATTTTCCTCCTGAATGAGTTCCAGTGCTCGGATAGCAACGGCGGAGCCCAATGGGTTGCCGCCGTATGTCGAACCGTGAGTGCCGGGCTCAATAGTGAGCATTACCTCTTTGGAACCTAAGACGCAGGAGACGGGATACATCCCACCTGAGATAGCTTTGCCAAGTAGGACAAGGTCTGGCTTGATCCCGCTCCATTCGTAGCAAAGCATTTTTCCAGTCCGTGCAATGCCAGTCTGGATCTCATCGCAAATCAATAGCACATTGTGCTTTTCACAGAGTGTCTTGACTTCCCGAAGATAGTTATCATCGGGAACAACAATACCAGCTTCACCTTGAATGGGTTCCACTAGGAATGCAGCGGTGTTTTTCCCGTGGCGTTCAAGAACGTCTCGGACATCGTCCACGTTGTTGTACCTAATTGGTTTACCAGTGGCTGGACAAACGCTTCCAATATTTGGTAGATATGGGCCATAGTTGTCGCGTGATTCAGGGTCGGTGGACATGGTGATGGCAGCGAACTGGTCCAAGTATCATTAGTCTGAGGTCTTGAGGGCTAGGGTAGTTGCATACAGTCCGTCCATGGAAATTCTCCCGCACGGAGAACACTAAAGCCTCATTATGGGGTATTCCTTTGATCTTATAGCCCCACTTGCGTGCAATCTTCACTGCCGTTTCGACAGCCTCTGCTCCCGTGTTCATTGGCAGCACCATGTCGAACCCAAACATTCGGGTGACGAATTCCGCAAAGCGTGGGAACACATCATTATAGAATGCTCGACTACTGAGGGTCAGCCTTGAGGCCTGCTCGGTCAACGCCTTAACAAGCTCAGGGTGGCAATGGCCTTGGTTTACGGCACTGTATGCGGAGAGGAAATCGAGGTAGTGCTTCCCTTCGGGGTCCCAAGCTGAGCAACCGCTTGCTCGAGCGAAAACTGTGGGGACAGAGTTAGCATTGATCTAAAAGAGATTGTCCGCAGAGTATACCAATAGGGAGCGGGTGGTAATTGTGAGCCGCGAACTTCGCCTCTACGCTTATAGCCTCAGTCGACGACGCGGTATGATACTTCGCAGGATCAGGAGTGCCAGTAGGGTGGAATGCCTGTGCAGTAGCCTTCAGCCCGGCTCCATTGCTCGCGCTCGTGTCGTTGTTCTGAACTGCACTTGGTGCCATAGTGGATGCTTCGTGAATTCAAGATCGGCTCAACGTGGAGTATGTAGTGGGGAACGTGGCTTTGTTGACGGGAGGAGGAATGAGAAGGGTCGATCGCGGCGCCGGATTAAGGTGGAGGTCTTAAATTGCAGTGTTTTCACTCCAAAGCCGCAGATAGCCAGTTCATGCCATTAGGAGAACAGTTGTTGTAGCAGTCGGCTCAGACTGCTTTTAGCGATCTGGTTACGGCGACCCGCTGACAGGCTCCGATCACGGCTCTCCGTATTGGCTGGCTCGGGGCCTTGCATTGATCTCGTGATTGGTTGACAGAACATAGAATTCATGGCAACGAATTCTCAACAACAAATGCTGATGATCGGATTTGTGATATTGAAGAAGTTGGAGAGTTTGGAAGGACGAGCCTCAGAGCTGGGATATTCGCGCAGCCTCGTGTTTCGGCAAAAGTTGTAAGCAGATCAGTATCCGACTACTGAGATCGCCGCGTCGCACAACGCATGCTGTTACACCCCAACGGAGCTACTTTACGGCTGCATGGGGTTATCACATCTCGGTATTCGCTTGTATGAACAGCAGAATCCTGATATAACTCCTCCATAAAATAGCACTCGATTCTAGGCAGCCGTCCAAGGCCCCCGCACTATGACGTTTGTGTTTCAGTCTCTGTCGGAAATCCTTCGACGTTTCTACTGATTCAATCCAACGCTCCAATCACTCATCGTCTTCTCGGCCCCAGAGTCGATTCATCGAATTTAGGATCGTCGGGAGGCTTGTATTCGAGTCTACTCTGGTATATATATCAAACCCGGTCTACGCCGCAGAGCACGAAGCCCCCTCCTCCCCCCCCCCCCCCCCCCCCCCCCCCATCTCAATTATATCTCTCCTTCTCCATCCCTAAGTTGGATTCTAGAGCTAGCTATTTGTACAATGGCTACAATTGACGACTTCACTATCGTCGGGAACGAAGACGCTCGAGGTAGCAAACCACAAAAGCTATTCGACGACTACCACAACTTCACTTCTGGAAAGACTACGGATCTAGATGTCCAGATCGTTACGGCTCTCCGAGCGAAGCATCCGGAATTGATAGTTACTACCGTTCCAGGCGCAAATTGCAATCTTCTTCAATTCGCCGCAGCAGGTTTTGCAACCGCGGAGCTTGACGATGACAGTGAACCTGTTCTGCGCTGGAGGGGGTTCGTAGGTCCTCAGCACCGTGGTGAGTCTGGATTCCTTGCGGACAGCGTCTTTTTTGCCCGGTACAACTACACATGGAACAATGAGTATTTCATTCTTTACAACGTTCTCGTCGGATATAGCATGCTTCAATACATCCTGAAGGAGCCTAGGGGGGATGAGACTCAATTCTCTCATTCCTCGGCTGTCGACGCCCTCCTAGCCACGATCGGTGCATGGCTAATCAAGGAGGTACCTGCCATCTACGTATACGACGGCCTCTGGACCAGGAGCACGAAATTGTGGGAAGAGGTGAAAAAGGCCAAATGGGACGACGTCATCTTAGATCCTAAAATGAAAAAGGCTTTGGTCGGGGTTGCCAGCAAATTTTTTGACAGCAAGGACATTTACGATGAGTATGGGGTTCCATGGAAGCGGGGACTTATTTTCCATGGTCCTGTTGGAAACGGGAAGACGATATCTCTGAAGGCTTTGATGCATACCCTTCAAAAACGACAGCCTCCAGTTGTGACGCTTTACGTCAAATCAGCCCCATATCCATACAACATCCGCATGGTGTTCCAAATGGCGAGAGCGATGACCCCGTGCATGCTCGTACTTGAGGATATCGACACGATAGTGACCAACAGCACCCGAAGCTATTTTTTCAACGAAGTTGACGGCTTGGAGAACAATGACGGTATCTTGATGATTGCGACTACCAATCATTTGGATCAATTGGACCCAGGTCTGTCTAAGAGGCCTAGCCGCTTCGATCGGAAATACCTATTCCCATTGCCGGATAAGGAAGAAAGGTCTCTCTACGCCCAGTACTGGCGAAATAAGTTGAAAAACAAGAAGTCTATTGAGTTCCCAGCCAAACTTTGTGATGCTATGGCCGATATCACAGATGAGTTCAGTTTCGCGTATCTCAAGGAAGCATTTGTAGCAACACTTCTCGAGTTGGCGAGGAGCCATGGAGATGATAGCGATGACGATGGAGACCCCGAAGACGACGATGATCCACTCAACAAGTATGAATTCTGGCGTTTCTTCAAGGCTCAGGTCAAAGTCCTTCGCTCCGAGATGGGAGCGGACAAAGATGGTTCCGTGGGTGCTAGCTCCAGTGTTGGCGCAACCCTTGGTACTTATGAGGGAATTTCGTCCGAGTGTGAGGAAATGGTACCGTTGCTTGACGCAATGAGATTGCAGGAAAGTGGTTCTCAGCCCTGCAAGGCTGCATCGCCCTTTGCCATTTGGCCAGACTCACAGGGTTCCTCAAAGAACCGATTCGCTCAGGATGATTCGGTTCCCAGCCCTATTTATTCCTTCGCTCCGCTCGCTTCGACTAAGACTGCACGCTTAAACGAGGGCGTGTGGGAATGGGGGTTGTGAGGTTTGACCGAGGTTTAGTTTCTTGTGCAGAGCAGTTGTGGACTGGTGGGGCTTCTTCTCGAAGGTTTCCAGAAAGCCAGAAATAAGCGCTCCTTACCGGCACTATGGTTCGGCGTTGCGCATCCTCTTGACATTATTCGATAAGTACACAAATATTATGATTTATCGTGCAGCGCGGAGAATGTACCGGTCAGGTGGAAATGAGCTTCCGGTGAACGCCTTTAGAGTTAGCGTGGCATCTGACCACCCTTCGCATGCAGACATTCCATGGAGCCGTCCCCCAACGCCCAATCCACGCTTTCTTCAATCATTGTCCGGGTCACAGCCTTGTTCAATTGACAGAGCTCATGCTGTCATGGAGCCGAACACTTTTAAACGTGATAAGGCCGTGTAAAACCACTGGAGCCAGCATTTCGGAACAGTCCGAAGGCAGCTGCTTTTATGCCTCACGAAACATCAGCCGCAGAGCCCTTCCATCCCGCCGACGTCGACGAGGCCAGGTATATCTTTCAATTCATTTCAGCGGTATCCTGATCTACTTTGCCTCTTAACAGATTTTCCCTTGGGTTACAGGGCGGTTTAATTCGATTTTCTCATCCTATGAAGTTCTAACGGCGTGGGGACTGCGCCACACCTTACTTTTCCAAGACACTCTCTCACCGTTCACCGTGACGTATGGCAACCAATCATGTAAACATGTCGAACACCCTCGGCGGCGGAGATTCCTCTTGGGAGGAGCTGATAGCTTGGGACGAGGAGTTGTATGACCCTCTATTCCAAGGCGATACCAGCTTTACCGGCAGATCCGAATGCCTCCACAACTTCTCGTCTGAGTATCACGTCTCAGAGAGTGTCACATCTGACCAGCCCTGGGCGCCTTCTGCGCCCACATCTGTGGCGGATGGGCCTTCCTCGTTTGACTATACCTTATCGGCGCCTCCTTCTGTTGTTGATGGTCCTTCCTCAATCGGTCAGACCTTCTCCTGGCTGAGTGCCTCTCCATCCTTCTCGACGACTGCCACCTCTCCACTAATTGGCAAGGATGAAAGAGAGTATGCTAGTGCCATCAGCTTCTGCCACGGTCTCTCTTCTCCTGTTAATGCTAGCAATGAGCTTCCATTGGCTCGCACTGAGCACTCTCTTCCTCCTGAGAGCTTCAATTCATCCAATTCCTTTCAGACGGCCTCAACACATATCTTCAATCCCTTTCTCGCGACCTCTCCGCAAGCCTTTAGTTCCCTTGACGTTGCTGCATCACAAGCATTTGCCAGTGTGGGGGGATGGGTTGACCAACCTCAGATCGTGGAGCCAAGCCCTGAGCTTGAGCATGAAGGCGCAATTCCGATCCCCCAACCCGGTTCACTGGTCTACAGCAACACATTCCCGTCCATTCAATGGTCTCAGGAAATACCACAAGAGCGCAGCCGACCCCGCGCCATCACTATACCTCAGTCTAACCATCAAGCCATTGGCTACAATCAGAGTCTCCATCCCTCTCAACGGGCCTTGGAAATCCCTCCGATCCTGTCAATCTCGCCTGATGCTAGGCCGCGCCCCCGAAGCAATACTTCATCGAAACGAGTCTCTACGAGTGAGCCTCGAAGAGGTCAAAACAGCTTGACCACTCCGTCGCCTACCCTGGGTTGGGTTTCGTACCAGCCTAATCTACAGACGAACCGGTTAGTTCCATCAGGGGCAGACGGCAATAGAGGCCGAAGGCAGCGAGGACGTACGAAGGCATTGACCCTCGAGCAGCGGAGGAATGCCGCTTTGATGAGAGTCGTAGGAGCATGCTCGAATTGCAAGAAGAGGAAGGAGAAGTGCGACCTAGGCATTCCTTGCAAGTCCTGCCTGGAGCATTTTAAGGGCGACCTGATTCACTACCCATGCCGCGACCGTCTCCTCTCTGACCTCTCTAGCTCTTTTCTCTCTGAGCGATTGGGTTGGCATCCAACTTCCCGTGCTCTCGAATCATTCATGGAACCTAGTAGCTTTAACATGACTACCGGTTTGGCGTATACTATTCCCCTGAACCTTGGTTTCGGGCCGCTCCTTTTTCTCCCAACCCACGCCATCGAGGTTTATGATTCTAATGCGCTGTATCATAAACATGTCATCTACTCTTGGCTACCAGGGTCTTCAACGGGAGATATACATACCCATGTCGTTCTACCCGCCGCCCTGACACCGGAGGCTCTCGATACTCTTTCAGACACCCTTGATACTCACCTTTCGCTTCTAGTCACGCAGCACTTTCGCTCTTTTCCTTTGTACGCTTCACCGCTTCGTATCCTCCGAGAAGTTTATATCTTCTATCGCAGTCTACCAACCAATACCCCACATTCCCGTCTTCTTCATCAATCTCTCAAGCTCCTTGTTCTGGTCCACATCGGCGGTGACCTGACTTTACCAACTCCATCCTCGGATCCGATATTGGCACAACTCGTCCGTACATCCATGGCGCTGGATCTTGACGAAGAGGAAATTACGCCTACACCCTGCTTCATTCGTTCGCAGCTTGGCTCCGTGATGCCGACCATCGCTCTCTCGCTGATGAAAGATGTGCTATTCCGCCTTGAACAACTCTTCCTCAACCGCGAATGCCATGAATGGCCCGTTGCGCTCGCTGTTCTCATCATCGTTCTCATGACCATCGAAAGTATTCAATACCACGCCGCCAAGCTTCCTTACCACCACAAGTACGACACTAAACCAACCTCAGGCCAGAAGGCCGAAGAAATGGAACGAAAAGTGGATGAGCAAGGCATCAAATCTCTTTTCAGCTTCTATACCGCGTGTTTCTCAGGATGCCACGCGCGGCTGAGGCCAGACTGGGAGGGTGAAGCTGGCCCTTCAACCGAAAATCCCAACCCAGGGTTTAGTCCAAATAATCAGTCTCCAGACCTGAAATCGGAGGACAAATTTATTGAGAGTGTTAGAGAGGCTGTAAAGAGGGCAAGCCAGGCTGGTTATCTTGCCATTAAAGCAAATGAGGAAAGAGAGGGAGAAGATATGGTATTTTTCTTTGACAGGTTGGTTGCTAGGCTTTTACTGCTTAGGACCACCTGAATTTTGGATTGATTTAGTTTTGTTTGGCGGGTTTATGTTTTTCCGTAGGGGCGTCGGGGATTAAGTTGCCAGGCCCGATTTGGAATGAGTCAATGATGAAAACGGCCGATTCTATGATGGACAATTAGCACTTAGGCGGTTTCTGCTTCTTTTCGCTTCTTGTTGTAAATTAGTGTCTGTAAATTGTATCTCTAAAGGTTTTAACAAACCACATGCCTTTGTTTAGCTTTCTATAAAACTATAATGTGGGCAATGTACACGGTCTTCATATAATCTACGCTGTGTTAACTGAACACGCTTGACATGCTAGGACGCTTGCTGGAAAGTTGGAGTAGGCAAATAGGATTACAATAAAAGTATATAGTGTTCTAACTATACTATTCACAGCCCACCAAGCAATGCATGGAGGCGCGCAAAACGGTTGAAGGAGTTGCCTGGCAACTCCACCGACTCACGATTCCTCCCTATGTCTAGACTCTAGATGCTTCAAACGCCTCTCAATGCACCCATCGCACCTAATGCACATGCGTGATAAAACCTCTACATAATTAGGCTACCTTCCATTACGGTATGGGGGTGGGGTAATGGTATATATCAGTAGACGGAACAGTGGATCTCTGCGCGTGCTAGGGCTTGCGAGAACATGTCCTGCATGGCAGTGTAGTGGAAGAGAATGCCGCCTAGGACTGCTACGTGCCACTATAGATACGTCAGTCTAGTCTTGAGTAGGGGTCGTTTGGGGTAAACTAACGATGTTGTGTGAACTACACACATAGTCGAATGACCCTGGATACCATCGCTCAGGCACTTTGCTCGCGTACATGCAAGCGCCTGTCAGGTACACTAAAATGCTCTTCGTGACTGGCGCGTAGAAGTAATACGCCCACTCAATACCGCGGGTTGTCGCGAGTTGAAAGACAGGTATGAAGCCAGTTGCGGCGAGAGAGACATAGAAAAGGACGCGCGCCCACGCCATATCTTGTCGGTTGAAGGTGGGATGCCACGGGAGGATGACGCCGCCAAAGCCGAGACCAGCCGTGGTCAGCATATAGATCCAGCGGGAGGTGGGCTCGCAGTAGAAGGCAGCGTATTCGGTCGTCATGATCGAGGCTGCGACGAGAAGCGAGATCCCAATGTAGTCGACGCAGGCGAAGCGCTCGAGGAGGGTTTGGTGCGAGATGCTATTCATGGTATGCCAGATGGTGGAGCAGACGAGGCATTTGCAGGCTGCGAAGAAGAAGACTGCGGCGATGAATACGTCGGCGTTGGTCGAGAGAGAAAAATTAACACTCGTGGGGTAGAAGTAGAATGCCACGGCCAGTACCATGAGGAGTCCAATGGCATGGGACCAGATGTTGAAGAGCTCATTGTGAACACTAACAACAGAGCGGATGCACTCCCACTTGCCCTCCGAGAACCGGTAGCCCTTGTGGATGTGCGGATTAATCCTCCAAGGAGCGGGAAGATCATCGTAATGAATGAGGCCGTCTTTTGCCCTGGCTAGTGCTCGTTCCACAGCGTGCTCGATTGTAAGTTCGATCGTCTCACGTGCTCGCCTGGCTTTGTGTAATCCGCCATCTACGACACCCCTTGCGCGCTCAAATCCTTCATCTACCTTCCGACGCCCCCCTTCGTAGAATTCATGCGCCACGGAACCAAGCCCAGCATCACGCATGGCGTATGCCCGGGTCTCGAAGTCGCTCAAGTACGTCTCCATTAGTCGCATTCCTTCCTGCACTTTCTGCTCCAGCGTCACTTTTGTCGTCAAAGCATCTTTGTAACGCTCTTCCAGCGTCTCCACAAAGACGCCAGCGCGTCGCTTTCCAGCTTCGAGAGCACCGTCCGAGATCTTGGAGCATGACTCGCGCACGGCTAGGAGGGTCGAGTATGCGTATTCGACCCCGGCGTCGAATTTAAGGTGGCCGTAGGATTCTAGGAAGTCTAATCTGCAGCCGAGCTCGGTGATGAAGTTCTCGAGCTATTTGGCGTCAGACATTTCAATGAGGCGCAATTGCTCTGGTAGGGGAAGCAAAAGACCTACCAATATCTGAACATTCTCCGAGTCTACCGCCCATGGCCTTGCATGGTTCGTATGGTGCGAAGAGTGCCTTCGTCGCCTCTGCTCCTCCCTGCTGAAAGTTCCATAAGAGCGCACCGTCGGCTCTTCGTAGGAGGTCATGATAGCCGTGCTGGAGCAAGCCATGGTGGAATATTGTATATAGGTCCCCGCGCAGGCGCAACCAACGTGATCAGCGTTCGGCGCCTGAGGGTTCTCTATACTTGGCGGGGTGTCTCGTGCCGAATCGAAGGGGGAGGATGGTGCACAGGCCTCGCTGGATGCGGATGATTCGTCAAGCCCTAGGGTGCTACCTGCGGGAAAAGAGAAAATGCGATATTTGGTGGGTTTGGTAGGGAATGAATTAAGAAGGAAAGGAAAGGAGAGGGGAACGAAAATGACGCACGTGGAGGAGAGGTTGAAATTAGTGGTGTTTTGTTGTCCTTGACACCCGTCCCGACTACCGGAGGCAGGCGAATAAAGGAACCACCCACCAATGAAAGAGGATGGAGGGGAGCTCTTCCTCAGCGTTTCATGTGACAATCTGAAATCCCTGATAAACGGCGCCTTGCCTCTGGCGCTGTCAACCACATTCCCATGTCACTGCTCCGCATAATCGTGAATGCACGGCTCCTGAGTTGCTGCCCCTTCGAAGAGCCCTCAACGAACTCGGGATCCTTCACGATCCTTTCCGATGCTCGCTTCCGGATCCGGGCTCTACGTCTTGGCACCTTCGCTCAAGGTGTGTATTCTCTTGTCGCGAACATTGTGGGATAGGGATTCTTCGAAAATATCGGGATTGCTATTTCTATTGAAAATACCGGCTTCCGATATCTTTCTGGCCGGAATTAGCACTAGAAAGTCTCTCGCGGCTGCCAGGCTGGATGTACCAAAGTCTTCAAAGAGGCTGCACTCAAACCCACGCATTTCTTATCTTTCACATTCGTAATGTGAGACCCTTTCTCCATCGCTTCGCCTGGGCATGCAAATACCGGGATCCTCTGGCTTCTGTCTTGCATGGACGCGGCTACATGGTTGCCTTCTTCTATGCCCAGTTCTCCGATCTCAAAGCCCCCCACCTCAGACGCCCGCGGCTACTTACTCTGAATAATTATTTTCTTCTTCATTTTGTGTTTCAAGGATTCCTTTTCTGATTTTGTTTTGACCCTGAACAGGCCCGGAGAATGGTCCTTTGGGCTGCTCAGTTAGGGTCCAGGTCTTCAGTGAAAAACCCCACGAGAATAGGTTGCACGGCTCGCACTGGGCTGTTTCGGTTTCTAAAAGATGACATCCAGGGAAATAGTTGCAATCCTTCTGCTTCACTCCTCAGCTTGAGCCTCAAGTTTCAACCTGACCCAAAGGCATGGGTAGTGGATGACGCTCACCGGAATCCAAATCGCCCCCAGCAGTCCAAATGCGCTTTCGATTATAAGGCTGAACACGTTGTACGAACAGTTCTCGTTGAAATGTCAGCTTGAGCCAATTCGAGATGTATCAGGTGGTCATGTTACAAATGGACGTCATGTTGCTATCCGCAATTGAGTTCCTTTAGCGAGATTTTTAGCTTCAGTTTGCCTCACTGCACACCTCGGAACACGGTTACGATGCATTCCCGCCCAGCCTGCAGTTCGCTTGACTGCTATTCATTGCCTTCTCTCGCTCGCCGATCCATTTGTTAGGGTTGGCCGGTCACCCCTTTTGAACCACTTGGGCTCATCAAGGGTCCCGGCCAGGCCCTGCAATATGACGCTAGATGGCCACACAACAGCAGATTCCCTGCCCTCAAGTATATCTCAGGCAGTCACTCCACGATGGCCCCGCTATTAAACAAAATATCTTTAGGACTAGCTGGTGTTTGAATCCTTCGTCCTTATGGCAGATCTAGCGGCGATTTTCTCAACGGTTTCTAGAGGCGCGAGGTTGGCGTTAGAGCTCAACGAGCTGGCCGCCACTACCCCGGATGCCACCTACAACCTCCACAGAATTGCTAAATCTGTTAGCAACTTCTCTTTGACAGTCAAACAAGTTGGAACACTCATCAAGGAAAATGACCACCTGCCATCCCTCGAAGTAAGCCAGTCCTATGTGCAACTTTCCCATCTTCTGGATGTTAACTGAGAGGATAAGGCTATCGATGTTTTAGAAGACATTCTCAACCAGTGCAAGGCTGTATTCGTCGAGATAAAGGCTATTATCCCGGCTGAAGGGGTCCATAGCCATCGCAGACATGATAGCTTTCATTCACAATCCCAAGACTTTAGGCCGAGTCCCTGTGCAAGTGCACGGCTAGTTTATCTCCAGACGCATCTTGATGCCTTGAGATCAACTCTGTCCGTCATGATGCAAACTCTTTACACAGCGGAGAGCGTTATGTGGGCCAGGTCAGTACATCTTTTGTTCAATGAACAATAATTTAACACGCAACCAAGGGTCCGACCAATGATTTCACCACAGCAAGAGGCACGAGCCGTAGCTAATGAGAAAACACAATTGGAGGCTCTAATTATCGAACAACAAATGTCATTGTTGTCAGCCTTGAGGGAATATGAAAGGTCGCGCCCGGAGGCGAGACTATTAATGGAGGACGACAGCTCTCAAAGCCTGGTTTCAAGAGAAGAGAAGGGCGGTTCACCAAAGCCCACGAATCTCTTCTCATATCAAGAACACTCTCTCGTGGCCATAGATCCTTCGAGCAACCAAGAGGAATGGCTTGCCGCAGTATGCGCAATATCGAAGTCACATCTCGATCGCCTGTTGAAGGGATGGACTCGGTTGCGCCAACTAGAAGATAAAATCTGCGATGAGGAGCGGAGAACTGAAGCCCAGAAGAGAGAAACACAACAGCCGACTTGTGAATCTGATGGGAGCGAGGACCAAGTCGGAGCTTTACCCAAGTTCCGCCATAACACAACCAGACTGGCGACACCGACACCGAAACGACCCACTGGTATACAGCCGCTCTTTACCGATGCTTCCACTTTACCTATTCCAGTACCTGACTCAAAAATTTTCCCTACTGCCCCCTTATCGCCTGCCCCATCATATGGGGTGTCTCCAAGATCTTCGAGTAACTTACTACCCTCTCCTCAGCATCCCACACACTCGCCAGTGTCCCCACAATCGAGTATCTCCATTTTACCAATCGATGCTGCTGCCGCCGTCGAGGCTAAGGATGCAGATGACGACTTAGACCTAAAGATTCCATGGCGTTTATGTTTACGCAGCCATTACTGGGAGTACGTCGATGGCAAGGTCACGAAATCAAATACTGAGAGGCTTACATCCGACGCATTTGGAGATCGGAATAGCCGGACTGAGATACTTGCTTCGTGGGTGGATAAAGAAGCAATTAGAGAAGCAGGCTACAAGTACACGCAAGTTCAGAAAGAGCGTCGCGATGGCCGCCGGACAAAGTTCGAGACTTGTTTTTGCATTCAACAACCTTTGACGTTTTTGGAAGTCAAGCATCTCGTCGAACGCACGGTAGAGATCTACCGCCAAAAACAGCCAGCCTCCCCTCCTCCAAGACGTCGCTCATCGTCCGATCGCCCATCGACACATCAATTCGTCCAGCCGGCTCATGATCGAGGCCGAACTCCGCTCGCGAACCATCCACCATTGGAAAGGTCAACCACTTCGTACCCTTTCCCACCCCAGGGCCCTCCCCTTGATCGGTCAAACTCGATGCCAGGTGCCATACCAACCTATCCATCATTTCCCAACCAGAATCCCCACAAATCGAGCATTCATTTACCTATACCAACCGGTCCACAATCCCCACAAGCTCCCCAGGCCCCGCAAGCTGGACCCTATACTCCGCAATCCCCTTACTTTCCCCAACCGCCACCATATAACCCCCAGACTTACAACCAACAAACAGCCGCTTACACTCCTCAATCCGCACCCTTCGCCTCCCCACAAACGCTCTACCCCCTTTTCAGTCCAGCCTATAACCCCACCACAGCCGGAGACTCTCGTCGATCCTCAAACACATACCCTCCATCGCCGCTCCAACAATCCCAATCTCGTGCACGGGGTGATCACTACTCGAGCACCTCGGCGACATCGGATTCAGACAGCGGGACACGGTCAAGGAGACATAGGTCTCGCAGTCAACGCAGACAGTCTTCGGCGCACAGTCATCGCAGTCACAAGAAGAAGGGACATAGTACTGTGGGAACACTGGCAAAGGTGGGAGGGTTGGCGGCGTTGTTGGATGGGATTGTTGATTTGGGCGTTTTGTAGCTTGGATGGAGGTGTTACAAGGACTGTGGAAGGGTGTGTTAGATGGACATGGAGAAAGATTGATATGGATGGGGTGGGAGATTTCGTGTTCTGTTTTGGGAGGATTGGTTAGAGGGCGATTTTTCTTGATGCAGGATTGAGGTTTTCTCGGGAATGGGAGGTGAGGATCTCAAAATGGGAAACCGGCAATATTGAGAGGTACCGGATAGTGTCGTGGCTACGAGATCTGGTCGCAACGACATTTGGCAATGAGGTTAAAGGTGCTACAGTGTCAGATACCCGAGATGAGTCACGACCGTAATGATTGAGTTCGGATTTGTCTATTAACCGTACGCATTTAGACTTAGCAACAGACTTAAGATGGAGATTTTGAATGTTTCACGCCTCACGTGTTTCGAATAACGTGATACTTGACCTGAGGAAAATGTCGAAAGACATCGCTAGACATACATTATCTTGTTCCTCCTTGCATTTCTGGCACATGACGAATAAATTTGAGGTGATTCAACCTCCCCAATCCCATCCATATGACCAAAACGCCTCGCTGTGCATGCAGAAACGCAGACCGCCTCCTTTCCCACCCTATCCCAATCACCTGCTATCAGGAGCATCAGGCAACCTCTCAATAATATACCTTCCCCTCGCCACACTCAAAATGGGCACACCAGGAATCTTCCTTATCCGCCTCTTCAAATCGCGATCATTCGTCCCGACCAAATAAACTCTATGTTTGAGCACGCGATCAACCAAACAATCATCTGCATAAGTCCCGTTGTGATCACACTTCAGCCGCTCCCAGCGCTCGTCACGGGCGATGCGGAGCGCGATACGGTATTTGGGGCCGAGTTTCTCGAGTTCCGCCATGACGCATGAAGTGATGATGGGCGTGCACTTCGCGTAGAGGCAGTCCATTAGCGCGGTTTGGAGGTCGAGTTTGGCGCGCACGGTATGCGAGAGGAAGTTGGTGTCAATAAGGACGGAGTAGGGAGGGACGAGGGCGGTGTTGGCTTGGAAGAAGAGGGAGGAGGAGACTTGTGGACTGGAGTTGTTAGTGGGGGAGGATGGGAGAGGGAAGGGAGGGGAGTGGGGTACATTTCTCGGACAGGTTCATCGGTGGCGGCTTTCTTTTGTGCTTCTACTTCGCCCTTGAGCTGGTTCTTCTGTCTGGATAACGAGTTAGGGGGAGGATGGCGATGGAGGGATGGAGGGGTGGAGGGGGTGTACAGTCTTGCATCTCGTTGGCCTGCATTTGTTAGCAGGTGAGAAGATGTGTAGGTTGACTAGTGAGAGACAGACCAATTACGCGTTTCATCTGCGCAAACTTGCGCGTCCTCTTCGCGACTCCCATGCTGGTGGTCGCTATCAATGTTCCGCAATGGCACCTCTTGATAAATTTCTCGACGCCAAGATTTGTGATTGCCGGTGAAACTATTGAGCCGGCCAGTTACTTGCCAGGCCTTTCGGGACCGGGTTGGTTGGGGGGAGTTCCAAGGGTTCTATTTGTGACAGGTAGGCCCAGGCGCAAACTCGTCGCGGCACGGGCTTGCTTGTCTGTCACTCTCTCGCCGCGAACCCCGGGACACACGGGGTGGGACATACTGGGACACTTGCACACACTGGCCGCGGTACACACGGGCTGCCCTGCAGAAGTCAAACAAAGACTGCACGTTCTGTGCCACCCGTCCTTCGCTTTCACTCATATTCGTTGCCCTGTCGCCAGCTTCACTTTTGGATTATTCTTTCGCTAACACGCTCCCGTTCCTGTCGCTGCAGCTACCCGTCAGCAAAACACTGCAAAAGGCACGCCGACTCGATCCGTCCATCGCTAAGCCAAGGCTGATCCTCCCCTGGCGTCCTGGCCCCATCCCCAATCACTCCAACAACCTGCTTCACAGCTCCAGCACCGCCCGCTTGCCCGCCTTTCGTTATTCTTCTGTCATTCGTTTCATCTCCAGCCCACGTCGCTGCCAACCTCTTCTTCACCCCCAAACCCTTTAGCCACCAGATCTTCTGAGACACGGAACCCCCCCGAAAGACACTGCCTTTAGCCGCATCCACTCCCTAAATCTGCCTCAAGTCTCCTCTCGCCGCGCTCGACTCTCCGTCACGGCTCCGCACCCATAGTCATCATCCGCAGTCCAATCTTTCGCCATGAGGCCGTCGGTCGGCCTTCTTGGTCTGCTCCTCGTCCTCGCCCCGTCCGTCCTCGCCCAGAAGAGTCTGCCCAACCTCAGCACAGTCGACCAACCCAGTGGAAAAGCAACAGATACAGCGAAGGAGACGTCCGCGGCCACCAGTAACGGCGATTCAAAGTCCACTAATGCCGCAAAGTCTTCCGATGCTGCCAGCTCACAAAGTCTCTCCGACTTCAAGTTAACAAGCGCCCCCCCCGCATCATCAAACACACAGGCTGCCACGACCACCAGCCAAGCAGCCCAGTCCGAATTGTCTGCATTCCACCTTACAGGGCTTCCTACCATTGCCGGTGTTGGTATCCCCTCTGTTGGCGTCCCTGATACAGCAGCTGCACCCTTCATGCAAAAATCTGATCTCCCAGATGGAACCGTCTTTATTTGCGTCGGCGCTGCACTTGGTGCCCTGGGGGCAGCTGTCCTAGCCTGGCGAGGCCTCGTTGCCTGGTCTCTCCACCGCTCTGTCAAGCGCGCAGCAATGGCCCAGAATCTAGCCGATCTCAAGGCCATGTCATCCGTCCCGGGCAAGAAGCGCGGTATCTACAGCGCAGTCGGCGCCAGTTCTACCATGTCTCTTGACCGGCTCTCGGCTGCTCCAACCGGAACTTCTAAGCCGGCGAAACCTTTTGCATCAAAAACTGACTCTGGCACCCCTCCAAAGCTACCCTCTTCTCAATCGCTGTTCTTTTCTCCAACTGCCGGCGGTGCTACAGGTCTCCGAGACCAGAATAACCGTTCTTCGAACTATCTTCCTGCGGGCTACTATGCAACCGGCAGTGCTCAGCCTGCGTCTGGTTCTCCCTTAACACACGTCGGCGGCCACGGCCCACACCTCTCCACCCACTCCCTCAACAACCCCGTGAATCGCTACAGCACAAGAAGCGCTGGTATCTCCCCTCCAGCTTCCCCGTCCCTTCCTCCATCGCGGGGCTACGATCGTGCACCCCCAAGTCGAGATGGTGTCTCCATGTATAATCGGAACAGCGTAGCGACGCTAGGAAACCAAGGGAATCCGGGTGGTCTTTATGGACATCCTGGTGCGAATCCGAGTCAAGTTTCGCTGACCGTTCCCGGGGGAACCAGTGTAGCCGGTGGAAGAGCGCCTAGTGCGTATCTAGAAGATTTGTTCGAGAATCATGGGACTGGACCGAGGGAGAGGTTTCAGTGAAATTCGTCCATCAGACGGTAAAAAAGCAGTGAACGTTAATTTTTGCAAGTACAGTATTTACGAGCGTAAGAGCAGATGGGGAGACGAGGGTACCCGTTATCGTCTAGTCATCTTTTTCATTGCCGCTAGAGACCAAGGTATCGGGACTACTTGCAGGTGGTTTGCACTACCTTTTGCTCCAGGTCTCCACTGTTGTATATGGGGGAGCGTTTTCGTTGCTGTACCACCACCACTACCACGTTTTCAGATGCTCCTCGTCTTAGTCAATCTCAAGAAGTAGCAGCAGTAGCATCATCATCATCACCACCACTAGAACCTACCCTTCCACTTATTGTCCCCCTTCATCTGGCTCGTACTTGTAGAGCGTTACGACCAGATCCCCTTTCTATATCTTTATGTTTTTCGATCTAGGATGTGCGGTGTTTGGGTGTTTTGTGAATGGATTGATCAATGGCGATATGGACGATGTGCATAATTGCTTGCTTGCGTACGCTGCAGCGCAATATTTTTGTATATAGAGTAGCATAATGCCTGTGAAGGGCAAAAGGGGAGGCAGGATAATTGGTTTAATGTGAGAGTTTAAGTTCAATTGTTGAAGTGAGTACTTTCACTTAGGCGTGATAGAATTGCAATGAGGGAAGTCGACAGCAGATTTATACTAAGCTAACTTCAAAGTGCTATCTACTCTTTTGCCATTCTTCTACAGATCCTCAAACGAAGAAGAAGCGGTTGTAGATGTGTACAATATTGAGGTTCTAAGGCATGGAAGCGCTGGCTTTTGGTTGCGGTTACACTTGATTTGGCTTCGAAGATGGTGTTAGCGCATGTGCATCCATCCCTTCATCATTCCTTAAAAAGACCTTTTTCTGGACATCAACCCTGCTGCTGCGGCTTCTCTAGTGTCCCATGAAAATGATCGCTCTTTCTCAAGATCCTATGCTCTGACAGCTTGTCTTCTGAAATACCAATTTCGCAATTGGAAATTCTAACGCAAATCCGAGTCTTTACAGAGCCATTGAAATTTCAGTGTAATATGTTTGTACTGGTGAACCCAACCAAGCCACTCCGACGTGACTCCTACCGATCCCATAGAAACAGAAACAACACGCCGATCTCAGGGGCAAACACCCTCGGATGGAAGGCCTCGCTGCACCAGTGACGTTGTTCCACACACTTCTTAACTTCGCTCGCACAAAAACTGTGTCATGAAGGTCAAGCAAAGGTGTAGTTTACCTATGTAAGAGCAGATGAAGATTTACCAAGCCAAGGCATGACGATGCCCACCCAGCACCCAGACATGTGTATCACTCAAGGTTCAAGATGGGCATGTGCACTACAGTACAGAAAGCCTTTTTCATTGGGATGCACGCATGCTCGAACAATTCTCGTGATCACGTGATATACCATACCCCATCCATCTAAAACCTGGAGCACGAAGTCAAGCATAGAACGGAACGGAACAAAAATACATCGTTGTACCGCCGGGCATCTGCGGCCTCGATATCGGTCGGCAGTTCAAATCAGTTCCATTTGCATTTGCATCCAGGGGTTGCAAGCTATGGATCCGCATCCCATCCTCCGGCAGCCAGCTAGCCAGGCTTATCCCATACTCTGGTTCTAACCGCCGCCACTGCCGCACAAATTCTAAGTAGGCAACTCAATCTTTCCACATCCCGAGAAAGGTTCTCCAGCCTCATGACGTCTTCAGACCGGATGAGAAATATTCCTGCAAGATGCCAGAAAAGGGGAAGCAAAAAAAGTATAACCTTACATCCACATCCCAATATACGATATGGGCAGAGCTGCCTCATTTCGTGAGAAAGACAGAAAGGGTGAACAAATGCCACCGGTGGTCAACGCCAAAATCCCACTCACATCATTCGTCTCCCCATACAGGATGTAGAAACCCATTAACGACAGGGAAGAAAGTGGAGAGAAGTAGGAATATCCAATCTGTCCCAGTAACACAAAACCCACCGCTACTCCCCATTTCTGTTTCCCTGACCACAAAACTAAAATACCCAATAGACTGCAGTCAAAGAAATTCGTAAATGCTAAAACCTGGCTGAGTCGCATGCGTTCCTATTGTGCTTCCGTGAGAAGCCAGGGAAGGGGAAGAGTCAGAGCCTCGTACCTATGAGGCCGACGAAGATGAGGAATCTGATAGGAAGGTTCCGGTATGTGTAAAAACCGGTAAGACAGTCAAAGTATTTGTTCGTTCCAGCTCTCGATTTCACCCACCAGGGTGCTCTTAAATTAAGCAAATTTCGTTAGACGCATTTTGGTTTCCCAATCTTTAAAACAGCCGAGGAAAAAGTCGATTTGGTGACGAAAAGCAACCTCGAAGCAGAGTGGTGAAACACATATCTTGAAGCCAGCTAGGGATTCCAAATTGCAGAGGCAGAGACAGCCGTAGAAAATGCTACTCATACATGAACGTGAAGAAGGGCAATGTGTACCGCCATATCGACACCGCCCTGTTAGTCCATGTAGAAATCACCCTTTAGGATCCGTTCCTGGAAGGCGTCTGGCACTTTGGCTGCTTTGGGCATCTCCCGAGCCGGAGGCTCCATGACAGTAACGCTCTTAGCACGTTGGTGTGGTGGAGCCTGCGGACTGCTGTGCAGAGGGTGGGCAGTAGAGACCGACGAGCGCTGGGCGCGGGAGCGGAGGTTCTCTGCAACGTTGTAGCCTTCGCCTGTATGAAAGAGTAAAGACGTCAGTTCATGCTGATCTAAATCTTGGTCGGGATGGTTCTTGAAATGCTCTGCAAGGACATGCGGAAAAACAGATGTGGGAGCTGAAGCAGACGCGGAACGCTCAGAAGAAGTAGAAGTTGCGGCAGGGACGAGAATCGGCAATGGGGATGGGAACGATGACGCGGATGAAGACAGACCTCGACTTCTGGCAGTCGGGGGTGAGGAGGCTTTATGGATGGAGGGTCTACCATTGGCGTTCCCAATGTTCCCATTGCTCTGCCTGACATCCCGCAGTGCGCGTGCTCCGAAGCTCAGCCGGCGAGCGAAGGGGGTGGTGGGGTTGCTACTGGCGCTGGACGCAGATGGAGCCAGATCGTCCTCAAAGGGGCTCTCGTCCACTGAGCCAGAATTGGCGCTGGACAGGCTCTCGGTGCGCGGCCGGGCGCTCTGGAAGGGGGACGACTGGTTTGGCGAGGCCGATAGGCCGATGGTGGTGAGGGACAGACGGCGTCGTTGGGCATTGACGGCGGCTGTCGTAATTGGGCCTGGATACGGAGATGTGCCATTCTGCTGCCCTCCAATGCTGTTCTGGCGGCCAAAGAGGTCCTGAAATGTCTGGCCTGTAATCGAAGCGCGACGCCTGTCCGTGGCAACCGGAGAAGGTAGCGGGGGGGAGTGCCGGTCAGAGGACATGGCGGGCGAGTTGCGAGGTTGGATTACTGTGGGTGCTTTCTTGCTGCGCTGTTGTGAGGATAGTCGCCGGGAGTGTAGGTTATTAGGTGAGTGTGTGTGTAAGAAGGGTAGTGCAAGACCAGAAGGGAAGGGAGGCTTCTGTGGTTTGGAGATATATGGAGATGTCGGCGTGCACGGACAGTGCGGCCAGAAACTAAGCTCCCCGGCTGGCGCCAGGTGATACGTCAGCGGTAGTGGGCAGCAGATGGCGTGATGGGCGAGGAACGTCGTCTTAGGTCGTCTCACAACAAGGTACGAGGGGGACTGGAAAGGAGACAATAAGGAGATATGATGCAGCAACGAGAGCAGCAGCGATGGACAGCCGTGTAATATGGGAAAGTGCAGCGCTGAGAGGTCCTCCCTGTGGGCGGCGCGCCAGCAGGTGCATCTTTCTTGTTTCGTGAGCACTAGTCCCGCATCCGGCAAGGCGTGCTTTCCCCGCATTCTCTCTGGTGAACAAAGCAGATGCAGCGCTTTGAGATAGTGTGGACCACCACCACATCGCTCTACGAATCACGATGGCCCGTCTCGACCCTATCCAAGACCATCTCTCCTGAGAACCCCCCGCCATCAAGGGTCGCGGCCCCAAAAGCTCAACCATAACGATCATCGCGGCGCAACCCCAACGTTAGCTCGATCTTGGTAGGTCTTCGGGCGGTTGTGTTTACCACTCAGGGCAAGTCGTTTATTCACACTTGGTCAAGAGCTTCTGGACACGTTGAGCAACATTAAGCATTGCTGGGTGCGCCAGGGGGCCTATCAGAACATTGCTTTTCTCGTCATTCACATCACTCTGCGTCGCCTCCGACAGGGGTCTGCGTGCAATATGTCAGAGACAACGCTATCCTGGGCTTGATTTGCATGCCAATCCATCACAAAGAAGCATTCTAGAGCACCTGGACGAATCCTGCAGCAATTAGCGTTTCAGCGGTCTATTTTTCACAGGCCCACGTGATCTGTGCTGAAGACGACATCAAAATAGCTTTTCAACACCAAGGTAGGAGGAATGTTGTAGAATCTGGTGCCCCTTGTTTTCCTTAATATCTCGGGGATATGCCTTCAGTGTCGCTGTATCCCTTCTCTAACTCTGTCGAGCCCTGCTTTAGCGCATGCAAGCTGCATCCAGCGGTGTGCCCACTCCGGATAGAAATGTGCTTCGTTCGAGTGTTAAATACCCTTCCAGTGCTGCATATCGGAGACCAAGTCGTCCGCATAGGCGTGCATCGGCCCGCTCAGCAGTGCAGAACTGATCCCTTCCTTGCAGATCAGCCCAACCAACAATGCCATGTGTAGCACAACAAACCGACAGCGTGGTCAACAAGCACTAAACGCATCCACATTGACACCTTCTGTACCTCGGCGGACCGAAAGGAGTTTCATGAATTGCCCCACTCTCTTCATGTCGGTTCCACTGAAGTCACGCCAGCCGGCGCACCTCCACCCATGTCCTTGGAACTCGAGTAATCCGCGAACTCCTCGCAGAGATGTGCCCGCTTCTTGGCAAGCCAGCGCTACAGACCGCATGAATAAAGTCAGCTGGACAAAGGGTACTTGAGCCGATAGAGTCTGTTCTTTGTTCGACCCACCAGATTGGGAAACACCCCGCTTCAGCAAGTTGATATCAGATGTTTAGTTGAAGTAGATTGTAATTGTCGTGTGAGGTAGGCACGATAACTATGTGAGTTTGCATTTGGTAACCTTATTGTACAGATGATTATCGAGGACTGAATATGCAAGGAATGGCGAGGCAGAGAAAAGTGGAGGATATGATGGTTTAACAATTTAGTAAAGAAAAGGCGACCCTGCGCAGATCAACACCAAAATAGCCAAGACAAAGGTATGTTTCCAGACCAGCTGAAGGATAGCAAATATCTGAAAAAGGAAATAAAAGGAGCGAGTGGGGACGAGAAGAATAGAGACAATCCAGCAAATACATAAGGGTAATTCAGACACAAGAACTGGGTAATCAAGTAAAAATAAAAATTCCCCATCGCCAAATCGCAGAGTTCCGCCAATTATAGACTATCCTAGGAAGCGTAAAGAGGGATCGAAGAGCGGATGTAACCGAATGACTTTGAATCTCACTTCATCGGCCTCTTCGCGCTGCTACCCCCCGGCTCAGGGTTTGTTCGCTTCCTGCTTTCCGACGTAATGGTGCGGAAAGTACTTATAAAAGAAGCGGGTGCCCGAAAGGGTGTGGTATCATCCTCCAGTTCTTCTTTAATGTTGCGGAGCATTTCCCAATGGTTTTTAAGAACATCATCCTGCGGGAAGGCTCCTAGGGTATCCAGAACGAAATGGCCTCCACCCGTGGCGGGCGCTCCTATCAAGCAGACAAACAGGTTGTTCTCTGCGGGCTCCTCAGGGACAATTCGACTTGTGACGTTGGCGTATGCGTTGAAGTTTCTGCTGACCACGCCGTTAAGAATGATGAGTAGTGATTCCGCCGCCCGATTAGCCACATCTCTTGAACGGTCATTCGCCGCTTGGTAGTCCGTAACCAGAGTCACTAAGTTCCTTAATTTTTCCGCGCAAGTAACAACGTCATACCTCTCAGCCATAGAGTCAGGGTTCTTGATGTATTCATCAAGTGCGTTGAACGTGCGGATCGCGCGATCATTGATTTTGTCAAAGAATACGTGGGCCTGGAAAGTCGGATCAATGAGCGAGCGAAGCCTGCCGAATAATCTAAGGTCCTCGATGGCGAACTCAGTGAAGAGCTCTTGGAACTCTCGATATTTCCTAGCCTGCTCTGAGAGGATTGGGGGTTGAGAGTTTCGAAAGTCGTCTGGAAGCTCGCCAGACGGATCAAAAACAGACAGTAATCTCCCAATATCTTCCCGGACCTCTTCTTCTATCTCTTCAACTTCACGGTCATCCTGGAACATGCAGTCCAAGTCATTTGCAACATTTTCTAGGCCCTGATTGTCCACAATCTCCGCTGGTTGTAGATTCTGGACGGTGGATCCATCTGTGGCTAGTCGCAGAGTTTGGGATTTGAACTTGTCGGGAGCTTCCGCATTCACTAGCCGATCCAGCATCCAGAATATGTGCTCCACAAAGTGTCAGTCGGCAGATACACGGTCGATCCGGGACAGAAAGACTAACCTTGCATGCTAGACCTCCTACATTCGCCCCACAGCTACATTCAGGGGCATCGTAGCCCTCACCCATCCTCAGAGATATATCGTCCGCGATATAGAACATGTAGACGCTCGGGTCATGTGAGATCGTTTTGCAGTACTTTAGTTTAATAGCATCATTTTGGTGTATGAGGCCGTGTCTGGCCCGCTTGCGAACCTCATCGGCGAGACCAGCGATGTCGTACTTAATCCCCGAAACGGACTGGCATTCGACTTCTTCTAGGGAGGGCGGGGCCGAAGAAAGACTAGAAGAATTCGACCGTTGGACGGGTGCTGTTCGCGCTCTGGCTCCTGCCCGAGTCGTCACCATTGTTTCCCCGATTGTCAGTTTGGAAAAGGCTTCAGCAGACATGGAGGCAACTCGATGTGTGCGGACCTGATGCAGTCACTGAAGAGTCACTGGCTATATATCCACCTATCTCTTCGCCGCAATTATCATGATCCACAGGATCATAAGGAAATCCGTCAGATGTAAGCCACCTAACGGTGGCAACTTTGCCGCCTCAAGTTTGATACAAAGGAACGAAGTGTGGCTAATGAGACGATGTGAAGAGGTGAATCCGCTGTTCAGCAAGGTTCTGAGTCAGGGAGGAATGACAGAGAACGGGAGGTCTTTGCGGAAATGAGCCAATAGGGGCACGGAGGCCGGCTTTCTTGCTCGTGGATTTTCTTTCTCCAGACCGTTCATGGGCTTCTCGGAGCGAGGCCAGGATTCACCGTATCCCTGTGCCGAGCTGTGGTATACGCTGACTTGAAAGTAAGAAAGGGGCTCCCCACCCGGCATCTGCGGTTACGGCGATGCGGATGCTTCATCATTGCGGGTGCTTTTCGACGTCATCATGGGCTCCCGTTTTCCTCTTTAGAGATCTGTGCCACATTCCAGTCACTATTGCTAGGCTTCCAGAGCTTCCGGACTCATTAAAATCGCGGAGTAGGCTAATGGTTCTGATCGATCGGGTGTGGGAGGAGCGCAGGCATCACCGCGGAAGTAGCGATAAGTTGTACTGTGCCGCGGCTGCGCGCTCTTCAGCATCGACATGTTGTCTGAACAGACGCCACACTTCCAAAGTTACGGCATCGGGGCCAACGGCGGCGTCGTTGAATGGACGAAGCGGTGGAGTTGGAGGTGTGGAAGTGTGATGAGGTCGGGGGTTTCCCTCCGACAAGCGAGCAAGGTGGCGGTGCGCTCAGCCTCGTGCAGACATCTGGCACAGCAACGTCCAATCATTTCCGACGAAAAGCTATATCTTTCAAACATGCGAGGCGGAATTTTCGCTGGAGGAGCAGTAGTCACTCAGTTAAGCATCTCTAAGCATGAAGAGACAACGAAACGTTCCTTCTTCACTGCGCCCTGTGAACACTTCCTAGTCACTGGAGCGGAGTATATCTCGAATTCCGGCCTGAGGCTCGGAATCTCTCGAGTGTGACACGGCAGAATTTCCTGCCGCTGAGGCTCTCCTGGTAGCGGGAACTAAAATAATTGGCACTTGCCTTAGATCAAGACTGGAACTACATGCGACAGGGCAGAATCATTCGCCTTAATGGTATGAATTGGGAGTAGATAGCTAAGATTTGCGGTGTGACCGCTAAAAAGAATGTAAAGAACGAAGTGGCTGATGGCGTAAGTGGAAACAAATAACGAAAGAATTATGAGCTGCCAGCAAGCCCACTCTCCCCAGACGGGGACCACCGTTTCGTTACGGCGTAAATCATGGGTTCACCCCTGAAAACTCCTTGCAATGCCTCCAGAATGATGTGAATTCAACGGCTGCCTGAGCCATCATGCAAATGTCTTGCCAAAGAATCGAAACTGAAGACCCAGGTGCCATCACCTTGCACCCCACCCGGGATGGCGGTAAGGGAAAAATCTCCATGCTGGGTAGCCTCTCGCAAACTGATCCGTAAGGCGTAGACCGACTCTAGTGGTACATAAGTCAACGGTGTGCAAAGTGATACGGGAGGTCAACTCACACCTGGGCTTCTCACCTGCTGCTTCCGCCTGTCCTTGAAGCCGCGGCATAGACTGAGTTTTCGCGAGAGCTACGCTGGGAGTTCTGCTCTTTGCTCTTCCCAGCTTCGACGATGTGCCGCATGGAGATTCCTCCCCACGGCAACCCAGATAGATCACGTCCTGGGTCAAGGTCGCCCGGCTCTGGTGAGGCGTAGGAACTGCCCGCCCGCCGTTGGTTTTCCACCTCACGTTCCGTTTCTTCTTTCTGCTCCCTAACTTTGTCACCTAGGCTACATGTTAGTTGAATACTGTTTGTCTCTCGCCTGGGGTTAGGGATCTTCACGGAACCGCCGCTGTGCAAGCTTGTTCTGAATCTTCCTTCGCTCACTTGGATCCTTGATCTCTGACCACTCATCTGCTTTAGACTTAGAGTCTCTTCCAGATGAAGAAGATCCACCTCTCGGCGATGTTGACTGCTGCCCGCTGGATTGTTGATTTTGAGACATTGTCTTGCCCTTATCGGCGCCTACTTGACAACAAATTCGGTGTGCTTCGGTCGAAGAATTGGAGAAAGGAGTGTTGGTAATCGTGGGAGAGGAGAAGAAGAAGAAGTTGGATTGAGGTATGAATGAAGTTGTCATAGGAATCGAGAGCTAACCAGTGTGTTTAAGGAGTGTTGCCGGGTTCTCACGACTGCCTCATACTAGGTGGCAGAGGACCTGGCACCGGGCCAAGTTTAGAAAACAGATGATCGAGTACGACAAGAGGCTGCGGGATCAAAACGAGGACCTCCACCTCAGCTGGTCCAAGCTCGGTGCCTGATGGGTGACTGTTTAAATAGTCGAAGAAGTGTCAATTACAGCCAACGAAAAGACTGAAGAAACGACTGAACGCAACTCGTGAAGAATGACTCTATGCAGGATCATAGAAAAAGGTCTTCATACCGGCGTGTGATGGGTTTAGGGTTGTCGACTGGCCTAAATGGAGAGGAAGGGAGGGTCTAAGGGATCGGGATGGACGATGAAGGAGTCGATACCCTTGACTCAAACCACTGGGGATGCGAGGCCTTTGGTGCTACAAGGTCCTTGATTGGTGAGCACCCTTTCGGATATATGAGTAAACTAAAACGCGAAAGGATAACGGAGGAGTAGTCAACAGCGCAATTAGGCATCGATCTAAGGTACCTCCAGCATCAATAGACGGCAGAGACATGGCAGCATGGTGCCAGCGACTAAGAAGCTGGCCAGTAAAGGCCAGCCCGGCACTCCCGTCAAGCCAATCCATGATCTAAGACCATGACGTCTCTCCTGAACCCCAAAATTCACCGGCCATAAGATCCGCGCCGAGGAGGAAGGCATCCTGGTCCCACATGCCAGCCCTGTAAGGCATTCAGAAAAGCGAGTGACACAAGCGAAGTGTGGAGGTGATTGGATTCCTTTGACCTTAGGTGAAGCCATCCGTACCCGCCCAGGCAGATGAACTCGGAGCCGGTTCAAGTACCTGCAGGTCTCGTTACCGTCAAATTGGCAACATTTCTCGGAAGGGCCGCAGCGTCATGACCCTGTCGTTCGGTCCACGAGTTCAGCCCCAAATCTCATGCGACTCAGAGCGCTGAGGCAGCAACGTTATTGGCCAGCGCCTCATGGATCAGAGCAAAACATCCCAAAGCCATCTTCTTGCAACCTAAATCAAGAAGTGGCAGTGCTTCAGCCTCCGGCAATATCTGCCTTTTCTCGTTTTGGGTCGTGCTTCTGTCCTGACATCACTTCACGCACCCCCACCGGCTGGAGTTCTACGAGACGCGACTGCATAGCCCAGACAGAAAAAAAGGGCGTAGAGTTGGGGCTCGATATCGCTAGGACAGGGGACCCAGCTGCACTGCAAGAGGTACTACAGCAAATTCTGACGCATCTGAGCGGGACATGACGTTATTGGGCTCTTTGGAAACTTGCAGTCCGGGAAGCTGGTTGATATCCGCCTTCACCGAAGTGATCTAAGTGGGGGCCGGGGGTGAGGAGTGAGAATTGGCAGATGAAGAATAAAGGGCAAGGCAGCCTCCATCGGTGAGCGAGCGTTGGAGCACCTTGCGTTGGTCTGGCACGGGTGGAAGAAGAATTGTGAAGAATTGTCCAATGTTGAGCGGTGTCGACTGAAGCATGAACGAAAGGTCGTTTGGCCAAAGCGGAGTTCAAGCCGTGCTAAGCATCCATGCACCAATCAAATCTGACAGTGCACCTGCAAAACCTTGCTAATGGCGCCCCGTGGCGGCGCTAACGCCGACCGGAAACGATTATTGTAGTTTAGCACACCGCTGGATATCTAAGCCTCATTCAACACCTTCTCGGTTCATCTCACGATAGAGTTAATCCTCAATGGCACGAACCGATACAAGAATCTTGGAATGAAGCGAAATGGCCCTTCTAGAAGCATGCCATGAAGAAATCCGCCTTGCTTGGTAAATGCCGCAACCCAGCTCTGACCGTCTTTCCCCGTCTGCCACACCACACAACTTCATGACGGTGCACAAATTTGAACCGACGTGGTCTTTCTAGCCGTTCCGAGATGCGGTATACGCATATCAAAGCCAGTGCTTCAGGGGGATTGTCCGGTCTATTGACCGGTGAATAGAAAACTGCCGATTCTACCCCCATCGCATATGCATCACGCCGATGTGATGTGAAGTCGATTGCATACGGACCCTCAACGGCGTTTACTACACGTATTCTTCGGAAAATCTTCCCTCAAGAGCACACATGACACGCTTAAACGTCATGGGAGGACTGTGGTTAGACTGGTTCTCTCCTGACAATTCCAAATTCACTCCTCCATGCGACGGCTGCACCTCAGCTTCACTTTAGCGCCCTAGAAAGGATGTGGTATCTTCGCCCGCACCCGGTGATGATGTTCTCTTCCGGACATGATAGAAACGAGGGGCAAAGGTTCTTGTTCCATGTCGACGATTCTATGTGGAGGCTGGAAACAGGGCATCCGGGCAACCGAGAAGCCATTGCCGGGAAAAAATAGCTCTCGTTCGTAAACAAATCTCTTTTTAATCACTATCTTTTCCTTTTTTCTTCATAATGGCTTCAAAAGTCCCACAAACATGGCGCCAAATAGCGGGTATTCCTTCTCAATCTTAGAAGCAGTCAAAGCCGAGCCGAGCTGAGGCCGACTGATAAAGAATCTGTATCGTGGGTAGTATTTCTCAATGGTTTCATTATCCGATGTTCCATTGCGCGAAGCTGTATTGCGACGTTGTAAAATCAAAGAACGTCGAGGATTTGGTAGGTAAGATCGGGGAAGAGTAAGGCCGTGGGGAAGATTGAGCTATATCATTATTGAAGCTCATGCATTGAGATAACGGGTGGCTTTCTCGATGCTTTATGGGCCGGTTCCTATTGGACGCAATTCTCCTTCATGAGCGAAAGAGTCTTCCAACACGATCACATTTTGAGCCTTGCTTTGGACCCCAAGGGCGGAAGTCCTTCTGAAAGGCTGAAAACTTCATGGGATCAAGCCACACATCCCCTTCCTCGGATCGAGCGATTCCGGCGCACCTGGGCTTCTCTCATGTGGTTAACCCCAGGTTTTAGTGTGGAGAGACGTTCAGCTCAGATGTATTTTGAGAGACACAGCCACAGAGGCTGCATCTCAAATTCCCAATGCTTCGGTGGTGATAAAGTGCGGCTGAGCACGCCGTCAGCACTTTATTTCCGTTCGTCAGCCAAGATGCACGGGATGATGCCAATAGCCGAGACAAGATAGGTTGGTATTCAAGAACAGTATAAGCAGAAAATCCTGGGTGCAGAGCACTCGGTCACCGTGGTGCAGGTGCAGTGAGAAGGGCTGAGATATTTGTCTTTAATTTAGTCCTAACACATCCATAAAATAGGATGGCTAGGGTGGAGTAGACACGGTCCTGCTAAAAACCTATTTCCCTCTCCCACTGGAAAAAAAAAGTTGCTCCAAGGCCAAGGACAAAAAGAATCCAAGAAGCAGGCAAGCGTGGGGTTTAGTACTGGACGGCGAGCAACGCGCAGAACTACTTCAGAGAACAGCTGGGCATGATCATTTCTCTCGAAATCACGCCGCTTCCAGAGTTGGGCTCCAAAAGTCGTAGGAACCTTGGAAGTCGTTGTTGAAGTCGAAGGGAAGAAGGAAGAAGGTTGGCGAACGAAATTTCAGTCGGAAAATAAGCGAGGCCTAGGCGCTTTGTCAGCATCTTGGCATCACGGCTGGCCCGACACTCAAAAAGGCGTTCCCTCCACATGATCTTTCCTCAACACACATTCATAAAATCATGAACGCATAATCAACTGCCATTCCTCATTACCATAGAATGCGTCAGTCATATTGGCGTACTAGAACGAACATCTGCGGCACATTTAGGCTCTTGCTTCGTTTCAATGTTGCTGGAGTGCACCTGCGTGCCAGACATGCTTTCGCGCATTGGAATATTGGACTTGGGAAGGGACAACGCCACATACAACTGGAGGAAGGAGGTCTAGGGTACCGCGTAGACGCATTCTTGTCGGAATATCCATGCCGCGAGCAGGCACACATGAATTTTATTTGCTGATTTGCTATTGATCTGATGGGGGATCAAGTCCAAATATCACCACAATTGTCAACAACGTCTCCAACCATCTAGAGTGTCTATTTCGTCTTAGGAGGGACGAAGCATGAACGAGCCAGGCCGGGGCTTCATCTCCCTTCAGCGACCACAGAGGGCCGTTTGGACGAGGCTAGATACGAGGGATTGGTGGCTTTCATGCAAAGTCACAAGCTTCGAAATCACCTGCTCGATCTGTCAACTCCGGATGTGTTGGACTTAAGTCAGACACTGTTGCTGTAAATAGTTATCATTTTAGTGTCGAGACAGCGTCAAGTGTCAGATGTTGTCTGGGCAGAATGAAGGTTTCAAAGTGTGGAAAGCCAACAACTTAATTAGTGTGAAGCTCTGCAACCAAGCCAGCGGAATATACAAGGCTCGCGTGCATGTCTCCGCCGTTACAGGCTCTCCACGTTGGTAGTAAATTGTATTGCCCAGAAGGGGGCTTTGAAGCCCGCCGCCACTGACAACCATAACGCACGACACACGACTCGCTTCGCTCCCTAGTAGGGCATCGCGATGTGGAGCACTTTCAAGCTCTCCTTTCTTCTTCCCATCTTTCACTTGGTCATGTATTCTACCCTGCCACGTTAGTCTGCTGCGTGCACAGGTGACAGAGGTGACTCTCCCCTTCCCCGCAGGTTTTCCCAGCCCGATACCCTAGCTGCCGCTCCCTATCTCGATCTCGACCGAGCCGCGACTTCTCTCACCACACCATGGCCACTACCCTGAACAAGCGGCAGCAGGCGCGCAATGAGCGGACGCTGCAGGAGCTCATTAAGACAGTTCCCGGCAATGCACAATGTGCAGACTGCGGCGCGCGCAATCCAGGTCAGTAGCACTCCAACTATTGCTCATAATTGATAATCAACTGACGATGTGCTATAGGATGGGCCAGCTGGAGCGTAAGTGGCTATCGCTCCTTTCCTCTGAAGCATCGGAAGACGTTGAACGTTACCTGATCTGCACTGTCTCTGCATGTTCTCCAAGTCCAATGCTAACCCTCGCTCGCAGCTGGGCATCTTCCTGTGCATGCGGTGCGCCGCGCTCCACCGCAAGCTAGGAACACACATATCCAAGGTCAAGTCGCTGAGCATGGACAAGTGGGACAATGCCCAGGTCGATGTGAGTCCATATGGGAGCTCCTCGACTTCTCCTCATTGACTTTGTGCAGAACATGAAGCGCATGGGCAACACCGAGTCAAACAAGACCTACAACCCCCGCAACGTGAAGCCCCAGATCCCCATAGACGTTGACGAGGTAGACAGCACGATGGAGAGGTTCATTCGGCAGAAATACGAGCAGCGTGCTTTCCTGAACGATTCGCGGGCGGGCTCGAGACAGAATACTGGTAGCACAAGTTCGGTGGAAGACAGGCCCCCACCCTTACCCCCGAAACCGACGAAGCGATTCGGATTTGGCCTTGCGAAATCTTCGACCTTCCCCCGAAACGTCACCCCTCCAGTCTCCCCTAGTCTCGGTGGATTCGGGCAAGACACTTCTCCGCCGAGGGTGAACAAGCCGTCTCGGGTGTTTGGATCCAACATTAGTACTTCAGGCGACGGACTGGAGTCAAAGCTGGCGACCCTACGGGACATGGGCTTTCCGGATGAGAAACGCAATAGTACAGTGTTGAAAGGATTGAACGGTAATCTGGACAGAGCTGTGGAAGCGTTAATCAGGTTGGGCGAACAGAACCCAAGTACAAGCAGGGGGCCCACCCCTACTCCGCCTGCAAAGCCGGGTGTCAATGGTATATCTATTGACAGGACTCGCACTACACCTGCTGCAACGTTTGGAAACCCATTTGATGCGTTGGACGCGATTGCCCCTGCGCCTACTTCTGCCCCACAACAGCAACCCCAGCCTGAGCCTGCGCCAATCCACACCCACCAGTTGCCATATGGAGCCTCTGCATCTTCTAATGCGACCTCTCCCTCAAATCCTTACAATCCATTTCTACAACAAGCACACCAGGCGCCATCCCAACAGGATGCTCTCGTCCAACAGCAGGAATCCTTTCAGCACAATCCCTTCAGCCAGGAAAATCAGCAGAACCCCCTCAGGCAGCAACAGCAGAACCTAGAGCAATCATTCCAAGGCCTACAATTCTCAAATCAACAACCTCAACAAGCTTTATTTCCCAACCGGACAGGTGGATATGGCCAACCCCAAAGCCCACAATACCCTCAGACGAATCCCTTCCTCCATTCTTTCACGCCACCACCGATGCCACAAATACCTCAGCAATACAGCTCCTTCTATCAACCCCAGCAACAACAATACCAGTCGTCGTCCTCCCCTATCGGTGCTAGTAACCCTTTCCTGAAGTCTGCTAAAAGCCAGATGTTCACTACTCCTTCATATCCTTTTGACCAGCTCCAGCAACAAGCATTAAACCCTTTTACAATGCAGAGCCACACCCAAACTACTCCGGCTCCGAACCCTTGGCAAGCGCAGCAAGCTCAACAATTGCAACAGCCCAGCTTTGAGGCACCGCAAAATCAGACCACCACTGTCTCAGAACCGAGTCCCTGGCAAACCCCGCAGCCGCAACAGTCCAACTACCAAGCTTTACCAAATCAGACACCCACCGCGCCGGCACCGAACGTCTGGCAAATCCAGCAGCTTCAGCAGCCACAGCAGTCCAACTACCCAGCACCACATGCTATATTCGACAAGAATTCTATCCTTGCTCTCTACAATTACCCACAGCTAGCCCCACAGCTCCCGGAGTCCGCGCAGCCTACACCTGCCCCGGTTACCGCAGGCCCCCCTTCTGGCTCATCACCTGGCAACTTGAACCCTTTCACTACTAATCAGAACGCGGGCGCAGGTCAGCAGCAAAACAACATGCAGCCCAGGGTACCTGCCACTGCGACATCCCAGCAGGTCCAGGGTATTAGGCATGTGAGCAATGAGAGTGTGGATTTTGTAAGCTTGATGGGTGGCCGGCATTCTCCAGATGCCTTCACAGGCCTAAGTGCAAGCTTCCGTCGATAAGCTGAATAAGCTAGTTTAGCGGAGATCGGTTGGAGTTGGGCTTTCCAGATATTGGGCAGGTTGAGCAAGGTTAATTAATTCGTCACCTGGAACTCCGTTACCCGGACTGAAACCTGCCTTTATTGGGGTTTCATTGTAAGATATTTTGGAAAGCAAATGGGCCCTGGATAGCGATTGTAATTCAAATAATTTCCTTTTGATTGACACCTCTACACTTTGAATTGTGCTGGTTCAATAACAAACACCTATCGTGAAGTGCTAGGTATTTTTAGATTGTTTGGCTCTTTAGAATTCTTAGGGGCCAACAACGAATAAACAGTTTCTATACAATCCCAGGTATCAAACTCCATCTCCGAGCACTTTTATAGCAATCGCCCTAAGTATCCTCTCAGGGAGCTAACTTCACTACCTGATGCCCCTTGCCTTGGATTTCCGCTTCCTGGTTTCTCCGTTCGCATTGGGGGCAGTGGCGGAGTGCAAGGAGACTTCGTTTTCAGGGAATTCAGAGGTCTCGAGGAGGAGTTCGTTGATGGCGGGCTTGTTTCCGAGGATGCGGCTAATGGATTGGTTGTAGCAGTATTTGGGGAACTTAAAAAGGAGGGTGTCGTATATAGTGGGGCGGGGTTCTTCATCGGGCTGCAGAAAGTTAGTCTAGGTTTTTCGAGAATTAGATGTAAAGCAAGGGAGTTACATTAAGAAGGAACTCTTGTTTGACGCCCTCGTCAGTTTCTTCTTCTAGGAAGACATTGCCGACAGAGTCGACAACGAGGACCTTGCCGTTCTCTGCAACAATTCGCCTCTTGGCTCCTTGTGGACCAGAGATGAGTTCGGCCTCCATTGGGGTGCTGATGCCAGATATACGTGTTTTCTTAGCTGCTTGCGCTTTCTTGTCCCTGCGATTGTCCTTGTCCATCATGCGCCTTTCGCGGCGGTTCCTAGGGACCATCTCGTCTGGAGACTCCTCGACTGGCGGAGTATTGACCTCAGGGACGGGAGAGCTTACTCCGGGAATGCCCTTGATGCCAGTATCGTCACCCCAAGCTGTCTTGCGCGCGTGCCTGATATATCTCTCTACAAACTCCCGGCGGCGCTTCCAGCCCATGACCAGAGCAAAGTAGTGCATGCCTCCTCCGCAGACAACCAAGAGTCCCATCATCACAGAGCCCAACCCGGGACGGAATCGAGCATAGTAGTATCCAGTGCCTTTCCACTTGGGGAAACCATTCTTCAGGAAGTGGTCGTAACGCTCCCTTTCGGGCCCTTTCAGGACATTCGCAATGACAGAGAGCCTTTGGTATTTGGCCGTGACCTCTTTGACATGCGCATCAACTTCCTTCTTGCTCGGCTGTTTGGTCACATGCACCCCGGGTTTCTTCGAGCCTTTGTTCTTCTTCTTTTGGTTGAGCGCATAGCTGTTGATGAAGTTAGAGCGTGCCTTGTCGGGGTGCAGCTCTCGAGATTTCTTGCGGTAAGCTTTGTTGAGCGCATCTTGACCCACCGAGGGGTTGACACCGAGAAGATCGTAGAAAGTAACGTTCGGTCCTTCGTGAGCGACTACCTCGTCTTGGAGCCGGAAGATTTCGTGGTCTACACAGTCAGATCTAGGTTAACTTTGTAGTCTAGCTTAATGCGTTACGGTGGACAGGTACGAGCGGTGAGCGCAGGGTCCAGGAATTCTGGAGTTTTTCTGGAAATTCGAAAAAGGGCAATGGGAAGACGCAATTAGAAAGTAATACACACCCTCTTTACTCCAGGCTGCGGCAGCTGCGGCAAAAGTACAAAGCACCAGGGCAAGCAACCCGTTGGGCTTCATGGCGGGCGGAAATGGCGGGTGTGCCAGTGGAGGTGGATGTGATGTTGGGTCAGGACCTTGTGGCTGCGGATGATAGGAAAAGGTTCACTTGTGTGTCTGTAGGGCACCTCGGAATCTTCAGAGACGCTGAACGTGGTCCAATTAGGCAAGGTGTCGGGGTTGCAGGACCGTGAACGCAAAGTGTATATAGGCTACAACACACCCCAAGGTCCTTCTCGTCTTCCAGTCCTCAGTTCATTCTGCTTGCTTGTTCTGGTTTCGTTCGTTGCGGCTTCCGTGGCCTCTTTGAGAGCAGGCAGGATTGTGGCGGCCGCCGCATGTGAAACTCGTCTCTATTTCCTTGCTTTGTGGCTTGCGTCTCCTGAAATAGGGATTGTCAACAGGGGCTGACGACGGTCCAAGCGGCCACTTCTCATCAAAAGTTACGTTCACCCACACGAACTCCTGCAGAACACGCACTCCTTTCCGACACGCCCCTCTTAACTTACGAACCACTCTGCCTCCCGCCGCGTCAGCTGCTCCTACTCCAGACATTCTTGCGATCACTGTAAGGCTGCCATTTTCTATAACTTCACCTTTGTTGCCTTGTGAAGTGGCCACATGTCACCCTGGGACTACCTTGCCTCCAGCACCAAAAGTAAGAGCTAACAACCATGGCCCCCTTAGTAGATCTTGAAGCCCAGCAGCAGAATCTCCTCACGCCCGACGACGCTCCGCAAGTGCCAGCCCCTACTGCTTCCATCATGTCACGCCTCAACATTCCGTTGGATGCCTTGACCTCCAGAATGAACTTCTCCGGCCGCTTCGAGGGCCTGCGCAATCAGTCTATCTCGTCGCGTTTCGCCAACCTGAAGCCTATCTCTGAATTTCTCGACTTCAAGCGAATCTCCAAGCCTGCCAACTTCAGCGAGGTGCAGAGCAGGATCAACTATAATCTTGGCTATTTCTCCAGTAACTATGCTGTTGTCTTCTGCATGCTCTCCATCTACAGCCTGCTCACCAACTTGATGCTCCTATTCGTCATCTTCCTCGTCGTCGGCGGCATGTACGGCATTGGCAAGCTCCAAGGCAACGATCTCGAGCTTGGCAGCTGGCGCGCCACGACCTCACAGCTCTACACCACCCTCCTCGTCATCGCAATTCCTCTTGGCTTCTGGGCTTCTCCTTTTGCTACAGTTCTCTGGCTCATTGGGGCGTCCGGCGTCACCATCCTTGGTCATGCTGCATTCCTAGATAAACCAATCGAGTCAGCTTTTTCCGAGGAGGCGGTCTAGGTGGTCGACCGCGAGCTCCTTACGCTATGCCCCCATGGGGAAGACCACCAGGGGGGAGGGGAGGTGTGGGGAGGTCTATAGAGGAGGTCGAGGACGTGTATCGATTTCAGGAGTTAGACAGTGATGACGAAAGGAATGGCGTTTTTTTAGACCCGGGTTATCAAAAAGTTTCGAATGGCAAGCAATATTTCAATCCGGATGACCTTTATTTCAATGACATGGACTTAAGAGCTTGGGAGTCGAGAATTGCAGCTATGGATGCGCTAGGATACGGGGATGATTATGGATATCAGGAGGATGAAGGATTCTATGATGAGATAACTGGAGTCACTATGCCTCCAGAAGAGTATCAAGAGCTTCTCTTTCAACGGGTCTTGGACAAGATTCGACTTGCGAGAGCAACAAGCCAGCCAGATGTACAACTCAGTCAAGAAGAACTCGAGGTTTACGAGTGCAGGCTTCTAGGCCAAAGGGTGCCTGCAGTGCGCCCAACGCCAAAAGCCAGACCAGTTAGTATGCCAGTGGCAGTGGCCGTGGCCGGTAGCACAAATAATACCCTTGTCAACACTTCAAGTCACGCCGGTGGCTCTGGTTCAGGAAGCACAAAGTCGAAGAAGAGCCAACGTCGAACTTCGATATTTACGCTCCGGCCTAAGAAGGATAAACCCAGTGGTCGGAAACGGTCGCCTTCAAATGTTTCAGAAACGGCCAATCAAGCCAATCAAGCTACTCAACAACCCGGCTTCATCGTTCCCGGGCCAAGCGGTCAGCCTGTTTATGCTCCGATCAATGCATATACTGGTCGCACGGCTCGGGATCCCGCCGTCCGCTCCTCTGGCTCGCCATCCCGGTCTGGTTCTCGTTCTACCTCGATGAACAGTCGGCAAGCAGCAACACCTCCACCGCGACTTACTCCTCCTCGGGAGATGCCTGGAGGGTTTCCTTCTGGCTCGCCGCAAAGGTTTCCTCGAGAGCCTACGCCTCCACGACAAACCCGCCAATCATCTTTGCAAGATAGTCCTGATCCACTGCCTAGTTCCCGGAGTCGCTCATCCTCCATTCAACAACCAGCCAAGCTAGTACCTTTTCCTGTCACTGATTATCACTATTACACTGCCGAGCCACTACATTATTTCTCTCCAGGACAGCTTGCTCCTTCCCAACAACATTCTCCAGCATCCTCTTCTTCTCAACCTCCTCAATATACTCGAAGAGTAGGCCCAGGGCTTGCTGACAATGCCTACATGTCCATGCCGCGCCGCGTTCCGGTCCCGGTCCAGCGCGTGGCTGTACCTGCCACTGGTGTTCAAAGCAGCTACTCTGAGCCTACACTCGGATGTGCAGGTTCAGGGTTGCAAGAAGAAATGAATGACAGGGGAGATGGCGCTGTCCTAGTGGACGCGATTCCGCAGGATGACGACAAGAGCCACAAGACTCAAAATACCAAGCCTAGCGGGAAAGAGAGCTCTGTTAGCAGTAGAAATGCGAGAGACAGTGAAAGGAGAAGGAGATCAGGGCGCAGTAGGAGGAAGCCTTGATCTCCCCCACCCATGTTTCTTGCTTTTATTCTTGGCGAAAGGTCTAGTGTCTGTGTTCATTTTGGGAGGCCTTTTCTTTTGAACATTGCGTTACTTTCTTGATCACTTTTGTTTAGTGATTGCTTAGTCTTTTTTTTTCCCTTCAAATCGGTGGCATTGCGCTTTGGACACATCAGCGCGTTGTAGGGTTGGTATTTCCTCTCTGATATGTCTCAGAATAGATCTAAGTGTACCGATAGTTCCAGCCAGGTGTCGAAGAGAATGGAAGCCAATCCGTTTAAGCCTTTTGCCATGGATTGCTTTAGTGCATCGACGGTTTTCAATGAACCCAGGGCCTGCTGAGAATGCCTATCGAAAACCTGTTGATTCCTCGAAATCAAGAACATCTTAAACTTAACGCAGGGGAAGCATTGCCACCTTCCAATAAATTAAAATGAATATTCACTACAATATCAAAGAGGGTAATTACTTAGTACACGTTCACAAGCCAAGACAATGAAGCCACAGTGGCTACAACTAAAGTCGGGTGTTAGTGACATCACCAGGAACGTTTAACTGTCCTAGTCCCTACAAAGTTACTCTCTCAGCGTATTTCCATTCTTCAACCTCATTGCCTAGGCCCCCCAAATAGCTTTGCTTCGCCACATACTTTCTCTTTCTCTCACTTCCTCAAACACTCCCTCCGCAATGTCTGGTAAAACTCATCCTGCAACTTGAAGAGATGATTTAGGCTAACATTTCAATAGCACCACCAGTGGATTACTGTAAGCTCCCGAAACACACTATAACTTCCTCAAGCACTCACATACTTTCTAGACGCGGCTCTCGAGATTGACTCTAAAGCAACCCAACAGCAGATCCGCGATGCATACAAAAATTGCGTTCCTTCTACCAAATAATTTCACCTCGGTCCTAATGACTCTTCAGGGCAGCACTAAAACACCACCCCGACCGCGTCCCCTCAGACTCACCCGAACGTTCTTCCCGAACCAAAAAGTTCCAACAAATAAACGACGCCTATTACACACTCTCGGACCTAACTCGCCGTCACGACTACGATGCCACTCGCAATTTCCATTCCTTCCCTGGCTCCACTAACGATTCAACGGATGAATTCGAATATGAAGAAGAAATCCCCCGAGCCCCACCAGGAGGCTTCCCTTGGTCCGCATTCGGCTTCGGTTCTGCACCCGCTGGCAACACAGAGGACAGCCACAACCGCTTCTCGAACGAGCAGTTTGGTGGCGTATTCGAGGAAATGCTGAGAGAGGAGGGTATGGCGGAAGGTGATCGCGCAACGCCCACCGGCAAGTTCTGGGGTATTGTGGGCGGACTGAGTGGTGGGGCTATGGGGTTCATTGTCGCCAATTTCCCGGGGATGGTTGCTGGTGCGGTGGCAGGGAATAGATTAGGGGCCGTAAGAGACGCGAAGGGCAAGAGTGTCTATGCGGTGTTCAGCGAATTACCGCAGGCAGATAAGGCAAGGCTGTTGAGCGATCTTGCTGCGAAGGTGTTTGCGCATGCGGTTGGATCATAGACTTGAAGCTACAAGGAAGGGGTTCAGAAGGATACATACATGAAAGTTACTGGTTCCTCGGCGCTAAGAAAGACTGCGGAATTTTTGACTTGGGTTTCGGACAGCAAGCAGGAGTAATGGTTGGATGGCTAGCTGCGATGGTCTTTGGAAAAGATATTCTCCTGTTTGTTTATTGGATTCTAAATTGGATGCTATAGTATAGCCAGATCAATATCAACATAGTTCATACTCTGTACATCCGTCTAGCTTCCCCCATCTAATCTCCCCGCCCAGTACATTGCTCCAGCGTGTAGGAAAATCTTCTGGCTTGTTTGGGCAGCCCACTGCTCGGCTCAACAATTCCATTATAAGTCCTAACTTTGCTTTTTAAAAGTGTGCTTCTTATCGATGTCACAGTGCCTCTGAATTCCTTAACTTTATTCTACCTGTAAAACCACACTTCAAATGCCATTACACAGGTACTTCTGCCCCCAACCAATCGCGTCGCAGGCTTTTGAGCGTTCACCCAAGACGCCGCGCTGGTGGACCCGCTCCCAACCTCGTGCCAAGCAGCCCCCAACCTCAGGAACACCAGCCTCTCGAAAAGTCGGTCGGATCAGTGCTGTCCCACAAGTTCTCTTCATATCCTATACACTATCTACGAGTTGACTTCCTCTTGCTCCGTCTACGGTATTCCCGCTTTTACGACCTATTGCTAGATAACGAGAGTGGTTGATAGCCTCGTGAGTCTGGATTGAACGGCTTGCAACGCACTGCCGGACTGTGCGAGCTGAAGAGCTTGGGAGAAGCGACGAGTTGAGCACGGTTGGTGCTGCCCGATCTCCACTTTTTACCGGGCGAGGATTGCGCTGCTGTCTACTTGAGCATTAGGCTACGACAACCGTGGGTTGGAGGTTTTTGAACTTCAGCTTCGTGAAGCTTCTACAGCTCGAAGCTCGAAGCTCGAAGCTTGAAGTGCAACCTTGATTCCGAAGCGCACAACGCACTTTCAAAGGAAGTACAAGCCGGAACTGTTATATCCTCGCTCCTTAAGCTCAACACTCGAAACCTTACGATCTCTAACCTCCAATCAACCTCCAACTTACCCACACGATGGGCTGGTTCACCGGGTCCTCATCTTCTCGCCACCACTCCTCTCGCCCTGGCTACGCACGCAGCTACGCCGGATCATCCTACTCATCTTCCTCGCGTCACCACTCGAGTACCTCACATTACAAGCGTCGTCCGCGCGATGGCTATATATCATACTTATACCACAAATTCCGACACCTACTCCACCAACTATGGCAATACGCTCGGCGTCATCCTTACAAGGTCTTCTTCATGGTTATAATGCCTCTAGTCTCGGGCGGAGTGTTGCATAAGCTTGCCAGACAGTTCGGAGTGAATTTGCCCGAGATGGGAGGCGTGGGCGCGAGGGGTGGGTATGCAAGTAGTAGTTATGGAGGTGGACGCGGGGTAAATGGTGGGTATTATGGAAGTGAGGGATATGGGAGAGAGAGTGGTGGAGGTGGTGGTGGTTTTAGTAATTTACAGAGTATTGCAGGTGGAATTGGAGGATTGGCTAGTATGGCCAAGATGGCACAGGCTTTCATGTAGTAAGAGGAGGGGCCGGAGAGGGTGCGGAATGGAACCAGCGATGGATATGAAGTGGGAGTTACGGTATGAGCTCGACGTGTTACAAGTACGAATTCCCTCGGAAGGTCTTAGACTATGGTGTGGAGGATGAAGGACTGACATCGGACCTCGAACTATGGTTTGTGCACGCTTGGATATTTCTGTTAAACGCATTGTAGAGATTAAATCTTGCTAGAAGAATCCTATAACAACTTTTTAGTCTCTCTGCTCTCTATGTAACGGCGCAGGCAAGACAACGGGTCCGAATGCGGTGTGTGTAATGAGGTAGGCGCCCCGCCTGCCAAGCCACTGTACCAAAAGGTACGCACGAGAATACTTAAGCTAAGTATTCTCGCATCGTATAATATATATATATAGATAATGCTAGGGCTAGCACTAGCACTAGCGGTTGTCTCTAGTCTAGCCTAAACCGCTATAAGCGAGAGAAGGCTACGTAGTTAACTATGCCTCCTTATTACAATTAGCAAGTCTTAATTCAAGGCGTATATATAAGAGAACTAACGTACTTCACAGGCAAGTTGCTTACACACCTAAGTTGCTTACTTTTACTAAGACCCTACTAAACTACTCTTCTTACACTAATGCATTCCTAATAACACTACTTAGATGTGCTAAAAGAATGTTAAGTATAGCTTACACTCTAAGCTTTTAAATAAAACATAAAACTTTTAAAGAAACATGCTATAGCTATGTATAAAGTCTTTTAAAAAATAATAAATAACTATAGCACTAGACAACCTTTATAAGCTAATTCTATAGTAAACTTATAAAGGCTAAGTAATAATAAAAAGTAAGTAATTATTAAGACTATACTTAAGCTATATATATTGTAACGGCGCAGGCAAGACAATGGGTCCGAATGCGGTATGAATCCACTCAGAGGCATATGGGAGTGCGTGGGGACTCAGAGACCTGGGAATACCAATGACACCTATAGGCCTTGTACGTAGGATATCAGAAAACTACCGAGCTAGCTACAGGGCGAGGTGCGACTAAATACATGAAGGAATAGGGGTACAGCAGGGGTCGGGGCCAGGTCGGGGTCGGGGCCGATACGGGGGCCTTCCGGAGGTTCCGGGCGACCCGAGATGGAACGAGAATCGTTACATATATAAGGATTTTCTCTTTAAATAGCATTTATAGCTAATATAGCTAATTCTTTACACGCTAAGTGTAATCTAGGCTATATTAGTATAAACTAGCTTTATATGTTTAAAAAGTGTTATTTAGAGCTTAAAGTAACATTTAAGTATAGTATAACTATAAAAAAGCTTTTTATAAAGGTCTTAGAGTAATTTAGAGTAGGTTTAGCCTTATAAAAAATATTAAAGCTAAGTATAGTATTTACAATAATAACATATATAACTTTAGTAAAATAGGCTTTATTATAAGCTAAATATTTATTAACTATACTTACACTTAAAACTTTACTTTAAGCTTTAAATAACACTTTATAAACATACTAAGCTAGTTTATGCTAATATAGCCTAGATTATGCTTAGCACATAAAAAATTAGCTATATTAGCTATAAATACTATTTAAAAGGAAAATCTTTATGCATATAGCTTAAGTATAGTCTTAATAATTACCTACTTCTTATTATTACTTAGCTTTTATAATTTAGCTATAGAATTAGCTTATAAAAGTTACCTAGTGCTATAGTTATTTATTATCTTTTAAAGAACTCTATATATAGCTGTAGCATGTTTCTTTAAAAGTTTTATGTTTTATTTAAAAGCTTAAAGTGTAAGCTATATATAACATTCTTTTAGCATGTCTAAGTAGTGTTATTAGGAATGCATTAGTGTAAAAAGAGTAGTTTAGTAGGGTCTTAGTAAAAGTAAGCAACTTAGGTGTGTAAGCAACTTGCCTGTGAAGTACGTTAATGTATAACAATTAATTAAATACTTAGCTAAATAAATAGTAGCTTTAAAGGCTAGACAAAAAAAAAATTTAGTACTATATAAATCTAAAATCTAATTAGTTTAGTTACTTATTATATTCTAGAAACTTTAACACTATTTCTACTATTACTAGTAAATGCTAACTAGCTTAAAGTATGCTTTAATAACATTTTAAATATTATTATATATAAAGATAAAACTACTATCTTTATAATATAAAAATAAAAACTCTATTTTTTTAATATAAGTGTTACAACCCACGATTGGACCGTAAGCTACCAAACCTCTATGCCCTACTATTTGAACAAACAAGGCTAGAATGTCCCTGCCACCCTGTCCGCTAAGTCACGTGACCTAACAGACGAGGAATAGACAGAGCTATTAGACTAATGCACAGCTAAGTGCATCATCTAATAAGCAAGGGACGTCTGCATGCTGTGCGCGCTATAAGCGCTTAAGAACTAAAAGCATGCAACACATGCAAAGCATGCAACCCTATATATATAGTTTAAGATTCTAACTACTTTAAAAGGTTATAATTAAAGTTTAGTTTATTACTACATAGACTAAGTAGCATTACTACTTTTTAATAAATAGTAATACTAATTATATATCTTATACTTGTTACAATCCTTGCTTCGGAGAAGCACGCAGGTTAATATTGTTAAGGGGGTTAGACAGAGGGTAGAGGCCGACGGCAGGGTGTACAGTCCTGCGTAAGGGCTATTAGGCTTATAGAGGCAGGTAGGGTGACCGGATTGTAGTTTATCCCTATAGCAGCAGTATAGTGGCCAGGTTAAACAGTCCTGTTAGACAGGATTAGAGGTATATATAGTGTAAGATATACAAATAGTATTATAGCTTTTTATAAAGCTAGAATACTACTCTATCTATATAAAAAATAAACTAAACATTAAACATACCTTCTAAAAAGTTGTTTAAGGTTAAACTATATACATATTTAAAAGTGCTAAAAATAAGTTAGGTAAGTTTATGTAAGCTTGCTAAGTATAGCTTTATAAACTCTCTTAGACTTATTAGACTTACAGCCTACTATCCTATTAGATAATGCATTCCTCTATAACTGTAGGCAGCTGCGCTGCTTCTGTATCTTCTAATTAGTCTATAAGCAAGCTCTACTCTAACCTAGCTAGATTATAAAGCACTAGTAGTAGAGTTATGTTAGTCTAACTATAGACTGTAACACGCTGCCTCTTTTTCCTAGTAGCATTTTTACTGCTCTGCTTACACAACTGTGTTAGTAAAAGTTTATTTATAAAGTAAGTGTCTACTTACTAAAAGGTGTCTATAATATTTATCTTTTTTATACTAAATAGCTTACTAGTCTTACTTATTTTATTATCTTTATGCTATTTCTTATTTTAATTCTTTTTATTAAATAAAGATGTAACTCTATAGTGCTTACTAATTATTAAAGTTATCTTACATATTAACCTTATTATTAAATAAGTGTGTAGAGTGTGTAAAAAAAAATTAGTAAGTATAACACTTTTATTTTAGACACTACATAAAATTAGTTAGAGAAAAAGAGAGAGAAACTTCTTTAGAATGCTATAGCAGTAAAGGCTTATAAGTAAAAGCTTAATAAGAAGATAACCTACTACCTTTAAAAATTAGTAAAGGCAAAGGCTAAGAAGCGTTTTAAATAAGATTATATCTAAAAATTACTAGATCTGTTAGAGGCCTAGTGTGTAAAGTATTTAAAAGAAGACCTCTTCTTCTTAAACAAGATAAAGGCTCTTAAGGCTAAGGTAAAAGGCTAGTTGCCTTTTTAGCCCTTATTAGTAAAGACTTATCTCTAAAAGCTGCTACTATCTAGTAATAACTTAGCTATTCTTTTTAAAATAGGTGCCTTATTACTTAGCTAGTTTCTTTTAGATAAGTTTAAAGGTACTTTTATACTAACTACTACGCCTTTTATAAGTTTTTAGCTAGTTTCTAGGTGTTTTTACTAGTAAGCTATCTTTTTTATTTTACTAAAAAAAAATTTATTTTTATAGTTATTAATAATTTATTTTACTTTATACTTATTTTTATTTTTTATTTTTATGTAAATAAAGAGATTTTCTTAAGTGCTTTTTCTAATTTAAAAACATAAAACTATAAATGTATCTTTATGTGTAGAGAGAGGTTTAGTTTACAGTTATCTTATTAGGTCTATAAAACTTTATAAAGTCTTATTCTTTTTTCTACTAGCTTTTTAAAAGGTCTATGTATTTTAAGATTCTTAGTTTTAAAATACACATAGTCTTCTAGGTAGATTTCTAGTCTAGGTTGTTATAATTTATTTACATATTATTCTATTATTTTTTAAGAAGATTTAGCTTTAATTACTAACTTCTTATGTATACTTTATAAACTTAATAGTTAATTAATTAATTTAGGCAAATTTATAAGCTAACTTTTATGTAGCATAAAATAAGAATTATAACTAAAATTAGCTTTATATAGCGTTTCCTTTATTATAGCAGATTCTACTATGTTAATAGCTAGCTATGCTATTAAAAGCTATTCTACCTAGTTATTCTAACTATAGAAGACATATTTTTTAAGTATTTTTCTACTTTAGCATTTACCTATTTAGTTTGTCTGTCTGTTTATAGGTAATACATAGTAAATAACTTATATATTATGCTAAAGTGTCTTAGCTGTTTTCTAAAAGTTACTAGTAAATAGCTTATCTTTATTAAAGATAATAGTCTTAGAGTATCTATATACTAATACTACATTTTATTTAAGTTTATAGATAAATTTTTTAGCTATAATAGTTTTTTTTAATAGCTATATATATAAGTATTTTATAGTTTTATTAAGAACTACTATTATTATATTACATATTCTTTCTATTTCTAGTTCTTTAGATAGGGGAAGTTTTATAATAAAGTCTATAGTAATTATTATTTATAGCTGCTTTAGAGCTTTAATTAGTTAAAAGTATCTATACATCTTATATTTTAAAAAAAAATTTATTATAAGTGTTATATTTTTTAAGTATCTCTATGCATAATTACTTTATCTTAAGTATATGCTAAAGTATAGCAGTTCTTAATTTCTTTTAAAAGGTGCTAATCCTAGAATGTCTAAACATTAAAGACTTATTAGCAGAGCTTGCTCTGCTTATTATATTCGGGTTTGCAGAACGAAAAGTTGAGCAGAATCTCCTCTTTTGGACGCGCTAGTTAGTCAGAATTTCTTCGGATAAACCCCGGTAATGCTGTTTCTCTGTCACCTTATGTGTTTCTTATATTCTTTTTTAAAAAAAAATGTATACCTAATGTAAGTGCACCTTTATGCTAATTTGCATGCAGTTTGCTCCAGCATGCGT